GACTTTGGGCTTGTGAGAAAACGCTAAAATAAAAGACTGGGGTACTTGGATGTGTTACAGTCCTCCAAATTTTGATGTAGTAACGAGCAAGGCTTGTTGTATAGATAATGGATAATGAAATGAGGATGAGGCTACACTGATGTGGTTTCGCTGAATCTAAAGATACGCAATAGGAGAGTCCACGAGGTAAATTGACGAGATATGATTGTTCAGTCTCCAAAGGATTGTTTAGTCCAACCTATTTTTTGACACTACGGCAATCAAGTAGCTCATTACTTGTACCATATCAAATATTATGTTATTTGTTGACTCAGTATCCGAATGCGTTGGAGTCTTGTATTAATCTGAGGTTTGGACTGCAGTCTGTGCGAACTGAACTGAGCTATGATTTCGACCAAAAGATGGGAAGCGAAAGTGGGTCTTCAAGTACAATTGAGACCGTTATGAAGAAGCAAGTGGATCTAAAGCAGAATAAGAGGAGTGCAGAAGAGGATGCAAGAGAGAGAAAAGGTAGCGAAAAAGCTACCGGAACTAGAGAAGACAGAGACACGATCCAAAAAGACAAAGATAAAGATAGAGAAGAGAAAAGACGTATAGAAGAAAGCACTGGAAGAGACCTAGAAAGAGGTGAAAAAGATACAGAAGGCAGAGTTGGGGATACACAAGGCAGAGTTGGGAGAGATAGAGAAGAGAAAGGCACAATACCTGGCTCCAACGACACACATCCAAGTGTCAAAACCAAAGTATATCAGACAAACAAGACAGACACACAAAAAACAGACGATGGCCTGGCACGCCAACAAACGGACCGCAACATTCTCGATTCAACAGTTTGCATCATTGGCGCCGGCGTCGCCGGGCTCAAGGCCGCGCGCGCCCTAATCGACAGGGGCCTTGCGCCTGAAAAAGTTGTTGTGCTCGAGGCGCAGGCGCGCGCAGGCGGGCGCATTTTCACCGACCGCGCGCGCTCCAAACACGGCGCCGCCTACGACATGGGCGCCGCGTGGTTCCACGATTCGTTGACCAACAAGGTTTTCGCCGAAGAAGTATTATTGGCGCAAAAGAGCGGGGATTTTTTCGACAGCACGTGGTTTGACGACGCGGATCCCGCGTACTACGCGAGCGAGGTTTCGGGCCCGCTCGACGTTGCCGGGCTCAAACTCAACCGGGTGGTGGAAGAAATAGAGCAGTTTGTGGAAATCCAGTATCGCGACAGCTTGGACGAGGAAGATGTTTCGCTCGCGCGCGCGGCACAAATGTACATGGAGCGGCGCGCGCCCTTGCTTTCGGGCGAGCAGCGCCGGTTTGGCGCCAGAATGGTGCGGACGTTGGAACTTTGGCACGGCGCGCTGCACGAGAAAATCAGCGCGCAGCATGCGTTTTTGGACTACGACGGGCGGCATGTGTTCAACCGCCGCGGCTACGACACTTTGGTCGAGCGGCTCATGCCGCCCGGGCGGGTTTTTTTGGGCGAGCCGGTGAGGGCCATCGACCGCGACACCAACAATATAAAGCATCGGCGCCACTTGGTCCATGCCAAAAGCATTTCTGTTGCTGCAGACTACGTTGTGGTTGCGGTTCCACACAGCATTTTGGCGCTCCCAGAGGAACACGAGCATGCAATCAGGTGGACGCCGCCTCTTCCTTTGGCGGTGCGAGAGCTGTTTTCGGCGCTCCATTTCGATGCGCTCGGCAAGGTGGTTTTGGAGTTTTCGCATGCATGGTGGCCCGACAGGGATCTGTTTGAGATATTGGGAGATGAAGATGAGGATAGAGAAGAGAAACACGAAGAACAGAGTGGGGATGATAGAGGCAAGGAAGATAGAGATAATGACGATAGAGACGAAGATAGAGACAAGGAAGATAGAGACAAGGAAGATAGAGACAAGGAAGATAGAGACAGGAACAATAGTAATAAAGACAATGGAGACGAGGACAGGGAAGAAAAATCTAAAAACTACGGACACAAGACTAGCGACCTGCCTGCCACCACTTTCTCGATCCGGCCCTTTGAGTACCCCATTTCTGTGTCCAACTTCGCCCGCCACGGCGCGCCCGCCCTTATTGTTTTGGTGCAGGCGCCCGTCACACAGTATCTCGAGGCGGATCCGGCGCGCGCATGGCCCTACCTCAAACCCATGCTTGCCAAACTCGCCCTGTCAACTGGACCTGACAGTATATCTGCCATACCCGATCCCATCAACGTGATCGTCTCGGACTGGACGCAAAACCCCTACATCCGCGGCTCGTACTCGTCTGTCCATGTTGGCGACGACCCGTTTGCCCAGGTTCTTCAGTTGTCGGGCGAATACGATCTGTGCGGGTTGGGCGCGCAACTGACGATTCGATTTGCGGGCGACCATACGATCGGCGAAGGGGCGGGCTGCGTGCATGGGGCCTACGAAAGCGGGCGGCGCGCGGCCAGCTGGATTTTGGACAACCTTCAGAACCGGACAAGTCTGGAAACACAGCAATAAGCTTTAATAATTTGATAATTTTGCATTGGCCGGCCAGGAGGGTCATAATGCGGTGGAATAATAATGAGTCCTAAATGGTAATGAAACGACGTTATGACAAGGAGTAGTGAGGATCCAGCAACTAGAGGTGGAGTCGAAATGGGATGATGAGAAAACAGACGATACAAATGTGTTCGTAAGTGTAGTTGAGTATTAGTAGTCATGCTTTAGCAGACACCAGTAATATTATCAGAAGCGTTTGCTACTTTATACATGTACTTCAGAGTGAAAACCATTGGAAATCTTTTGAGAAGTTTGAAATAGTCTCGAATGAATTGGATGACTTTCAAGAGAAAAATCATTATAGTGGGATTTCAAGGAGAAAAGCACCGAATTTGCCAAACAGCTATTATTCAGCGCATTGAATAGCAGAGTAGCAACGCGAGTATAATGACAGCGACAATTTAAACGTGAAATTCCTCATGATGGAACCACTAACGTATGAGATGGCGATGTAAAAGCACGTTTAAACATAGTTATAGATGCTAGAGATTTATGTTTATTAGTCGGCGCAATAATTCCCTGAGGTGATTGTATTTCTCCAGAGTTGAATCTACTCTTGCTCTCATATCGTGAATTATAGCTTATTATCAACACAGAAATGTAGCTCTGCGTTAGACACTTCCAAATTTAACCAGCAGCACATTTTGATCACTTTTGCTTGCTATCTTCAAAGCTCTTTCCAATCAGAATGTTGGTGAAGAGACACCTCGGATACAGACAAAAAGTAGTCCAGATAAAAAGACAGAAGTAGACAAAGCAACAGAACAGCCACACGTAAACAAATAAAGTGAACAGTTGAGACTTCCAAAAATTACAAGAATAGAATGAATTTCATAAACACAAATCAAGGTCCATACGAAAAAAAAAAAAAAAAGAACCACCTACTGAAACCATCTAGTCCAAGTATCTGCAATATGTTCTTTCCTGCACGCTGCCGCGCCTGCCCATTTCGCATCTCCATCATCTTTCTTCTTTCCAACACAAAATGGCTTCTCAATTTGATGCGGAAAACGCCGAGAATCTCGAGGATATCGAAAAGCAATTTGCCGTCAAGGCTGTTATGCAGGCCGAAACTTACTGGGGCTTGCTCTCTAAAGTGAAGGGTTCGCAGTTGAAGTTGACGCAACACGACGACGACATTTTCACGGCTCTTTTGGAAGACTTCCCAGAGTTCAAGGACAAAGCCAAGGTGGCGGAAATCTCCGAGGCGGAGATGAAGAGCGAAGTTGGCAAGGCCAGATGGAGAACTTTCTGCGAAAAGTTCAATGAAATCGACGACTACAATTTCGGAACCTTGTTGCGGATCAAGGCCAATGAGGAGTACTCGCAAGAAAACACCATATTTGCCGTGAGAATCCAGTTCTACGCCATTGAGATTGCCAGAAACAGGTATGGTTTGAACGACTGGGCTGCGAAATAGCCTTCTTGGTACATAGCCACTGGATTATATGTGGAGCATTTGAAGCATGTAGAGAACATTTGTGCGGAGCTGATAGTTTGAACTGAATGGCCTCAGTGGTCTTGAAATGGTTTCAGAAATCAAAACGGTTCGATCAGGCTTGTAAGGAAACCTCTCTATACTGTGACCTGATTTGACTGAATAACCAAATCGTCAGGACTAATAGAGAGAGATATTTAGCGGTAACAGGACCATTGTGGAAAAATCAAGTGTTGACCGTCTTGACAAATTCTAACGGACACAATAATATTGTATGGGGAAACTCGTCTGCACCTCCATTGCATCTCCAGATCGTTTTACGGATTCATCGGTAGTGAAATCATGCAAGGCTTCAATCTAATCTGTGTTAGAAAATCGAACGATTGAACATGGTAGCAGTTATAGACGATGAAGAAGATTTCTTCCTTTGCATATCTTCGATTTATCCAACTCAAGAATATCATACTTTTGGTCTTTGGCTTAATTTCATACTTCATGCCCATTTTCGTCCGAAATGATCGTAAACAACAAGGTATTAATAACCCGGAAATGCGTCCGCTTATTTGCAAACGCTGATTAGTGAATTGTCTATAGAATCCATATTTCTACAAGGGACTAACATGCCGTAGGAATAGAAAAACCGGAACAAAAAATGAAACAATAATTCATGTTCTCTGGCCTTGCAGGTGAATTCCATTGAAAATCATACTTGTAACTGCACGAGTACTGTCATGTTTTACAATTCCTAGCCATTGGATTCTAATCGTCTTAGTGCTTGAATATTTTTTGTCATTTCGAAGAAGTAAGTCCACACCGTATGTGTCGGATAAGTGAGTAGAACTTTTTAATGATTAATAAATACCTTATTGGCCCAAGTTGGGAACAAGAATCACATTTAGATACAATCTGAAAAGAGAAAGTAGTTGCAAAAGGAAAATCCTTTTTGTACCCCAGAATGTTGGGGTTGGTCAGTGACACAAAAAGAATATAGACCCGTACCTCCGTGTGATGCACCAGTACCTCTTGAAACACCCATGCACCATGGAAAAGCCCATACATCTCATCAGAAACCCAAACATCCGAAGCAAAAATCCCTACACCAGGAAAGAAACCCGTACATACATGTGCCAAAAACCCAAACACCATTATCAAACGCCCGTGCACCACATAGTTAAGCAACCAATTGTCCCCTCAACTTTTGGAATGCTTGCCAAAATGTTAAAAAATGCGCCTTTGCCATGGTTCGAACGTGTGAGCTTTCAATTTAACGGGAACACAATATGCTTCACACGGAAATAAATTAGGCCACAATTCCTAATGGGTTAACCGTCTGAATGTAAAAGATTTCATATAAATAAGCAATCCTGTTTGAAGATCTAGGTGATTTCAGAATCCACGTCATCAGATTTTGGCACCCATTATGTAGTCTTTAATTTGAAATGATTCTATGCTTGTTATGTGCTTGTATCTGTTCGTGTCACATACCTTAACTCAATATTTGTAGGCAGCACGGTTGTTACCTTTTAACATGAGTGCTTGTCCATTCAATAAATCGTTGGAATCCAAGATGATCATACTTTGAGTTCCGAGCGTTTACACCTCTTTACTGATGACAAGTCTATTGGCCAAGTTGAACCAACTTAGAGAAAAGCGACCAAGCCAGACCTTGCTCTTGTTTTCTTGAAAGAAGTTAGTGATGATACGACTTAAGGAGTCATTTTGAATTAAAGACCGACCAACTTTATCGTTGCTGGTTTGTGCGCGGTGGTTTGAATACTTTGGTGGTTTGGATATTAGTGGTCTGAATATTAGTGGTTTGAATATTTGGTGGGCTGACCTTTTTGTCCATCAAACTGATAGCTTCTTTGGTAAAAGTAGAAAGGCCATCGTCAAGACCGTTTCCAAATTGCCAGTTGGTCAAACTAAACCGATCAAGAAGAAAGCGTTAGCCTGTCATGGCCTGTATGCGCGCGCAGCCTTACGTTCGGCCAACACCAACATCTTTCTCTACCATGAAGGCCCAGGCGAACCGAAAAGATTCGGCGGAGGGCGCTCTGCCCCAGCCACAGGCACAGTTGGCCAATTACACGCTTCCTGGGGTGATCAGCTACTTGACGTCGGAGTTCACCAACTTGGAGCGGTTCAAAATCGTCACCAACTTGGAGAAGCTGGAGATGCGGAGCCGGATCGACCAGTTGACGGCGGAGATCAATGCCTTGCGGTTCCTCAACGAGAAGCAGGCGCTCCGGATCCGCGAGCTCGAGCAGGAGCGAAAGAAAAAGACGGAAACGAACGAGAAGATAGAGACCGAGGAAGAGAAGGGAGAGAGCAAGGAAAACAAGGGTGAAAACAAGCAAAACAAGGCAGAAAACAAGGAAAACAAGGGGGAGAGCAACGATAAAGATAACAAGCGAGACAAACGCCAGAGCCACGGCAAACAGAACAACACCAATGACGACGCGACCAAGACGACAGAAGGCCGCTTCGATGTCGAGAACACAAGGGCTGGCGGCTATCACAAAGACAGCGGTTTGGCTGCAAACAGCGCCAGCAGCACCAGCAACTCCAGTAGCGCCACCTTGAATGGCAGCCAAATCCCCGCCATCGACTTGGACGTGCTTCGGCGCGCGCGCGACGGCCTCCACCGCCTGATCCAGGAGGCCATGTGCCTTCTCCGCCCGCCGGCGTCGGCCGCGCGCGACTACGTGCCCGAGGGCGACCTCGACGATGTGCTTGCGCCGCGCCGCGCGTCGCCCGACTTCTTTGACCGCTACGCCTCGGGCGACGCCGACTTGCTCAACCTGCACCGCGACTCCGCTCTGTTTGTGGGCGCCGTGCCGCTCGACCTGGCGCCGCTGCTGCGCCGCGCTAGCACCACAAGCACCACTTCGGACGCCGCCACCGTCATCGACTCGGGCGACGATATCGTCGACGCGCGCACTTCTGCGGCGGGTCTGCTCCCGCTTTCCGTTCTGGTGGCCACCACCGTGCCCCTCAGCGGGGATCGTGTCTGTGCGCCCGTGCTGAATCGCTTTGTCGTGGTGGGCGGTCTGTTGACAGCGTACACGGGCAGCACAGTCGTGGCCAGCGTGCCTGCGGACGGCGCAGATATGGTTGAGGCCTACCACGTGGGGGGCCAGTTTCTTGTTGTCGCCGCAAACGGCATCTACCAGTACGCGGCCCAGACGGCGAAAACGTGTCTCCTCACGTTTGACTCGCGTGTGAGCGTGTGTGCCGTGGCGGAGCGGGACGATTCGGCCCTCGTGGCCTGTGCCGGTGAAGATTCGGAGGGCCGCCCGTTTGTGCACGTTGTCCAGGTCTCCGGAGGCTCTGCTCGCGTGACACTGCGATACGACCATGCTGCGCTCGGCTCGGCTGCTCCAGTGACGCAGCTAGGCTGGCACGATGACGACGTTGTGGTTGTTCACTCGCATCTCCTGGTGATCCGCGCAGGCACTGCAGCGGCTCAGAAAGTGTTCGATGGCCATGTGGATGCGGCAGACATCAAGGCGGATTTTGCCCTTCTCCGGCTCCAACGGTCAGTTGTGCTTTTTAACTTGGCGGATTCGCGCGTGATGGCCACTCAGCATGCCGACAATGCGGCCGCATATGGTCTTGTCGTCCGAGGACTGCCCTACGTGGTGTATGTGGACAAAAAGGTTCATGTGCTTGACATGCACTTTGATGAGGTGGCGGCGGGCGCAGCTGGAGGACGGCTCGTGTCTTGTGCCGGTGACTCGGTGCTTTTGAGCACGGGGCTGGAGCTCAGGGTGGTGGATCTCGCATGGAAAGGGCCCGTGTAAGGTAACTTCATGCCGAAAAGGATTGTGAAATGACAAAATCATCCAACTGGCATCTCAGCAATAGAGAGGCTGCAGCGTGAGATTAGAATCAGCTTATGATAGACGTCGTCTCTATCATTATTTTTGCACATTACTGATAGACAGATCCATACTTGTCTCCGCTCCGGCTGGCCCCACAAGCATTCAGACTATATGAGTAAATTGGAGGCTACTTGATCACATCTCAAAACATCCCCATTCTGCTACAATAAAAAATATATTGGCCCTATGATTCCTCTTGTTTATGTTTTCTCCGTGAGCTCTAATCTGAATATGCATTCTGTTCCCTTCATTTTCTTCTCCAAAATGGTTAATCGGTTATTCCGGCTCAACCTGCAGTCTGAGTCTATCGAGTCTAAAGCCGATTGCGCAGGGCATCGGCAAGATGCACGGATGTCTCACTTGCATACACGTTTTATCAATTTTTTTTTTTCCTCCTTCTATTATTGTACACCATGTCCAAGAAGATTCTGTTTGACGACTTCTTGAAGCAGCAGCAACTGCTGGCTCAACAACAGGGGTACAGAAATGGTCCCGGTTCCAATTACCAGTACAACCAGGGTTTTCAGGCCGATCCCAACAGTTATCAAAATTATCAGGCTTACGATCCCTCCCAGTACCAATACAATCCAAACCAGTACCAATACAATCCAAACGCCCAGAGCTTCAACTTCCACTCTCCTCAATACGACGGAACTCCAGGTCCGGAGTCTGGTGTAAGCAGTGGCGTCAGCACGCCTAATGCTTACTCGTCAACCGCTTCATTGGCATCATTGAACACGGCATTGAACAAATTGTCGGTAGATTCGCCACTTGCGGAAAACTTGGCAGCGCTTCAGTCTGTTGCTAAGATCTCAGAAGCTAGAAAAGAGGCCGAGGCTATCGCTAGTAAGGTGGTTGCGCAGCCTTCGATGAAGGTTGTGGAAGAATGGAAACTTCTTGAGGTGCTCAAGTCTTTGTCCAAGCCTAAAAACCTGCCCATCGTTCGTGAATCGGCCTTGCTTATTGTGCAACAATTGGCTCTCAAATTGGGAGGAAACAGTCCAAAGGAAGCCCATTTGCTTCCATTCATTGGATCTGTGTTTGATTTATTTACAGACAAGGACAAGAACATCGTCAAGGCGGCTAAACAGACCATCGACACGCTTTACGGAACTTTCCCAGTAGAGGCCTTGGGCAGTGTCTTCTTTGACGAATTGGTGGCATATTTGAAGTCATCTGCCAAGTGGAACTCGAAATTGCCTGCTTTGGCTATTTTTGACAAGTTGGTGGAAGAAGTTCCTGCCGATTTGTTGGAGATGAAGTTTATTACCGGTGTTCCAGTTTTGACCGATTTGGCAACAGATTTTAAGCCTGAATTGGCCTCGCAGGGTTTGAAGAGCTTGAAGAAGTTTGTTAAGGTGTTGGACAACTTGGACTTGCAGAACAAATACGACTTGATTGTTGACACATTGGCCGACCCAAGAAAAGTACCTGAATGTATCAAGAACTTGTCTTCTGTTACATTTGTTGCCGAAGTGACCGAACCGGCTTTGTCTCTTTTGGTGCCTATTTTGGATAAGTCCTTGAAGATGTCCTCTTCTTCCAACGATCAATTGAGACAGACTGTCACAGTTACAGAAAACTTGACTCGTTTGGTTAACAACAAAAGAGAAATTGAGTCTTACATTCCAATCTTGTTGCCTGGTGTTGAGAAGGTGGTGAACAACGCTTCTTTGCCCGAGGTTAGAGAGTTGGGTGCCAAGGCTTTGCATGTTTTGAAGGAGGCTGAAAGTGAGCAGACTGACGGAAAATTCCATGGCCGTATTTCTATTGAACAGGCTGCCGCTTTGTACCGGGAAAACTTGTCCGATGACCTCAAGGAGATCTCGCAACAGCTTCTTCTGTGCGAGATTGAAGCTTCGTACTTGGAAATTATTTTGCAGGTGGATGCTAATGTCAATGATTGGAAACGTTTGGCCGAGTATTTGGCGTTGGCGCTTGAAAGTGTCGATGCGGACGAGGAATTGAAGCAAAAATATGCCCACGAAGTTCTTCACAATGTCAAGGAAATGTTTGCCGACAGAACCCAAAGCTCCAATGAGGATGACGACGGAGCGGTTGAAATTGTCAACACAGACTTTTCCTTGGCGTACGGATCTCGTATGTTGTTGAACAAGACCACTTTGCGCTTGTTGAAGGGCCACAGATATGGTTTGTGTGGTCGTAACGGTGCTGGTAAATCCACATTGATGAGAGCCATCTCTAAGGGTCAATTGGAAGGTTTCCCATCGCCAGATGAGTTGCGCACCTGTTTTGTCGAGCACAGATTGCAAGGCGAGGAAGGTGACATGGATTTGGTGAGCTTCATTGCGTCCGACCCAGAGTTATCCAGCGTCAGCCGTGAAGACATTTCCAGTGCTTTGAAGCAAGTCGGTTTCCCAGACGAACGTTTGGAACAACATGTTGGTTCTTTGTCTGGAGGATGGAAAATGAAATTGGAGTTGGCTCGTGCCATGTTGATGAAGGCAGACATTTTGCTTTTGGATGAACCTACTAACCACTTGGATGTCGCCAATGTGCGTTGGCTCCAGAACTATCTTGTGGAAAATACCGAGATTACTTCTTTGATTGTGTCGCACGACTCTGGTTTCTTGGATGCTGTGTGTACTGACATTATCCACTACGAGAACAAAAAATTGGCTTACTACAAGGGTAACTTGTCTGAGTTCGTCAAGGTTAAGCCAGAAGGAAAGTCTTACTACACTTTAACTGACTCCATGGTCAAAATGGCCTTCCCTCCTCCAGGTATTTTGTCGGGTGTGAAATCCATCACCAGAGCTATTGCGCGTATGAGTCATGTAACCTTTGCCTACCCTGGCGCTGCTAAGCCATCTTTGAAGGATGTTTCTTGCAGTTTGTCTTTGTCTTCACGTGTGGCAATTGTTGGACCTAACGGTGCTGGTAAATCTACTTTGATTAAGTTGTTAACAGGTGAGTTGGTTCCTAACGAAGGAAAGGTGGAGAAGCACCCTAACTTGCGTATTGGTTACATTGCACAACACGCTTTGCAACATGTGGAGCAACACAAGGAGAAGACTGCCAACCAATACTTGCAATGGCGTTACCGTTTCGGTGATGACCGTGAGGTGTTGTTGAAGGAATCCCGTAAAATTTCTGAGGAAGAGAAGGAAATCATGGCTAAATTGATTGATGTTGGCGACGGACAAGGTCCTCGTATGATTGAGGCTCTTGTTGGAAGACAAAAGTTGAAGAAGTCGTTCCAATACGAGGTCAAATGGCGCCACTTTTTGCCAAAGTACAACTCGTGGCTCTCTCGTGAATTCTTGATCGAAGAAGGTTTCGGCAAGTTGATTCAGAAGTTTGATGACCACGAGGCATCCAGAGAAGGTTTGGGTTACCGTGAGTTGACTCCTCCAGTGATTAGAAAGCATTTTGAAGATGTTGGATTGGACGGTGACATCGCTGACCACACTCCTATGGGTTCTCTTTCTGGTGGACAATTGGTTAAGGTTGTCATTGCTGGTGCCATGTGGAACAACCCGCACTTGCTTGTTCTTGACGAGCCTACCAATTATTTGGATAGAGACTCCTTGGGAGGTTTGGCTGTTGCCATTCGTGACTGGAGTGGAGGTGTGGTGATGATTTCGCACAACAACGAATTCGTCGGTGCTTTGTGTCCAGAACAATGGCACGTGGAAAACGGTGAAGTTGTTCAAAAGGGAACTGCTGCTGTGGACAGCGGAAAGTTTGCTGATGACTCCAAGGAAGGAACACCAGTTCCAGAAGTCAAGAAGAGACTGGACGACAATGACTCGCCTGCCGACATTAAGGTCAGAACCAGAAAAAAGAAGATGACCCGTAATGAGAAGAAGGCTCAAGCGGAGAGAAGAAGATTGCGTCATATCGAATGGTTGAGCAGTCCTAAGGGCACACCAAAGCCAGTGGACACTGACGATGAAGAGGAGTAGTCTATTTAATTCAATGCATAGAGAATCAAGGCAACTGGTTTGGGAAAGTAGAATGTAATAATCTACGATTTCTGTCGTAGTCAGTGTCGAGAAGTCGGCTAAAGTGAAAGTGTTTTCTGCAATAATGAGGCTGGTCCTATAAGCTAGCCATTGGAAAAAAAAACAAATTCTTTTTCAATATCAATATTTCGGTACGCTGTTTTGACATCAAGCCATTACTGATTTCTCAGACTCACTTTCTTATATTGATTAATGTTTCTTATACCGATTAATGTATGCACTGCGAACTTGAACAAAAGAGCCAAACACAGACCAACACATCCCGAACACAAACCAGCACAACCCTAAACGACATAAACTCTATAAACACTTTAAACTCTGCAAACCCTGACTTAATCATCCCAGTGCATCAAACGGTAAGTATGGTAAGTCTTTTCACGTGACCTGGGTCACATGCGCACACCATATTCGAGCGTTGAAGGCAAACCCCATTTCTACTCCAGCTACAATGGCCGACAGATACTCGTTTTCGTTAACCACATTTTCGCCCAGGTATGTTTCACGTCCTCCTGTTTTCCTGTTCCTACTAACAACCACAGCGGAAAATTGGTGCAGATTGAATATGCGTTGAACGCAGTCAAACAAGGTGTCACCACCATCGGAATCAAGTCCGCCAGCGGAATTGTTCTTGCCACAGAAAGAAAAGCCAACTCGAATTTGTTGAAAAACGACTGCAACAACAAGGTCGAGATGATCACGCCCGACATTGCCATGACGTATTCGGGAATGGGCCCCGACTTTCGTGTTCTTGTCGACAGAGCTAGAAAGTTGGCCCACACAAACTACAAGCGCATTTACAACGAGTACCCGCCAGTCAAGATCATGGTGCAGGAGCTTGCCATGGTGATGCAAGAGTCGACGCAATCGGGCGGAATCCGGCCGTTTGGCGTGTCTTTGCTTGTGGGTGGATACGACCAGCATTCCGAGAAATTCCAGTTGTACCAGGTGGACCCTTCCGGCAGTTATTTCCCGTGGAAGGCCACGGCGATCGGCAAAACAGCAGTGCTGGCCAAGACGTTTTTGGAGAAGCGCTGGAACGAAGACTTGGAGTTGGAGGATGTGATCCACGTGGCGCTTTTGGCGTTGAAGGAGTCGGTGGATGGCGAGTTGACAGGCGAGAACTTGGACATCTGCGTCATCAGCGACCCGCAGGACCACATGTTGGGTTTTCTGGGCACAGACGTGTCGGGGCCTCGTGTCAAGAAGCTTACGGCGGAGGAGATCAACGACAGACTAGAGGCGTTGTGAGCAGAATGAAAGTTAGAGCGTACTTCAATAAATACTTGGTGTGGAAGGTGTAGACGAAGGAGGGCTGAGGAGATGTTGGGTATTAAGTTGGAGAGATTGGAGTAATTTAGTTGGTACTGGAAATCTATAGTGTGTTCGTAGATGGACACACGATAGTTCTCGTCGGAGATGTAAATATCGCCATTACTCGACAGTCGATCAGGATTGCTTCGATAAGACTGGTAATGTTACATACATCTTTGTTATCGCAGCAAAAGGTCGAAAGACCAGGTTTAGTAGATTGAGAATAACCATTCATAGAAGAGAGTTATGGACGTTAATAAAAGAGTGAAAGGTCGAGACCCATTCAAAGACACCTGAGTCGACGAGAGCTTCGAACTGCCTTATACTTGATTATTTCGCTGTCTAACGTTGAATTCCCCATTTTGGGTCTTCCATATTTGATTTGCCTTCGCCTTTCATTTATAACTTATAGAGGAGGTTTGATTTCGAAAGTCTATTCCAGGTATAGCTATATGATTAAAAACTCGAAGTTGTTTCTGTTACTTAAACTGTCGTTGTATCTCACTGTTCGCTATACACTTGTACGCCTAATGAAGATTGACCAGCGATCCTCACAAGAATTGTCGTTGTATTTCCACTAGAACAATCAAATGGAATTGCCGAATTTAAATGCATAGATACCAGAAAGAGGCTGACTCAGGAAATGACCCTAAACGTATGTGGTCTATCTAGAAACCCATAAAACTGCCTCAATTTTCGGCCCAAATATGCTTCAATCTTCGGCCCATATATCACTTGGAAAGCGCTCGCGAGACATACCACGGCGAGTAAAGCAAAGAAGCCCAATATTGGGATAGAAATGCCGCTGATTGTTTTTCTTCTGTTGTATTTATCGAGATTGTCTGAAAGAATCAAAGTGTCTCCCTCTTTCAATATGTGCTCGATCGTCACCGTCATATTGGCAATTGCTGATGGCGACGAGCCTTTTGCTTGAATTAAAACATTGATTTCTTTGGGGATATCGCCAAAATAGGTCTCGAATGCCCTTTCGCTGGCCTCCTTTACAGATAATTTCTTGTTGAAAACAAAGCGAAGGCGGTCTGAAGACGTTTTATATTTTGATTTATCCCAGATCTTGAACTCGACTTCGACGGGTATCATTGATTGGTCATCGGAATCAAGTTTTTCTGGAGAATTGTCTTTCTCATGGTCCAAAAGACCTTCTTTTGATTCTTGGGACATTTATGACAAAAGAAGATAAGAAGTTGAGCATTCACCCCAGATACTGTCATGCCGGATGTGACACCTTGATGCAGCAACGTCAAACTCCATGCACACCTTGGCTACATCAGAGATCCATCCATGTATATCACTGAAGGCCTCAGACAGACTTGTACTGGACTGAGGATCTTCAAAGCAAATGGGTTGGACATATCAATTAAGCAGTGTTTGGTTAGAATATATCGGGAAGAGGTGATCCTTATAGAGAATTCGTCCTAGAAAATAGGTGATCTTATATTTGGAAAGTTTCCACAAGAAATGACCTTTCAAGAAACAATTTAGGAGACCAGGTATTCCCCAATACTCCTCAGTACTTCTAAATATCAAATAGGTATTGTTGGCATCATTTCTTGATGATGGGATAGAGAATAACTAATGAGCAATATGAAGTACATAGTAGGTGATTGTCAACACCGGATAAATAAGGACGTAGAGATGCAGAGATACTATGAATTGAATGAGTTGTATATTAAAGGATGGATAGAAAAAATTCTAAAAACTCCATTTAGCCATTGTGTAAGTCGCTTTCGTATTTGAGTTCTGGAACTATTAACGTCGCGACTTACACTGATAGAAATAGACTCAGTAATACAGAGGCGTAGAAAAGCCAGTTTCATTAGCCGCATTCTGTATGATTTCTATTGCATGCTCTTTTGATTGTGAAGCATCCAGCTTCGTGTCAACATGTCCAATATTCGACATGTCCTCAGATGGAAGTTTCGGCAAGATTGGTGTACAACTCTTCGATATGAACATAGGCCACGTAACGAATATTTCACCGAGACGTTTTAATTATTGAAAAGTCACACACTTCTTCAGCTTTGGGAGTTTGGTCTCTTTGAACGGGATAGAACATAGATCAATAGAGCGGTTGCCCCGACTATAATACCAACCACGATGGCTAAGTTAATGAGGGATTCAATTACACTTCTTCGTGTGTAACGCTGGCGATCATCGTAAAGAACCAAAACATCGTCATTTTTGAAGAAATGGACGATTTTAGCATCTTTATCGACAATTGATGATAACTTAGAATCTCTTCTTTTCATAAATATGTCAATTTCGTCAGGGACACAGCCAGAAGTCTTTTGGAAAGCTTGTTCCGCCGCCTCTTGTATCGATAGATTCCCACTCAAAGCAAGACGGGCATGAACTGGAAACGAGCCGAATTTTTTTCGATCATATACCCGGAATTCAACTTCAAGAGACACTATAGGCCCATCTTCAGAATAAGGAGGACATTTGGGGGCGTTTTGGAGATCCTCGAGATCCAAAAGCCCTTCCTGGGATTCTCTGTGGGACATGGAAGAAAGAAAAAGATATGGAGAACCCTCAGTTTCTCGGATACAGTCTTATCTGATTTTCCACTTTGGAGCAATGATACCAAATAATCATTGGAACAATAAAGTATGATGGATCTTGAAAAAGAATTTGCTGGGAGGCTATTTATCATCATACTACTACATATATGGTAACAATTTCTACAATAGACATCGAATAATTTCCGGTTGCAAGCTAATGCCAAAAGATTAAAGGTTTGATGAAAGTTCATAGAAGACCTAAAGTTTATCGTTCATGCTCTGAATTTAAGAAGACGTAGCAAGAATGTAGATACTATAGAAAAATTTAGGTGTTAGAGAAGAGCTTCCTTCGAATCCAAACGCCTCATTATGGTAACTGAGCAATGCTGTGTTTCCTTATTTCGAGTAAACGGATGGTTTTGGATAATTTGGTCAATCAACATGAAATGAAAGCGAATTTTTGACTCGAAAAGACCAGCTTAGAGTCCACGTTGCCTTTTAGTCCACGTTGCCTTACTACAGGTTAAAGTGGCCCTTCAAGATAAAAACCAGATAAAGAAAGATGCATAACCCCACTATCAGAGCAATTGATGTGGCCATCCAAATAAGGGCACAGATGCGTATCCTCATTCTGTGTCCCTTTAAACTATCTAGAAGTACCAAAATATCATCTTCTTTGACAATATCCTTAACCTTCCCATCCACATTGGCAATGGCCGAAAACGCACTGGAATCTTTTCTTCTAATGAACACTCCAAAGTCTGTTGGAAGACAGCCAAAAGTATCTAGGAATGCTTTTTTACTGGCTTCTGCCACGGATGTATTCTCGTCGAGAACAAGACGAACAAATTTTGAAGAGGGGATGAATCTCCATATCTTGAATTCCACTTCAAGCGGTATCATAGGTCCATTAGAGAACAGAGGATATTTTGGGGCATCTTGGATATTTTCGAGTTCCAAAAGCCCTTCTTCGGACTCTCTTGGTGACATTAAAGAGAAGTCAAAGATAAGAAACCTCAGTATTTAACCCCAGATACAGTCTACACTAAAATACCAAAAAGTAATACACCCCAAGAAGAGAAGGATATTTTTCCAGACAAATATCAGGAGTACTATAACTTAATATATAATTACGTGAGTGCTCGGAAATAAAAAAAGCCATCACATATCTCAATTAGTACAGTCTGTCCCAATAACCACATCGTAGAAAGATTCATTATATGTATTCATACTTTTAGACTCCACTTCTGAGAAATCAAAGTTGCTCCTCAAAAACTTATACCGTCTTTGGAGTCATATTACTATTGTAATTGAAATCGCTGCACAGGCATCGTAAATTCAATAAATCCAGTCTATTGGTCATATACTAGCCTGAAATCAGAGGACCCACAATTCTCTTTCAAGTTCCTAATCGTCATCACACTCGAACAAGGTTGGTAAGAACATAGATAGTCTTAAACAATTGCGATTTAGATAGGGAACGACGAGCTTCCTCAGATCCAAATACCTCACTTCATGGTTTATGGTGCGTTGATTCCTTAGAGTTTGGATGCTTTCTTTCAGTATAAGTTGAAAGTGGAGACATTGTTGACTGGACAAGACCTGCTTATATTTCCCTGATATTGTCTCTTAGTCCTTAGTGACTGTCTTCCGACTCATTGGAGTGGCCTTGGTCAATCTGAGATAAAGATGTGATAAGGATAGTGGACAGTGCCACTGCAACAGCCAATGTGGCAGCCAAGTTAATGAGAGCAAAGATGATCATCCTTGTCATGTACCCCCTAAAACTATCTAGAAGAACCAAAATATCATCTTCCTTGACGAGGTGCTTGATCTGTACATTCATATCCACAATCGTCGACAACACATCGGAATCTTTTCTTCTAATGAGCACACGGCGGTCTTTTGGAAGAGAGTGGAGGGTCTCTAGGAAAGCCTTTTCACTGGCCTCCTCCACAGTCGTATTTTCGTTGAGGACAAGACGAACAAGTTTTGAAGACGAGCCGAGTCTTTTCCACATCTGGAATTCCACTTCAAGGCTCATCATGGGATCATTAGGATATAGAGGATATTCTGGGGTATTTTGAAGGTTTTCGAGTTCTAAAAGTCCTTCCTGGGACTCTCTTGACGCCATGAAAAAGAATGTTAGATAAAAAACCTCAGCATAAACTCAGATACAGTCTACGATAAAACATAGGAAGGAACACACCCAATTAAATTAACAATAACATAAAAACATAGAGTAGAACATTCTAAGAAAATATATTGACTAAACATACTACCATAATAATGTAAATCGTTGAAAACAAAAGAGCCATCGCACAAGTAAGTCAGAACTGTCTTCGCCCTAGCAAATCGCCTATAGAATCCAAACATTCACATCCAAGTTGAACTAAAGTGGAAACAACCTTCTGTGTGGTGAATCTTATATTTCTTGGACCTCAGTACCGTAAGTTTCTCAAAAATTTGCTTCCCAAGTTACTCAAGTTTGCTTCTCCGCGTTTGAAATCCCTTCTGGCAATTCGTTCTTGGTGGCGTTTTCAATGACCTGTTCTTAGCCTCGATATGATGAAAAGAATTTATCTAAGATCCATGATCTTCGCATCTGTTGTACTGTTCTCTGTAAAATATATTGGCAAGCAAACCAAAGACCTAAGTGGACCTGCCACTAAATTTCCACAAGCTTCATAATAATCATAGGTTGAGTAACATCTCTGAAAACATCCAATGAGTAAGGTGCTGCTCAATCTGTGACAGTTGCAATGATGGCAATGAGACCGAAGAACCCAAATATGATGGCAAAGAACACAGAAAAAGCAATACAGCATTCTCTGTTCTGTTTTTTTCTGTAGCCCTCGCAGTTATCAGAAAGTACTAAGATATCATCCTCTTTAAAGAGGTGCTTGAGTTTAACTTCCTTATCGAGAATTGCCCGCAGCAGGTGGGTTTCTTTTTTTTCAATGGACAGATAGATTTCTGCCGGGGCAAAGTTAAAAGCCTTTTGAAAGGCCCTTTCAGCAGCTTCTTCCACAGTTGAATTCTCGTTGAAGGCAAAACAGGCAATTGTTGGAGCCGAGCTGAATTTTTCTTCATCATAGATCTGGAATGTTACATCGATAGACATCATAGGTTCATCTTCGGAGTAAGGAGGACATTTTGGGCCTTTTTGGAGATCCTCAAGTTCCAATAGCCCTTCTTGGGATTCTCTGTGGGACATGGAAAAGGAAGTGAGAGACAAGAAGAACCCTCAACTTTACTCAGATACAGTCTGATTTCCACTGTGGAGAATATTGTAGCGGATTAATTATTTAAACAGAAGAGCATAGGTCCTGAAAAACATAATACCGGGAGATTATTTGAGAAGGACACTCAATAGTATTAACGACATCATAAAAAGATAGAGTAAAACATTTCAAGAATACATATTGGCTAATCGTAGTATTATTATGTGAACGAACACAACTATCGCACAGTTCGAATTGTTTTCTCTATAGCAAATCGCAGTAGTAGAATCCAAGCATTCACATCCTAATTGAAAACAAACCGGTGAATTTTATGCTTCTAGACCTTCAATACCGTAAAGCTTCTCAACAATTTACCTCTCAAGGATTGGCTACTGAAGTTCGCTTTTCCAGTAATCAAAATGCTCTTTCAACATTGGTCTCTTGTTGAAGATTTCAATACCATGTTGTTGGCTTCGATGAAGTCTGAGATGAAAGAGTTTAATTAAGATCCATGATCATTCATGGATCTTTCGACAGCATCTGTCGTATTGTTCTCTGTAGATTAGTGGTGAACAAACCAAAGCCCTAAGTGGACCTGTCAGTAAATGTTCCACAAGACTTCATAATAATCATAGTTTGAGTAACCGGATCTGACAGAACATCCAATAAGTGAGGCGCCGCTCGTCTTATGACACGACCAGACGGTAAAACCCATATATGATGACACCCAAGAATACAAACATGACACCGACACAAATAAAGGCTTTTCTCTCCTCATTTTTCATGAAGCCGTTGAAATTATCAGAAAGGACCAAGATGTCATCCTCTTTAAAGAGGTGCTTGATTTTAATTTCCTTATCGGCAATCACCGTTCTTTGAAGAGCGGGTCCGTCTTTTTTTCCAATGGACAGATCGATTTTTGCCGGAACACAGCCAAAAGCCTTTTGGAATGCCTTTTCAGCAACTTCTTCCACAGTTGAATTCTCGTTGAAGGCAAAACGGGTAGATGTTGGAGCCGAGCTGTACTTTTCTTCGTCACAGATCTCGAATGTTACTTCGATGGGCATCAAAGGTTCCTCTTCGGAGTAAGGAGGACATTTTGGGCCGTTTTGGAAATCCTCAAGTTCCAATAGCCCTTCTTGGGATTCTCTGTGGGACATGGTAAAGAAGATGAAGATAAGGGGGGCATCATAATCTCTCAGAAAAATCACGCACATACACAGTGACGGAAAATAAATAAACTAAAGGATAACAACAACTAAGAGAAATTAGGAGAAACAGTCTCCACGACGAATTTACTAATATTAATCCAAGATTATAAAATAGTTTATAGTATAGCCTTTGTGAGAAAGCTAGATCCACCACACAAAAGAGTAAGCAGGTCCACCCAATAATTAAAAATGCTTTGGGTTCCTAGCTGCTACTAGTTGAACAGGGAAATACAGTATGGATGTTTGTATAGGCTCCAGGCTCCATACGGGCTTATCAAAACGTTGACAGGTCATTTCTGAAGGGTCATAGTCTTTGATTTATGGGTTGAATAAGTTCGTCTGTCTGATCAGATGAAAGGGTCACTGGCAGCTTCGTAGTTTGACTTCCATCCTAACCATCACGATACTTCTGAAACTTTAATTGGTAAGCATATCTTCGAAGGGTCTGAAGATGACACTATCTGATCCACAGGCTCAGAATTGAAAAGTATTCATCAAATCAATAAGTTGGCATCAACAGAATCAACTGTTGACATCGATAAGCTGACATCAATAAGCTGACATCAATAAGCTCACATCAATAAGTTGGCAAATCAAGTGGCAATCAAGTGGCAATCAAGTGGCAATCAGGCGGCAATCAGGCGGCCTTGCTCGATTTGTGTTTACCGAATTTTATGGACAAAACGGGTATACTCATTCCACCAATGAAAATGAGGACAGCCATGATAGAGTAGTAGAATGTCTGCCTTCTGTTGTAGGCCTTAAGATTGTCAGAAAGAACAACGGTCTCAATCTCTTGCAAAAGGGTTTTAATTTTCACACTCTTGTCGACAATCAATGGCCCAGATTTTTTCCCTTGAACAGAAATATTCAAATCCTTGGGAACACTGCCAAAAGTCTCCTTAAACGCCCTTTCACCAGCTTCTTCCACAGATAGATTCTCAGTGAAGACAAAGCGAACACGATCTGAAGATGTTTTGAACTTTGATTTATCCCATATCAGGAACTTCACCTGAAAGGGCATCATAGGTTCATCATCTGAATAGCTTGGAGACATGTTGTTCTCAAATTCAAGAGACCTTTTTTGGATTCCCTCTGACATGAAAAGAGTATATCAGATAAGTAATTGAGCATTTCCCCCATACAGTGACATGCGAATGAAGACATTAGAGTAACCACTGACATGAAACGAATTGGCCCAAGTTTTGGTGGATGTTAAAGGATAAATGCTAACTCAGTCATTGTGTATGTCGATTTCGTATTGAACGCTGAAATCGTATTTGAATGCTGAATTTATCAAGTTGACTACTAATGGTTGTAGTTAAAATCATAAAGCCTGCTTCTATTGAATATACACAAATTTATTGCTTGACATGCTCATTTAATCGTGGAGTATCTAGCTCCGTGTCAATATGTCCAATGATAGAAATCTGGGTAGATAGACTTGCCAAAAACACCGCTGAAACAATATGTTACCAATGCCTTGGTCACCAATAACCACGTCTATACTTCAGGAGAAAATATACCATAACAGCCACTACCAATATAGCAGCAGCGATGATAGAGAAAGCAACAGTGTCGGAAACATTTTCACTTGTGCTGAAATGCTCAGAATCATCTGAAAAATGAAAATATCATCCTCTTTGAACAAGTGGACGATTTTAACATCTTTATCGACGATTTTTGAGACCCTAGAATCTCGTCCTTTCACTGACATATCAATCTTATCGGGAACACGACCAGAAGTCTTTTCGAAAGCCTGTACTGCTGCCTCTTGCACCGACAAATTCCCACTTAAGGCAACTCGAACCTGAGATGGAATCGTGCCATATTTGTCCGTATCATATATCCTAAATTCCACTTCAAGGGGCATTATAGGATCATCGAAATAAGGAAGGCACTTTGGGTCATTTTGAAGATCCTTGCTTTCCAAAAGATTTTCTTGGGATGCTCTCAGTGACATGAGAAAGAAGAGGAAGATAAGAAATTGAGCATATGTGGATACAGTCTACGATGTTCCGTAAGCACCAAATGAAGCAGCAGAGATATTGGAATCCATAGGAAAGATCGAGTAATGCAATTTCCAGGAGAGTGCATTAATAAAAATATTATATGAGCTAACATACAATGTCGTGGAAAACCAAGAGAGCCAGTAGACAAATCAGAGGCCAGTACAATATGGAAATCGACTCGTAGTAGATCCAAAATTTCACGAGAGTCAAATGGAAGGAAGCTCCTTTGTAGACGAAGTATCTTCTTAGTCTTCAATTCTGTGAAGGTTCTCAGCCTTGCTTTTCATGAGTTGAAACATTTTCTTACTACAATCCTCGGTTGTGACTTCGATACCTCTTGTTGGCCTCGATAAAAATATGGATATATTTCATAATCACTAAAAGGCCCCCTTTAGATTGGTTCATTCAAACACGGTTGTTTGAAAATATTTTGGCTATTCATCGAACTGGCCAAAATTGTATTATGGACTTCACGGAGTCATAAAGTCATTGTTATTAGTAATTTAGTGGCAGCGAATGTTCTTCCACCTTCATATGAATCATGCTTTGAGTATCCAGCTTCGACAGCACATCCAACGTCGAAGAAAAGCGGTATTTGTCAATCTACTGCAGCTAAAATTATGAAAACGAGACCGATTAGCAATGCAACAAGAGACACCATAAGAGACATTATAAGCAAAGTATTACAGTTATTTCTTCTCTGGTAGGCCTTGAGATTATCTGAAACCGCCAACGTCTCATTCTTCTTGAAAAGGTGCTTGATCTTCAGATTCGCATTGGCAATTGCCGATGGCAGCGAACTTCTTGATTCGATGGATGCATGTATTTCTTTGGGAATACTTCCGAAAGTGTCCTTGAAAGCTTTTTCGCCGGCCTCCTCTACAGATAAATTTTCGTTGAAGAAAAAGAGTATGCGGTCTGAAGATGTTTTGAACTTTGAAGTATCCCCTATCTTGAATCTCACTTCAAGGGGCATCAAAGATTCATCTTCGGAGTAAGGAGGACATTTTGGGGCGTTTTGGAAATCCTCAAGTTCCAATAGCCCTTCTTGGGATTCTCTGTGGGACATAGAAAGGATTAGATAAGTCTCAGAATTTTGGCCAAGATACAGTCTCCACTAATTTCTGCAAAGGAACAAATTGGAACAGGGATTACACTATTGATGATGAAAAAAGGTTATTTGAGCTAAATTGAACTTGTAATTTGATGTAAATAAACGAGTTGCTTTGCATGTTGGAGTCTTCGTGATTATGTATTGAATGAACCTGGTTTATTTCTTATCTTATCCTTTCATTTTGATCGTTCATAGTACAAATCAGCTTTCTTTACGATTCTCTATTGATGAGCTGCATTGATGTCTTGATGCACAGTTTGTCGAATATTCAAATCTAGCCAGTGTATGAAGATTTTTTGCATTCCATTATTTCTTCCCATTACTATAGCAGCAATAGTAATGCATTTTGCATTACATCATGGATCAAATGTAGGAAAGCTAAGTAATCATAGAATACCAATGCATAGTTACTTCATATTTAAAGATCGAATTATTGTATTTGTATCTCAATTTAATGGTATTCTTCTCACCTTTGGAACGTCTTGATCTATACCAATTCGAGTTTGGATATACAGAAAACACATATTTCACCGAAGACAATGCGGAAACTAAACAAAACAGAGTATCTTCCCGGAAGCTGAAGAATCAATCTCTGAGCTTTTCAACGCTGCTCTCAGCCAATTGGAAGTGAAGCACAATCTTCTGTAATTAAAGTATCTGAAATCGTAAAAATCTGAGCTCTCTTTGATTGATTCTATGAAATCAAGCACCTCAGACAGTCAGAACCAATATAGGAAAAATTGGAAAATTTTTCAAAGTGTTTGATTTTCTGAAAAGTTATGCTTCTCTGTGCGTTATCGACTGCGAAATGATAACCAGGCCAAACAACATAAATATAAAGAACATCAACAACACACATCTAAACATCAAAACAAAAAGACAAAAAACAAAAGAAAATAAATAACATAAGCAAAATAAACATAGCCACCAACCTAAACCAACACAAATCACTTTCCAGCAAATACCATAATGCAATGGCAGAAGCCGCGTCACGTGCGCCGATGCCCCCAGAAAAAAGCGAGATGAGCATCTTTCTTTCCACCAACATGGCCAAACACAAAGGAGGAAAAAGGAGATCGCAAAACAAGGTTTTGGATGCGTTCCAGCTTGCGGAAAAGGCCGCTGGCCGGGGAAAAGCCAATGTTTCCGACAACGAAGACTCCGATTTGCGCATCGCCGATGGCGTGATGGATGCCCGCAAATTTTTGAAAGACCAGGACTATCTGGACTTGGAGGACGAAGAGTTGGACTCGGACGAGGCTTTAGGGTCAGAAGACGAGTACGACGTGCTCAACTCGAAGTTTTCGCAGACGATCCGTGATGGCAACGAAGACGACGAAGGCTATTCTAGTATAGACGAGCTGGAGTTGGTGACGTTATCGCAGGCGTGGGACATGGACGACGCCGACAGCAGAAGCACGGGAAAGAAAAACGACATTGTGTTGGACGAGGCCGAGAGTGGGAGCGAAGAGGAAAGCGAAGAAGAAAGCGAAAGTGAAGAAAGTGAGAGTGAAGAGAGCGAAGAGGAAAGCGACAGTGACAGCGACATTTTCGGCCAAGACGACGAGGAAGTCGACCTTACTGCCGTTTCTGCGGCCGTGCGGGCGAAAATGCCCCGCCAGTCCCACCACAAGAAACTTGTCTCCGAAACAACGGCCGAAAACGAGTTCAGTGTGCCTACACGAGGTGCCAAGCTCTCTCTTGCCGAGATGATGGGCGTGGCCGAAGCAGAGGCTCCGCTAGTTAGTGAGGCGCCAGCACTTGCGGTTCCGCTTCCCAAACGGATCCAGCAGCGCCACGATAGAAAAGCTGCGTACGAAATCACGAAAAAAGAGGTTTCTCGTTGGCAGGCCACTGTGAAGGCACTTGGCGAAGCAGACCATTTGGAATTCCCGTTGGCGCCTGTGGGCCCTGGAGACGAGGAGGAGGAAATGGATGCCGAGGATCAAGTGGAGGCCCTTCGGTTTGTCTCTGAGACCAAGGAAAAATCTGCGCTCGAAGAGAAAGTGAACAGCGTTCTTGCTGCGGGTGCCTTGTTGGACGAGTCAAAGGAGGCCACGTTCGAACAAATTGCTGCGGCCAAGCTCTCAAAAGAAGACATGTTCAAGCGCACACAAGAGCTCCGGCGCATGAGAGAGCTCATGTTCCGAGACGAGCAGAGAGCCCGGCGGATCAAGAAGATCAAGTCGAAGCAGTTCCGCAAGATCCGCAAGCGCGAGAGATTGCGGGACGCCGAGTTGATGGACGAGGCAGGCTTGGACGAGTCTGGCTCCGACGCCGAAGACCACGACATGAAACGGGCCGAAGAAAGAATGTCGCTTCGTCACAAGACCCAGTCGAAGTGGGCCAAGAGCATGATCCGCGCAGGCATCACCAAAGACGCTTCGACCCGTGCCGAACTCGAGGAAATGCTTCGGACTGGAGAAAAGTTGCGGACCAAGCAGTTGGGCTACGAGAACGGCGACCAGAGCGACTCTGGCGTGTCAGATATCGAAAAGGAGTACGAGCAAGACGAAGACGATCTGGAGGAGCGCACAAAGTTGGGCAAGGGAGTGTTGGCCATGGATTTCATGAAGGCGGCCGAAGAAAGGAAACGCAAGGAGAACATGCGGGAAATACAGCTGTTGCGGGATACCGACGGCTTTTCTGTCGAAGAAAAGACCTCGATCAACGTGCTCAAGAATGCGGGTCGCCGTGTTTATTCGCCTAGTGTTGCAGCCGAAAAGGAAGAGATGGAAGAGGTGGAAGAAGACGTTTTGGCCGATCTTCGTGACGACGAGGAAAGAAACTTGACGAACCAAATGAAAAAGGGAAAGAAGGAAAAAGAGAACGAGGACGAGGACGAGGACGAGCAGACTTCCAGACTTGAGACAGAGGAGTTCACTGGCTTTGACGATTCCGATTCGGAAACAGAGGTTCATGTTGGATCTCAGTCTCAGTCTTTATCTGGAAAGTCTGGAAATTCTGGAAAGTCTGCCAATTCCCGGGCATATAAATCCGACTCTCTCTCTCGCAAGAGATCCCACTCCGATGACGAGGAGAACCCATGGTTGGCCGAAACGGAAACCACTGCCAAATCGAACAAATTCCACACCATCACAGACGAATCGTCCCGAATGGCCAAAGCAGGCAACAAAATCGCCAAGCACGCCAAAAAAGGAAAGAAGTCCGCCGACACTTTTATCGATACCGACGCCGTGCTAGAAATGTCGGGCGATGTGCATGACGACGACAATGCCATGTTCCGCCAGCAGAACTTGATTGAAGAAGCGTTTGCCGGCGACGACGTGATGGCCGAGTTCGAAGAAGAAAAACAGGCGGTGATCGAAAATGAAGGCGACAAGATCCAGGACTTGACGTTGCCCGGATGGGGCGATTGGGCCGGAAGCGAAAAGCCTCGGGCTCCAAAGAAGAAGATCGTGCGGAAGATCGACGGCGTGGTCCAAAAGGACAAGAGAAGGGACAAGGACTTGAAGAACGTCATCATAAACGAGTCGGTCAACAAGAAAAACTTGCGTTACCAGTCTGCTAGCGTGCCATATCCATACAAGCTGAAGGAAGAGTACGAGAGAGCATTGCGGATGCCTTTGGGCGAAGAATGGACATCCAGAGCGACACATCAAAGATCGACGCTTCCACGTGTCATTGTGAAGCAGGGTGTGGTTGTGGACCCATTGAAGATGCCGTTCAAGTAGCATAGCCATAGCATATATCGTATAGATCAGGAGAAGTATTTTCAGAGAACTTATTGTGAAGAGAAGTAGTGTAAGATCAGAGAACTTATTGTAAAGAGAACTTATTTAAAGAGAAATTATTGTAAAGGTCAGAGAACAGATCAGAGACTTATTGTAAAGATAAGAGAATTTGTTTTAATGATCAGAGAGCCTATTTTAAAGATCAAAGAACTATCGTACAGACTATGGAGAACTGGGAAGTTGAAGCTACTGTGTAATACTGACACAAGTTTGAGCTAATGATAAGGTTCTGAAGACTTGACATATGGTACTTGAAACTCAGCTGACAGTGAATGTTCACAAACTGTCAATGGCTACTTCGGATTACAATAGAAGAAAATGGACGGCAGCCACGGAAAATAGCATACAGAAAGAAACAGATTCGACTCGGTCTGATAATTTAATGAATTCAACAATAGCGGAATACTCAAAGGACGGTACAACATGTTCCTTCAGATTAAGTATTAGTAACATGGTAACAAACTAATTTCAGCAGTTTGTCCTCAAGCACATCTTTGATGCTACAATCTGTCTGGACATAGTGGAATCTATTTAACATACTTGGATATCCATGATAAACGGTCTCAAAAATCACTCAAGCAAAAGACCGTTACGTACCATCCAGGCCTTTCCACTCAAGAAAACACCGTGTGGGTCCATTTCACGACGAACCTCGTTGAACTTGACCAAGTTTTCGCCAAACCACTTTTTCATAACAGGGTCGAAACCAAGCATGGAGTAGGAAGTCTTTCCGCCGTACTGCAACTGGCCCTGCAAGTCCAAATCGTTTTCGTGCTCGCCGTGCAAACCAATAAAGTTCTTTGCCCAGTGGGGTTTTCCGTCGGCACGAGACATGACATGCTCAAAGGTCTCAAACCAGCGGTGGGTCTCCAGGTTGAAGCCAAACGGACGGTACATGGTGGCGTTGATGAAGACAGACAACTGTTCGTTGGAGACCTTGTCCAAGTCGGGCTCGAACTTGCGGAGAGGCGAGTTGTCCAAGTATGGTCTCAAGCTGTTGCCCGGAATAGGGCCCGCACTCAAACGGGACCGGCTCTTCAACCATTCCTGCGAAGGATACAACGACGGCTTGCCCTCGGCGTCCTCGTAAGGCTTTTCCGAGTACGTGACGTTGGAACAGCGCACTTCGATCGGAGCGTGGACGAAAAAGTCGCCCTTTTCTGCCGCCTGGCGGATCTTCTCGTCCAACACCGTCAAGATCTCCACGCCGTTGTCGAGCGGCGCCGACCACTCGTTGACAAACTGCGAGAACAAACAGTCCATGTTGAGTCCTTCCACGGAATTCTGCACGGCCACATCGCCACTGCCCAAGGTCTCAACATTGCCGTACTGCTGGCGGAACACAAACCGCTCGACCCACGGCGTGATGCGGGGCGCAATGTTCACCAGCACCCACAAGAGCGCCTCGTAGAAGAAACGGCCCAAAGGAGTGCCGTACCAAGATTGCCGGGGCTCGGACAAACTGTCGTCGCTTTTCGCTGCCCGCCAGCACACACAGCTGCCCGAGTAGGGGAACCACCACACGCGGATGAACTCGGAGTCGAGCCAGATGCGGTCCCACTCGCGCAACAACGTCGAGAACCGGATGATCTCCTGCTTGGACTTGATGGTGTACTGGGGAACGGCACGGAGGGTCACCTGGGTGATGATGCCGACCTTTCCCAACGACAACAACGCGGCCTTGAAGAGCTGCGGCTTTTCCACCGACGAACACGTAATCAATTGGCCTTCGGAGTTGGCCACGACTAAAGAAACAACCTGCTGCGACACAAGACCATGGTATGGCGACAGGCCGTGTGTGCCGGTCGAGATGAGCCCGGCAATCGACTGGTCGCTGATGGAGCCCAAGTTCTGGATCGCCAACTTGTGTTTCTTCAAGTACTCGTTCAACTGGAAAATGCGGATTCCCGCCTCAACTGTCAAGTCGACAAACTTGACTTCGGGGCCGCTTTCGCCGGGGCCGAAAAACTCTTTTTCCTCCAAAACACGGTCGAACTTGTCCAAGTTGCACAACCACTCGGACGTCATGGTCAAGTCCGAGGGCGAATGGCCCGATCCCACGGTCATGATGGTTTTCTTGTGAAGCGCCGCCTGGCGAATCAACTCTTGGATTTCCTCCACGGTGGAAGGCTGGAAAATCGCCTGTGGCTTGCATTGGAAGGTGCCGGCCCAAGTACGATGCACCACTTTGGTGCTGAGAAACAGAGCCACCGATTCGGGAACTGACATGGTGGAGGCGATACCATGAGACAAAGACGTTGTGCGCATTTATTAGAGCCGGTCCCGTTAGGAGGGGTGGAGGCCGGGCACGGAGAATGACGAAATCGGAGAAAGACAACGACTCGATTTAAATCTGCCGTTTCTTCGACTGGCTGTCTCTATTTATACTCGACAAGGATTTGTCCCCTCCTCTTTACTGACTAGCTGGTGGGTATGCAGTATGATTGCCTTGCACTTGGTTGCTGGGCTTTCGCATGTCCAAAGATATGCAAAGTGCATTTGAACATGCATGCGGAGCCAACGTCCATCTTAGCGACCTTGCATTTACGCCTTCGGCGATAACACGGCGCATCTGATTGTAGTTGCTTTGGTTCATCGATACTGAGTTTTATCGATACTGAGTTTTATCAAAGTACTGGGTTTTATCAAGTACTGGCTTTTATCAAAGTACTGGTCTTATCTTTGGTGGATACCTCTCTTAACGGAATTGGCGCCACAGTTAGCGGTAAGTCACAGATCAAGTAGGACGGTAATTCTGAAGCATGTAACGCCATTGAGTCGTAAATTTCTTCGAGAATAGTCATTATGTCTCTGGTTCCCAGTCCTTGCGTACTTCCTCAATGGTCCCATAGTAGATGAAAGGTCAACATGCGAGTCTTCAGAAGAATCGTATATATTATAGCTGATGGCTGGTGTGATGAATACTTGAACGTACAGGGGGAAGCACTTTCATAGAGGGAACTTGCTTGCGATGTCCTAGATGCAACTCATGGCGAAGCGTATCATAGAATCTAGTTGAGGTAACATTCATGAAACGGTAACAATTCATGAATCCCTGCAAAGACATTAAATACTGAGCTGGTAATAATTACGACTGCGTGTTCTCGTGGCTAAGACTTCAATCAGGACCAGAAAGACAACAGATTGGCAAAGTACTACATTTAGATGTGGCAGCCCTCCAAATCGAAGTTTTCAATTACCTTCGAATGTGAAGCCTAACTATCACCGCCTGGCATTGTTGAGTACTGATTTCAAATTCTTCTTCATAGATAGACTTTTTATGTATTGGTTGTACTTTCGATTGCTTCATCAAAGCGATTTTTTAGACCCCAGTTACGATGATCAAGGTTAATCAAGATGATTCTGAAAGCAACTGCAAGTACCAATGACCAAAAACGAAAAAGTCAAATAACTGACTCAAAGAATCAAATTGCCTTTTTTCTTTCGTTTCCCTTTTTTCTTTCGTTTCCTTTTCTCTTTCGTTTCCTTTTTCTTTCGTTTCCTTTCTGCCTTATGCTTCTGCCCCAGACTGGTGTGTGCACGACGCGATATCTCACTACGCTATCATCCAAACTTTACTCTTCTGTTCCAATTCCTTGCTTTTCCTCAATTTTCACGCTTTTCTCTTTTCTCCATGTCCCGCCGTTCCCGCAAATCGGACGACGATTCAAAACCTTCGGATGAAAGCGCCGATATAGACGACCAAGAAGAAGTTACCCGTTGTGTCTGCGGAAATGACGAGTTGGCGGCTATAGACAGCAGCGTGTCGTCTTTGCTTCAACAAGAATACCACATTAAAGTGGACACGGGGCTTTTCATTCAATGCGATCTGTGTCTGGTTTGGCAGCACGGTTACTGTGTTGGGCTATTTACAAGTGAAGATGTTCCGGACAAGTACTGGTGTGAAGAGTGCAAGCCCGATCTCCACAGAGAAGTGGCAGCAGCGGATGGCAAAAGAACTCTTTACCGCCCGGTGAACGACAGCCGAAAAAAGCTAATTGCAGCCAGTACAGTGGAGCTGCCGGCGCCAGAACGGGCCGATTCGGCCAGCGCCCCAGAACGGCCTGTGCGTCTGCGCAGCCGCCGCAGCCCGCCAGAAGCGTCGCCAGAGGCTGCGGGGAGCGACACAAATACACGCCAGGCACGCAAGGAGCGCCGCCACGATGACCATGACGAGCAGCTCCAGCAGGCGCTCCGCGAAAGCCGCAGCTCTGACCGAGCCGCCGACCAGGGCGCCAACCTGGCGGCTGCTGAGTCGGAAGAAGCGGACGAGGGTCGACCCGGGCGGAAAAGACCGCGTCCGCGGCCCAAGCTGCGGCCCAAGGACGATAAAACCAGCGAAGCTTCAAAGGACGAGCTTTTGAGCCAGCAGTCCCGACCGCGGTTTGTCAATGCCCAAAGCACAATCTACGAGTTGCGGAAGCGTACAGGCGCCATTCTCGAGTGGCTCGGGCGCACGCAGATGGAATTGGAGGAAGAACGCAGCGCTCCGCTGTTTGATGAGAATTTGCGGTTGATGGAGCGCTTGACAGAGAAGATTCTTGCGTGGGAGCAGCGCTTCGGGAAGTATGCCCCATAGTGGCGTGCCCCATAATAGTAGCTAACGCTAGTTTTATTTGGATGTCCTGTTAATTGGAAAACTGTGAAAGCACAGTTGGGACGTTGGTTCTTTACTCATTCTATTTCCTACCTGGAAATGATAGGACTCTACGACCGTTACTACTCGTACTATCGTGCCTTTGGCTATGGACGTGACCTAAAAAGCGGCCAAAGACTCAGCGAGTGATTGTCGGCACATTGCATTACTGCCATGACATCTCTTTAGATGCATTTCTCGGTGCTTTTTCACTCTACCATCTCGCACATGCGCTCAAGCCACAGCGAACTGTCCAAGAGGCTGTCTCCACCAATCACGTAGCTGATTCCCGATCTCATGCGTGACATTTCGTGGATCAAACGTGCCTCTTCATATGTTGCTCCACCTTTGAAGTAGACGACAACATGTTGCGGTGCCACGCCTGCTGCACCGCCATACTGCTTGTTGACGGTGTCTGGCACCAACAAAGACAACGACGACGGCGTTTTGATGTGGCCCGTAACATGACCCAACGTTTCGTGTAACGGAGGGATGTATTGCATAAAGATGTTGTCGGTTTTGGGCATTGAGGCCGAACGCGGTCTATTTGTCGGGTTGAAAAGCAGCTGGATCTTGATTTTGTTCTGCGTGAAAAGCTTGGCAATGTTGTTGTTATTGTTGTTTGTGGTGTTGTCGTTGGTGTGTTCGTCGCGGAGATTCTTTGCTCCAGCACCGAATACGCGGTTGAAGTTGGCCACAAGCGAGAAATACCTCGCTGGAGGAGGCGGGTTTGTGAGTGTTGGATCACGCAAAAGTGACACGAGCGGCTCCATGTCGCCAGTAGGGAACTTTGCCGTATAGAGTAAAAGCAACTTGACTTTGTTTTCGGCGGAAACGGCCACGTCACGTAGAACTTGTAGCAATTTCGAGCGGATGGCGTTGTGGTTGTCCAAACCACACACGATAGTCTGCTGTAGCTCGCCCACAGCCCACAAGCTTTGCGCCGAGATCTGCTTGTCGATCTCGCTGATAATATTCAAGTGCTTGAGAATGTTGGCCGACAACTTTTTGAACTCGGGGAACCGGGTCAAGAGTTTTTTCAACTCGGCAAGGTCTTGCGTCTGGAGACTGGTGGCCAGCTGCTTGGTCTGCCGCTTGTACGAGTCCACATACTGCTGGAACTTGTCTGTCAAGTCGCCGTAGTTCAAGTACATGGCGTCGCGGAAGAAATCGTCCTTTTCCGAGAGCGTGAGCTGTTCGCCCGATTCCGGGAGCGTCACAACGTTCTTCTCGATGCCAATGAGCTCGTGGATCATCGACTGGTAGGTCCACGGCGTGACCAACGGAGTGATGGGATCGCTTTTGCGGTCCAAAATCACCAACACAGGCGCGCTGTCGCAGGTGCGGTTCAAGTCGTCGAAAAGGTTGTTGTTGGAGTTCGAGTTGATGTGGTAGAGCATCTCAGAGGCAAGCCGCTTGGCCACCAACAGCTGGGGCTCGTACCGGATGGCCGGGCACTTTTTCACCAGCAAAAGAAGGCTCAGAAGACTGGCCGCCTCGTGCACGGTACTGTTGGCGCCAGCCTCGACCGCCACCTGGAACAAGTTGTCGTTGACCACCGAATAGTCCAGGAAAACCTCCACCACCAGCCGCACGACCTCGTTTTCGTCAGCACGGGCCAATTTCTCAATGTCGTTCTTGCTGGCGCTGTTGCTGAAGAAAACCAGGTACTGGCTGTAGTGGGGCAGGCGCAACTCGGCGCTGAGCATGGCAAGCAGCTCTTTTTCGGGCTTGATGTACACCACACAGTTGAGGTGGCGCATGGGGCTGAGCAGGTGCTGTTTGTCGAGCATCTCGACCAAAATCACCTCCTGCTGGAGGAGCTGCGACTGGGTGTAGCACATGGAGATGATGGGCATGGTGAAGCGGTCCACAAGGAGCACCTGGGCCTTGGCGGCAGAAAGCGTTTTGTTTTGGGCGAAAAGCCGCTCGAAGTAGACGCCAGTGACGTGGGTGAGGCTGAGCGACATGGTTGATTGTAGATTAGAGGATGATAGCGGATTGACAGATTGGATTGTGGTTTGGTGGTTAGATTGACGGATTGGTAGATTGGATTGACGATTGACGGGTTGGTAGGGTAGATGCTGTCTTGACAATAGGTAATCTGATGAATTGAGAATTGACTTATTGACGGATTGACTGGCTGAAGACTATATTACTGGAGTTGTCCCTTTGATTTTCAAGACCGATCAGTTAATCTAAGCACAAGAAGTTCTGGATTATCTGTGCGGATCTAACTTCGCACTCACTTCGCACTAATCTAAATTCGCATGGAGTTCAGGCCAGTCTATAATCAGCCAGTTTAAGTCAAGCCAATCAACAATCAACAATCAATAATCAACAATCAATAATCAACAATCAACTGATCAACAATCAAGCAATCAACTGATCAACAATCAACTAACTTCCTTTTTGACTAATATCAAGTAGCTCGACCAAACTACCCAGGGAAGACTGCATGAATAATAGACAAGCCTATTCATTCAATTGTGTTTTCCCAGATCTCGAGTCCTGGAAATTTGCTTAAATCAAGGTCTCTTCGCTTCGTAATGGCGAACGTCTTCCTTATCTTCTCAGTTCTTTGTTCGAATTGTTTCGTGGACTAATCGATTAATACTCTAACCATCACTCAAAGTGAGCGATGAAATTCATTCGAGCGAAGAGCTACGCTATTCAAGCTACCGTTCAATTTAGCTCATGCTAGCTTGAATAATGTCTCTATCTGTTGGTGGAGCAACTGATGCTTATGTAATCTTGTCCCATGTTATTAAGCTATATTGTATAACGATGTAGAATATCGGGTACTGTGTCTTTTGAGTGATGATTGAAGAAGTAGAAGTAGGGGACACTTGGAAGGTATATGCCAGAGATAATGAGGGAAGATTCTGCTCGAGAAATAACTTGGGATCACGTTTATATCTGGAAAGGAAGCTGTATTGCAGTTATCGAGCATCCTCACTATGTCGACGTAAGCCTTGATGAATGAGGAGCATAAAGATTGCTTAACAGAGAAGGAGATTCAGCTAACACGTCACTATATAAAATAGTCTCAGAGGAGGTACACGAACTCAAGAGTCGCTTGTACTATTGTGTTCGCCATAGGAGTACAAATCGAGCTTGAAAACCAAATGATTGCTAAACGAAGTCTGGACGATATGAATGCGCTGAAGAATTAGGTGATAACTCAAACTAAGGCGTTCATGGGTAAAGCAGATCAATCTCAGATGAGTTATTATGGCATCTGAAAGAGAAAAGTATGCAATGCCCTAGAGGTCTAAATAAATCGTTTGGAGCAATTGTATTTCAAAAATATTCCAATTTGAAGGTCGCTTCCTTCAGACTAGCGAGAAAGGAGTATCATTCAAATGAGCTGAACTCAAAGTTGTTTCCCTGGAAGCCACTAGACACATCGAATTTGCTAGTTCCGTTATCCTCCAAATCAGAAAGGTCCAGATATGTCGCGATTTCTAGCATTTAATTTTTGGTAATGCAATTCAAGCATCATGATGGCCAATAGCAACTTGAGCAAGAGAAACTAGAATTTCTATCCACGTCAATGCTTTGGGCTGCTTCTAAATGAAAGCCAAGAGAGTCAGTTGAAAAGAAGGCCTTAATTTCTCCAATTCGGCTATTGTGGAGATATACATCCAGTTACCAGGGTTTTGCAGACATGCTGACAGTACGTGGGGTTTTAGATAAATAATTATTTTGGCTCTAACCATTAAAACAGAAGAAAAGAGTCGAAAAGAAAAAAGTCAGAATAATATTAAAGAACTTTGAAAGTATGTAAGTTCCATCCAGCAAACAAAAATGAGAAACCAAACTTGACTAATTTAACAGTTTCCAAAATACTCTGGCAATTTTCAAAATGTGGCTTGAAGTTTTAGTATGCATAATTTCAGTTGCTTTGAACCATTTTCGGGAGCCATTTCAGTCGATTGGTTAGAATTAAAACCGTACAGACTGTACATGGAACAATGGGGCTCGGAAACGCAGACGGGCAGAGCACGGCTATAATGCACGTGACTCAGAATCATCGGATCGAGTGATTTAGGGTCTGAACGGAGTTTGGCAAAATTGCCAAGCAGAACAGAAAAGAAAAAAAAGAAAAAGGTGAAATGGGCGAATTACACACTTTTGACGATTGCAAGCTTTTGGCAATTGGAGGGTTGAGGAAAATGAAGTGGAAAGACAGTCTGACAAGCTTTGGCTGAGTTTGAGACATATCGGACTTAAAACCTATTATATGACGGACACGAACGAAACTTCTTCTGTAGTCTGCAGGGTCTGCAGACTATGCATATTATCACCAATTGATGCAACTTGCAGATACAGAGAATATGAACCAGTCATCTTTTCTTTGATTATTTGAAAGGCTGGTGGGAGAAAGAATTACAAAAGTCTTGGTATTTTATTCGTATTTTATTCAGATTGGCAATAGTGATACGTCTGATGATGCTTGCCTATTAAAGAATAGACGGGATATCATTTGGCTAAGACAAGTACCTAGAGTTAGCCGCCACACGTCGTATGTCCGCAACACATACGCAATCTAAGCGGCGTTGCTTCAGGCATCAAAGTCTGCAATAGAGATATAAAAGGCTGGCAACCTGTGAAGAATTTTTATCGCTATCCTCTTCTATCGATCTATACAATGGCCTCAACTCTGGTTGAAAAAGATGATTCAAGCGTCGAAAATGCTTCTGTTCATGATTACAGAGGCTTCAGCGGCCAAGTAGGTGAGATTCGCCTGTTGGCCAGGACTTTGACCCACAGCTCAGAAAGCAACGCCAATTCTTCAGACGGTTTACGTCGCTACTTGTCGAACATGTCACAAGTTCCCGGAGTGCTCCCCTACGAAGGTGTGGATGACACTTTGGACCCAGATAGCGAGAACTTCAATGCCAAGTTCTGGGTGAAGAACATGCGCAAACTATACCATCTGGACCCGGACTACTTCAAGCCCGCTAAATTGGGTCTCGCATACCGTGATTTGAGAGCTTACGGTGTGGCCACTGACTCCGACTATCAGCCTACTGTGACAGATGCCTTGTACAAGACGGTTGTCGAAGGTCTCCGGTCGCTTCGAAAGGAGGACGGCAGCCGCTACTTTGACATTTTGAAGCCCATGGATGGCTACTTTGAGCCCGGGAAAGTGACTGTGGTTTTGGGCCGGCCAGGTTCTGGATGTTCTACGCTTTTGAAGACCATTGCCTGCAACACATATGGATTCCACATTGGCAAAGAGTCGAAGATCTCGTACGATGGTTTCACGCCACACGAGATCGCAAAGCATCACCGTGGTGATGTGGTGTACTCGGCAGAAACAGATGTGCATTTTCCTCACTTGACTGTGGGCGACACTTTGGAGTTTGCGGCTAGATTGCGGACTCCCCAAAACAGAGGCGACGTTTCTAGAGAGAAGTACGCCAAACACACGGCGTCTGTGTACATGGCCACATATGGTCTTTCCCACACCCGAAACACAAAGGTTGGAAATGATTTTGTGCGTGGAGTTTCTGGTGGAGAGAGAAAGCGTGTTTCCATTGCAGAGGCTTCTTTGAGCGGTGCCAACATCCAGTGTTGGGATAATGCCACCAGAGGCTTGGATGCAGCCACTGCTTTGGAGTTTGTTCGAGCTTTGAAAACGGCCGCAGCCATATTGGATGCTACGCCCTTGATTGCAATTTACCAGTGTTCCCAGGATGCGTACGACCTTTTTGACAATGTCATAGTGCTCTACGAAGGCTACCAGATTTATTTTGGAAAAGCTGGCCGTGCTAAGAAGTTTTTCGAGAGAATGGGTTATGACTGCCCTCAACGTCAAACCACAGCTGATTACTTGACTTCTTTGACAAACCCAGCAGAAAGAATTGTTCGTCCAGGATACGAAAATAAGGTTCCTCGTACCGCTAAGGAGTTCTCTGACTACTGGCGTTCTTCTCAAGAGTATAATGACTTGATTGGACGCATTGACAATTACATGGCAGAGATGGAGAAAGGCGAGTCCAAGGCATTGTACAAGGAGCTGCATAACGCCAAACAAGCAAAGAACGTGCATCCAGGTTCTCCGTTTACTGTCTCTTTCGGAATGCAGGTGAAGTATATCGTTCACCGGAACTTTCTCAGAATGAAAGGTGATCCGTCGATCGCCATTTTTTCAGTTGTTGGCCAGATCATCATGGGTTTGATCTTGTCCTCCTTGTTTTACAACTTGCAACGTGTCACAGACTCTTTCTACTACCGTGGGGCGGCCATGTTTCTCGCAGTCTTGTTGAACGCTTTTTCTTCAGTGTTGGAAATCATGACATTGTTCGAGGCTCGTCCCATTGTCGAAAAGCACAAGAAGTTTGCATTGTATCGGCCATCTGCCGATGCGTTGGCTTCAATTGTCTCAGAACTTCCTGTCAAAGTATGCATGTCGATCTGTTTCAATTTCACCTTCTACTTCATGGTACATTTTAGACGTACCCCAGGCCATTTTTTCTTTTATTGGCTCGCGTGTGCTTTCTGTACTTTGTGTATGTCTCATATGTTCAGATCATTAGGAGCAGTCTATACGTCCTTGGCAGGAGCCATGACACCATCCTCTGTGATTTTGTTGGCGATGGTGATTTTCACTGGTTTCGTCATTCCCATTCCAAGCATGTTGGGCTGGTGCAGATGGATCCAGTACATTAATCCTGTGTCCTATGTGTTCGAATCCTTGATGGTGAACGAATTCCATGGTGTTGAGTATGAATGTTCCCAGTATATTCCCTTTGGCCCTGGCTATCCTCAAGCAGCGACTGAAAACAACATTTGTAGTGTTGTTGGTGCTATGAGAGGCCGTTCGACTGTTTCTGGTACAGCTTTCTTGGCCAAGTCATACGAGTACCATAACTCACACAAGTGGAGAAACATTGGTATCGTTATTGCTTACGTCGTTTTTTTCTTGGGTGTCTACATTTCCTTGACCGAATCCAATAAGGGTGCCATGCAAAAGGGTGAAATTGTCTTGTACTTGAAGGGCTCGTTGAAGAAAATGAAGAGAAAGACTGAGGCAAATAAGGCCACATCGGATGACTTGGAAAATAATCTTTGTAATGAAAAGATTGACTACAAGGATGCATCCTGCGACGACAACGAAAACTCGTCTTCAGAGAAGATGGAAGAGCAAAGAGACATTTTCCATTGGCGAGACTTGACCTACTCGGTGCAAATCAAATCCGAAGACAGAGTTATTTTGAACCATGTTGATGGATGGGTTTCTCCTGGCCAAGTCACTGCCTTGATGGGTGCTTCTGGTGCCGGAAAGACCACCTTGCTAAACTGTTTGTCCGAAAGAGTCACTTCAGGTAAAATTACCGATGGCCAGAGAATGGTCAACGGTCATGGGTTGGACTCTTCTTTCCAGAGATCCATCGGTTATGTCCAGCAGCAAGATATCCATTTGCCCACGTCTACTGTTCGGGAAGCCTTGACTTTTTCAGCTTACTTGAGACAGCCGGATTCGGTATCCACGGCAGATAAAGATGCGTACGTGGAACATATTATTGACTTGTTGGAAATGAGACCGTACGCAGATGCTTTGGTTGGTATTGCTGGTGAGGGCTTGAATGTCGAACAACGTAAAAGATTGACTATTGGTGTCGAGTTGGTGGCCAAGCCAAAATTGCTACTTTTCTTGGATGAACCTACGTCTGGTTTGGACTCGCAGACTGCTTGGTCTATCTGTAAGTTGATGAGAAAATTGGCCAACCACGGCCAGGCCATTTTGTGTACCATTCACCAGCCCTCTGCTATCTTGTTGAAGGAATTTGATCGTTTGTTGTTTTTGCAAAAGGGTGGGGAGACTGTCTACTTTGGCGATTTGGGTGAGAATTGTCAGACATTGATCAACTACTTTGAGAAGTACGGTGCCCCTCCATGTCCCGAAGAGGCTAACCCAGCAGAATGGATGTTGGAAGTTGTTGGTGCTGCACCCGGATCTAAGGCTCTCCAAGACTACTTTGAAGTTTGGAAGAATTCGACAGAGTACGCTGGCATGCAAAAAGAATTGGACCGCATGCAAACGGAGTTGGTGAAACTTCCAAGAGACGAGTCTTCCGACTCTAAATTGAAGTACGCCGCCCCATTGTGGAAGCAGTACTTAATTGTGACATGGAGAACACTCCAGCAGGATTGGAGAACACCAAGTTACATTTATTCAAAGATCTTTTTGGTCATCTCGTCATCTCTATTCAACGGTTTCTCATTCTTCAAAGCCGGCACATCTCAGCAAGGCTTGCAGAATCAGATGTTCTCGATGTTCATGTTCCTCATGCCTTTCCAGACTATCGTCCAGCAGATGTTACCATTTTATGTCAAGCAAAGAGAAATCTATGAGGTCAGAGAAGCGCCGTCTCGAACTTTCAGTTGGTTCGCTTTTATCAGTGCCCAAATCACGGCTGAAGTTCCTTTCCAGATTGCTGTCGGAACGTTGTCTTTCTTTTGCTGGTACTACCCTGTTGGGTTTTACAAGAACGCAGAACCTACTGATAGTGTAAACCAGCGCGGTGCATTCATGTGGTTACTAGTTGTATCTTTCTATGTCTACATAAGCACAATGGGCCAGTTGTGTGTTTCCTTTTCCGAGTTGGCTGACAATGCGGCAAACCTCGCAAACTTGTTGTTTATCTTGTGTTTGGACTTCTGTGGGATTTTGGTTGGTCCAAACTTCTTGCCTGGCTTCTGGATTTTTATGTACAGATGCAATCCGTTCACATACTTGATCCAAGCCATGTTGAGCACGGCGTTGGCCAATACCAATGTTGTGTGTGCAAACAGAGAACTTCTTGTTTTCGAACCGACTCAGGGCAAAACATGTGGCGAGTATATGAAAGCTTACATTTCCCGGGCCGGTGGTTACTTAATCAACGCAAACTCGACTTCGGACTGCCAGTACTGTAAAATGGCCTCCACTAACGTTTTCTTGGATTCAGTGAATTCCAAGTACGAACAAAGATGGAGAAACTATGGGATTTTTGTGGCCTTCATTTGCATCAACATCATCTTGACGATATGTTTTTACTGGCTAGCCAGAGTTCCAAAGAGAAGCAGACAAAAGAAGTAATTATAAACTGTTGATTTTTGAAAGTGGATTGCTTTTCATACTTTATAGCCAAGGTCTAATCTATCGGGAGTGTCCTTTCAAAGTAAATGCAATATTCAGTATATAGCTAAGCCTTTGTTTCCGTCAAGACAGAAAGTTGTAATATTTACCCTCTCTTTAGCACATTTACTCCACTTGTACATTTAAGAATAATTTTAGAAAGAAAAAGTAGTTGGAAATGGCAAATCCTCTTTGTACCCCAAACTGTGGGGGTAGGTGAGGTGACACAAATAGAAAATAGATCCGTACCTCTCAGTTTAACATCAGTACCTCTCAAAACACCCATGCACCCTTGAAAAATCCAAACATCCGGCTTAAACATCCATACACCAAAGCAAAAATCGTGCAATTATCAATTAAAACTCGAGGCACTACATTTGCACACCCGTACATCACATAGTTAAGCACTCAGAGCCGCCAACAATTTCGAGAAAGCATGGCGAAAAGTAAAAAATTGTCCATCGGTTAATGAGATATCAACACATCAGTACCTCCAAAAATTACAAGAACTATGGTTCACAAGTGATTTGCAACCATCAGAATTAGAGGAAAACTCACCAGAAAATTTGCTATGGTCAGAATAATCATACAATTATCCTAGTTATCCTTTCAGTTATCATATTTGGAGACTTTAGAATAGATAATAATTGTGAATGAGCAAAATAATCTTCAGCTCCTATCTAGCTGCCGAAATCCACGTCGCTGTTTGAATATAGCGTATAGGATAACTTTACTGTCGCTTTTCTTCTCCGTTACACACGATTTCCAACTTCTAGAGGTTATATTTCTGTACACAAAAACAATGCTAGAACAAGTTTGAGGAAGAGCAAGTAGTTGATACGGGAAAATTCTTTTTGTACCCCAAACTGTCGGGTTGGTTAGTGACACAAAAAGGATTTAAATCAGTACCTCCTTAAACACCCACACACCATGGAAAAATCCAAACATCTTCATAACATCCATACATCCAAAGTGTAAATCATTACATCTCAACGCAAAAAATGCATACATCTGATTATAAAATCCGTACACCCCATAGTTAAGCTCTCAATGGTGCCCTCAAGTTCCGAAAGCATGGCAAAAAGTTAGAAAATGTGTCGTAGGGCTAGAAAATCAGTACCTCCTCTACTAGAAAATATAGGTTTACGGTACATTTGAAACAATTGAATTTCAAGGCCATAGTCTAAAACACCTAAAGGTACACGATTACTGAATAGGATATATAATATTGATAATTTTTCTTCCTAATTGTGGTGAGGTTTTGGTTCTTGGAATGACCAGGAAAACCTGTTGACTCGCTTATAGATGTGAGGGGATCAAGATATTACCCACCAACAACTCTAAAGAAAGACAATTTTCGAGTTATGCTAACCACTTTGTAGTTATGTTTACTGATATATCGAAAACAGACAATTAACTGCACCTTTCGGTTCCAATCCTGCTCTTATGGAAATCCATATATCTGCTTGAATAAGCAGGTAATAGGATAGTTTGATAGTCAAATTTTCTCTCACTTTTCGTTCTATTTTTCAGTTCTACGGATAAATTTTTCTTAAAAAAGCCCAATTAGGTGTACGTTCAAGGAAAAAGAAGTAGTTGATATTGGAAAATTCTATTTGTACCACAAACTGTAGGGGTAGGTCAGTGACACAAAGAGCTCAGACCCGTGCCTCCCGTATTTTTACACCAGTGCCTCCATAAACACCTCTACACCGTGGAAAAATCCAAACATCCGTGCATAAACCCAAACATCCGAGATAAACACCCATACATCCACTTGGAAACCCGTACATTTGCTCATCAAAAACCCAAACACCAGGGTTGGACATCCGTGCACCCCATAGTTAAGGTCTCAATCGCACCTTCAGCTTCCAACATTCATGGCAAAAACATGAAATATAAATCGCCGACATGGTTCGAACGCGAGGCTGCATGAGATCGGATTCAATTCAAAAGAATCCGTACCAAAGTGAACATGATAATACTCAATATCAAAATTGACTAAGTATGTGAGTTTTGGTTAGAGAAATAATGGTGCCAGAAAACGATACTCTTGTATTTGTGCCGTTTATTTAGTTTTAATTGTGTTGCTATTAAATTTCAAGGTGGTTTCCACTTCTTACACTTTTTACTGATAATAGTCATTTGTACAACTTAGCTTTTAAGTCAGATTTTTTTAATTCCCTTTTTTTGCTGATTGGATTAGTATCAAGAGTTTATCGATACCTTTGCATTACGTAATGATAGTCTGACTTTGTATAGTCTGATGAACTCCCACAAAATAATCATGCCCATAAACATAATTGGCTCTATTCAGTCTAGACTACTGCATCGAATGTCTAACATGTATTCTCTAGCTTTGAGTGAGTCTATAGGTGGGCGCTGGCATAGTTGTAAGTGGACAATGGAACAACAGGTTTTGGTGCCCCGCCTTTCTTGTGCGTGGACTGGAAATCAGAGATCTTCTCATACGTCTTTCCGCGTGGATATAACTCTGGCGTAGCTCTTGCAGTTCTTTCTGTGATTTCGTTGATGAAAGAATCTTTCAACTCGCTGAAGTCAAACGAATTATCAGAAAGATTCTCTTCAACAAAAGACGCCACAGCAGCAACGTCCAGACCAGCTTCTTCCACAAAAGCGTCCACATTATCAATGCTGATTGGAATGTCATTATCATAGATAAAGTTGTGCAAAGCTGTGGTGAACAACTTTTTCTGTTCAAGCACGGGCGTTTTTTGAGACTCCAAATACACAGTCAAAAGTGCCGATTTCGAAGCGTTGTCCACATCAAAGTACTCGTTGAAGAAATGCAAAAACTCATCCGGAGTGATTGTTTCCAACAACTGGACGTCCTTGGATTTTTGCATAAAGTCATAGAATCCGTCGTTGATGTGGTTCCAGAAACGCGAAGACTCCTCGGCCAAGTTCTTTAACTTGGTCAACTTCTTGCTTTTCAATGCTTGTTTGTATTTGTTGAAAGCTTCCTCCGTCAACTTGTCGCCCAACACTGACTTCTTAAACTTGCGCAAAAACTGGACTACCCTATATTCAAGATAGTCACATGCTCTTTCGGATTGGACAAGGACACGCAAGCCAAAGTACGATCTGCTCGGTCTGTAACCTGAGAAAACAACGTATCCTAACTGCTCTTTTGTCCGCAACTGGTTGAAGCAAGGCTCATGAATCATAACCGCCAACAAATCTGTAAGAACACGCAACCGGCGATTTTCTTCGCCCAAAGTGCCCACACGAACAAAGTATTCCAAACATGAATTGATATTGTTGGCATCTTGTAAAGGAACGACATACCGTACATTCTCTCCTGTTTGCAACTCAAAACTCTCAAACTTTATGGATTCTAATACCTTGTCTTTGCTCGAGTTTATGGGACTGATGTGCTCAAAGTTTTTCTTGATCAGCTTGTCGACTTCTGTTGCAGTAGCATAATCAAAGTTTCCGATGATCAAAGTCTGAACAAAAGTTCCCTTTTTCCAGAGACCGTTTGCAAACTCTGCAATTTGATCAAATGTGATTTCATTGATTATGGCTAGCTTCTCCAAATCTGGGTACGTTCTCTCGTTGATAAACTGCAAAAAGTGCGTTCCTATTTGAGAATATGGCGTTTCAAAGCCCGAGTTCTTTAGTTCCTGAGTGACTTTATACTTTATCGACTCAAAACGGTCCTTCTTTGGCGTAAACGAAGTAAAATACTCAAGAATTTGCAGGAGATAAACTGGAAGCTTGTCGTTATATCCACCTACTTTCAATGAGTACGAATCTTTGAATTGGTGAATGGAAAAGGATAAGCCCACAAGACTAGCATAGTATTCGATTTCGTTCAACTCGTCGTCAATCAACTCGCTCAACAATGTGGCCATCAAAGCAGATTTTATATTTTCATTCAATGTCGGAATGTGAACAGTCAAGTTGATATAACCCTTTGGAATCCCAAATTGGTCGTCTTGCTTGAACCACGTTTCAAACTGAGCAGAGTCACTAATCAAAAAAGGATGTGCTAGCGGCTCTTGCACTTTCTCACCGCGCACAGAGAAGTTCTCTGGAATAAAGCTATTATGCTTAGGCAAGTGTAACTCCGGGTTCAGTGCAAGAGACTGTATTCTCTGCAAGAGCTCAGCGGGAATGTCTTCGTACAGATATTCTGTTCCGTACCACTTTTCTTTGCTAGATAAGCCTAATAAGTCGCGCGACGTTAAACTTAAACGCAAATTGGAAGGAACCAAGTACGATCCGTACTTTGAGATTTCAGTAGGATTGAACTCACGTAACACAGACGAGTCCAACAAGTTTTCAGGCGGTATGTATCCATCGCTGCTAAACTGGTACAATTTATTGCTCATTTTAGACACAGTGGAGGAAGCGCTCATTTTCTGGCGGAAGCGAAAATTGATTTCTGACATGGCACTTTCTTCTTTCCAAAGCCATTGCTGTGGCTCAAAGCTTTTGACCATGTCGAGATACTCGAAAATATGCACGACAATATCCTGCCAATGGTCTAAACCCAGTGGGGTGAGTTCAAGTTCGATCATAAGCAAGGAATTCCCCTGACAAACTTTGATGGCACCTGCCAGAAGATCGTTAACCCAGTTCTTTGTCTTTAAGAAATGCAAGACAGAGCCTTTACTTTCGTGGCCCAAAAGATGTGCAAAGTAGCCGCTTGGGCGACATTTCCAGTTTTCTTCCTGGTCATTTGGAATCATGAAGGACAACTCCAACTTGCGGGTGTCCATGATAGGTTTAGCGCGGGTGATTTTGCCCATCTGCGCCTCGGTGAAGACTAGTTCGTCGTAAGATGGTCTGGGAAGATTGGAGTTTTCCACGGGCGAAAACTTTTCAACCGCCCACTTTTCAAGCACATCTAAAGACTCGTTTCCCAACACAACCAAGCTCATGAGATTGGCCGAGTACTCGTTTTTGTAGAAGCGCAACAAGATGTCCCGTACGTCTTCTCCTCTCAGAGCCGGCTCTTCTTGTAAAGTGTGGAAATTGCCAGTGGAGAATCCATTGTATGGGTGTTTCGGGTTGCTGGTCAGCTTATCGAGCTGGTACATGCGCCACATGTCGTTCTGCAAGTTCTTCTTGTTCTCGGAGTCCACTGCCTGGATCTCTCTGTCTTTGCAAGAGCGACTGAAGAGTGGCGAGATAAAAAACTGGGCAAAGCGGTCCAACGCCCCTTCCAAGTGTGCCGAGTCGACCTCAAAGTAGTAGTTGGTGTGTTCTGCCGCGGTGTAGGCGTTGGAGTGGCCCGAGTGTTTGGACAAATAACTGGCGTACTCGTTTTCTTCAGGGTACTTCAGCGTGCCCATGAAAAGCAAGTGCTCGCAGAAATGCGCCAAGCCGGCCACGTTGTATTTCCTATCAGCGAAAGAACCGACATTCACGTCCAAAGAAGCAGCTGCTCGGTCGGTGGTGGGATCGTGGATTAGCAAAATGTGCAAGTTGGAGTGGTCCAACTTGAGAAGACGGTACTTTCTGTCGTCCAAGAGGGGCTTGGCGATGTTCGGGTCGTCTGCAAGAACAGAAATGGCGGATGACATGGCCAGACGAGAAAAAATACGGCGGGGAAGAGAAAACTGGGCCTTTTTGAAGAGGAACATAAGCCGCGCCGAACAAGTCGCGCATACAGATAATGCGAAGTATGGACCGATTGTTTTTGTCCTTTTTTCTTTTTTCTTGTGCACACTAGTGTACACTTGTGTATGCTTGTTTCTGACTTGTATTTGATTTTGTTTGTATGCCTTTGTGTCTTTGTTGGCTTGTTAGTATTTTGATTGGCTTTCTTGTGTGGATGGCAAAAGGTACCACAATGGTTATCGCGAAATACCATGTGAAGCTATTCCGTTTTCAGCCAACGGCAAAAACCAAAGATACAGGTCTGCACCACACTTTATCAGATGTGGTCCTGCTGGTGCAAGAGGAAAGGAAATATGCTTCATTGAACAGTAATCTTAGTCTTAAAGCATATTTTTTAAGACTTTTAAAGTCTGAACCATTTACGTCGGTGGTTTGACTTATAGGTGTAGAGGCTGTAACTTACTTACAGTGTTTACACAATCAAACCGGGAAACCGATATTGATTTCAGAAGAACCAATCAAGGTATGACGGTAATGTCCCACATCATGCAAAATGCCAAGAATATGGGAAGATACTTGAAATAGTGGATTAAATTGAAGATGTTACTTTATGGTTATCTGTCCGAACTCAAACCTTTGAAACTGATTTCTGCGATCACTTCAATAATGTTCTGTTTAGCTGAATATGTTTTATCAGCATGGGTTAGTATCATGATTAAGCGATTATCTCTTTGGCCATGATCAATTTTATTTTCTCATTGCTCGTACAGCCAGAGTAGTCAAGTACACCATCTCAACATTGTCCCACACCTCATGTAGGCATCTGAAGCATCACCGCCTTCATACTAGATAAACACTTTCCAAAACTTTAACGTATCAAGCTAATCGGACACATATCATCTGTTTTCTGCCAAGGTAAGCCTCTATTTTCTTCATTGGCCTCAAGAGTAATGTCCCTTCGTTCATAAGTTACCTACTTCTCCGATTCCTCTCCACGTGTAAGTGTCTCGATATTTGCCATGAACGCCCCGACCACGTATTCGACACTGTCCAACTTGGTGAACGTGCTGACCAACACTGGGTCTGCACTCAGCACCTCGACTTTGCGGTCCACCATCACCACATGTCCCCCATACGTGACACAGCGCGCCACATAGTCCTCTGCGGGCCGCCGCGTCAACCGCCATCCTGTGTGCTCGATCTCAGGCGTACGGCCCGCAGACATCTCGTCCCGCACACGGTCAGCGTACAGCTTACCCTTGGCGTCGATCTCGCACCAAGGTTTTTCTGTGACCTGTGAAAGCGCCTTGATGTCCAAGCACACTTCGGCCTGCGATACGTATACGTCTGCAGCCAAACGCAGGCCACAGTTGGGGGCAAAGCTGCCAGGCTGTGTCACGTGCTGCGGAAACACAAGGGCCGGGTCTGTCGGGAGTTGGAGGCTGACTTTTGCAGCACCAATGGCTGCAAAAAGCGCACGTAACTGCGACACTAGTTGCGCATGCGGCGCGCGAGAGCCAGGGGCGAAAAGCGCCCGCGCCTGCGCGAGCTCGGCCAACGCGTCGTCCACGCTCGCCGCGGCTGCAGCCACCTGCGCGAGAGGAAGCGGCTGCACCAAACGGAGCGTCTTCGCCACACGGGCCAAGCGCTTATCTCCCACTTGGATCTCCAACTTGGTCACAGAAGGGCCGTCACGAGTAAGCACGCCCAGCAACGCTCCCAGCGCGCCTGCAGAGATGGGAAGCGTGATTGGCGGGCCGTGCGTGGAGTCTGGCAGGTTGTGGCGGAGCAAGTTGCCACAGACCTCAAGGGTGTCGCGGAGGTGCGCAAGCTGCGGCCGCACAATCTGCGCAACGTACCAGTGGAGCTCGCGGTCGCACAGGAGCATGGGCCGCTTCAGCGAGAGCAGGCCGCACTCGAGAGAGGCGCCGCGCGAAGTGTCTTGTGGCTGTAAAGGGGTTTGCTCGGGCAATTTGTCGCTTTCTGATGCGTCTGGCCGGCTCTCCGAAACATTTGAAGCATCTGAGGGGTTCTTCAACGTGCCTGGCGGCAAGCTTTCATTATCTAGGGGGCTTCCAGCTTTCTTTGGGAGATCCGTTTTTTCTGTATTCGGTGGACCATTTGGTCTTACTTTTGTGTCAGACATTAGAAATGTAAATGGCGGTTGAAGACTGGGGGGAAGAGACTTAACCTGTCAGCAGAGTCTTAGGCTACTAATGCCAGAGTAGTCAATTGCCTCAGATATGCGATTGCAGTCGATATTTGTGAATTTGATTTGAAAATTCGCTTAATTGATCTTCCTTTATCCTAATTGAGGAGTCAGATTCCGATTCAGTTGGTCTATACTCAGGAATTGAAATGAATTTGCCGATTTGGGCAGAATTTGGCAATCTGCGTAGAACCTGGGGAAGAAACTGAAGATAATTTGAGATCAGTTGTGCGCGCTTTTGATCAGTGAGCACAATATTTTCTTGATCATGGTTTTCTGTTGAACTTATGAGAAATGGTTCTTTAGGTTATTTTTTTGTTATGTTCTCGTCAAGACAGTCTGGATGATCTAGAATCCGTTCTTCAAATCTCCTTTCTTGCTATTCTTTCTGTTCTTATTCTTTCTGTTCCTATTCTTTCTGATCTAACTATTCTTTCTTTTCTTACTATTCTTTCTGATCTAACGGTTACCTTCTATTAGGTTTTTTTGAACTAGTTCTCCTTAAAAGTCACCTGAGATCATGCCCTATATATGGGCCAATAATCTCTGAGTCACAATAGTTCTGTGAAGAAGATCAAAACCCTTCCAGTTGGTGCTTCTTGGTGCCATGAAACATTTGTGGATCGGTCTCTGACTTTGCAAATTGGATTCAACAAACTACGCTTCTGTGTTTCTGGCGAAGCCAAGATAACTGACATAGAGAATCTGTCCTCATTTCTAGGACGTCACTGACTCCATGAGTTCTTGTCCAATGGCCAATGTGCAAAATCATTCATTATTCTGCCCGGGGAGTTTCAAATCACTTCTTCACAGAACGCACAGAATCAAGGGCTAACATTTTTTCTGCAACATTATTCTGCCATCTCTTTTACTCTTAAATTTCTCCACTTGGTAGAATTCAACCTAGCGGACGACGGCTCATGCCATCTTTCTCCATCTCAAAAGCTTACTATACCCAGCAGACAAGCAGTGAAATACAATGCAAGCATTAGTGGCTATTGGCATTCATAGCGCTCAACTCGCCTTGATATTTATCAAATTACATTACAGCACAGCTGTTCCACTGTTGTTGAGCTCACATCCCCTTCTCAACTTCTTAATTTCCGAATCCCTCCGCTTCTCCGGAGCAATAATCAACCACAGAATTTTGGATCTCGCGGGCTACAAATTTGGAAACTGGAATCAATGCATAGTGTGCAGTTAGAGTTGCCGGCAAGCCTGTTGTGTCCAGCCTGTTGTGTCCAGCCTGTTGTGTCCAGCCTGTTGTGTCCAGCTTCTAGACTTGTGGTTTTTGGCTTGTTGAAAACATCTCATTAGCACAAGAATATTTCCATTAATCCTAACAATCTGGCAATGTCGTCGACCACATCACATGTGTTTGAGAATGAAGGATTTTGTCATCATGATTGTCATCAAATCGCTGTAAATCATTGTTTTCCATCGTGGCCAAATCATTGTGCAAGTAATGGTAATCAGCAGTGGCTTTTCTGGCATACTCACGCCATTAAAATCGAATTGACTTTGAGTCCTTGTTATCGCATTCCAGCTCGGCTAATTTAAAAAACGAGGCCCAGACAATAGTACGCAATTTACGTCAGGACAACTAATTGCAGGTATCTTCCTCTCTGCCTATACGGTCTCCTCTCTTTATCGTCACTTATTCGGATTCTGCTTGCTTGCTGGTGCTACCATTTGTGAGTAGGCGGAAGGTGCTAAGCTTCACTTTTAAAGAACTATCTCCGGTATCTACATAGACAAGGGCAAGAGACAATCGTGAAGGCCCTGAGGCACATAATCCACGTGTATTCAAAAATAGCAAAGATGGAAGATCATGGTACGTTTTGCTTACTTTAGGCGAGTTGTTGGCCTTCTCTTGTTCTTTTATCGCTGAGGTGGCATGGATAAGCAGAAATGCAGGGCCAAAAGTCTAAAACAATTAGCTGCAGTTAGGCGCACTTGTTTCATTGTGCGCTCGTCTATTTCAGGTACCATGAACACCACCAAAAAATCAAATGCATCAGTCAATAAGACCCAAAAAAAAAAGCTCACCAACAATTTTCTTGACGGATTAGCTGGGCAGGAAAAAACCGGAAGAAAAGAACTTGCCGCTATTTTATCCGTGTATCAGCTTCTAATGCATCGAATGCAGCGCGCGTCCTGCGGTTCGTAAGTTTTGCATACATATCAATACTTTGTGCATTAATCAAAACACTAGACGAAAAATCCCAAAGATGCAAAAGAGAAGCCGAAATGGCCAAGGGGGGATTGCATAGGCAGAAAGTTTCATAGGGGCTCAGAAAAATTCCAAAAAACGCAATTTCCGCCCCAAACCACCCAGTCTTGCATTTGCACCCACTAACACCAGTAAACTCCAACAGTCACGATCAGCGATCGAACCAAAACCAAAGGCACAAAAGAGAAAACCAATCAGAGCCAGAAAAGATAGAAAGGGCCATCGAAATAAATGCAGCTATGCCCACGATTGGAGCTGCTCAAAGTAGTCCACTCTCTTTGAAGTTTCTGGTATCTTCTTCACCACAGCCCTGCGAAGGTCGTCCACCATACCCGGGTGGCCACAGCTGATAAATGCGACGCTCTGGCTGCAGAGGTCAGTCTCTTCTTCAACAACCTGGTCCACCTTCACACGGCCGTAGAGAAATTCAACGTGTGGAAAGCGCCGCGAAAGAAGATGGGAAAGCACTTGTGCCATCGACAGGTCGTCGAGTTTCTTTTCGGCCATCCATGAGCCGACACCAAGAAACTCAATGTCGTCGGCCTCGAACCGTGGGTTGGAAATGCAGACGGTGGTTTCGATTTTGGTGTTGGCAAGCGCATCCAACTCTTCCACAAACCAGCACAACAGCTTGACCAGGCGGATGGACCAGTAGAGCTTGATTCTCTGCTTTGCAGGAGAGTGCCGGTGCGCTTTCCCGTACGCCTCAGCAAAGATGCCCGGAATTCCATTTCCGCCAGCCAAAAATACAACCGATGAATGGCCTTTGGTTGGCATCGACTCTCCATATGGACCTTCCACTGCCACACGCATGGTTTTGGACTTCCCTGGCTCCAAAGCAAGCGACCGGGCCACATGGCCGGTGACTCCGCCCTTGATTCCGCACAAAAAGATCAAGCTGCGGCCCGAGACAGACTCGTAGCATGTAAATGGGTGCAGCTGCCAGAACTTGGGGCCGAAAAAAAGCCAAGAGTGGCCGCCCGGGATGGCATACCAATGGCGAGGCTTGGGGATCACCACACGGAGAGTTTCGTTGGCACACATTGTCACAGTAGCGACCGGGAACCCAAAAGTGGCCAAGCGGACCACACGAATGGCTCTATCCACAAGCCAAATGGTGATGGCTATGGTCAGCAAAAACAGGTAGCCCAAGCGGCTTAAATGGACCCACGACGAGGCGAGAAACACGACGCCCATCACCAAGTGGAGCACATAAAACAACTCGTAGTGGGCCCGGCGGAATCGCAAGATGCCCGTGGCGCAAATGAAGATGCCGCAGATAGTTCCAAAGTATCCGCAAACGAGCCAAGCCAGCCCTGCAACCTCAGTGAGCACATGGGCAAGCCCGGCCCGGAAACAGGCCAAGATCGAGTGGATCACAATCAAAAAAACACACACGCGGGCGATCCACCGGTGGTACAACATGAAAGTGCCGTAGTTCCATCTTGTGATCCACTGAAGTATGTTGTTTCGGCCAGCAAGCAAAACCACCAAGGGCACAAGCAGCATGCCTAAAATGCCAAAGCGGTTGGCAATGTGGTGCATTTTGGTTACCACCTTCGAGTTGTGGAGCAAGTCTTCCTTGGGGAAGTGGATGCCCGAGGCCAAAAGACAGATGGTCAACAAAAAGAAAACCACCAAGATGGTGGTTTCGAGACGGGACGGCGAGAAAAACTGGAGCACGCCCACTTTTTTGGAAAGCAATTTGCTCTGGCGCATTGCCGGCAATGTGAAGTAGCGCCGGAGGGCAGTGGACTTCCTCCCGTTGAACCAGAGTCTTGTCTGCGGGAAAAGGGCCGTGGTCCAGTTGAAAACAGCGGCAGCGAAAAAGACGGCGCCCCAGTAGCACAAGAGCACCATGCCAAACACAAAAGACCGGTCTTTGTTGGCGTACAAGGTGGTGTAGGCCTCGTTCCAGCGAGCCAACTCTATCTTGTCCACCTTGATGGGAGCCTCCAATGCGCCGGAAGAATTGGCGTTGCGGGCGTCTTCTCGATACGAGTTGTACGCCTCGAAAAAATAAAAGAGATTGGTCCAAACGCCCTGCGACTTGCAGTAGTTGACGAAAAGCTGCGCCGGGCGCTGGTGGTCCATGTGCTCTCCAACCAAGCACCCAGCCATGCTTTTGTATATGTCTTCGTTCTCGCAGAGACATTTGGTGAGCGAATCGTCTCGCCAGTGGTAGTCGCTTTTCCGACAGACGCCGTTCAGCGCATGCACAACGTAATCGGCACACAGAAGCATCTGCGCTCCATCCTTGCCCCAGTAGCGGAAGGGCACATCTCTTGCCAATGCCAAAGAAATGAAAAGAAAAACGATGCGCATAGAGCGATGGAAATTGCTTGCCTACGAGGGGGAAATTGGCCGATATTTATGCCGGGCCCGATACAAATTTGCCAGCCCAATCAAGCATCACTGATCGTGAAAGCAGCAAACAAAGACAAAGATGCAAAGCTTCAGGCTGCTCAACACATGCAAGTACTATGGTCCCTAGACGCACTAGCGCATGCGCCCTGCACTCTCTGCAGAAGAAGAATGCGGAAACGTCAAAATAGTAGCCGCAGGGCGCCTCCTGCACCTCTTGTTGGTGGGTTTTATCCGTGTCTCATCCTCCAAAAACGGTTAAGCTTTTTTTCCCTTCGTGGCGTCCAAAGCTTGCTGGTGGGGCCACAGACGGGCTTTTTTCTCTTTTGGTGGCCCAAAGTCTTGGCTGGTTTCTTCTACAATGGGCAACATATTTGCTCCCAACCTGTACCAGAAGGTTGAACGTAGACCCGCAAACGTATTGGCTCATGCAAACCGCGGAGATAGAGCAGTAAGGAGACGTATTCTTGGTGGACTTGCGCCATTCTACATGCTCAGCTCAGACAGCGTTCGTAAAAATAGACCGCTACAGGAGTATCACGGGGTGATTGTGCTACTTCATCTCCATTGTGGAAAGTGAGGCGGAATTCTGTGCAAGCCGTGAATAGACAAGACATGCAACTATCATGATTTTTCTGGCGATCAGGATCACGGGCACTCTTTAAATGGGGATACTGAGTGAATGCAAATGCAATCGCTTGCTGTTATTGATGAACCGGGAAAGAAAGGACACGTGCTGAGCCGCTTGGGCTTTCCAATTGGTCCCAGTAAGTAAAACGATCGGGTGAAACGTATCTATAACGATGAAGCAATGTATCTAGAATGATGAGGATGAATGCTTGACATGTCTTGTTCCATAGTATGGAGAACAATGATCCTCAGGTTGAAACACAATGCAAATGAGGTATAATAAAACAAAGTGAGGATTAGATGGGAATTTAATGGCAAAGATAAATGGATAGAGCAGTCCGATAGTGAATCAAAGAGAAGCAAGGCAGGAAGCCAACCAATTTATCATTGTGATCCACTAAACGTAATAATTCGTGCTAGATTATTAGTTTTGAGCGAGGTGAAGTGGATCAACCATTTGGGCCATATCAGAACTTTTCAGGGCTGAAACTCAACATGGTTGTCCCTGGTCAGTATGGCCAGATCGAAGACCCATATTTAATAAACTTAGATTCATGATCCGGTGGAAATTGGGCAAAGCTACATTTACGACGTTGAGTCTTCCTCGATTGAACCCCTTCTGTACTTTTGTTCTCTTCTTGCTTCTTATTACTTGGTTGGCTTTCTACTTCTGGTAGACGTCTCTAATACTTCTGGTGGACGTCTCTAATACTTCTGGTAGATGTCTCTAACACTTCTGGTTCGGCTTCCCATTTTCATTTTGGTTTGTCTTGGTTCTACATTTTACGTCTCGCTTTTTGCTCTGTTGGTCCTTTTGGTCTTTGGTCTTTTGGTCTTTTGGTCTTTTGGTCTTTTGGTCTTTTGGTCTTTTGTCCTTTTGTCCTTTGTCCTTTCCTTTCTCGTAGTACTAACATACATTGAGAAACAATTTCTTGTCGAGGGTATTTTCTATCTGCACATTGAGTAACTTAGGCCAAAGTGACTTAGGGCGATTTTGTTATGCCGCCAATCATGTCACCAACACCATCCATCATGACCTTCTACTGTTTCCACTATTCCAAATAATTTTTTCCGTTGTGGATGTAAATAGTTTTTTCCGTTATGGTGTTTCAGATTCCCCAGCCTTTCATTGGCTTAACAGTGGGCGAGACCCGGGGGTAGGCCACGGCCGGAACTCGCGTGGGACCACGAAATGCGCGCTTGTGATTGGCCAGCACCGCCAAAACCTGCAGACATCACGACTTTGTGCCGCGCACGACGGCCATCCGTTCCTCCCTCCTCAACATCAACAAATTCTTTCTTTCACACACACCCACTACTCCTTTATCCAGGAACTAAATTCAAGCCCACTCTCTTAGGTGTGCAGGACAACCGTTATATCCACACCACTTGCTTCAGTCTCTGGTCCCATTACTAGTGAACGGCAGCATTGAAACTTGTGTTTGAAAGTTTCCGCCGCCTTTTTAGCCCCTGATTGGTTTCTTCGCAAAACCCCCTGTTTTGTATCTGCTCGAAAGCACCGTAAAACACGTTGCAACGCAAAACACGTTGAAACACGTCTCCGCCGCATAACAACAACACGGTCCCGTTTGCTACGTCTGCTTTGGCTAGAGAACTAACCAAACAGCGAAAAGAACGTCAAAAAACAACAAAAAAACAACAAAACAACGACGACAAAAACCAACAACGAAAAAACAGCAAAAAAACAACAAAAAAACAACAACCACAACAAACCACAACAATCAAAACAACTACCAAAAACAACAACAACAAATAAACACTACCATGTCTGGACCTTCGACCTCAAACGAAAGATCCACTGGCCAAGGCCTTGCTCCGCAACACCAACACTTGCAGCAGCAGCACCTCCACCACCAACAACAATTGGACCACACCACCGCCGCCGCCATTGCGTTGGCCAACGGGCATGACTTCCCCAACCCGGCTGCCGTCATGGGCCACCACGACGACGAGAGCCAATACCACCGTGGCGTTCACATGAGCGCTGCCGCCGCCGCGCAAATGCAACAGCAGCAAATGCAACAACAGCACTTGCAGCAACAGCACTTGCAGCACCAGCACTTGCAACACCAACACTTGCAGCAGCACCCTTTGCAACAGCAGCACCACTTGCAGCAACAATTGCACCAGCAACAGTTGCACCGCCAGCAGTTGCCACAGCACCAGCACGCCATGACGCTCCCCACCGCGGGGATTGACTACGAGAATGGCGGCTTCCTTGTGTCTAGACACGGCGAAGGCGACATTATCAAGACTTTCTCCAGTAAGCAAGACTTGGTCAAGTATGTCAAGACTGTGCTCAACGAAGAGGAACAATGCAAGATTGTCATCAACTCGTCGAAGCCCAAGGCTGTGTACTTCCAGTGCGAGAGATCTGGCTCTTTCAGAACCACTGTCAAGGACGCTACCAAGAGACAGAGAGTGGCGTACACCAAGAGAAGCAAGTGTGGATACAGATTGGTGGCCAACTTGTACCCTCCAGAGAAGGACAAGGCTAAGAAGATGAAGAAGGAGCCCAACGAATTCGACGGCACATACCACGACGACGACAAGAAGGACTCGGAGATGTGGATTTTGCGTATGATCCACCCTGCGCACAACCATCCTCCAGAACCTAACTTTGCCACTGTCGGCGGCAAGAAGAAGAGAGCAAAGTACACCAGAACGTTGGTGGAAAAGCCTTTGCACCGTAACGGTGGTGCTGCCGCCGCCGCTGCCGCTGCTGCCGCTGTCGGATACCAGCCTGAGCTTCTTGATCATCACCATCTCCAGGCGCAACAATATCAACACCTCCAGGCGCAGCACCAACAACAGCTCCACCACCAGCACCTCCAGCACGCGCAACATCTTCAACACGCACAACACCACCACGAGGACAACCATCCCTCAGTGCAAGATGTTGCCGTTATCGCCGCTATGGAGGCTGCTCCAGGCAACGGAGGTTTGCTGAACCCACCTGTTGACCCTAGTATCGAGACGAGCGTGGATCCTAACGTGGATCCAAGCGTGCAACAGCACGACCATGCTCACGGCCACGTCCACTAGATGGGTGGCGCTGTACCATAAGTGCGCTCTTTACTTCCTACAGACGCGCCAGTCTTTGTTTTAATATTGTTCCTGTTTGTATGATTATCAATAAACATTTCCTGTCTCTTATCGCGATGAGCACAATGAAGGTGGCCGATGAGCCTCGCTAAAGCCTAGATGAAAACAAGAAGGCAATGTAAACAAGATGAGAAGGCAATACCAGCCGGGCAGAAAAGATGAAGATATAGTATGAACTGGAGGTGTAATGTAAAATTGAACACCGCACGACCTTACCCCGTATAGCGGTTAGAGCAGATGTATTATCAAATCTGATATAACTTCACACAAGAAAGAAGATTGACATGAGTCCGTCGCGAATAAAATGGCCCAAGAAAAAGAAAGTAAACCAGCCGAATTCGTTGGACAATGATATTCTTAATGGAAGAAAGACAGACAAAGAAACTGGGCAGGGCATAGAGAACCAAGAAAGATTAAACGAACGGAGAACCGAGAAAAGAAAGAAAGAGAAGCAGGATCAGGATACAGACAAAAGGAATGATATGGGTAACGGTGAGAATAATCAGCATCAGAACAATCAGCATCAGAACCACAATCAGAACCACAATCAGAACCAGAACTTCAATCAGAACCACAATCAGTATCAGAACTTCAATCAGCATCTGAATGAGAATGAAATTCAGCAGAAGAAACTACTAAATCAAAGAAAAGAAACACAAGGCCAGAAAATTGAGCAGGAACTACGAGAGAAGATACGAAAGCCAGAGGGGAGAGAAAGTGAACAGAACGAAGCAAGAGCTGAAGAAACTGGAGCCAAATCAGATGGAGCAAATTATGCAGGTCAATCCCTTGTCCAAGCTTTTGGCCAATCCGGCCAATCTCTTGCCCAATCTGGCCGATCTCTTGCCCAATCTGGCCAATCTGGCCAATCTGGCCAATATGGCAAATCTTTTGCCTCAGATTTTACAGATCAGTCAACAGAGTCCTCCACCAATATCATGCCTTATTTAGGTACAGCGGCTTCGAATTCCGCGCTGAGTTTTGGCGCCGCTGTGCCTATAAATAGAGGCGGGCCCGCCCTGTCGAACCGCGCCGTGTTTGGCTCAGAAACAGAGCCGCCAACAGAGCAAAGTGCGCTTTTGCTGCAAAACTTTTTGCAGCCGGGCCAAACAGCGCTAGGGCCAGCGCCGGCCCATGCAGCGAGCACGCGGCACAAGCGCCGCAACACCGCATGCGCGCTCTTTTTTTTTGCAGCCATAGCCGTGTTTGTGGCGGCATTGTTCGTGGTGCGCGCAGTGCTCGCGCAGCCGCCTGCATTCGAGGCGCGCATAGACAACGCCGCCCTCGTGGGCATGTCGGACGGCGGCGTGCGCGTGCGCGTGGCGGGCGAGGTGTGCGTCACGGGCGGCCTGGCGCTTGCCCTTTGGCTTTTCCGCAAGCTCGGCCCGCTCGCCAGCAACGGCACAGTCGAGCCGCGCCAGCCCAGCCCTGTGGTGGTGTCCGGCCCGGAACTCAACCGCACACACGTGGTGCTGGTGGTGTGGCCCCCGGTGGACGTGGACTTTTCCTGCTCGCACTGGCCGTTTGACGTGGTGGCCGACGCCCAATTCACAGACGGCGTGGAGACTGCAGTGGCAGCCGCGTGGGCCGCGCATGCGCACCGCTCCCAGTGGCTCGTGGAGGCTACAGTGCGGGCGGCTGCGCGGATCCGCGGCGTACGGGTGCCGTTGCCTGCGGTGGAGGTGCGGCGCACTGTGGCCATGGGCGAGATCCGCGTATCGACAGTGGCCGTCGCGTGGCATCGTTCGCTCGAGGCCAATGCTACGGTTAGCGTGGCAATGCCCGAAATACAAGTCGCTCAAGATATGTCTCGCCAATCAGAGAGTTTCCCTGACTTGGAAATACCTCCCATCGACTGGCTGGTGGCCGTGCGTGATTGTGCCGGCCGCCCTGTCACCGTGGGAGCTTGGGCGAGCGAAGAATGCGGCGGAAAACTCGATTCTGCTGCTGGCTTCGACAATTCCGAAGAAACTTCCCAAGACTACGCTCCCGTATCGTCTCGCTCATTGCGTCTTCATGGCAAAATTGATGAGGTGTCGCCCGAAATCCTGCGCCCGTGTGCGGACGGGCTTAGCCCTATAGAGCGAGTGGCCCGCGGTTCCCCCATTGTCGTGTGGGCGCCGCCCAGTTCCCGCAACGAGAAGTTACCCCACTGGCTTAGACTGGTGTTGCGCATTCCGCGCGACCTCGACCCGCAAGTCGCTGCCTCACCCAACATCTCCTTTAACGGCATGGTGTTGGGCCCGGGTATGTTTGGCAAGGGCAATTTTTCTCACGTGGCTATCGAGATCCTTCCTAGCAACGAGTTGGCCATGAATGTCACGGGCTCAGGCTATGTTGAGTGGCCTGTGGAGGATGCTGAGGTCGATGCCAACGCTCAGGTCATTTTGCTGCTGGTAGCTAGTGCACAAGTCTGCGCTAATGGCGCCACCGGCTCAGTGGAAGTGGAGAGCGCAGATATAACTGTGGGTGACCCACATGCATTAGCGCTCGCAGCTAACACTGTGCTTTCGGGGCGGGTCCCTACACTTGGAGGCAAGGTTACTTTAGTTTCTGCAACCTTACGCCTGCCTCTTCTTGCTACAACTTTCCACAATGTGACCATGGAATGGGCTGGAAGAAATGACGAGGATGCGATGAATTCTGACTTCGACTTCATTGACGCGGCTGGAGTGACTGCCAAGTTAGGTAACCTTGAAACCAGTCAAGACAATGTAACAGAATCGCCGTTAGACCGCCTCCTAGCGGGTGCAATCTTTCGCGCAGACAAGCTCTTCTACATTAGTTCTAACTCCTCGTCGCTTGAGCTCCTAGCAGACCTTGCGTTGGAGGTACCATACAATGTGTCACTTCATATAGACACCCTGCTCGACGCCGACTTGGCTTATAATGGCACCGTGGTAGGCAGGGCCTCCCTCGATAGATTTTCCATGGCCCAGGGCCGCGCCAATGTATCTGCGGGCTTTCGCTTAGCATGCCCAGATCTCCATGTGAGGGCATTTGCAGAAGATTTGGCCAGTCACGTTGTTTCAGGTGCAGTAGCACGAGTGACGATCCAAAACTTGCAAGCTGGAAGAGTGGGCTTGAATGAGTTTGTTTCGGCTCTTTCGCCGCAGCTGCTTACCGTTCCAAAGATTCAATTCAATCGCCAGGAACTCCAAGAAACTGGCCGCCCCACATCTCTTGGATTTCCTTTTCCTCAAAATACCGAAGGATCGTCCGAGGGCAGTCCCTTTCTTGTAGGCGCCACGATCCACCTTCTCTCGTCGCAAATCGAAATCACAGTATACAACCCTTTGGCCAACGCAGAGATTGTTGCTGAAATTTTGTCAAGCCAAGCATCATGCGAAGGACAAGTGGTGGCCCGTATCGAGCATTCGCCTATGCTTCTTGTGCCGCCAGGCCTCTACACTACTCCCCGAATGCCTATCCGCGTGGAAGCGCCTGGAGCTGCTCTCCTACGCCGAGCATTAAATGGTGGACTAGATGTGGACACTATCGCAGATATTGCTGTGAGAATAGGCGAGTTCCCTATGCAGTTGTTGTACCAGGCCAGTGGGCTTACAGCAGAAGTGCGGTTGTGATGAGTGAAGATGGAAGATGAAAGAGAAAGACTAAGATTGGAAAGAGAGATCCAAAAGTCAGGCAAAGAGGATGTACTAAGATGGGGTAGCTGAAATATGTGTATCATCGATGCTTAAGAAGGGAAATTTATATTGGGAGGATCCGAAACACAAGAAACAAGATCCAGGCCCCAAAGTGAGCTAAATGAGTTTATCAGGGGAAAACTCTATTTTACTATTTTCAGATTGCATTGTGGAATGATTTCCGTGAGCAGTCCATCATTATGCGTTAGCACTAGTTCATGCATGTTACCGAAGACACAAACCAATTGCACCATCCATTTTGCAACAAACTTCTTAAGCTTACAGCACGATGTGTTTCAAAACGAATATCGAGCTTTGTCGAGAGTTGACTTGGTGAAGTTGAAATAAGCTTGGGCCCAGAACCCGTGCATCCGCGAAAACACGTGACCAATGTTTACCCGAGCTATATTTAGATGGCGTGCGCCCACCACCAGCGCACAAGGCCCCATTCTCAAGCCACTAACCTTTTTCCCAGCATTACTCCACTCGTTCGCTAAATGATGAAATTCTCCGCCTTGGTCGTTTTGGCCGCAGCTCTTCCCCAAGTTTTGGCCACCCCTCCAGCCTGTTTGTTGGCTTGTGTGGCCCTGGTGCAAAAGGGCTCCTCTTGTTCCAACATGGGCGACTTGTCTTGCGTTTGTTCGAGTGAATCGAGCGCCATGCAAAAGTGTTTGAGCAGCACCTGTCCAGACGGTGACGCCGATGCCGCCTCTTCCGCCTTCAGCGACTCGTGCAAGGGCTACGCTTCTGTGTCTTCTTCGTCTTCTGCCTCTTCTTCCGAGGCTTCCTCTTCTTCCGAGGCCTCTTCCACCGAGGCTTCCTCTACTGAAGCCTCCTCTACTGAGGCTTCCTCTTCTGAAGCTGCTTCCTCTGAGGCTCCATCCTCTTCCGAGGCTGCTTCTTCTGTTGAAGCCACTTCTGAGGCCGCTTCGTCTGCTGCTGTTTCTACCGAAGCCGCTTCCACCGAAGTTGCTTCTTCTGCACCAGCTTCTTCTGCACCAGCTTCTTCCGCACCAGCTTCTTCTGCGCCAGTCTCTTCTGCTCCGGCATCTTCTTCCGTCGTTCCTTCAGCAACTACTGTCAGCTCTGCCGACGGCGCTTTGAAGACCGGTGCTTCCTTCGGTGCTGCTATCATTGGTGTGATTGGCGCCTTGATCTAAAAGTTTAATTCTAGTTTATACCCAAATCATACGGCTTGTTGTTGATGCTGGGCAGCTTCGCTCCTATTGTAGACGGTCTAGACCGTGCCCCTGCAGACTGTACTGCTGCTACTTTTTTCTTTAAAAAACTTCACCAAAATAGTGGACTGCAGATAGGTATGGTGCACGGGTGCGCTCTTTTCCCGTTTTGGCCTCTCTTAAGCTTCTGTGCTTTGGGACACTTTTTTTTTTGTTTCGGCACACTTTCATTTTTGGGACACTTTTACTTTTGGGATACTTTCACTTTTGGGATACTTTGCTTTTCGGTTTTGGAACGCCCTTCTCGGTCTTTTCCGGAAAGCAATTCCGCTCTATTTGTCTTTACTTTTGTTTCCAGATTACCTTGGGATTGGGCTTTTTTTTTCCTTCTATAGGCGGCTAGCTTTTTTTGCAACAAAACAAAGGACCGTACACCCGTACACCATGACGATACGGGAGGAGATATTTTCTCTGCGCTCTTTGACTTGTTATCTGTGCCTGCACAGACGCCCTTGGTGTCCCGCGGCACATCCGTCGGCATTGCAATCACGGCACCGTGAGTCGTTGCTATTCCCCAATTAGGCGCTCTCCGTTTGTGTACTTAAGTGAAGCTTTTCCTCTTCACTCCAGAAACTCGACTTCTTTCCCATAATGAGCCAGAACATACCTAAGATTCACCTGCCTGTTCCATATACCTTGTATAGGGCATCGCTTGTCCACACTCCTAAGTTGGGCGAGTTGGAGATCTTGCCCGATATGCTTGTCGGCGTGGACTCGAAGGGTGTGATTGACTGCCTCGAGCCAGCATCAGGATCTTCGAATCCACAAGAATTGCCCCGTTTCAAGGGCAAGCAAATGCGTTATGTGGATCTCCACGGCACGCCGTGCCAGTTCCTTGTGCCAGGCTTCATCGACACGCACATCCACGCACCACAGTACCCGAACATCGGAATTGGATCTGAGCTTCCGTTGTTGAAATGGCTCGAGAAGCACACTTTTCCGTTGGAGACGCAATTCACAGACGAAAACCCAGACAAGATGGCGTTTGCAGAGGAGATCTACACCAAGTGCATTGATAAGTCACTTGCCAACGGTACAACGACCGCGTCGTACTTCACCACAATCGATGGGGAAACAACCAGTCTTTTTGCTGATTTGTTGGCCCGCCATGGCCAAAGAGGCTTTGTGGGCAAACTGTGCATAGACTGCAACCCCGACTTTCCACACTATGAGGAGCTGTATGAAGAATGTGTGGAATCTATGGAAACATTGATCGACCATTGCAATAAATTGAACTGTGGGAAGTCCGATTTTGCCGTTAAAGCCATCATCACCCCTCGCTTTGCCCTCTCGTGTACCCGCGAACTCATGACAAAGCTTGGCCTGCTTGCTAAAGAGCACAAGTTGCCCATCCAGACGCACATCTCCGAAAACAAGGACGAGATCCGCTTAGTGCGTGAAAACTTCCCTGAATGCGAGAACTATGCTTCTGTGTACGACAAGCATTCTTTGCTCGGACCATCTACCATTATGGCCCACTCCATCCACTTGTCCAGCGACGAGCGTGAATTATTCCGCAAATCGGGATGCTCTATCAGCCACTGTCCACCCTCAAACTCTTTCCTTACCAGCGGCGAAGCTCCTGTACATCGCTACTTGTACGAAGACAAAATCAACGTTTCGCTTGGCACAGATCTCTCGGGCGGCTATGAGCAGTCTATTTTGGGTGTTGCTCGCAGTGCAATCATGGTAAGTCACCACTTGGCGATGCACACCGAAAACAATAACGTGCGGGTTTCTATCGCCGAGGCGTTGTACATGGCGACAATGGGCGGTGCTAGAGCATGTGGTTTGGGCGACCAGGTGGGCTCCTTTGCCGTGGGCAAAACATTTGATGCGCAGCTCATTGATTTGGATGCACCTGGCACCAATGTAGATGTGTTTGCCTTCCAGAAACCGAATAAACCCGAAGACGACGATTACAAGGAGAAGTTGGTTCATTTGGTATATCGCTGGGTCTTCTCAGGTGATGATCGTAACTGTGTACGTGTTTGGTGTAACGGACGTACAGTGGTGAACAAGGAAAACCAGTGGGTGTATATTGAAAGAGAGAGCAAGGAATAAGTGGAAGAGGCGGACATGCCGGCGAATATTGCACGCAATCGTTGGAATTCAAGGGCAGAGGAATCACGCTTATCATGTCCTAGAAGGAATGATCTTTTCAATTCTTTTGTCTATCGAGAAGAGTTGAAGTGGACTAATGGTTAATATTTAATGTAAGGCTTACTAGTATGATTTTGTAACAGCAGACAGATGAGATGTTGTTCGATACATTGGAATGTGTCCGCATTGTATTGGTTGTCGCTGCTCACATAAACGGTAGGATGAAATTGGAATACGGCAAATTAATGGACGTGGAGAAACAACAAGAAGTTATGGCGAATCTCTGTTAGTTAAGACAAATCAGGACTCAGTTCTCATGGATTCTCTTGGTCAGGCTGTCTGTCAGTCAGTCTTCATTCTAGACATGTAATTTTTGTAGTCTCTTCCTCTGTCATCCTGCTCGACGGGCAATAATGAGACACGCCGCATAACCGTTGGAGATCGCACCCGTGCACCGCAGATTATGAACCCAACGGCATTCTTATTGCATAGGAGAGGCATTATGTTGGCGCAAGGCTAAAATAAGATCCCGAGCCGCCTAAAAAAGAACGGCGAAATTAGCCGGCGCAGACATCTTTGGCTTCTGGTATCTGCCAGCAAGCTGAACTCAGAATGCTCGTATGGCCTTGGCGATGGAAATTCTTGTATTTGGCCCAGAAATCGCTTCTCTCGCTTCTTACGTAAGCCCACAGCCACACTAGTACGTCAACACGGCCAGGGCTCTTGGAAGAGCACAGGGTGGGAGGTGCAAGAGGAAAAAGCAGAAGAAGGAAAAAGAAACTGCAAAATCGAAAATCGAAAATCGAAAATCGAAATCCAACGGAAAAAAATATCGGCCAGCGTACCAAATCAAGTAAGCTTTGCCTATCTCGGATCTGTCTCTTGGCGCAGATACTTTTCTTTCCGATATCGCGTCCTGCATACACGTCCGTGCGCGCGGATCTACCCCAGTATGGAAATCGGTTTTTTTTTTCTGTTCACCAACGTTGTTTTGAACGCGGACCCACTTCCATTCCTTTGCTGAGTCTCTCCTTTTCGTATTTAGTATCACTGCCCCGCTGTCATTGTGAGTACACTTTTCGTGGCCATTCTTTCCTTTTGTTCCGCTCTTTTCCATCTTGTGTTCCTTGATTCTCTCGTTCCACACTAATGAAGTTTATCACACGCCTGCCCAAGAAGAAAAGCGTCCGCCCACCGCCGCCCGCAGAGGCACCTCGAGACTCGGCCACGTTTGCCGATGGCGAGATCTCGCCTGAACTCGTGCCCATCGTCACGTTGTTGTCGTCGCAGGCCCACCGACGCTATTATGAAGGAATTTTCATGTTGTATTATGATTTGAACGGCGACGGCAAGCCCGGCGACCGCCAATGGAAGGAGGTGTACGGTATCTTGACCGGGAACCAGCTCGCGTACTGGGACGTGGCCAACTTGGCCGAGTTCAAGAACCTGCCTGAGCGGCTTCTCGAGTCTTCAAGCAAACCCAACTACCTCAACTTCACCGACGCCATTTTCAACGCCATGAAGGTGCTTCCTGCTGCGAAACAGCAGCTTGAAAACGTGATCATCGTGCTGACCACGATGAAGAACAGATACATCATCCAGTTTCGTTCGTTCGACATGCTTACCGAATGGTACTTGGCTCTTCGATTGGCCACGTTCGAGTACCAGTCTTTGCAAGAAGCCTACACTGGTGCGCTCTTGTCGGCGCGTGGGCTGCGGTTGTCCGATATCCGCACGATATTGGCGGAAAAACGCTTCAACCACCAGGACTGGGTGAAAATCCGCTATGGCTCGGGCATGGCATGGAAACGGTGCTATGCGGTGATCGAGCCGCTGACCAGCAAGCGCAAAAAGTTCATTCCGGGCCGTATTGTGCTTTATGAAAACGAAACAATGAAGAAAAAAGCTCTCATGGGTGTGATTACCCACGCCACGCTGGTGACAGCCGTGTATCCGCAGCTGCCCTTTTTCATTGACCAGAGCACCATCATGAAGCTCGAGGGGGCCATCAATTTTGACGTTGGCTCAGGAAAACCAAAGAAAAAGGACCACAATGAAAACATGGAAACGTCGCTCTTTCTTATGCCCGAGCTGCATTCGGCGGTGCCTGGTTTTGACACCTTGATCCGGTTTTTGATCCCGCTTTTCGATGCCTTTGGCTTGTACGGCCGCCCGGCCATGTTGAAGGCCGACCGCATTGACCCGCAATCTCTTTTGTTCGGTTTGCCCACGTTGCCCCACGTCCACTATCTCAATTTGTCCGACTTGGAGTCCTTAACGGGGTCGGACCAGTACTTGGAATGGGACGCCCGCACGTGGAAAAACAACCTCAAGCGTGTGTTGCAGCTGAAGTTGGCGCAGGGCTATGAGGGCTGCGGTTCAGCACGTGGCTTCCTGGGCGCCATCAACTCGTTGAACAGCCCGCTGCTAGCAAGCCCAGGCACGGCCAAGTCGTCACCAACAACGATGCGGCTGGTTTCTGGGCCTGCGCCGACAGACCGCATTCTTCCGGCGAAACCACGCACAGCTTCTGGGTTCGCCAAGTCGCTGAGTCCGCCTGCGTTTGGCGCCAGCCCGTCTGGCGTTGGCGCTAGTCAGTTGGGCCAGGCTGCGCCGGTGTCGATGCCGCAGATTGCCGTTTTGGGCGAAGACGCTCCGAAGCTCCCACCGTCAGACCCCAATAGGGAAGTGGCCAGCCGAGGCCAGCGCAACGTCAACAACTTGGCCATCGACACAGAGGAGCCCACGCGCAAGTCGTTGCAGTTGGCAGACATTTACCACAAGTACTCGAAGATCCAAACGCCGTCGGACCGCTTCAACGACAGGAACGAGATCCTCAACGGCAGCGCCGAGGAGCTCGACGAAGAAGCGCTCCCCAGCTTGATGCGCAAAAAGTCGTTGATGCACGGGCCATACCCAACCACAGAGAGACACTTGTTGAACGCCAGCGACGACGACGAAGAAGAAGAGCAGGACGAGGACGACGAAGACGACGACTACTCCTCGGCCAGCCTGGTGCAGAAAGAGCGGCCTCTCAATACCGGCTTACTAGTGCCAAGTGTCGAGAGGCTCGAGCAGTCGCACTCGCCCAACACCCAGTACTCGGAGTTCAACAAGCAGTTTTCTCAGGCCGTGGACAGGCGCTACGACACCGAGCTGTCGGGCTCGGAGGAGCTTTCGCCGCCGCCCAGCCCGCCCCGCCACTCGCAGGAGGCCGAGCGGTTTTCTGGGCTGTACCAGGCGCAGCAGCTTCCGCAGATCCAGCAGATCCAGCAGTTGCGGTCGCAGCAGACGGTCAACGCGCCGTTGCAGAGCCCTTCGGCCGCGCAGACATCGTTTTCCGACCAGCACCGCCTGGCCCAGAAGGCACCGGCCCAGCAGACCCAGCAGACGCAAGGGGGCCAGAAAACCGCGATTCAAAAGTCATCCGCCGTGACCAACTTGAGCCATAACCTCATGCGTGAGGAAGTCGCCTCTCCCACGAGCGAACATTATCGGCCGCGGTATATTCTGTCGCCCAACAGCTCGCAGAACCAGGTGCATCAGTTCGCAGATGTGCGGACGGAGAAGCCACAAAGCCTGCTGAAAGAAAACGGCCTGCTTCCGCCGGTGCAGACGTCTCATAAGATCCCAGCTTACGCGCAAAACACGGCTTATGCCGCCTATGGCCAGCCTTCGTCGCCTGGAACTATGAATGCTCCTCGCTCGCCTGTCCAGCCGTTTCCAAACGGTCCAGGCCATCAACCTGGCCTGCGTCCACATGTTTCGGGCGGTCCTCTGGGACCTTCCGGGCCTGGACAATACGGACCGGGCTACGGCCAGCAGTATGCTCCCGCGCAGAAGCCTGGAAACCAGAAACCGATGACTCCTCAAGCCGGTGGACAGAAACCGGGCCAGTATCCAGGCCAGCCGGGAGGCGGACACTATGCTGCTGGAAACAATGCGTATCCACCGCAGAACTATCCACGCCAGAACTTCCCTCAGAACCACTCGGCTCAGAACTATCCACTGCAAAACCAACCACTGCAAAACCAACCACCGCAGAATTATCCACCGCAGAATTATCCACAGCAAAACTACCCCCCTCGTGCTCAGTACCAACAAAGGCAAGTTAGAAGCCAACCAGGACAAAAACCGCTTCCCAACCAAATGAACCAGGTCGGGCAAAGACCACATCCAGGCCAGCCTAGCCAGCCCGCACAAAAGCCACTTCCAACCCAACCAGGTCAACCGCAGGCTCGTCCGGGCGACCACCCCTACCAACAGCGTGTGAATGCTTCGCAACAGTACCCACGGCCTGGAACGACAACGGGCCAGAACCCTCTGTCTTTCCGCTCCTATGACGGAAATCCCTACCAGTACCAGGTTCAGTCGACATACACGCTGCCTGCTCCAGGACCAGCGATGCACAAAGGTCCAGGCGATGCTCGAGGCCAAAATCCAAATGCCAAATCAGACTCGCGACAGGGAGGTTATCGCCAGTACTAGAACATATGAGGGGATCTCAGATTTTTGAGATGGGATCTTGCATTCAGAATTGGTAGTGTTGGTGTTTGGATTTGGAGTTGTTAATGTTGCTAGTTGTTCGATGATGTCGAGAAAGAAATATTCCAATATAAGAGAAGTTGAATGCAAAGTAGAGCTATTGGTAGACAAGTACGTTGGACTATGGGCAGGTTAGTCGTAAAGTAGAGAATTGGATGAAGGGGCCATTAAGAAACAGTGTGATACTTTTGAAGATGTACATACAAGAATATTGTACACATGGCAAAGGGCCAAGACTTGAAGAGGGAAAGACAACATGAGTAGCCAATGCTTAGAATCGGGAGAACATGATTTCCAGCTAGAGAATGTTCTCTCGTTATTACTTGAATGAGAGACTGATTACACAACAGTGGGCAAATGCATATTTTGCACATTTCAGTTTCGTCAGCAGTTCCAAGACAAGCTGATGATAAACACGGTCTATTGACCATCGACACCAATGGTAGCACAAATGGCCTCGGACCCCCTCAGTAAGACAAGAAATCTCTTTGCATCAAGTCTCTGCTTTCATTTGCCTTGCGACCTACCTAAGCACGCCATTGGTACGACACCCTCGTTGCCGTCCACACGAACCAGAGCCCATCCGTCCAGATGAGTTTGGATCACCTCTACAGATTGCCCTACCAGAAGGGACAACTCATCTGCTAAACGCTTCGTGTATGATCGCACCACTACACGACTGACAGTAGGCTTCTCTGGAGGGGGTGGTGGATTTGGCAGCTTATCCGAGGCCAGAAGATGGAAGCGACGAAGTATCGGTGGGCAAAATGACGCCGGTGATGCGGGCCAATCCAGGATACGGCTTAGGCGGTTGAGAAACGTGCGCTTTGGTGGATCTGGACGTGGACCCAACCCCTTGGATCCGGGAGATGTTGGACGCCACGACGTTTTCTCAACTGCAAGGACATCGGGCAGTTGGCCATGCACTTTGCGCATAACGAGCCACGCCACACACGCAAGAATAACTGCTGCCACCACAGCCATGGGGATGCCGATTGCAAGTCCCAAATTTGAGTTCAGAGACTTTGACATTGGCTTCCATGGCAGTGGCGTGGCAGACAGCACACGCATCGTTGTCAGAGCAGAGGACGCCGTGGAAGTGCTGGGCGTGTACGACGAGCCAGAAGTGGAAGCATAATAATTGACTGGCAGCTGTTCGGAAGACGTGAGAAGAATAGGATTCACGGGCTGCGTTGATGTTGGCAGGACAGGTACAGTGAGAGTGACCTGAACAAACGACTCCGCCTGCTGCAGGCTAGAGGTGACAGTAAGGGTCAATATGCGGATTATGGTGGTATCAGACAGATCGCGACGGAGCAACATGATGGCGAAGAAGGGGTACTGGAACGGGACACACTGTATTTATAGCCCGAGATTCTAGATGTGACACCAGTGAGACAAGCTGATGACATCGCAATGATGCAAGCGCAGACGCACAGACGGTTACTTCAAACACCCGTCAGAACGAATAAGACCGATTGCGTCACATCTTTTCGACACTGTAGAAACACTCTAAATCCCAATGAGGCAGAGACCCATTTGGGACATTTGAAACGTTGCTGAAACATGGTCAGATGCAAGTGTAAAATGCGAAACATGTCAAAGGATCTCATTATCGATGCAATTGTAAGATCTAGGCAGATTACGGAACCTTTCTAATACAGTTACTTGCGCTAAAGCGGAAGCTGTGGTTCTTGGTCCGCCGAGTCAAGAGGATCCGCGCCTTCGCTAATGGCGGGGAAGTACTTGCGGTAGCAGGTGGTTGCTGCACCAATGCCTAGAAAAGCACCCAAGATTATATCAACGAAATGGTGGCGATAGTCCTGGGTCCGGGACAAGGCCACATAAAAGGCCAACACAAGCGGCAAAAGAGCGGCAAAGTGCCAGTGAATGGGTCTTTCTGTCGCTGCCACGCCGAATTGGGCAGCAAGCCATGCCGATAAAAAGCCAAATGCGGCGAAAGAGATGGCCAGGTGTCCTGACGGCGTAGAACGCATTCCGTCTTCCAAAACCATCATACCGAATGGCGCAGTGCATACTTCGGCGGTGACATACTCATCGAATGGAGTTCCTTGCCGAGGCCCACAGCGCACAAGGAAATCTGGACGAGGGCGCCCGATCCAGGCCTTCAAGATGTCTGTAGCCGTTCCCACGGTGCTGACAGCGAGGAAGACGCCAAGGACGGACACTGTCCACACGTGCCATGCGTGGTCGGGACGGTTGCGGTGCTTGATGAACGTCACCAATGCCATGACTATAGGAGGTATAAATGCGGCTAAAACAAGACATTCGGGTCCTGAAACACGCTCAACGAGAGCGAATGGGTGCTGGATGGTTGGATCACTCAACTTGAACTGGCGATGGAACGGTACGATGTGCTCGGCAACACCAAGAAAAAAGACGGTTATAAGAATAGCTGCAATCCAGTCTGGAAAATGGCGGCGGAACCGCGGCAGACGAACATACGCAGCGAGGGACATTGGTAGGGACGATTTGGAATTTAACAATCACATAGGTATACGATGTCGCGTGCAAGGCGGAGAAGGGATGTACTGGTGTTTCGGCCTCGGTTGCTATTACCGTTAATTGAGAAAAACATGAAGAAACATGTTAAGGCTGAAGTCCTTTTTTTTTGTCTTCAAAGGATAGGGTCAATTCCGAATTACAAGAAAGAGTAGATTGCAAACTTTTAGGAAAAACCAGGCTCTTTTTTGAAGAAAGGACAACCCTAAGGTTAGAGGTGACAAAATGGACCAGATATCAAAGTTAATTCTACCAAATCATAAAGTCATGTAGATAGGAACAAGAAACAAATAGGTAGGAAAAATGTAGAACTGAAGATAAATTTCCCTGATATCAAGCTCCTTTTATAGTCCTACTTTTTGCAGCCACGTTGATGCATGAGCGACATTGCATCACGACAAGAAGCGAAAGCGACACGCCGACATGCTGAGCGCCACAAACGACATGTCGTCAACAGCATGCGACATGCAACGACATTCAAGTCAATGAGTTCGGGCCGAGAGACTTGACATTTGTTGTCTGAAAAATGTACGAACAGTTAGGATATTCGGGTCTTCCAAATGTAGAGAATGATTGCTAAAATTTCTAGGCTGGTCGTGACGATCATTGACAGTGACAATGAACGAAGGTGATATACTTACAGCTTTATTCTTTCAAAGAACTGGAAGCCTGTGCATTGAGGTACACATACTTATCTTATCCATCAGTTTGTAAATTGACTGAAGCTGGGATCACTTCTTTGACTAATACAAGCTTTATTATGAGGTAGTGGTACTATCAACTGTAAACAGAATGCAAAGATTGGGACGTTCTGAAGGCTCGACAACTTCAAAGAATGACGGATGTAAATATTCCAACTCAAAGAAGTGTGTGACAAAATATAACACGAGTTGCACTTGACTTTCTTGTCCGACCAACTACACAGCTCATTTCTCATAAATCTATCACTCTATATAGCATTGAAGCCGTAAAAATATCCGTCGGCCGCCTGTTCCACATACGTGAGCAAGTTCATCAAGTTGCGCAGATGGAAGTAGGAGCCCACAAACAGCTCAAAGTTGCCCACAGAAAACTGCGGAACGAGCTTGGGAGCCGGTTCGTACTCGGGCGGAATTGGGCTGGGCGGGCAAAAGTCGCTGCGGCGCTGCTGGCCGTCGGGCGCAATGTACAAGTCGGGTTGGTCTGCGGGCAACACGGCACAGAGCCAGATGCGGGTTTTGTAGATTTTGAACAACTCCTTGATGAGGCCGCGGAAGTCCACGCGGCGGAAGTTGGCAAAGTAGTAGAAGATCAACTTCTTGAAGTCAAACTGGTACTCCACGTCCACAAGCGAGAGCGCGCCGTCCAAGGCCAAGTCGGCGATCTTGGTGTGGCAGGTGACAAACGCCCTGCGCTCCTCCAAGAAGCGGCTGCCCAAGCGATGGACTTCTTTGGGCGACGCTAGGCGCAACACCTGTTTTGTCGGAAGCGAGATGGTGAGCTCGCTGTCTTCGCCGCGGGCGACAATCTGCGCCGCGGGCTCGTGCAGCAGGTGGCTTTTCTTGCCGTCCACAATGGTGAGCGACTTCAAGTGCTCGATTTTCTTGACGTAGTTGAACAACACGGCAAGGTCGACGTTGATGTGCGGGTCCACGACCATGGCCAAGTCTTTGCCGCGGTCGCCGTCGACAATGGCCAAGTCGTCCGTGTGGAAGCGGATGTTGCTGTGGCTCGGGTACGCCAAAAGATCCAACTTGCCGTTTTTGTTGGCCACCAAACAGAGCGCGCGGTGGGGCGCGAGCGAGTTTGTGCGGCGCAAAAACGCCACGAGCTGCGCCACCGCCGGCCGCGCAAGCAACCGGTTGAGGCGCGCCACGATCTCGCGCGTGAGCGCGCGGTCCTGGAAGTAGGGCGCGGCCCGCCCGTAGAGCGTGCGCAAGTCGGGCGACGCCTCGATACACTGGTCGCGCAAAAGAAGGCCGTCGGCGATGGTCTGGTCTTCGGGGTTTCTGGGCCGTGAAAGTGGGTACTCGGGTTTGGGGAACTGGCGGTTTGGATTTTGGGGTTGATTGTGGTTTTGATTTTGGTGTTGGTTGTGGTGTTGATTGTGGTTTTGATTCTGGATCTCATTTTGGTGTTGACTGTGGTTTTTATGGTTTTGATTCTGGATCTGATTGTGGATCTGATTGTGGATCTGATTGTGGTTTTGATTATGGTGTTGCAAGTTCTGGTTCTGGCTGTTGCTCTGGTTCTGGCTGTTCTGGCTGTTGCTCTGGTTCTGGCTTCGGCTATGGTCTATCTCGTCGTTCCAATTGCCTTGTCCCTCTTCCTGGTCGCCCACAGAAAACCGCTGGAGCAGGGCACACGCCTGGTCAAGCTGTTGCGCCGAAAACCCCGCCATGTTGCGCGTAAACGATTCCGCCGCATACGACGGCCGCCGCGACAGAATGGTGCCGACGCCGCCCTGAAGCTCGGCCGGCAACGCAAACGGGTCGAAGCGCGGCATGTCGCGCGGCGGCTCGCGCCACTTTGCGCGCGGCGTCTCCAGCGGCTCGCCCCAAAACCCCACCGACGCGCCGCGCCCGCGGAACTCGCGCAAAAGGTCGCCGCGAACTTCGCCCCACGGGCTTTTGAAGTCGCGCGCCCCGAATTCGCCATACTCGCTTGCCCCAATTTCGCCATAATTAGCCGCCCGGCCAAAGTTATTGGAGCCAATTTCATGGCTCACAGCCAAATCGCCCGCCGCCAGATCAGGAGCGCCCGAATCCGGCTCAGACAATCTCCCAAAATCAAGCTTCCGCCCTCCGCCTCCGTACATGGCGTCTTTGATGGATGCTTCTCGGCTCGTTTCTGCTTCGCCCAAACCCCTACCAAAATCGCTCGAACCGAAAGCCCGAGGCGAATACGACAGGTCCGGGTGGGGCAGAAACGCCTGGAAGTGCGGAGAACCGCGTGTTTGTTGTTTCCTCTCCGGCGGCCCTAGAAAATCAGGCACGTTCAAGTCCATAGGAAAGAAGTTGTAGTATTGTGGAGTTGAGGCGAGAACAAGGTAGATGACTGTGGCTGCCTGCAGGAAAGCCTGGGGTGGAGCATGTCGTGCGTGATTTGCTTGGCCCGACTTTGCCCCCCACTCGACACGCGAAATCAAGTAGACATGTTTGCGACATGTGAACCTACTACAATGTCGCTGTCTTTCTTGATTGCCATTTGTAGCCTTTTATCTTTTTTTTCTTTTTCCGTCCCTTGGAGTGCACTTGGGCGCTGACGGTGACGCAGCGTGTGGCTGATGCTATCTCCGGTGATTACACAAACGCAATGTCGCTTCTAGACGAGACAAATGTCTGGCTCCCGCATAACCGTGTAGTCCACCACCTTGTGCTTGTTTCCTTAGACAGCAGGGCTTCCATGCATGAGGATCTGCGGGTGCTGCGTCTCGTGCGTTCGCGACTCGCGTGGTACTGCCCTTTTGTCTCACTTCCATGTGTCATCCTTGAGACATGACAAAGAAGGCTTTAGTCTTTCTTTAGGCTTTCTAGTCTTTCTTTGGAAGTGAAATACGAAAAGCTATATAAGCACTACACGACTGTATTACGAAGGGAACCACAGGAATGGATACGACAGCATGTATAATGAGATCCGTCCCGACGAAGATTTACTTGAGATGCTCGATTACTTTGAAAAGTCTTGTCCTGCCCTTTACCATTCATGATGGTTGGATACATACGCTCAAATTTGGCCTGTCGAAACAAGATATTCTAAGGATGGCTTGCACATGGCTGATCCTCTCTTCGAATCCTTGTAGTTTTCTTTCTGTAGTTTTCCCAAGTATCCTCATCCAAGGTTATTCGGGGTTCTGCTCACTCGTGTCTTTCGAGCTGTTCCGGTACCGGCAAGATCTCGAAGGAGGAACATCGTGAGTCTCATATAGGAGTAAGGGTGCATATACTCCAAAGGTAAACAAAGTAGCATAACGTCTAAAATGAACCTTTATCCCACGGCAGTCCTTGATCTGCTCTAGCAGGGAGATATATTGATAAGCCGTACTTTGGATCGCAGTGGTAGAATGTCTTCTTCACTCATATCAGGACTAACGTAACTGTTTTTGATAGAAGATAATGGAATCTTCAATCTGTCAGGACGAGTCCAAGGCACTTGCCTTGTTGGTATGGAGAACGATATTCAGGATCGTGGGGTGTTCGAACTCGACGTTGAATCTTGTCGAACCCAGATCTTGAATCTTGTCGAATTCAGATCCTCGCCAAACGGATATACTGAAGCTGTTGGCGTCCGGTCGCGTCTTCTCTTCCTTTTCGTCGTCTTTTTCCCTCTTTCGTCGTCCTTCTCTTCCTTTTCGTCGTCTTTTCCTTCTCTTCCTTTTTGTCGTCTTTTTATTCGTCGTCGTTGTTACTATTCTACACTGATTCGTTCAACTGTATATTTCTACTCACAAAGCACCGCCCACCTGCTCTCTGTGAGCTTCAATGACGTCACCGTCCTCCAAGTCCAAATCTTCCGGAGTGTTGTCTGGCGACACACGGGTGCCGTCAATCAAGAATCTCAAAGATTCCATCGACTTCCCCTGTCTCTTGCAAAAGGCCTCCATCAATCTCTTCATGGGCGTTGTTTTTTTGATTTTGAAAAAAATCTCGGCGGTGCCATCGCTGACTTTCAAGTTGATGTGCGTATTGTCGGGCTTTTCTTCCTTTGGTTGTTCGGACATTGGTATGGAGTGAAGTTTCGTGAGGTTGTTTTGGCGTGGGCTTTTGTTTATCTCTGTATGCAGGCTGCTGGTTGGACAACTTTTGCTTGAATGATGGAGTTGGCTTGGGTTGTTTCGGAATGTGTTCGTAAAGTTTTCAGAATGTGTTTCCTTCTGCCGAATCGGGGTTTCCTTCTGGTTCGGCTATTTATTTTTTTTGTTTTGTTGTCTCGGTCTGATGAAAAAAGTGATTCTATGTTTGTACTGGTGAAGCTGAATGTAGTGGCGAATTGTGGCCACTGCTATTGATTACGAAATGAATTGGATGTTTTCCTTTTATTCAAAATATTTCTTTTCTTTGATTACGTTTTTTTTTTGGTGAGTGTTTTGTCTCCAGAAATGCCAATTCTATATAGTATTGCGAATTGAGAAGCGAGCCTACCCATCTACAGAAAAACTTCATTTGGGATTAAAAAATACATTTTGGCGACATACGTAAGGAAAATTACACGTCACGGCAGACTCTGGCTTAACGGAGTGACTGAGAAAAAACGAGATCAATTACATTGGTTGAAGATGAGAAGATATCAAATCTTCGAAATCCAGCCACCGCACACTCCATTCCGCTTTAAATGACCAGATTCAACTTTGTTCGTTTGAGTTCAGCTCTTTTTTCGTTTGAATGGCTCAATTAGTGTTACGTTCGTTATTCTGTTTTGTTATGTGAGCGTCTTTGCGTGGCTTCAAACGTGTTTCAGCCTGGAACAAAACTGGAACAAGACGTGGGTAGCCTCAAGACTTGGGTAGCCTCAACAAGGTAGCTTAAGTGGACCTTGGCCCACCGATTCAGCACCATACCATGCGAAGGTATCTTAATGCGCAAGAGAGAATCTCTCTTATCTGGCTCCACCCTCATGTTTTGGTGATGGCTCTTCTTATGGTGAAAATATACTTGTTCACCAAAACTCTCACAGCAGCACTAGCAGCCTTCAAGAAAGTGGCGTTGTCTCTATGTGTGCAGCTCGACAATGCTCTGAGCCAAGCTTTGGCTGTCCCAAACCACGTTTCGACGATTTCTCGCTTGGTGCTTGAAGCGGCTTTGGCGTCGGCAGAAAACTTGACGAAACACTTGTTCAACTTGGCTATTTGGGCCATGAAAGGCCTCATTGGCTTTGCCATCGATCTTTATTTGGGCACCGTCGCTTGTCTCTGCACGGCTTTTGTTAGAGGGACTTTGGAAGTGTTGACGGAGATGTTGGAAACTGTGACGAAAGCGGTGCAAACAGCAGTCAATGCCACCATCAGAGCGTTTGATTCGGGACTTTCGGGACTTTCCACGCTCATCAGCGGCCTACTCCGCAGCTTTGACGCCGTGAAGTCGCTTTTTGGCGGAGATTCCCAAGCCTCCACCATTCTGGACGGCCTAAGCAATCTCAACATGACAGTGGCCTCGCTTTCCCAGATTTCCATTCCAACGTCGTACATAGACAAGATTGCCAATCTCTCCAACGATGTGCCTGACTTTGAAAACGTGCTTTCCAACCTCACGCTGTTGGTGACAAAACCTCTCGATCTCATGGCATACGATGTGGGCAACATATCTTTCCACATTGGCTGGGACCAAAACAGCAACAGCACCAAATTGGAGACTGTGCAAGGGTCCTGTCACGGGCTCGAGCGGAGTTTCGACGTTGCCATCAGCGAAACATGGAAACTCACCCACTACATTCTCATAGCCGTGGGAATAGCCTGTCTGCTTCTTCTTTGCGTGATGGCGTGGGTGGAATACCAAAAATGGAACAGGCACCAGCTTTTGCTTGACGAACTTTCCGTGGAACACCAGCAGGTTCGGATCGGGAACATGCTCAACGACTATAGTCACCGTCTTGCCTCGCGGCTTGTGAGGAAATGCCACCCTAAAGTCCGGTGGTGGGCTTCGTATGTCGCCACGCCGGCTCTTACGAAATGCCTCTGCCTCGGAATAGTTGGATCAGCGGCAGTAGCACTTCAATACTGCATTCTCATGTCTATCGAGCAGAAGTTGAAGAAGGTCGAAGTAGGCAACGACAACGACATCTCGGCACTTGCCCGTTCGAGGACTTTGGCGTTTTTGAACGAAACTCAGCGTCTGTTGAACTCGCTGCTGCACCAGGCAAATACCCTCTTGTTTTCCTCGCTCACCAACACAACGGCGACGCTCTATGAGCAGATTCTCGAGTCACAGGCCGCTGTTAACAACACCATCCACGCTGTTTTCGGGTCGTCGCCTTTCGCCAAGCCGCTCCAGACAATCGTGTATTGTACGATCGGACGCAAGTTGGAGATGGTGGAGGAAGGGCTTCGGTGGATCTCCAACAACGTGCAAATCGAGTTTCCTCTTCCCCCCGACGCCCAGATCCAGCAGTACAGCGAAGAAACAGTACGAAGCCTCACAAACCTGTCGTCTGACGTTTCTGAAGAGATCCAGGCGGCACTCCACAGTTTGATCAGCAAGTACAAAGAAATGCTCCGTATCGAGCTAATCACCAGCTGTGGTTTTTTTGCATTGTGGATTTTGGCCGTTGGCGTTGGATTCCTTCTTATGTTGATCAAGGAGGAGGAGAACCCGCAAAGTATCGCCATGATCACTTCCCCGCGGCCTTTGAGCGAGATTGAAAGAGAAAAATACGACCTCCCGTTCACAGATCCTTTTCTTCTTACATGCTCAAGCAGGTATTCGGAGACATAGCACTGCGGTAGATTCATAGTAGATTCAATCGAGACGTCAATCAGTAGTTAGAGGATTACTTACACCGTCCTGCGCCGTATCTTGATATTGCGTATCGTGTTTCTTTCGTTTTCGTATCGACTTGCCTTGCCTGTACTGCTGCACTGTTTTCTTTAGTGCATTAGCTTGTTTCTTTTGTGTCCTGTTGTCTTTAGTACATTGTCTTGTTTCCTGTTTCTTTAGTGCATTAGCTTGTTTCCTGTTCCTTTAGTGCCTTTGTCTTGTTGAGTGCTCTTGCATGTATCTGGATTGCCCTACATCTCTGTTTTCTCTTGTGTTTGCTGGAACTCATCATAAGAACACTCAAAGTTGTGGTGACAATCCGGATCGTCCGAATAATTATCCCGTTCCGACCCATCGAAATATTCGGGCTGATCACTTTTATCAAGATTTTCGTCGTAGCTGGACATGCGCTCCGCCGAATACAACGACTTAATCAGTTCCAAGTTTTTTCGCCTGCTGGCCCTTCCCAATTTCCGCTTCTCTTCCTTGACCAACAGACGGTACTGCTCTTTGAATTTGCGATACTCCTGCTCTTCCGCATCTGCCTTGTCGTACTTTTCCTTTTCTTCGTCCTCGTCTACAATCGTTCCCAAATGCGTATCTTCCACAAACTTCACGTCCTGGATTTCCGGCGGCATAAAAGTCTGCTTGGCAATTCCGTGCTTGAAAAACGGATTGTACTTGTAAGATTCGCCGTAGCCCAACTCTTTCATGAGCTTCGTTGGGGCATTTCGGATGTGGAGCGGAATGGGCAACTTCGTCACCTCCGGTTTCTCCTTCAAAAGTTCTTGCGCCGTTCTCAAGGCCCGATAAGACTTGGTGGACTTCGGCGCCCGGGCCAACTTCACCGCACAATGCGCTAGAATGATTTCTCCTTCAGGCATGCCCACAAACTGCACTGCCTCCATGGCCGATATGGCAAAAGGCAAGCACGAAGAATCTCGAAGCCCAATGTCTTCGCTGGCAATGACAATCATTCTGCGAGCAATAAAAAGCGGATCTTCGCCTCCACTGAGCATCTTCACGAGATAGAACACAGCAGCGTCGGCGTCAGAGCCCCGCACGGACTTGTGAAAGGCGCTGATGGTATCGTAATGGTTTTCGCCAACCTTGTCGTACATCTGATGGAAGTTCCGCGTGGCCAACAAGGGCTTCAAGTTCTCCAAGTCCACCTTGATGATGCCGATTTTTTCTGGAACATCAATGGTTTCTCCTTCTTCACGGTCAGGGAACGCATTGTACTTTCGGCCCGACAAATATGCGTTGACCGACTCGAGAATATTGAGGGCCACTCTCGAGTCGCCTGTGCTGAGACGGGCTATATGGTCGATGGCCTCTTTGTTCATTGCGATTAGGTGGAGCCCGTGCACGATTTTTCTCGTTTTGTTGACCAACAAAAGGCCCTTGTTCAAGATTTTCACCAATGCCTCGTGGGAAAGCGGCTCCATGACAAATGTGTGCATTCGAGAGAGCAAGGCGTTGTTGAGAGTGAAGGAAGGGTTTTCTGTGGTTGCGCCAATGACCGTCACCACGCCTTTTTCGATCACGGGAAGAAGCAAGTCTTGCACGGCTTTGTTGAAGCGGTGGATTTCGTCCAAGAAGAGGATAGTTTTCGTTCCCGAGAGCTGCTGCTCGTTCTGCGCGTTGGAAAACGCTTCTTTGAGTTTTTTGGCCGAGCTTTCCGACCCGGAGAGCTCCACATACCGGTGGTTGGAGTTAGATGCGATGATTCGGGCCAAAGACGTTTTCCCGACGCCTGGAACACCCCAGAGAATAAAGGACGGGATCTGCTGCGACGCCATGATATTGCGGAGGATCCCGTTCGGACCCACGAGCTTTTCCTGGCCGAAAAAGTCGTCTAGCGTTTTCGGGCGGAGTCTCTGGGCAAGCGGAAGCGCCGCTTCTCTCTTGAGCTGGAGAAACTCGCGGTTTCGCTGCCGCTGGTCCTGGCTGGCAAGATTAGCTTGGCTGGCAAGATTAGCTTGGCTGGCAAGATTAGCTTGGCTGGGAAGAGAATGACTTTGGCTGGGAAGACTGGAATGATTTTGGCTGGGAAGACTGAAGTGATTTTGTGTTGAATGTTCTTGGACCGGAATCCTCTGCGTTTCCTGGGTAAAAGCCTGTGTTTGGGTAGAGGCCTGTGTTTGGGTAGAGGTCTCTGCTTGGCTCGGAGCGTCCAGCATCTGTGTCAAAGTAGGCCGCTGGCCGTTCTGGTCCTGAGCCTCTGCCTTGATCTTTTCCTTGTCTGGCTTTTCCGAAACAGGCGAGCTGTTCAACGCGTCTTCCCGCGGCCTCTTCAAGAGCCGCCGCTCGAGCTCCTCCTGCCGCCGCTTCAACTTCCGCTCGGCTATCAAAATGCTGGTGAGCGTGGCGTCCTTTTTCGATTTCTCGGTCCTTTTGGAGTCGGCTTTGAGCCCCAACGCGGCAAACACATTTTTGTCCCGTTTCTCCTCGGTCCGTGTCTCTTCAGGATGATGTGTGTCTAGACAGCTGTTGACATGTCGCTCGAGAAACGTGACCGGGAACTTTCTGAAGCAAAGAGGACACTGTTCTTCCATGGAGAAGATGCGCCTTGATATGCGCGATAGAAGTACATGGAGGACTGGAAGAGAACAACTGGAATAGAACAGTAGGAATAGGAATACACAGAAGGAACATAGATGGAAATAGATAGAAGAGGAAAAAAGAGAAGAGGAGAAGAAGAAAAAAATGTGCCCAGAGAGACAAGCCAGAAGTGTTTCTGGAAAATCTTAGTGAGGAAGCCAACTCGGCCACTTCTCGAGATTCTATCTTCAGGAATTCGGCTCCGTTTGGCAAGCTTTTCTTCGATCTTCCGGGTATGAAGTGGGTGCAATAAGAATCGAAAGGTAGATGGAAAGCGGATAAGTATAGTGTAGATATGGTACTAGAGTATGGAAAGAAGTAGGTAGATATAAAGCATATGATCTTATCATGCGGAATGAGAAATGGAAAGATACGAGATTACAAAGATATCAGATAAGGAAGTCACAGAATCCACAGCAAAAATAGTGATATGGAATACAGAGGAACGTAGAGTTAGGAAGAATTACGAATAGAACTACAGAATCACTGAAGACAATAATAGAGACAATAGGTTCTGCTTGCTGATATGTAAGCTATTTTTCTTCAAACTTCTGAGCAGCATAATTCTCCCGTTCTGCTCCATTTTTCGTGCCCTAGACATCCTTTTCAACTCTTTCCATAGAATTTAAGCACCCTCCAACGTTTTTATCACTTGAAGCCTCATTCAATATCTACTCAATATCTCTACCAAGTACGACAGTCTAAACTCCACTTCAGCAACGGATGTCAGATTAACCCAATCTTTCACAGTCGGATTAAAGAAGCACGTAATCACAACCCTACTTGGCTCATTCACAGCTACGAAGGTACTTACCAATTTGAATAACGAACATAATATTGACGAACATAATATTGAAGCTATCTTTCTTGCAAGTCAAGATTGTACGCTAGTTCTTGAAAAACTTATCGTACCCAACCATGGTGAATCTAAACTTCACATCGCCTTCCTCCGCTCTCTTCCAGGCCTTTCCGAGGTTCTCCTCCGAGATATCAATGGTCTCCACCCAAGGCTCAATCTTGTGCTCGGCAGCAAAGTTAAGCATGTACTGGATTTCGTCCGGCGACCCAATTGCAGATCCTTGTACGGATGAATTATTGGCAAGCAACTTCACAGGCGATAATTCGAGATTTTCGTTCGAAGGAGGAGCAGTGATAAAGACAAACTTGCCCCTCGGAGCAAGCATCGACAAAAGCTTGTCCATGGAAGATCCAGAGAAAGAACTTCCTGTATTCACAATTAGATCCAACGTGTCGGCGTACTTTTCGATAAAATCCTCATCGGCAGTAGCAGCAAAGTGGTCTGCACCAAGTTTTTTGGCCAATTCCTTCTTTGAGTCCGTTCTGGAGATGGCAGTGACTTCTGCACCAAGGGCTTTGGCGAAAAGAATGGTCATGTGGCCAATTCCTCCGATTCCCACGACCCCAACCTTGGTTCCCTTTCCAACGTTATTTTGGAGAAGAGGTGCAAAGCCAGTGATGCCTCCACACAAAAGTGGAGCGGCATGTTCTGTCTTGAGCAGTTCTGGGATGTTAAAGACAAACTGCGAGTTGACCCGAATATGTGAAGCGTTTCCTCCAATGGTCTTGAAACCAGTCTCTTTGTTCACGCCAAAGTACGTGGCCACTAGGTTTCTGCAGTTGCACTGGAAATTCTTTCTTGCAAGCAATGCACGTGTTGTCACAGTCACATTGGGCCCCCACCCCGACTCTGTCTCCAACTTTAATGCCTTCTTTGGCCTTTGGACCGACCTTCACCACTTTTCCAACAATCTCGTGTCCCACAGCCACAGGTGCATAGGGACGGCCCCATTCTCCACTTACGGCATGAATGTCGGAACCACAGACACCACAGGCTTCAATTTCTATGTCCACGTCGTAATCTCTAAACTCTTGCGGCTTGTACTCGAAAGATTTTGGGTGCAACCAGTCGTCAAAGTCAACGACACCGACTGCTTTGAAAGTTTCTGGATAGACCATTGTGTAATAGTGATTATACTTGTTTGTGGTTTCATGAACAGAAGGTAAAGAGCCCTTTTATATTATTTGCACCAGAAGCTTATTTCCCCTTTTGGCAAACGCCGCCGGCTTCGCAAACGCGTGGAAGCTGCTTATGTGCGCCCTTGCAGCGGCGCTATTTCCGTTTTCAGCCATCTCCGCTATACCTACAGAAACTTAATTGCTATTAGGCCACATTCCACATGCGTCCATGCAGCGTTGTTCCTTTTAACCTTTATGTCCGCTATTTCTTCAGCTGCTTTCTCCGATTTGCCTCCATAATTCATGTGGGCCTGCCATTTATATCCGAATTGCAGGTACATACTTGCCACTAGCCTACATGATGCGTCTGCATCGATATTTACCATCACTCTATATCTCCGCCGCCCTTGCAGATCAGAAGAGCTTCCGCATACATATGCCCATAAAATGCATGAGACTAAGCATCCATCTAAAGGCTCAAATAGATAATTACATATCGACGGAAATTAGGCTCATGATGAATAAATTGCCATGTTCTGATCTGGGTGCCCAGATTCGAGTTTTGTAGATTTTCAAACGGTACTCAACTTTCTTCTCTGCATGATTCTTGCATTGGCGAATTTTACAATGGATGTGTGTTCATAATAGACTGATTTTGGGCAACTTATGATCCCGGGGCTTGTTTTGCCACTCTTTTCAGCTCTGCTCAGAACAACTGAACCTATTTTATCTCCGAATTTAAATTCATAAAGCTTCGATGGCGTTTGATCAAACTGAGCATTCTAGATCTCGGAGGTAATGTCAGTAGAAATAGGTACTATGGAGTGTTCATGATAGAAAAGATTTGTTCTTCTCTTCTCAAAGCATAACAAAACCAATTCAAGGATGCAAATGGGCCGTTTCTCAGGCATTAGTCTACCATACGAATGATACACAGTAAATCTGGTTCTTGCCTCTCTCATTTTCCAGCATAGAGCCAAGAGAAGTATTGGAACGAGACAAGTAAACCAGTATAAATGCATCCACTAGTGGCCATTCTCAGCCCTTCATATTCATGTGAAATATATATACTTTTCTCCGCATACTGTAGCCAAGTCTTTAGCGAAGAAAACACTTGGGTTTCCATTTGAATCGTCCAGTATCTAATCACTGTAAGCGTCTTGTAAATAATATCCCACTAGAAGGTTCTGTTGAGACAGGAGAGTGCTTCTTATTTGGATGTGCCAACAATGCCAAATTCAACGATTTGCAAGTAGCTTCGTGAGTGGAATTATCTGCAATGGGGTGGATTTAAGAGTTTAGATTTCCGTCTCGAACAGAGTGCAAAACGTTAACTTGTAATTCAAAGCTATAATAGTGCTACAATTTCTTGCAATCTAAATGTTTACGTGAGAGCTTACAATGAAAGCTCCATGCATAAGACCTCATTTAATAGACTACCGAAGAACAATTAAATGTATTAGAAGAAGCTCACAATGCCAACTTGAAAGCCTCTAAAATTAGAGGAGGGACATTAATATGTAAATGTTTCAATGGCGCATGTTTGGTACAACATATAGTTGGTATATAATACACGAATAGCAGGACTATCTTAACTTTGCAACGAATGTCCGCCTTCTTCTCTTGTAAAGTGTTTGCATTTTACAATTGTAGTAAAACCTCTGAAACTTCCACTCAGCATCTACTCACATGAATCTTTCCCATAGGCTGGGCTTTTTGGATTGCGACTCCTGGAAAGAAGCCACGATCTTGGTCACGATTAAAGCCAAAGAAGAGAGAAGTGCTAGCAAGACTAGAAGAACCAACCCAAGCACAATGAGAACCCATTTCACCACAAGTTTCTTCACCCGATTGTTGTAGTCGGGCACATCGGATATACACATCATGTCTCGCTCTTTATATATGTCTCTAAGCCGAGCCAGAGTATCGTGGATTGTCACAAATTTCTGAGACAGAAGCGATTTTCCCGAGCCCGGTTCTTCCCCGAGACAAAAGACATATTTCTTCTCGGGAAGAATGGTTTCCCGGTATTTCTCAAGCGCCCACTCACTGGCCTCGTCCACGGAGATGTCTGCTTTGAAGATATGGCGGATATACTTGGTCACCCGATTACCATTGTTCCAGAAAAGAAGAGCCACATCGAGCAAAATGTATGGGTCTTCATCTGGTGTTTCTCTGCTCGGATAGAGCCGCTCTTCGAGATCCAAGAGCCGGTCTTGTGATTTTCCTCGGGCAGCCATGGAAAGAAGAAGCAATGGATTGCAAGACCCACGATGTGGTCTGCAGGAACAAGCGCAATCGAAGTAGACCGACTGCATGACATATATGCAAGATCTGGAGATCCATGCGCAGCTTCCAAAAGGGGAAACCATATCGACCAAAAGGGACAGACATATAATTACTGGTTTGACAAATAGGACGATTTGTGTATACTGAAGTTTAACTTAGTAGCTTACTCAAATTGACTAGGCCGTTGGTCCTATGTCACTCGAGTATCCCGTAACGCCAAAATAAGACGGACAAACTGTGTATTGGTTCTCATCTGTTGAAAAGCTTGGCTTTGATATATTTAAGATCGAGCTAGTATCTACGGTGTTTCCATCCTTTACTCAATGGCCTTGTTTGATATTAAGAGCGCTTCCATTCTTTTGTCAATCTCCTCTTTCATGTCTCTGAAAAGACCGTTGCCTCAGCCGTTCTTCTCAATAGTGCTTTTACTTCCAAATGTTTAGACATCGGCATTGTTATCAAAGACTGAACGTAGGATTATCAGCCCGGTCGTCCTAATACTTGAATTAACGTGTGCAATTAAAGACAGTAGCAGAAGCTTTCTATGAAAAGATGAATAAAAATAGATATGAGCAACGACATAATGGTCCAGACAATAACAGGCCAGAGAAAATAGATGGAACGGCCAGTGATACAGATAAAACATTCAAGTAAGTCATTAGTCTTTAATTGGTTATCTGAATCCCCTGTCTCAGTCCATACATTCAACTTCCAGTAACCAAAAGCAAGTCAAAACGCCTCAAACAGAAGCAAGACCAAAGCGTCCTTTCCGTACTCCCATCGTTTCAGAACAACGAATGAACATTGTTTCCCTTTTGAAAACGTAAGCTTCATGTTTTTCTCTAAGGCTGGTTCAAAAATGCCAGAACGGTCTTGCCAATTCTTCAGATGAGAAACGATCTGGACGGATCGAAGCTCTTCGGCCATTTGTTAATCTCAGTCCCAAGGTCATTGTAAACTCTTTCTGGTTAAACTAAAAGGTATGGAAATTGGACTCATAGAACTGGATTCAAATACTGTGCTGGTTGATCCAGATACAATTTTGTTAGTCCCAAACCCTAATTGCACAACCACATCAACTCTTCCATACAGATTATTCAATCTTACACTCCTTTTAATAAGTTCAATCAAATGGTATTCACTTTTTCCTGGAATTGAGTCTTTCTTATCCTGCTCTATGGAAGCCCTACCTACATAGCCTGTTTGCTGTCTACAACTTCTCTCAACAGTTATTGATGTAAACCTGATGCTATTCACATACGATTCGTAATCCCAAAATGTGCAACGAAATAAACCTCCCAAACCTCCTGATATCCACGGCGTGCTTACGTGTAGAGGCTGATCATCACGAAAGCATACACCAACAACACGGCGAAAACCGCCGCTGCCCACTTGAGGTGTCTATTGCGCATGCGGCGTTCAAAGTCCGGAACGTCCGAGATGTACATGGTCTCGCCCTCGTGAAAGTAAGATCCAAGGTTTCTCAGCTGGTCGCCCACCGCCGTGAACCGTTTCCGCCTACATGTGCCAGGCACCTCGACATAGACGTACTTTGTGAGCGGAACAACGCCGCGAGAGCTCTTTTCCAACGCCAAGTTGCTGGCCTCGTCCACAGACGAGCTGGTGTTGAAAAGATGGAGCGCCGTCTCCTTGACGGACTTGCCGTTGTTCCACAACTTGAGCTCAACATTGAGCAGGAGCGAGGGTTCCACCTCGTTGTATGGCGGGCATTGCGCAGGGTAGAGCGATTCTTCAAGCTCCAAAAGGCCTTCTTGTGATTGTTTTTTGTCTGACATGGCGATGGGCGCCTAATTTTTGGATCAAGCCCCCTTTATATGCTTGTTTGTATGGCCTGTACAGAGGCGTATTAGCTATCAGGCTGAGCTGGGGCGGAGCCGCGAGATGCGTGGAACAATACGCCACGACCGAAATAGAACAAGCTGGGAAGCAAAAATAGAAGAAAATCAAAAAAAAAAAACAAACCCAAAATCAAAAATTTTGAACTGAAGTGGTAGGCTTTTGCGGGGCCACTCAAATTGTCCGTCTCCAACCGTATTTTCTCCTAAAGTCGTCCGTAGATTCTGCTGCGCCGCAGCTTCTGCACATCATTTGCCCGATTGGGAAACACGCGTTATCGATTTTTCTTCTTCATGGCCGACCTCGTGTGGAGAAAGATTCCAATCACGCCCGCAGAGCTTTCGCTTGCCGCCGTTTTGCGCTGTGGCCAAACGTTCCGCTGGAAAAACGTCAACTCCGTCTGGAGCTTTTCCACCAACGACCGGGTGGTTTTGCTCAAGCAGGACGATGCTCATCTCCACTACGCCAGTATCATGGGAAACGCATCCACAAGAGGCGGCGGAGATGTCAGTGGAGCAAGGAGCGCAAGGAATTCCCCAACAGACAACAAAAACTCCATAGACGGAGCACAAAACGATAATTCCCCGCCAGTCGAAAACATCAAGAACGAGAGCCAAGACTCCACGCTCGCCTTCATCCACGACTACTTCAACTTGCACGTGTCTCTCTCCGAGCTCTATGCCCACTGGACTGCGGTGGAGACCCAGGCCCGCGGCAAGTGCACTTCTTTTGCCCAGTTCCCCGGCATCCGCATCTTGCGCCAGGACCCGTGGGAGACGGTGGTGCTGTTCATCTGTCTGTCCAACAACAACGTCAAGCGGATCTCGAAAATGTGCGATGCTCTTTGCGCCGAGTACGGCCGGTTTCTCGCGCGTCATGACGGCATCGACTATTTTTCGTTTCCCGGGCCGCAAGTGTTGTCTCTGCCTGAGGTAGAAGGTCGTCTCCGCGAGTTGGGCTTTGGCTACAGAGCCAAGTACATTGCGTCGACCGCCAAGATGTTTGCCGACAGCAAGTGGCCGCACATCTCGTTGGAGCGGCTCGAGTCGCTCCGCACCAAGCCGTTTGCCGAGGCGCACGAGTTTTTGCTTCAGCTCACGGGCGTGGGGCCAAAAGTCGCCGACTGCATCTGCCTAATGGCTCTTGACAAACACGACGTCGTTCCGGTGGACACCCATGTCTTGCAGATCGCTGTACGCGACTACAAGTACCGTGGGCCGCGTACAATGAACAAGAAGACGTACGAGGCTGTGCGGGGACACCTTGCGGACCTTTTCGGAGAGTATGCGGGCTGGGCGCAGCTGGTGATGTTTGCGGCCGATCTTGCGGACTTGAACAACGGCGTCAACGAGGTGGAGGGCCAACGTGTGCGTCATACGGTGGAGAAGCAGGTGGAGAAGAAGGTGGAGAAGAAGGTCAAGCTGAAGAAGACAAAGGAGGCGCCAGCCAAGAGCGAAACTGTCACACACGTCAAAATAGAGCAGGTACAAGAAAACTCGGAAGTCGACGTGCTAGAAAAGAAAGAGTCACTTCTGGAAAAATCGGAGGTGATTGTCAAAGAAAAGAAGGGAATCGTGGAAGTCAAGGAAGAGACAGACACATTCCAGCAAGAATCTGTCAAGACCAACATACATGTACTTCAAGAAATAAGTCTGAACGAGTCTCAGGTTTCGGTTCCTACAAAGAGATCGAATGTGGATCCAGAGACGGGTAAGGTGAAGACAGAGGCGAGAGGACCAGTGAGCCGTCTCAAGAGGGTAAAAGTGGAACTGGCCTAAGAGGGGAGCGACCCCTTCAAAACATGTCGTGGTATTAAAGATGTAGTTGAGAGAAACAGAAGACGTGTCTGCTAGAAAGCGAGGTAGATGTGGATAACATGAATAAATGCAATTTCATGGCTTTTCGTGACGCGAAAAGAGTAGTTTTACTTCTTGATAGGCGCAGGCTTCTTCCAGTAGTACTGTTTGTGTGTTCTTCTGCATGCCCGCAAGCCCCCATGGCCCTTGATCAGCGCCACCAACTTTTGCCGCTCAGGATCCGTGTCTGCTTCAGGAATGTAGTAGTATTCTTCTTCCAAAGGCTTGCCTGCAGCATCCTTACCCTGGCGATAGATGACACCAATGCATTGTACATGATGAAGGACGGCACGGAGTTGCGCTAGCGAAAGCTGTGATACTGCTGCCAGGATGGTATTCAAGAAGGACGCGGGGGTCGATGAAAGCCGCGAAAATGCTAAATGGTTGATTAATATGTTCTCCACCTCTGCACGGTCACTGATGTTAGAAATGCACGAGGCGTCAATGATCACCTTACCGTCCTTGTCTCTATCAGATGCCAAAGGTTCAGGCTTGTGTTCTGCCTTATGGGCAGTCTTGTGTTCTGGTCTGCTTTCTTTGTAGTCCGCTCTGTGTTCATGTTTTGGTCTCTTTGCAGGTTCTTCGCTCACAGCACGTCTTTTGGCTGGAGGCGTTTGAGGGGCATTGGTCACACATGCCAACGGAGTCATTGCTCGTTTGAACTGGGGCACCGTTGCCTGTGTTTGCACTTGCACTTGCGCAGGCGTCGCCTGTGCTGGCTTGTCCACTGTTCTTTGCTGAGTTTCTGTAGTTCTTGGGTGTGCTTGTTTGACCACACGAGACTGCAGCAGCGGTTGGACGATTTTTCTTGGAGGCATGACTGGTTTTGACTGCACTGGTTTTGGCGGCAAGGCTGGCTGGGATGGCTTTGCTTGCTTCAGAGGCGTGCGCTCCTCCTCCACTGGAAACGCCGACACGCGCTTCTGTGGGGTACGCGGAGCAGCGGCAGCGGTGACTTGCGGCGTAGAGCTGCTTGCCTTGACCAAAGCCTCTGTGCCCGTCTTTGCAAGCTCCGGCTGCTCGTCGTCAGTCACCTCCTCGTCGCAATCGTCCGGATTCACCAAGAGCACATGGCTGCGGACCTGCAACAAGATGTTGGCAAAGCGCGGCATCTCCACGCGCTCGCCGCGAGCCACATGGAACTCGGTGTGCTGGTAGTCCAAGATGATGGTTTTGGAGAGCGCCGGCGCCGGCAACGGCTTCCCCGTTTCCCGCAAGACGTACCTGTGATCGGCGTCGCACGTTACGTGGCACACGCGGGGCACGATCATGCCCATGCCATTGTGGCCCAAGCAGGTGAAGGTGATGGTGCTAGGCGTGTGTTCGATGCGCACATGGGTGCGGCTGACGCTCTTGTCGGCGGTGCTAAAGTGAAGGTCACATGAGCGGGAGCTGCGGCCCACCAAGACGCTTGGTCTGTCGCTGGTGAGCGGAACGCGCAACACCGCCGCGTCCGGGTTCAAAATGTTGAAGTCGCGGTTGATGCTGACGGTGCGGGCGGATCTGCACGCCTCGGGCGTCTTGAAGCCAAGGAACTTGTTGGCCGCGCCGACATTGGCGCCCCAGTTGCCAACGACACCGTTTTTTGCAGCACGGGGCGCGCCCCAATTTTTGGCGCCCCCTTTCTCTCTTTCGTTTATTTGATTTCTTTGGCTGTCATTTCTTTCGGTTATTTGATTTATTCCTTCATTTTCTCTCTCCCTCTCAATCTCCCGCGCCGGCGAGGACGATCTTCCAACAGTCGAAGAAGGATTAGGCGTGGGATACTCGGTTCTTCCCCGGCCAGAATCTTTGGGTCTGAACGGGTCAAAGTCCGAGTCTGCGGCGTTGAGGACAGGCGAGGACGGAGGAAACTGGAACTCCGACATTTGCAAAGTGGATGGTTTTGGAAAGAAAAAAAAGTGGAAGAGAAATGGAAACTATTATCAGACACGAAAGACAGGCGCGAATGATAAACAAACATGATACGCGGTGGAGCGACAGGACGCGTGACCCGAAGCGTGACCCGTGTCGCGCGTGTCACGTGACAAAAACAATTGAAAAGTGGCTGGCACTGCACATTGCTTATCAAAGAACACTGGCAGATGTTCCAGTTCTATGTTATGGAGGTTGTGGTTGAAGATTGTGGTTGAAGATTGTGGTTGAAGATTGTTGCTAATGTTTCGATGGATTGGCCTGACCGGTTTGATGGGCCAAAGTCGTTTTCTTGAGAGTATTTACGATGCTCGAAGAACAACTTCGACACTTGTCTAGGATAACCTCCTAGCATATAAGATGATACTTATCCACACCCGACCAAAGATCTATCCGTACAACCTCAACAAACCCGTTGACCCAATCAACGATGAATTTATCGTGACATTGTCCCCCACCCTCGGAAGCCGCATGTCTCGGAAGTCGCATGGCGCAAGATACAACATTGCAAATTGACTTCACCCACTGACAGACCGAAACAAAAGAATTGGGGAAGATAACACCAGCATGATATTTTGCAGCGACTAAATGTCATAATTGAAGATATCCGGATGGACTATTTTTATGACGCTTTCAATCCAGGAATTCCAAATGTCCGTTCAAACATACGAATACCGCCAAAAATGGCATATGCTGTTGAAATGTCCCTTTTTGCGTTAAAAGACTTCGTGCATGTTTTCGAATTCTTCCAATACGATCGTAATTGTCATGCCAGAAGTAATTACTTTAACAAATCACTATTTTCAGGGCACAACGGGAATCTAAGCACTCAAAAGAACTTTATTTAAGAGAAGGATTGTGGTCTGACATTCAATCTGAAACTGGATTCAGACAGAGTAGTTCTAACGACGAGATTTCCCAGGATCATATATGCTCAATGCATAAGTTGATGATGGAACTGGGGTAACCACAGCAGATATTGGAAAGGCAACGTGTTCCGTGTGGGCTTCAAAGTAATAAAATCGCTTGAACGAACAATCTGACATTTCCTTCATTATATTGTCTTTACTATCTGGCAACGGCAGACCACCCAAACCCAAAAGCTTACGAATAAAACTCACGAAGCAGCTGAACGTCTGGATAGTACCTATGGATCTTCTCGATCAACCTGACATCTTGACAATACACCAAACTTTTAAAGATTCGACTTTCCAATTTGTTCAAGTTTGCACAGGCTCCAATACATCAATTCATTATTCATACAAGATCATGTCCTTCCAGGAAAACAAAAACATTCATCAACAGGCGCAAGTGGTTTAGTGGTAAAATCCAACGTTGCCATCGTTGGGCCCCCGGTTCGATTCCGGGCTTGCGCAATCTTTTTGGAACAGGAAACGGCTTCATCAGCCCTACTTTACTTGAAGCCAACTCATCTACATACTATTTGCCATGGTTTATGAGACATGTTCGACTTTTTTGGTCTTTGCCATTTCGTTCTCTCGAACTACCTTGAACTACCTTTGTCTTGAAGGATCAGACTCATGTCTTTCTTAACCTGAATTGGGCGTCATAGTGGCAGTTGTGGGAGGTACTGGTGTACCAGTTCTGTTTGCAGACTATGTTACAGGTTCCGTTGGCTGGTTATGCTTGACTATGGTTGATAATAATTGATGTTGATATTTCGATGTTTGGTATTGCATAATGTTTTACTACATCTTGATATGACCCGTCTTCCATGCTTGCCATATCGTTCTGGTTTGCTCTGACCATTGCCTGTGTACAGGCCAGGGCTTCTGCCCTAACGCTTTCATGGCCACGCGGAGACACCATGCAGGCCCACGCAAAATTTTCCTGTCGCACTACGGGCATCTACTTCTCTCACTTTTTTCAAAAACACTCTTTTGAATTTTCATCAATAATCATCAGTCAACATGGGTAGTATGTAAAACCCTTTCAAACACATCCATTTCGCAGCAGACGGGGCAATCGGCTTGGGACGTCAGAGCATCTGCTTTTGATCTGCTATCAATTCTGTTCTGGTCAGATTTTCAGGCTGTTCAGATTTTCATTTTCAGGCTGTTCAGGTTTTGTTCAAGTTGTTCAGATTCTGTCAGTTGTTCAGGTTCAGGTTCAAATTCTTAATCCGTCCTTGTCTGTCTGCTGGCTTTCGTCCGTTACTAACATATCAGAGGGTACTCCATCTATGGGTAAGAGACACACTAAGTCTCACGTTTTGTGTAAGAGATGCGGCCGTCGTTCTTTCCACGCTCAAAAGAAAACCTGTGCTTCTTGTGGCTACCCAGCTGCCAAGATGAGATCTCACAACTGGGCTTTGAAGGCTAAGAGAAGAAGAACTACCGGTACCGGTAGAATGGCTTACTTGAAGCACGTGTCCAGAAGATTCCACAACGGTTTCCAAACCTCCATCAAGGCTGAATCCGCTTAAGTGTGTCACGAATTGTCTGGTCATTTTTGTAACTAATACAACTACATTTGCTATTGCTGTAGGACGTAGAAGCCAGGTGGCTGAGGCAGTACCAAGTTCCAGTCATCGATTCTTTCTGGGAAGATCTGAACTTCGCTCAGATACGAAAAGTTGAATGATATCTGTCATGAAGTCAATCTCTATACTTTACTTGAACACAAGGGAGTTTTCGTTCTCGTATATCTAATGTCACTACCACTTGATGTTCATTCAATGAATCTCCTTGTCCTGCCCTAACCCACTCTAAATTCTTTCCATTCATTCCAGCCATCGTATTGAAGTTTGGCTTTTTCCTTTCATTTTAGGATGAACCAATTACTGAACAAGAGTATGTGGAATAATTAACTCTTTAACACGAGTAGAAAACCCGTACAATAGTCCAATGACGTATCGCCAGTTCTGCTCTATGTACATTTAATCTACATTTAATCTACATATAATCTACATTTAATCTACATTTAATCTACATTTAATCTACATTTAATCTACATTTAATCTACATTTAATCTACATTTAATCTACATTTAATCTACATTTAATCTGCACTTTCGTGAATTGTCCCATCTATCTCCGTCTTCTCAACGGCTTGAACCTATCATCGTCTTCCATGAATCTCCTTCACCGCTTCGTGCCAGAAGGTACTACAACCTTTTCCACAGTTAAATTTTCTATTCCCAATTATTTCCCTAAGTGCCGTTGAACCGGCTTCAACACCTTCTAGACCTCGCTGTTCATATTGTAGTACAAGTTATCCGCCTCGTCGTGATTAACGCAAACGCTCAACATTTCTCGGGCAATCTCGATTGTTTCCAGATCGTAGGGAAACTCGACACCATTGGCGAAATCACATTCGATGTTGCTGAGCTCGGCGTACTTATTGGGTCTCGCGTCAAAGATGTTGAAGTGGGCAACTTCCCTGCTGCGCCACTCGCAAGCCTTGTTGAAGACACCAATGTCCACCAAGCCTTTGCCTCGGATTTCCGAAAGAAACTGGTGGGCGTCTGTGGAAAGCGAATCGGAGGAAAAGGCCACCCGCATTAGAATGACAAAAATCTCGTGGAGCGTTTCCGGATAGATCAACGTATTGATGTTCTTGTTCTCGTCGATGATGTAGAAGAGAACCCGCAAAAGCGAGCTTATGATGGAGAGCCGCATGTGGACGACTTTGGACCGTGGCTGGTGCATGATGAAGTTCTGCTCAAAGCCGATGATGCGAACAATGGACTTGATGTTCTCCTTCAGGTTGACAAGCTGCATGTTCCCGTTCACAATGAGCGCCTCAAGTAGCGAAACCATCTTGAGGCGGAGACTGAGGAGATGCGATTCGTGATTCTGCAAAACAGCAAAACTTTCCTGTGGCGACGGCGGCGTATGTTTCACGGGGAAAGCCACAGACACCAACGGAGTGTTCAACGGGTTTTCCTGCGGCACCGCCTCGCAGATCTTGACCAAGTCGCCGTTGTTGCCCAACGCCCGGTTGAGGCCAAAGAACATAAAGTCGTCCTTGACCGAGATGTCGATGAGAAACGCCTTGATGAGCGACTGGACAATTCGAGCGTTCTGCGCCTGGTCGCCTGCGGCAAAGCCGCCTTCCAACGACGCCGAAAGCATCTCCACGTAGTTGTAGACCAAGTTGATTTGCGCAGACGCCTTGAACCGCTCCGAATTCTCCGGGAAAACGGCCGTGAGCAAGTCAAAGTCCATGGTGTGCCAGAGCCGCCGCACGAACGCGGCGCCAAACTGCGTGGCCACCACCACCACCGCCTCCACGAGGTCCAAGCACGCCACCAAGGTGAAATTCTCCAAAACCCGCTGCTGGTACGTGCCCCGCTGCTCGACAAACGAGTCGGCGCCGTCCGCCAGCACTAAGAGCGCCACGAACCGGCGCAGAAGGGCGCACGCCTGCTGCACCAACTGCAACGCAAGTTTCTCGCCCACGGCCGAGTATTTGAACGTCACGCTGGCATGCACCAAACACACAAGAAACGGCACGGCCAAAAACGCCCGCTGCTGCGGCACGGCGAGCAACGCCTCCACAAGCGCCATGAGCTCGCCGCAGACGTTTTCCACCAACATATCGAGCCGCAAATGCCGCACCTCGAGCAAATATTCCCACACCGCCGACAGAACCGGCACACGCGGCGCAAGACGCAAGCGGCGACCGAAACCGCTGCTGCCAACAGATTCCTCGACGCAGATCGTCGCGAGGAAGCCCATGCATGTGCGCAGACTGCCGTTGATGGTGTAGCCATGCAAGTAGTCGCAGAACTGGGACCACTCGTCTTGCACGCGGATGACCACGCCGTCGCCAGGCCTTACGTCAACCTCAGGCTGTTCCGCCGGCAGCAGTTCCGCCAGCAGTAGTTTTGCCGGCCGCAGTTGCGGCCGCAGTTCCGCCGCCTCCACTTTGCGCCGTTTCGCCGAAAGCGCCCGGATCTCGTTGTCCAAAAAGCGCTTTTCGTCCTCGAGCTTGTCCACGGACAGCTTCAACGCGTCGATGTGGCCGCGGGCCGCCAGACGGGCCGCCTCCAAGTCGCGGCGAAGACGTTCGGCCTCGGCGTTTTTCAGCGACTGGAGCGCCTCCAACTGCGCCCGCAAAATGGCGATTTCGCCCCGCGCGCGGTAGAGCAGATCCGGCTGGTCGGGCGGCCGCTGCGTGGCCCGCACGAGCTCCAAGAGCATGTCGTCGTCGTCGTCGAAATCGGACATGGAAAGGTGGAGGGAGTTGGTGATACACGTGCGGCGTCACGTGCGCCACCACCAAAAAAAAGCTCGCAGGCGCATCGGCCTGACTCCGATGAGAAGAGCTTTTTCAGCCAGAGACAAAAGACAGCTGAGCGAACTGGTATCGAATCTGCATCCGAAAGAAATGAGCCTGACAAAGCAAGCCAAGGTAGACAAGATAGATAAGACGGACAAAACAGACAAGATAGACAAAACAGACAAGATAGACAAAACAGACAAGATGGACAAAACAGACAAAACAGACAAAACAGACAAGACAAACTCTACAGAATCCAAGACAGACGTCCCGCCGGCGTCGTTCGTCCCCATGCGGCCGCAGGCGCTCACGTCCAAAGACAAGGACACCCGGCGGTTGGTGGTGGTGTTGTCGCAGGCGTGTCTTGAAACACACAAGATCTCGGCGCTGGGCGGCGACAAGTACGCCTTGTTGAACTGCGACGACCACCAGGGCCTCTTGCGCAAGATGGGGCGGGACATAGCCGAGGCGCGGCCCGACATCACGCACCAGTGTCTTTTGACGTTGTTGGACCTGCCCATCAACAAGGCGGGCCGGTTGCAGGTGTTCATCCACACGGCCCGCGGCGTGTTGATCGAGGTGAACCCGAGCGTGCGTATTCCGCGGACCTTCAAGCGGTTTTCCGGCTTGATGGTGCAGCTTTTGCACAAGCTCAGCATCCGCCTGGTCAATTCGGAGGAGAAGTTGTTGAAGGTGATCAAAAACCCCATCTCCGACCACCTCCCCACCAAGTGCCGCAAGGTGACTTTGAGTTTCGACGCCGAGATCAAGCGCGTGCAAGACTACGTCGAGACTTTGGACGAGGACGAGAGCATATGTGTGTTTGTGGGCGCCATGGCCCGAGGCCAGGACAACTTTGCCGACGAGTTTGTGGACGAGAAGATTGGTCTTTCCAACTATCCGTTGTCGGCGTCGGTGGCGTGCTCCAAGTTCTGCCACGGCTGCGAGGATGTGTGGGGGATCATGTAAGAGATGGAGAGAGAACGAAAGAAACTAGAGAACGAAAGAAACTAGAGAAACGAGGAGGAAACTTGGAAACGAGGAGGAAACTTGTCGGTTTCCACAACAGCATGTCGTGTATTCAATAAACAGTGTGAGCTGCGAGGATGTTGTATTGTAATGGTATAGTTCATTAGTATAGTTCTGTCGTATCATTCAGTTGGTATAATTCGTTGTTCGTATCGTTCGTATCGTTCGTATCGTTGTTCTAATCAGTGTCGATTCAGCATAATTGGTTTAGTGGTTTAGTGGTTCTTCTGACTCGACATATTTTCTAACATTCTAAGAGATGGCTAGATAGTTCTTACGCATTCATACTTGGCTGATTCGTCCTAATATTGAGAATCATTGTATTGGTATTATCCGATGTCAAATGGTTCTAAACGATAAAGGCTAAAGATGCGTTATGATATTACGAATAAACCATCGGTATTGCCAGTATACCCACGAGGATCCCGATCCTCACTTCAAGCTTATCATTCGTATGTTATGCGTACGGAAACTCCATTGTCTTCTTTCCAATCAATGTCGTACTTGTCTTAGCAGAAAAGAACAAAAGGAACAAAACGACAAGACGACGAGACGACAAGACAAAGAAGCCACAACGACAAACTTCTCGGTGTAAGAGACGGATAATATCATGCTCATAGTAAGCCATGGCCCCTTCAGTAGAGCAATTTCTTTTTCATACCTCCATGTACTGAATCGAACGGTAAATAGTTTGTTCTATCCAGCCCAAGCATTGATGTTTAGAAGACTCGTAACAGTCCGTCTTCACCGAAGATCATAGAAGGTAATCTGAATGGATAAATCTCAGACAGCACTTTGGCCAACACAAATCTTAGCATCTGGTGTTTCCGTGGAAAAATTCCAAATTCACTTCATTTCTAATCATAGCACCAATGGCCTATCTAACTCGAAAATATACCTATCATTACCATTTATCTCATGTTCATCAGGCTATTCTAGTGAGAGTAGCGTGACTTTGGACCACTTTGCCCATTCACCCTATTTATTAGACGTATGGAAAAGTAGTCAGCCATATGGGTCTAAATATTCAAGAGTCCGAGTACCTATAATTCCTTCAAAACTCATTTCATCCTTGGTGATGAACCTACTTATGAACCTGTAATGAATTGATTATCGACTTTATTCAGCCAGAAGTCAGAAACGAGATAGAATTTTGTCAAGCTCCTCAACTCGATTTGTCACTACTTGTCGGATGTTGACCATGGCTGGAAGATGCCATAATTGAAAATTGCTTAAAGTTACAAATTGCCAGACTATAGTAAATACCTCCGTTTATTTGAAGAGGGTAAATAGATTCAAGAAGAGTCACAATTTCATCATCCAGACTGTTTATATTCATGATTACACTTTCTAGCTCGATCTGCTTATTCGTTCATAATTTGCTCTTGACTGATTCAAGGCGAAACTCATGTGATTCATAAATTTGCAATGACTGACCCATGTCAAAAGTACCAATGAACATTCTTAACTCAACTATACGAATTAATTACAAGAGCATATTTTATAATCCACCCTATCTAATTAATTATATTCTATATTCTCTCATCCATTTATCATTCTATCCAAGAATATCCTGCTCAATCATTCCAATGTAATTGCATAATCCGGTTCAATTACGACTATTCAATACATAGTTTCGCCATACTCTCCAATCTATGCTGTCCATTTCAATTATTCCAACTTTATATATCCAATATAATCCTTCCATACGTATCCATTTATACTACAAATGCATATCTTTCTACTGCCAACGTCTACCTATATAACATTGACTTTGCCTCGCATCCATTCCAATACCCCATTTACTTCAATTCATCCATTCCACTTATCCATTAACCACTCATCCATTAACATCCACTAACTCATTTATCTACTCAATTCATCGATCATTCAATTCATCAATCCAATTCATCTATCCACTCAATTCATCAATCCAATTCATCTATCCACTCAATTCATCAATCCACCCAATTCATCTATCGATTCCATTTACCTATCCATTCGCCTATCCATTTACCTATCCATTTATTCATTTATCCAATCTATTCATTTATCCATTTCTTCAATCTATTCATTTCCCCATACATTTCCCATCCATACTCCATGCATATCTGCCCAGTCTCATACTCCTGCACCATCCTCTCTTCATCTCCATGGAAACGCCAAAACCCAAAAAATACGTCTCTGCCGACGATCTCTACCGCCGATCGACGCAGTACCAGGTCTGGTCGTTTACTGCCAGCGAGCTTGAGCGCAAAAAGGCGGCGGCCAACGAAAAAGGCCGAGCGGCGGCCGTTGGGCGGTTCGAAGACGCCTTCAAGGCGCTAGAAGCAGAAAAACCGGCGCTTGTGGCCTCGCATGGCGCCCAGTTACGCAGCTGTATCGAGCTCATCTCGCTTGAAGAGGAGCAGAAGTATCTCTCCTTCTTCTGCGGCCAGATTGTCCAGATCTGCACGCATTTCCAAATGCCCACTCAAGTGAAGGCCACCGCCATCTCTTTCTTCAAGAAGTTCTACTTGGTCAACTCGGCCATGGAGTACCGGCCCCGCAATGTCTTGTACACCATTGTGTTTCTTGCGGCGAAGCTGGAAAACCACTTTGTGTCCATCGAGTCCTTCTGCTCCAAGATCCCCAACACAAAGCCCCAGGACATCTTGGAGTTGGAGTTTGCGGTGCTCCAGTCGCTCCGCTTCACGCTTCTCGTCCACCACCCGTTCCGCCCGTTGTACGGCTTTTTCTTGGACTTCCAGCACGTGCTTTTGCATCCGGAACCCGTGTTCCCATCTCTTTCTGTCGACACGATCGGCAACCTCTACGACACGGCGAAAAAATGGCTCAACGACCATGCGTTGCTCAGCGACGCCTCTTTTCTCTTCACGCCGCCCCAGATTGCCCTTGCGGCGCTCTATGCCGTGGACCCGAAACTCACAGAGAAGTATCTTCGGCGCAAGTTTGCCAAGGAAAGAAAGCAGGAGAAGGCAGCGAAACTAGAACCAGTGAAAGAGGAGAATGAGTCGGCCAATGGCAAAGACGAGCCATCCAAAGAGAATGGAGCTTCTGAAAATGGCAATAAGGAAAAAGACAGCTACGAACTTTTGCTCTCTACAATCAAGGAATGCATCCAGGTGGCCCAGACGGAAACGAAAACGTCTCGGGAGGAAAGCACGCTTATAGACAAAAAGTGTTTTTTCGCTTTGAACCCGGCCAAGCTCTTGAAGAAGAAAATCAAGTCGCTCGAAGAGAAATAGACGGGGGAAACTTCTAATATTACGTAGTTCTTCTGGATGAAGCCTACATGTGGAGATTATAGAGGTACTGGGCGAAAATCCATAAAAAATGCTTCTGAAAATATAGATGAACATTCTTTTCTAAGTATGAATGAACCCCTGTTTTCAATATTCCAAGATGAGGAACTTATGACATATATAGTATCAGGTACTGCAACGTAATAGACTAGAAAGTCGACTTTTAGTCTAGTAATATACAAGCATCAATACGTTGTATTATTATATATCCGTCGAAAAATGAAAGTATATATGTTATGCAAAGAGAGTATATATGTTATGATAATAGGAATATAGAAATATATTTAATCCTATCTAAGGTGTAGTAATGGAAGTCGGTAATAATGACAAACGTAGATTACGATCAGTCTCTAGATATTTTGTTACATACTACTGCTGCTACATGCTGGATTCTGCTAGGAAGTTCTATTTCTAAACCTATACCTATACATGTATGCCGTGGTTGCCGTACTTGCTCAGCAATTGTCCCATAAATAACATCTCTACTTGTCCAACACACTTTCCTTCTCCAACACACGCTCGATTTCCTTGAACAAAGTGTCGGCGGTGGCCTGTGAACCTTTCACCAATGCACAAACCAACTCGGACTTTTGGTTAAACTCGCGTGGGCTGATCTTGATCCGGAACCGACAGCTTTTCAAGTTGAACGAGTTGTTCGACGAAATCGATCCCGTGATGTGGTATCCGAAGTGGTCTTGCTTCAAGTTGCGCAACCCAAAGTTGGACCACGAGTTCAATAAGGCGTACAATGCAGTCATCATCTCCTGTTTTGGCAAGATCGTCTTATACCGTTTAATGTCAGCTGCCGCAGGGTGTGACGACGACGAAAACCACCGGAAAAACGACCCGCTGCGCTTCTCCTCCACCAGGTTATTGCCCGAGGTGGCAGGCGATGGCAATTGCTTGGGCTCATCCAACGTTTTCTTGGAGCCCCATGACAATTTGCGGAAAAGCGACCGACTTCTCTTTTGAGGCTTTGGCTCCGCGGCCACATTCGTCGAATCCACTAATGGCTTTTTAGACGTCTGTGTGGCCTCTGTAGACTTTGAGTTATTCTTTGGCATCGTTCCATACGATTTGGGTTGACGCTTGTTCTCGGTTTCTGGACGCAACATGGTCAGCGGTGGAGGCTGCACTGCTCCAGCAACGCGACTGGTCTTTTTCGATTCTGGCAATTTGATTTTTTCAAATAGCTCTTCGCTGCCACGACCGTGGTCCACAGAGTTGTCATCGTTAAAAGTGTAGTCCGCCTCTTCTTCTTCTTCCCGCTTGCTCTTTCTTTTCTGATTCACTGGTTGCTTGCCAGCATAGTACGAAGTGCGCTTGTTTGCGAGATGCTCATCAAAGTCAATGACAGAAGCTGAGTCCAACTGTTCCTCGTCCACCTCGGGAACAAGACCTGCCTGATCCAAACGATCAGCAAAGCTGGTTCTCAAGCGGGGCATGTTAGCCTTATCATCGTCGTTGAATGCTTCTCTGCCCTCCTTCTCAGCATTCAATTCATCTTCTGCGCCTTCGCCATGTGCATCCAAAATAGAATTGAGGTCGCGGTAGGACTCCTTTGTCAGACGAATTGTGAGCAAGGATAAGCGCTTGTTGGATGCTGAAAAGTGGTGTGACTTGCGTGTGACTTTAGGGATGTTTACGCTGCCAATGAGCGTCTTCGAAGGCGGTGGAAGTTGTTCCTCCTCCTGTTTGGTGCCGTTCAATTGGCCCTTGATGTTATACTGCGAGTTCAAAAGACGCGACTTGCGGATCTCAGACATGTACTCTGTGCTCAAGTCAATGTCCTGAGATTCGTGTTCTGGAAGCACGTATTGCGTACTCTCATATTCGGAGTTCTTGGAGAGCCGATCGGCATTAGCATCTTTTACACTCACCATTGACTCGCGCTTCTTGCGGGTATCAGCAAACTCATCCTGAAGAGCATCTTGTGCCCGCGTGAGCTTTTCATTTTCAAACGCAGTCCACAATGGGTCCAAACGCGACATGGGTCTCCGCGACAACACAGGTGTAGGTCTGCGCTGTGGTACAGGCTGGGTAGCTGAGCGACGCTTGATGTTAGCGACATCAGCAGGCGTAAGGTCATCATTGTGAGGTGTCTCGGAAATGCTGCGCAATTGGGAGCGGCGTTTTGGTTGCGTGAGCTCACCACCTTCTGCCTCTGCGGGCTTAGTATCATCCTCGGTCACCAGAATATGCAATTTCCGGGACGATAAGAGCGAGCGGCGCTTCAGACGGCGTTTTTGTTTAGCCAACTCGCGACGGGCCTTAAGTTCAGCTTCATGCTTTTTGCGTTCGATCTCCATCAACTTTTCATACTCACGCGCCTTCTTCTCCTCGTCGTCCACTAGCAACTCGTCATCACGGTCATAGGCTTCTTGATTGAATATTTTATCACACAACGTGGCAAAAGTGGCGGATGTGCGTTTCGTTTGCTTATCCATATACTCCCAGTCGCTCTCGCTGGCCAACTTGGCATACGTGGAAAGCAACTTGACTGTAATGGAGTTACGCTTGAGCGCAATAGACTGGCGGATCGATCGTGTCTTTTGCATGCTCATACGTGAGCCCAGGCGACGGAAAACACTACGGCGGCGCTCAACTGGAGCAGCTGAGTCTAAACCCGCAAGTGCCCGTGCAGCCTCACTGCGACTGTTTTCAGCAGCATCATAAATCAGGTCTTTGGACGGTAATGTTGGTGGGCGTGACAGTTCAGCCGCCACAATGTCGTTGTAGATATTACGCGGAAGCGAAAGGTCGCGGGTAGAGGGTATTTTCTGAGGCGAGCGCCGAGGAGAGCGAAGGGGCGATGCAGTTGTCTTTTGCGGCGAGCGGCGTGGCGACTTTTGCCCATACCGCCGCTGGAAGGACACGGGTCTGGAACGGCGCCGCGGCGTCAGCACGCCCAGGGTCAGGCGGGGCATACGGCGCGGCGTTCCTGGGCCATCGTCCTGGTGCCGGTAGCGCAGAAGTAATGCGTAGAAAGTCTTTTCAGGGTTGGGCCCATCGGCCAAAAGACACCGCACAATGTCTTCCTCGGGACGCGCGTGCCACAAGATGGACAAGTTGTGCAAGATGTGTTGATCAATGTTCTTGGCGCTACCTAAGGATTTGTAGGCAGTTTGTGGATGTGGAAGCAGGCGTACGCTCACAAGGTCATCATCGGGAATAGGATACTTGGCGAGCAACGGGTGTGTAAGCACGTCAGGTGTGGTGATACGGCGGGCAGGGTCGACGGTAAGCATGCGCCTAAGCAAGTCTTGAGCTTCTGAACTCAAATCAGAAGGCATTTCAAAGGAGCCAGCCTGAACCTTGAGCAACAAGTTGCGGATGTTTTCATCATCAAAAGGCAAGCGGCCGGTCAACAACGCAAAGAGAATGACGCCGCATGACCATACATCGGAGGCTGCGCCGTGGTATTTGAGGCCAGAAACAATCTCTGGTGCCGCATAATGGGGAGAGCCACACAGGGTTTCAAGCAAGCGGCCCTGGCTCTCGAGCGCCGCCATGCCGAAGTCTGCAAGCTTGACGTTGAGTGCCGCGTCAAGCAACAAGTTTTCCGGCTTCAAATCACGATGACAAATGCCCAAAGCGTGGCAGTATGCTGTACCCAAGATGATCTGGCGGAAGTACTTCACGGCCTCGCGTTCGTGCAAAGGCCCACGTTCCACTAACAAGTCAAACAATTCACCGCCTTCCACATACTCCAAAACGAGGTACAAGGCCTTGGACGTTTCCCAGACGTCGTAAAGACGCAACACATTGGGGTGCGTGAGAAGCTTCATAATGATAATCTCACGCTCAATCCCATACGGGAGTTGGCCAGCCTCGGGTTTCTCGTATTCCTCATTGAGCTCCAGTTTCGAAACCACCTTGACGGCGGCCTTCTGGCCCGTGTTGGAGTGCACGCCGAGGAGAACCCGGCCCGTGGCGCCACGGCCCAAGGTTTTGCCCAACTTCCAAGGCCCAATCTTGTGGGGGTGGCTGTGCGACATGGACAGAGCCGAAGACATCAGCGCTTGTCGTGAAATCATAGACATAGACGGTTCGGAGGACTTGGGAGCGATGGACGGAGAAAGGAACGAGTGACAAAAAGCAAGGTGCTTGGGAGGGGAAAAGCGTGGAAATGGAAAAATAAACCGAAACTCGAGAAAAGAGGCTCAATCGGTGAAACTCTAGAAAGAAACTTGCAAGACAAACACTTGGGAAGAAATGCGGAACACTTGAGAAGAGTGAGCGTTTATGTGCAAGCGGATTTTTTCCGCATCGGGAGTACGCGACACGCGCCGCGTGCCTGCCGCGACAGAAAAAAGATGAAACACCCGTACCTCCCGTTTATTGGCCCGGCCAAGCACCTGCCCGAATTTGGCCAATTTCAACGGCAATCGCTTCAGTCACGCAATAGCAGTATTCTCAGGCTTCTGCTGTGTTTGGCCCAGGCCAATATTTGGCTGCCGTTTGTGTGACGCGTGTGCATTCTTGGACGAAACCGAAAGATGCGGTCACGTGATGCTATCTTCCGCGTCCTGGAATGCAGGTACCGTCCCATGTAGGGCAAACAGCCCAAAGGTTCAGGACCAAGAAATAAGCGAAATATTGCAGGAGCCGAAGAAAGTAAATTAGCAAAGTTTGTTTGTTTTCCTTTGGCTTTTCTTTTTTTGGCAGTCTAATTAGCACAGCTGAGATGGGTGCAATGAGACAGACAAGGCCAACACTGATCTTTCAGTTTCAACAAGCCAGATTCAGACTCAATAAAGTCAGATCCAACGAATCCAACAAGTCGGCAAGTCTCAAACAAACAATTCGTCAAACTGAAAATAAACCAAACAATGCGATAGTGTGTACCAAAAAACAATACGATAGAGTTCCGAAACGTAAATTGTGCAAATAGCCCTTCTTCGCTTCTGCTAACCTCGCAACCAGAAAATAAACTGCGAAACCTGGAAGGCACAAAGAATGGAACCTTGCTCTAAATGTCAAAATAGCTCCGAGAGATATGATGTTGAAACGAAACCTGAATAGCGTAATCGGATATTGGCCATGAATCATTTTCCTAGAAAAGTGACACCTGGGTCCAAGACATCTCTCTAGTTTGTCTAATGTTTTAGACCACTGGCCTCGGAGTGCATCCAGATAAGTATAATAATGCATCCAAGCCATTTCGACTAGATTCAGAGAGATTTGAGCCGCGTGGCTCCTCTTCCCCTTTGGGAAAAAAATGCACCATCCATACTTGTCCCTAAAAAGGATAATTAATGGAGGCTGGACCTTTGGTACAAGGTTGATTCTTAGTAGTGTATGAGTTCATAACGAAAAGAGAAGGGTCTATACATCTGAAACACGATAACAATGTGGCAAAGTCAAATGATAAAATTGGCCAGGTCTTTGGGCAAAAACCTGTATTTTTACAAAGAAAAAGTAGTTGGCGGCGAAACTTTGTGTTTGTACCACTCAAGGGGGTATGGGGAAGTGACACAAAAAGGACAGTGCACCCGTACACCATTTTCTTCTACACCCGTACCTTTTAAAACACCCGTACAGTTTTGAGGTAAACATCCATACACCACTCTTTTGAAAACCCGTACCTTTTAAACATCTGTACACCTTTAAGTAAAACATCCATACACCAAGTTTGTGACACCCGTGCATCCTCATACATAAGCCCTTCAGCTCCAGTTCAGGGCCATTTTAGTCTGATAAAATGATATTTGTGTTTATGGGGAATACTCAAAGTTATAGTTTTCATTATCTTCATTCTTATTCTTTAATGCAAGGGGTCAAAAATTAAGGTGCGGCAGAAAGCTTATGTTGAAAAGGGACACATGTGACAAGCCTTATTCAAGTTCCCGATTGAAGCGATATTCAATGAAATCTCCTACTCAAATTTGGCTTGAAGAGTTAATTGTATTGTTACACTTAATGGAATTTCCAGTAATGGTGTTTTTGCGAGAAAAATGATAAAGCGAGGCCAACTACGTAATGGACAGGGTCACTGCAGAATATTCAAAAGGGGTTTCTATTATTGAAAATATTAGGAGCTTGGGAAAACTAGCATTTCAGAATTGAAAACATGCTCAGTTTCGGTGTAATGAAACACGGTGTTATTAATGATTCTATAAAAGTGGAGAGTGTAATATTCAACCGTAAGCTGATTATATATAAGATGCCACTTCCTGGTAAATGTTTGTTGAAGACAAACCTTCATTTTGAACCAAAAGAGGACAAAAGGATCAAAATACTGATCTTAAAAAAATTTCAAATGAGTATCGACCCTTAGGATCGTGATCAGGTCATGGACAAAGTTTCGTCACAAGCTGTAACAAACTTGAAGTCAACATGTTGCCGTACTCATAATTGTTTCCAATACAGTAATCACTTCGTTAATGATTTAACTCCGATTTAAAAGACAGGGACCTCTTCCGTATGACCTGATTACTTATAGTATCTTTATATGCTAATACAATAATTGTTAGGTTCGGAATATAAGCGGTAGTGTATATTCAGTGGGTGAACTTCTTGGTTCCTGGCTTCCAACTACAATGGGAAAGCCAGTGTTCTTATAGACGTAGTAAATAGGGGTATGAGGCTTATCTCATACGGCGAAGCTTATCAGTAATAGAGCCAGATAGGGGCGTGGCTTATCTGGTAGGTACCATAACCGGAAGTTGGGATACCCCCAGTTTCCCCGGTATGGTTGACCTAACAATAATTGCCATAGCATGAAACAAATGATCAACCGAAAAATGGGTGAACCTTGGAGATGGCAAAGGCACCAGTTTTCAAGTAGCCGAGCAAATCATTTTAATCTAGTGTGGTAATGGACTAGGTTAGTGATTATTTTCTAATGATCTAGTGGTACGTATGATTAAAAGTGTAGACTGTAACAGTTTATTAAGTGTTCTGAGAAAACAGCAACTAACGGTTGATAAAGTCGTAAATGTTATGTTTTATTCTGTTCAAGCTGAGCTGTTCAGATTGAGCTCAACCAATGACAACGTCGAAACTAAAAGATTAATTCATCCATATTCCCCGGGAATAAGAAAATCTTGGTTTTCTAGAATTTAACGTTCCATCCTGCTTTCAAACCCCAATGTGCCTTGCAATGGTGATTCGTCCTGCAAAACTCTGGATATTTGACTAGTTTGAGCAATTAAGTCGATTGTAAGCAATAATTTGGGCTGTGTATTCAATGGGTAGACTGGATATAGTGTGAATACTTTGTTTCTTTAATGTCTCGCTCCGTTCATCTGCAAATGCAAATACAATCCGATTCGAGCTGCCCGAGTTATTCTAGCTAGTCGCAAATGGTCAACCCAGCCAACTTAATTCAAATATAAGAAGCGACAAGCAATTGACCTAGATCATAGGTTCTTGAGCTTGATGATATCAGGTACAGTAGCTTAATACGATTGACTGGTGGCTCTAGTGACTCTGAGTCCGAATCTTTTTCAATCACTACACTTTATACTAATGAGATTAACCAAAGGCGAAACTTTAACCAAACGACTAATGAGCGAGTAGATTAGTTGAGACTGATAGCAATTGATGGGAAAAACGATTAGATGTCTCTGGAACATAGTCGCTTGTTAGGCCGTTGGGACAATTGATTTATAGAATACGGTCAATAGTTCGGTTCACTAATATTCTAATTCTCACTATTTCTCACTATTTTTATGGTTCACTAATTCTCACCTATTTTCGTTAGGTCTTATTTTGTATTATTTTTTGTCATATTTCGTTAAGTCTTCTTTCTCCTTGTCTTCTTTCTTCTTTTTGTCTTCTTTGTCTTCTTCTTTCTTCTTTGGCTATTCTCGTTGCCATAACCGCATCCTGTACTTCCACGTCGCACTTTCACACATCAGTGTGCCTGACTTTTCAGCGCCGCATCTTTTCTGGCCTGGTTCTTTCTCACTTCGACTTACTTCGACGTCTGTCTTCTCGATTTCACTTCGACGTCTGTCTTCTCGACTTCGTCTATCAGCTTCTTCATTCTTCCGTCTTCGTCTTCTCACCTTTCCCTCATCTTTCCCTCATCTTTCCCTCATGTCCTGGGTCTCAACTTTCCCCGGCTACAGCAACGTCATGGGCCGGGCCAAGAAAGTGGCGGGCCAGATCCTCCAGACAGGGCCCACGCCGCGGCACGTGGGCGTGATCATGGACGGCAACCGGCGCTTTGCCCGCGAGCACAAGTTGGAGGTCAAAGAGGGCCACAGCTTCGGCTTCGACGCCATGGCCGCGGTGCTCGAGCTCTTGTACCAGAGCGGCGTCGAGCACGCCACCGTGTATGCGTTTTCCATCGACAACTTCCGCCGCCTGCGCCAGGAGGTCGACTGGCTCATGGACTTGGCCAAGTCCAAGTTGAAGCAGATGGCGCAGCACGGCGAGCTTTGCGACCAGTACGGCATCCGCATCCGGGTTTTGGGCAACGTGCTGCTCTTGCCGCCCGACGTGCGCGCGGCCTTGCGCGACACCGAGCGCCGCACCGCCCACAACTCGCGCGCCGTGCTCAATGTGTGCTTTCCTTACACGGCGCGCGACGAAATGGCGCACGCGGTGCGCGCGGTGGTTGGCGCGGCCGCGGCCGACCCGCACTGCAAGGTGGACCAGGCGGCGCTCGAGCGCCACTTGTACACGGGCGAGGCGCCGCCGTTGGATCTTTTGGTGCGGACAAGCGGCACCTTCCGCCTCCTGGACTTTTTGTTGTGGCAGGCGGTGCCGTCGTCGTGCGCCGTGGTGTTCTGCCCCAAGTTGTGGCCCGAGTTCACCGCGTGGGACATGTGCTTGATCTTGCTCCGCTGGAGCTTCAACCGCTACTGGTACGGCAGCGGCAGCGGCAAGCGCGCCGACGCCTGGAGCGACTCGGACTCGGACTCCGAGCCGGACACCGCCGAAACGGAAACGGCCGAGACGTCGGGCTTCCGGGCAAAGCCAAGTCTATGAGGCCACGGCAGCCTCCGGGCGCAGCCTGGAGGCGTGAGTTCGGCATGAACATTCTGACTGACGTTCTGGCATGAACATTCTGGCCTTTCTGACATCTGCACTGGTCTGAGCCTGGCATGAACATGGCCGTTCTGACATGAGCATTCTGGCCGTTCTGACATGAACATGGCCGTTCTGCATGAACATGGCCGTTCTGGCATTTGGAGAATCTTGATCCCACGCTTAAACACATCCTTGCTACTTTGTCTTTTCTTGTTCTCCGCACTTGGCTTTCTGCCAGATTGTTAGAACATTATTCTGCCTGGTTGACATGAACATTTGACATGTCGGCAAACTTATGGCATGTTGACTAGCAATGGCTTCTGTCTATTGTCAGATCTGTCTGATCTGTTCATTGACCCTCGGCTCATCACTTCATTCCTCCGGCTCCATCGGTTCATTCTCATCCTTGAGTAATCTCCATCTGTTCACTCCCACTCCATGCATAAGCATTCGTGCTCGCGGCCCCCCACAGCCGTGGGCCGCCTAATAAAACGACCCTCGTGTAATATATAATCAAGCAATTTGTGATAATGCAGCCGTGTATTTATCTATCCAGCGAGTACCCGACTATGAGTGACATAATAAAAACTAAGCCCATCAAAACGGATCCAACACAAGGGCATGACCCAATTGGTAACGATGAGAATCTTGTGTTCTGTAAAAATTGGAAGCAAAAGACCCAGTACAACCAAAGCTAGAATATATAGCCAATCTGCTTCGGCTACCACGTTTGTGACAGTCCAAATTCACCTGGGTTGACTTTTGGTGTTGGAGCATCATCGATGGTAGTTCACAGAATCTACTAATCAAAAGCCTAGTCGATTTTTCAGAGAGATGTATTTAGCCCCAAAAATTCAAATAAATTCAAAAGAAAAAGTAGTGAACATTAACCACTCAAAAATTCCAACATCAAATTAACATATTATTTGAAGACAGGAAAACGTCTACCACTGGATTAAACTAGGTTTTTTTGGAAATATTTAAGATAAAAAAAATTTCATCTTCTCCAGTAAGACCACCCGCCCGGCCATTGACTTAGTAAGCATTCCGGCCTCCGTATTTATCTACTTGATTGCGTTTGGTGAAATTTGTGGTCTCCAGTTGCATCCTGTGAACGTAATAGAACTCTTAGACACCAGAATCGGCGTGGCTATTAGAGCACACAAATGTTCAATAAATTACACATGGCTCATTATATGCGTTAACTACTTCATGAACGAATCACATTGTCTTTATTCGTTATCCAAGCAATGAGACTTCCAAATCGTTCGTTATGGCCTTTGTCAACTTTATGTTCTTGAAGTACCTTGCAAAGCTTCCGCCATTTACGAAGGAAATTCTGACTATTGACCACTTTCTGACATCCCATCTCTGTTTCTAACGAATCACCAGTAAACCAAATGGCCGATTATGAATCGGAGCCTCATAAAGCTGTCAGATTGTTTCTGGCCTAGTTGCTCATACTAGAATTTTACGATTATTGTGAAATGACCATTTTCGTGGAATCCTTCCATTTTCGCCCTGGTGATTTGTTTCGCCCATTTCATTCATTTCTTTGGTTACAGTTTGTAAATTAAAGAACAGTCGGCATGGTCTTCCTGCATGGCCGTGCACCATGCGTTATCGCCAATATGTTCCTGTATGACAACCGTTGACTCACCAGTATAATTTCAGACCATCGACCAGACTCTTTTTCCCCAATGGACTTAGTCAATCATCTTCCGGACCGTCTTTTGTTTGCCGTGCCGAAAAGTACGTTTACCTTTTTTTCCTTGCCTGTGCCGCCACTAACCCGCCAGAGGGCCGTTTGTACGAAAAATGCTGCGCTTTGCTTGCCGGCGCCGATATCCAGTTTAGACGCTCCAACAGGTTGGACATTGCCCTTTCGACCAACATGAACATCGCGCTCATCTTCTTGCCCGCGGCCGACATTCCTACTTTTGTCGGCGAAGGTAAGTGTGACTTGGGAATCACCGGCCTAGACCAGGTCAAAGAGGCCGACATGTTCGATTCGGTAGCAGACTTGTTGGACTTGGAGTTTGGCAAGTGCAAGTTGCAAGTGCAGGTTCCGGCCAACGGCGACATCGACAAGCCCGAACAGTTGGTGGGCAAGAAAATCGTTTCGTCCTTCACCAGATTGTCCAGCAATTACTTTGAGGAGTTGGAAAAGCAGGTGGGCCACGAGCAAGGCGCAACCAAAATCAAGTTTGTGGGCGGCTCGGTGGAAGCATCGTGTGCCTTGGGCGTGGGTGACGCCATTGTGGATCTTGTGGAAAGTGGAGAAACAATGAAAGCCGCAGGACTTAAAGCCATATCCACCGTGTTGGAAACTTCAGCACACTTGATCTCCTCCAGAAAGCCCCGCTTCCCCGACATTGTCCAGACCGTGCACCAGAGATTCGAAGGAATCATGGCTGCCCAGAGGTTTGTCTTGTGCAACTACAATGCGCCAAGATCGATTGTGCCCGAGGTTTTGAAAATCACTCCGGGCAAAAGAGCCGCCACCATTTCTGCTTTGGAAAATGTCTCTGCCGACAGCGAGCCGTGGGTGGCCATTTCGTCGATGGTGGAAAAGAAGAAGATCAGTGATGTCATGGACGAGTTGAAGAAGGCCGGGGCCTCTGACATTTTGGTGTTTGACATCAACAACTGCAGAGTTTGATAGACAATAGATGAGGGACTAACGATTGTAGATACATTTTCCCATTGGACACTAAAATGCACATCAAGTTTCACCTTTGTAGATCATAATCGTTCGATTCTCGTAATTGACCGCAGTTCTTATTGAATGTAGCTTTAAAATCTCCGAACCCGGCATTGGTTGGGAATAGTGGTGAAGCCTGAATAGAGTGATTCGAAATAAAGATTTGTCTGAAGACAAATGACAGATGCAAATGCTTCAAACACTTATAGAAATCAAGTCCATGTAATAAGAAGCCATGGACAAGAAAGAGTCAACTAGATCAATCTGACTCATTAAAACGTTCTATTCATTGTCCTTGATGGGATAATTTCTAGCAAATACATATAATCACATTCGAGTGCTAGTGTGTTGTACTGGATTACACATAAAATCTTGTATCATTGCCATCAAGAACTGGATCAGAGCCAATTTCGTGACTGAAAGCCTCAGAGAAAGGTTCAAGGAAATCTCTACCACGGATACAATCAGATCCATCAGATAAGAGAGCCCGTTTCTCCAAATAAAAAACACCCAACTGAAGAATAGTGCTACGGTTGAGAAGCTAAACTGCTGTTGAGGCTCATATTATGGTCAGAACATTTGTATCAGCAAAGCTAGTTCGATAAATAGAAAAATAAGGACGCTGAAGAACTACTCGACCGAACATAGATTCTATCCAGAGCTTTAAAGCCAGTCCAAACGGTTCTAGTAGCAATACATCAATCAATCTAACAGTATTCGACCACTTTCATCGATTCAACTTCATAATATTAGATTGATCTGAACATTCCAAAATTGCCACCTTGGCCAATCCTGGTAACTGGAACACATCGATAGCTTATTAAAATATTTTAACTATAAGCCTTTAGTTTATCGCTCAGTGATTTGCAATTTGGTAACTTTGCCGTACTAACGCCTAAATTCATGAAAAAAAAAAAGACAGCTCAATACGGAAAACAATAGTCTAGTTTATCAACAATTGCACAAGAGCCTATGCTGTCATATCATTTCCTAAGTCATTTCATTTCAGAAGCCATTTCATTCCATGTCTAACCACCGCTGTCTTGTGCCGCGCACGCCAGTGGCAATATCGACAAGACGCTCGCCTTTTAGTTAGAACCACCCAAAGATGTCCAGAGAAGATCCTTTGAAAGCGGAAAAGGACTATTCTGCCACGTTGGACGAGCAGATTCCGCTCATCGAAAAAGTGCCCGACTACAAACAGGCCATTGACAAGTACTTGGTGTTGGAAAAACAGATCCGCCAATCCTCAGACTTGGCTCTGAGCAAACGGATATTAACCGCCATAGTCGATACTTTGGTCCAGAACAATGACTGGACGTACTTGGATGAGTTGATCACCGTCTTGTCGAAAAAACACGGCCAGTTGAAAACGTCCATCCAGACAATGATCCAGCGCGTGATTGACAAGTTGCCCGAATTGGACAGCGACAATGCCCAGCAATTGGAAACGAAGATGAAGGTGATTGAAACCATCCGCACGGTCACGGACAAGAAGATTTTCGTGGAGGTGGAAAGGGCCGTTGTTTCGAAGATGTTGGCGGAGATATATTTGGACAAGAAAAACGATTTGGACAAGGCCACAGAGATCTTGTGCGACTTGCAAGTGGAAACGTACTCGTTGATGCCGTTTGAAACGAAAATCGAGTACATCTTGGAGCAGGTGCGCTTGACGTTGCAGAAAAAGGACTATGCACAAGCCAAAGTGTTGAGCAGAAAGATTCTTTTGAAAACCTTGACGGGCTTTGAAAAGGCTGACCAGTACAAGGCCACGTATTTGGAGTACTTGTTGGAGATCTACAAGTTTGAAAACGACTACATCACCGTGGTCAAGAACTCGCTTCTCTTGATGGAAATCCCCTTGGTCAAGGAGTCGGAAAACTACAAGAGTTTGTTGGTGTCGATCATCTACTACGTGATTTTGGCGCCGTACGACAACTACCAGAGCGACTTGATCTACAAAATCAAAGCCAACCCTGTATTCTCCAAGAATGTCGATGCCCAAGTATTCAAGTTATTGGAGATTTTCACCACAAACGAACTAATCCACGGAGAGAAAATCGACCAGGACTACAAGAGCCAGTACTTCAGCCAGTCGCCGGTGTTTGCCGACAATGAAACCAACACCAAGAACTTGCAAAAGCGCATCATTGAACACAACTTGCGCATCATCAATAAGTACTATCTGTTCATCAAATTGGACCGTTTGGCGTTTTTGTTACAGGTGACCCCGCAAGAGGCTGAATCTTACGTCAGTGAATTGGTCAACAGCGGCATGATCAGGGCCAAAATCAACAGACCCCAGGGAGTCATCAAGTTTGAAAAGTTACAGCATGACACAGCTGCAGGTGCTTCTCAGGTGACTAGCAACAGCGAAAACATCAACGAGTTGTTGAACAGCTGGATGTATGACGTGGATAAGTTGTTGGAAGAGGTGGATAGCATTGGCCATTTGATCAACAAGGAGGAGATGATGTATGGGCTCAAGCAGAAGGCATGAATACATGTATAGAAGAATGGATGTGTTAATTGAAGATTTGTCGAAGTTGAATGCTTCTGAAAAAACCCTGGAAAGTAAATCTAAGCCTTAACAAAAGCAACCTTAGAGTCCCTTCGGGCCACAATTGATCAACTATGCATGCGTATCAAATACGAGACAAGAAGCTGTTGAAAGTAATGCTAGCGCAAGTATACAACCCCAGTAATCCTTCCCATGTGATACTAAAAGCGTGTAAAGTAACAATCAATGTGTTCCGAGCTTTGTGAAGATTCGTTCAACCTTTTAAGGAAACGAGTGACTTTCAACTGTAGAAAAAATCCATCAGGTTGAAATCGGACTAAGAATCCTGTCTTTGAAGATGTTGAGAATCTAATGGGACGATGTATGATTTCCTACTGGTGATACTCTTTAAATTTGAAAAACCCTAAACATTCGTAAACTTGTATTTGTAGGCGTGGAGTTCATATGTTTACATTGGTAGACTTCGTCCATGATATGAAAGCAGAGAATAAAAAAATTTAAGGACAGAGATAGATTTATCAGTTGCTCGCCAAATAATGTGCTACACATAATTCAAAATTTCATCACGAATGGTGATTCAATACAAAAAGGAAACGTGTCCAAATAAAGCCTGGAACATCATGCCTAGGATTAAAAATCAGATGTCTTGATCGGCAGAGCCTACAATGACACATGGTTCGACGAAGTATCGCACTGTATTGTTCGCCTCCTATAGACTAGTCAATTTACCTTTTTCGGTAGCTAGTTTAAGCCATCATGGCCATGAAGGCAGCACAAAGGCCAAACAAGGACGAAGGGCCATAGTGGGCGGTGCCACTCTTTTTGGAGCTCGACAGCGACAGCGACAGAGACGAGCCCGACGTGGCGGAGCTGGAGCCCGAGGAAGAACGGGTCGACGAGCGAGTGCTGCTGCGCGACACGGAAGAGTGGTCGTCCGAGTCGTCTGTGTCGTTTCCGCCGTCCACACAGGCCCATTGGGTGTCTGCATCAAAGCCGTTTCCCTCTGGATCGACGGTGCCCTTGATGTACTTCAAGGCGCCCTTGGGGGTGTCCGGAAGCTTGTCTTCGGCCTCCCAGACATCGGATTTTTCTGGGCATTCGGAGAACGGAAGACCGGTGTGGTAGCCGCCGTCGCCGGAGGGGTTTTTCGCCGAAGAAAACTGCTCCTTGAGGTTGTCAAAGTCGTCGTTGGTGGTGACGGTCTTGTTGTCCAGCGAGATCTGCACCAAGCCGTAGTCGTTGCCCTCCATGGAATACTCGTACACAAGACCGCCCGAGAAAACAGGCAGCATCTTGTCGGAGAAAATGGCCAGGATTTCAGTGAAAGGTCTGGGGGTGATCTTGTTGCAGCCAAACTCGGAGAGGAACAACGGGATGGAGTAGTTGTCGTAGGCCTCGACCTTCTTGTCGTAGCCGGACGTGGTGAAGGACGAGCGGCCGCACCACGAGTAGTCGTTGAAGCCAAACATGTCCACACGGGCCATCTCGTCGTCGCCACAGTTGAAGTAGTGCGCCGTCTCCAAGCGGTTCTCCTCGATGTCGGCGGCCGAGTAGCCCACCGGGATAAGACGCAAGTCTGTGTTGCGCTGGAACGTCTTGATGTCACGCACCACGGCCTTGACGTAGACGGCGGCCGGCGTGGTGTCGGCGTCGTTGATCACCTCGTTGCCGGCAAAGAAACCCAACGTGTTGTCGTACTTGGACATGAGCTTGACCGTGGCCAAAACCTCGTTCAAGTACATGGTGTTGTAGGAGCACTTGGCGCCCTTGTCACGCGCAATCAGCGCCTTGGGCACGTTGACGTCCAAAATCAAGTAGATGCCCGCGTCCGCCAACTGCTGCATGCACTCGTCGTGGTCGGCGGTGTTGTCGATGGAGTAGACACGGATGGTGTTGATGCCAAGCTCCTTGAAGTACTTGATGTCACGCTCGCACGTGGTCGGGTCGGCCAACGGGTCGTAGAGTTTGCTCGAGCCGCCGGGCTGGTAGTCGAGGCCCCGCATGTAGAAGCGGTCCTGGGAGCCCTTGACGAAAAAGGCATTGCCCTTGATTTCGATCGGGTCGAGCGCATAGGCGAGAAGCGGCAACGCAAGCAAAAACCACCACATAGGAAAGCGAAGGGAAGGAAAGAAAGAGGGAAAGAGGAAGAAGGAAAGAAGGTGGCTTGGTCTCACATTGGCTCCAGTGGCAGACGGCCCATTATTTATATGGGGAGTGCCAAGGGTTGTGCACCCTGGCCTAACATGTAGCCTTTTCGCTTGTCTGCAGGACAAAAGCTTTTGCCAAGGGTGGCTTATCGTCTTGGCTTGCTTGTGTTTTTGTCTCGGGCGTGGAGGGGAAACCGTGCCGGCACTGAAGCTCATTGTCGGCTCTACCACTGGCCTTGCCGTGTCGTGGAGCTGGAGAAAGTAGGCGTACTGCAGGTAGCAGAGCAGGGAAGCAAACCGTTTGTTTACAAAGTGTGATGATAGTCTATTTCTGATTGCTTGCCTTTGGATGGTCTTGATTGACTTTGCGCCGCGGAATTCAGGAGGCATTAGATCGGTGTGCTTCTGACTTGAGAAGGAAAGCGGATGGAATACATTTATCCATCTATCATATTATAATTTCATCTATCATAATTTCATCATATCATAATCCATCTGATCACATCCTAGATGTAATAATACAATCACATATCACATATCACAACTCACATCTATCACAGCTCACAACTTAATCACGATTTAAGCACATCTCACATCTATCATCTATCATCTATCATCTATCATCTATCATCTATCACCTATCATCTATCATCTGTCATCTATCACATCTCTACAATTTCATCCTCAATGCGATCCCAAATGACAATGCGCAATACCATAAGCTTAGACGCATTCAGTATTTTCTGTTTCGCCTGCTTTCTTTCCGTGCCTTATTACTACTTTCGATAAGTCAGCCGCGTGGCTTCTTTCCTTCGGTGCATCATGCACGCTCCTTGCTTATTTATCTCCTGTACTTTAAACTAATTAGGAAACAGAAAATATTATACTAAGGACACTTTTGAAATATGCTGTTCCGTTCTGACACGTCCAGGCAAAATCATGAGCTAACGATAACTTAATCTGCCGGCCCCTTTTCCTTTGCATTTGCCTATCAGGAGGTGTCATATTTTGGCCATGGAGCCTTCAATCGTACGATGAGGCTTGTCAAATGCCTCCTCATCCCTTTGAAAGGTTCTGGTGTCTTGAACTTTATTTTCTTCGATCTTGAAGTTACGCTCTCGATCTTCAAATCACTTCGTCTCTCGTATTTAAATTGCTTCCTCGATCTTCAAGTTCTTCTCTCGATCTTCAAATTACTTCTCTCGATCGTATTTCAATCTTGCTTGAACTCTCCCACCGTCTTGTGTTGGGGTCTTTTTCTCTTCTCTTCTCAATTCTAGCCTGCTTCACCATCAGTGTGAACTTGCACCATCCAATGCCATTATTCGTATAATGCGCTTGATTGTAGTACTGCCCTGAATTGTAGGCTTCTCACAAATGGCTTTTCCATCTAATTTTCAAACCGTCAAAGCAACTTTGAATTCCTGGAGTCGTAATTAGAAGTGATTTAGATTTTATTGATTCTGCTTCACAATACCACCTACCCTGACTAAAGTGTAGGTACTGAGACCTACTTGGTCTTTTTGGGTTTCGCTTTTTTCCACCAAGGTTTCAGCCATCAGTCTACAAAATGATGCCGGATTCTGCTTCTGCCCTCACTATCCCCTGAAATAAGTAAGAATCAATTAGGTGTACTTGATTTGGAATTCTGCCCATTTTGGTGGCCTGCATATAAATCTATTTCTATCTCTGTAAAGCCAGGACGACTTCCCCTCCAAAAATCGTTGAGTTTCCTTTTCTCGCTCCCCCTGCCTTTCTTTCGCCCTTCTCCATCTCCGTCTATACCGAAGATGGCCATTTCGGCCCGCTTTCGATGGGCCAATAAGCGTGGTGTACGGGTGTTTGTGCTCTCACCCAAACATCCACTTGTTCGTATCCGCTCTAAAGTAACCCACAATGGCGTCTCAGATACATTTTCTCGACATCAAGGGGAAAACCCTTCTTTCTAGAGACTACAAGGGCGACATTCCGCCGAAAACCATCGAGAACTTCCCGCTTCTCCTTTTGGAGTTTGAAAACGGCGAAGACGACTCGCTCTACAAACCATATATCCACCACAACGGCATCAACTATGTTTTCATCAACCACAACAACTTGTACGTGTGTGCGTTGACCCGAAAAAACGAAAACGTCGTGGCCATCATTGTGTTTCTCTCGCGGGTAATCGAGGTTCTTACCCAGTACTTCAAGAGCTTGGAAGAGGAATCGATCCGAGACAACTTTGTCATCACGTACGAGCTCTTGGACGAGATGATGGACTTTGGCATTCCGCAGACCACAGACACCAAGATCTTGAAAGAGTACATCACGCAGGACTACTACAAGTTGATCCGCAAGACGCCTTCCCGTCTAGTACAGCCTCCGAATGCGGTGACAAACGCTGTGAGCTGGAGAAAAGACGGCATTGTGTACAAGAAGAACGAGGCGTTTTTGGACGTGGTGGAGTCCATCAACATGCTCATCAACGCCAACGGGCAGGTGTTGAACAGCGAGATTCTCGGCGAAATCAAAATGAAGTCCAAATTGAGCGGCATGCCCGATCTCCGCTTGGGCCTCAACGACAAGGGCATTTTCTCCTCGAGCATGGACGACGACACGGCCACAGAGTCTGCGCCGGGGTCCAAGAAGATCGAGATGGAGGACATCAAGTTCCACCAGTGTGTGCGGTTGTCCAAGTTTGAGAACGAGCGCATCATCACATTCATTCCGCCCGACGGCGAGTTCACGGTGATGTCGTACCGGTTGCTGTCGGCGCTGTTTTTGATGAAGCCGCTCATTTTGGTCAATTGCAAAACTGTGGTCCACAAACACTCGCGGATCGAGATCTTGTGTTCGGTCAAGGCGCAAATCAGAAAGAAGTCCACTGCCAACAACGTGGAGGTGATCATTCCAATCCCCGACGACGCAGACACGCCCAAGTTTGTGCCTGAGTACGGCTCGGTCAAGTGGCTTCCGGAAAAATCCTGTTTGGTGTGGAAGTTAAAGACTTTCCCTGGAGGGAAGCAGTTCCACATGAAGGCGGAGCTCGGCTTGCCTGCGGTGGTGGACACGGACAGCGTTGTGCTGAAGAAGCCCATCAAAGTGAAGTTTTCCATTCCGTACTTCACCACATCGGGCATCCAGGTCCGCTATTTGCGCATCAACGAGCCCAAGTTGCAATATCAGTCGTATCCATGGGTGCGCTACATCACCCAGTCCGGCGATGACTACACGGTCAGAACAAAGTGACAATGAGATTAGAGAGGAAGATGAGGGGATCACCCGAGGGAAGGCGATATTTAATTTAGACTTCTACTTGACGTCCGCCAACTTGTATAGTACCTGCAAAACATGCTCTTGTTTTGCCACGTCTGTCTTGTTTCCGCCAGCGAAAAAAGGCACCTGTAGCTCGCAGAGCATCGCCTGTGACTCGGCCGCATACCGTTTCTGCATCTGCATCACTTCCTTGTAGAATGAAGCAAGCTCCTTTTCTTTGGCCACACTCCGGTCTCTCTCAGCATTGCTATTCAACTTCTTGAGTTTCGAGAGGCCCTGGTAGCTTTGGCCCTTATCGGCATACTTCTCGAGAATCGCCTTGTGCTCTGCCGTCTTTTCCTTCTGGAACCGAAGATGTTTCTCGATAAGTGCCTTGACCTGGTCCATTTTCTCCACTTGCCGGGTGAACCTGCGCTCCAAGTAGTGTTCTGCTTCGGAAAGATCGTCTATGAGCCGAGGATCTGTTTCCTCTCCGGCACTATTGAGCAATTCGTAGATGCGCTTGGTGTAGTAGTCTCTTTTGTTGATCAATTCCATCAACTGCTTGGCCTGGTTGTTCGAAACGATGGTTTCGGCGATTTTTTTTTCATTTTTCGGCGTGAGCCGCCGGTACAGCTTCGATTTGGATGTGAGCTGGTAGTTTTGGATAGTATGGTGGACAGCTGAAGAAACGTGTTTCATGGTGTTTTGTTAGATGGCCATCACGTGAACATTATAGTGGAGTGGACATGCGGATGATGGAATAGGTGATTAATGAGCTAGGGTAATACTAAAAAGCCTGATGACGTTTGATAATGAAGATGTAATCTGAGATATTGATTATGTATTGATGTTATCTGAAGTATTGATTATGTATAGATATTATCTGATTAGTTGATATTATCTTGCTTATTTGATGTTATTCGAAAGTATTAAATTTCAGATCATGCACAATACGTCTCTTATAGAGTTATTAGATCCTTCCAAATTGGAAAAGTTGGTAAAGTTATTTTTGGGTCAATTTAAGCATTGAAGTATCATCGATTTTTGCTATTCCATTTTGTCATGTATTGCCATTGTCACATATAAGTTGCGAATTGGCCAAAACGAGAGCAATGCTCGACCTTAATATATATTTCAACAGGCCACCAAAAATCCAAAAATTCACCACTACAAAAAAGCTCCACATAGGTCTGAATATGTGTATAGATCGTTCCTGCAGTAGCCTCGAACTGGATACTCATACTTTCCCCCACCAAGTATCTTCTATAAATTGTAGTCGGAGTAATATGCAGGCAAGACAGTGGAGATATGGAACTTTATCAACGAATGAAACTACAAATGGAGTACAGAGATTTATGAAGCATTGACGAGCATTGATTTAATTGATTTAAATGTTTCTTATATTCAATTCACTGCTCAAACGTTTTGAGATTCGGACGGAGATACGTCAGACGGAGATACGAGACGGAAGTATCGCAAGTCAGATGGAAACTCCACAAGTCAGACACTTCACAAGCCAGATGGAATTTCATCCGCCAAAGATGCACATGACATCCATAATCCAGAAGCTCCGTGAAAGAAGAGCCGGGCATACATTAGTTAATAATGAAAGGAAGACCAGATCGAACTGCAGGGTCCGATACCGTACACGCTCATAACCAGACTTATCACCATATAAAGATGCCAGTTTCCCACTTTTAGCCTGACCAGACATGTCAGACCAAGTTTATTACAACAAGGGATTCTCCAAAGTGATTTCCGACACCCACGCCTGGAGGACAGTCGAGAATGCTGTTCCTTACATTATTCCTTACCTCAACAAAAGCCAAAAGTTGCTTGACGTTGGATGTGGTCCAGGCACAATTCTGAAGGACTTGGGAAACTATGTGGGGGAGGTGATTGGAATCGAGCCTACGGCCGAATTGATCGACATCTCCAAGGCCCAGGAAAACTTGCCTGAAAACGTCCATTTCCAAATTGGTCTGGCGTACGAGATTCCGTTTGAAGACAACTCCTTTGATGTTGTGCATGCGCTGCAAGTGATTGTGCATCTTGCAGATCCAGCCAAGGCCTTGCGGGAGATGTTGCGTGTTTGCAAAAAGGACGGCTATGTGTGTGTGAAAGATGGAGACTTGGATTCGACCGTGGTGTATCCTGAAAAGTATGCGGACGTGATTTTGAATGCCATCTCACACAGACCCACGACGCTGATGATAGCCGGGAGACTGTTGAAAGAAAGAGCTTTAACGGCTGGCTATTCGGCAGACAAAATGACCATGTCTGGCCTGGTCTGGTACATCAGCAGTGCCGAGCAGAGAAAGAAACAGTATGACATGATGCGTCCACGAATTGAAAAAGGTTACGAGGTTACAGAGCACTCTAAATATGACAAGAAGACAGTGGTGGACACGCTTGAAAAGTGGGCCAACGACGATGCTGCTGTGTTGATTTTTGTCAGTGGAGAGTTGGTTTACCGGAAATGATTTATGGGTTTGAGCAAAATGCATGGTGGAATTGAATAAAGCCTTTGGAAGAAGAAGGGTAGAACAAGCCTTGGAAATGACTGTGTGCTGGATCTTGCAAGATTTCAGACGGAAAATGTATGCTTTGATTCCACAATAAACAAACGCTACAAAACATATGTACTATACCAACACTCTATTTGGTAATGATGTTATCTGAATGGCGCCACAAGACTCAAATGAATCACACCTTGAGTAACGAAAGTTAGAAACAGCAACAAACAGAAGACAATGTTGATTCTGTGTCGTTACTACATGTCTTCATAATGCGGATTTCAATCCAGCAGACGAAAATTATTTGATCAGAAAACATATCATCTTAGTGCCAATGGAGGGAGTTTCGATACACCTAAGGGTCCATTGGTAATGGATTGTTTGGCGATTTTTCCTCCTCTTTCCAACATAATTCCAGTGGTCAAGATTGGATGCGTCGAGAAGATAGATTGATAAATATCAAACGTATGGCCTCTGAGATTCCTACTAACTTACTTATAATAATTATATTTCATTTTTTTAATCTCAATTAAAATAAGATTTATCACATATAATGTCTAATGATTTAATATAATTATTATATTTATTATATTCTATTATAATTAAAATATTATAAAAAGTTTTGGTTATCTGCGAATTATTATATAAATATAACACAAGGCATATAGTTTAATTCCTAAACTTCATTAATATTAATAATGAAGTTAAACGAGCCAAGATATACCCCCCTTGGGGGTATATACCCTTACCGTAGATATGGATATATATTTATATATATTAACTTGAAAGAGGGCTATTTATATTTATTATCTAAAGAGATTAGATAAAATTCACCCAAGTTGGTTATCCATCTTATCTCCTTTGAGATAAGATGAAAGACCCCCTCCGGGGGGCATTCTTGAAACCAAAGCAGACTCTTTATTGAGTTCCACACCCAATAATTTTTTATCCATGTAACTTACTTGGCATATTGTCAGGTTCTTATTTTCATTCGTTTATTTAATGAACATGTAGCACTCTTGGTTTGTTTGAAGCAACTCATTAATAGAACGCATGTCTATACGTAGTTCTTTATGAATCAGCAACAGTCATTATACCTGTACTCTACAACACATCAGCTCTAACATTCATTACTTTGCCCGCAATAGTCTTTAGCGCTCCGTCCTGAGCATACCTGTCATGTAATTATATCACAACTTGGACCGTTTCTTCATGTGTCTCAAGATATGTTGTGCCTCTCTGGCCCCCGAAAACCAAGCACCGTGGGCACACCCATTGGACGAGTCGTCCATTGTTTCTGCTCCAGCAAACCGGACACGGTCAGTCAAGCCTCCGGCCAAGGTGTTGCACACGTGCGATAAGTCTGCGTTCACTCTGCATCCGATGTACGAGCCACGGGCAAACTTATCCTTGTTCCACGGGGTGTGGAGGATCTGGAACGGCTTGACCACGGGCTTTGTGGCGATCTGGCGCACAGCCGGCTCGAACAAGGCCCAGATCTGGTCTTCGGACATGTTCTCGATGTCGGAGGAAAGCGGGTCTTGCGTCAACGCAACCAACGTCGGTGTTCCAGACATGGCGTAGTAGTTGACGAAAATGGACGGGTACAGCCACGGCTTGGGTGCGCCCGTGGGTCTGTCGTCGGAGCCGAAAACGTAGAAGCGGTGGGTGTCTTCGGGCCAGAAGCACTGGTCAAACTCAAGCACTACCTTGCCCAAGGAGGAGAACTGGCAGGAGGGCCACAAGTCGGTGAACTTGCGGGGCAACGGCGGGTTCCACGAGACGTAGCACTCGTCGACCGGATCTGAAAGACTCAAGAGCGACAACGGCACCGTCACCACCACGTAATCGGCAGAGAGTTTTTCGCCGGCGCTGGTGGTGACAGTCACACGGCTCGGGTCGGAGTAGTCGATGGCCGCCACCTGCGTGCCGAGGCGGATGTTCTTCTCCTGGTACCAGCGCGGCAACTCGTCCAACTCGTTCTGGTAGACCGAGTAGAAGCCGTTCTTGACAAACGCATTGCGGCCCAAGTGGCCGTCGGCTATGCTGGCGAACTTCGCCGACAGGTCTGTCCACAGCAAGCCGTCCCACAACTCCGTCCACATGCGGAGAGCCTGGCGGGCGTACTTGATCTGGTCGGGCGTGCAGTTCAGGCCGTGTCTGGCCACATACTCTTCAAACAAGTCGGCGATGCTCATGTCGCTCTTGCGGGCGTCGCGCTCGTACACGAGGCGGCAGTAGGTGGCGAACTCGGCCAACACCTTGTCGAACACGGCCGTGTCCACCAGGCGGCAGTGCTGGCCCACGTAGAGCGCCTTGCCGTCGTCCCAAAAGTAGTCGATGTTGCGCAACCTCTTGGCCTTTTCCAAGAGCGGGTTGTCCAACGCGTCGTGGAACCAGGACGCGCCAAAGTCGTAGCTGACGTTTGGGTTGAGCGTGGACTTGCGCAGAAGAAGCCGCCCGCCCAACCGGTCTCTTGCCTCGAGAACAACCGTGTTGAGTTCGCCCGCCTGGTAAAGGTCGACGGCCGTTTTGATTCCGGCCATTCCGGCGCCGATAATGATCACCGAGTACGTCATGATAGAAAGGAATAATGAACGAAAATGAAAGGGAATGTACGAAAGAAAGATGTGGAGATGGAGCAGATATGAATATATAGCCGTTGCGCGGCCCAATGCGGCAACTGGGTGCGGTGCGGGCCTGAAAACGCGACAGGACACCCGCATTAACGAATGCAAATGCATAGACAGATCTACAAAAACATGAAACAAGCAAAATGCATCGGGGTAACGAAAGACAGGTAGAAATACAGCAGTAACTATGCCGAGTCAGGAGCCGGCAGAACATGGATAAAGGATGGACCAATCTTCAGACTACGGAGAAAGACAGTCTGATATCATGAGAGAGGGTCTTAAATTAAGCACCATGCATATTGTATCGTACGTTATAGATACAGTTACTCAAATGAAACCGCTGCATCGATCGAATTTCGCACCTCAAGAAACTGAGTCCCGCTCGAAAAGTATAGATTCGCCTCAATGGAAATGAAAATTCGCACTAAGAGAACAAACATTCAAGGACAAAATAGAATCTTGCCTCTAGAGTCAACAATTCACACGGAATCGATAATGCGTAATCAGATGGCTCTAAAATCTCCTGCAATTCGCACTGTAGGTTAAAATTCCCTTTGTAGTTCTAATCAATACAAATCTGGAAGGTCGTCACCTGAATCAAGATCTCCTAACCGAATACTCATGCACGCTTAATGAATACCGTGCACCTAGATCTATAAAGATACATTGCAACTACGCACAAGTGTGTAAGTGAGTTTCTAATTCCTTTATCACGAATATCTAATTCGCTTTATCACGAATTTCCATTTTAATTTATCACGAATATCTAATTCGCTTTATACGAATTTCTAATTCGCTTTATCACGAATATCTAATTCGCTTTATCACGAATCTAATTCACTTTATCACGAATCTAAGTCACTTTATCACGAATTTCTAATTTGCTTTATCACGAATTTCTGATTCGCTTTATCACGAATTTCTGATTCGCTTTATCACGAATATCTAATTCACTTTATCACGAATCTAAGTCACTTTATCACGAATTTCTTATTTGCTTTATCACGAATTTCTGATTCGCTTTATCACGAATTTCTGATTCGCTTTATCACGAATATCTAATTCATTTTTTCACGAATATCTAATTCGCTTTATCACGAATCTAATTCACTTTATCATGAATTTCTAATTCACCTTATCACTAATATCTAATTCGCTTTATCACGAATCTAATTCACTTTATCACGAATTTCCATTTTAATTTATCACGAATTTCTATTTCTAATTCATTTTATCACGAATTTTGCTTCTTGTCCTACTTGTGTTCACTCTGCGAATTCACGTTTCCACGTATGCCAATTTTGATCTTGAGCCGCGAAGTGGCTTTTGGGGCGACCTTCATTCTCCGGGCGAACTACTTTGCCGAGGCGCGGATTATTTGGATTGACTGTACCAGTCTCGATTGTCTCTGATAGAATCATAGATTGCTCGAATCCGCTCTATGTGGACTGAAGGGCTGGCTGTTAAGTTATTCCGTGGACAAACAGACGGAAACAAACAAAACGGCCAATATGCCAATATGGCAATACGAAAGCGCCGGACAATATGTCAATATGTCAATATGTCAATATGCCAACATGCCAATATGCCAATATGTCAATATGCCAATATGTCAATATGCCATATGCCAACATGCCAATATGCCAATACGGTTACAACAATATGGAGAACCTATATGAATAAGCCAGTTACGTCCGTCACTCATACTTATCGGAATAATATTGTCCTGATGACAGTAAGTTAAATATACAAACCTGTTGCGCACGAAGGAGCGTTCGAACCTTAATCTTGCGGCATTAGAGTTCTGAACTTTAATCTGTTCACAACAGCTCAACCACTTTTAACGCTCTAGTTATGAGTGTAACACGGCTGATATCCCTAAAGTTGTGGCACATGACTGAGCAAGGACCCAAGATATCTGAACCTTAGGCATGCATTTATTAGGCCAGAGGCTTAGTTTCAGTGGTTAGATCTCGAATGGATGGTATACGGTCTTAGGACATCACTATGTTACTGAGAGTGATATGGATCAATAACGGTTCTGCCATGACTCATGATCAGACGAGTTGAGCTTGCGCATTTTGCTGATTTTGGCCGGTGGCCAACCATGACACGCAACAAGATTGAACTGTCCCAGATCGAAGATGATGGTTGTCAATGATAGACCATAGTGTATGAAAGACCATGGGGTCAATGGTGTCAATGAATGGCATGGATGTCAATGAATGGCATGGATGTCAATGAATGGCATGGATGTCAATGAATGGCATGGATGTCAATGAATGGCATGGTTGTCAATGAAAGACGATAGTTGCCAATGAATGACCATGGTTGATCAATTACCGAATGGCCAATGGTACGGACAAATGACTATCGACCAGTAGTGACCAACAATTGGAACCCGCTGGTGGATCTTCAAGCGATGGCCAGAGTTCATCGGTACGGTCAAACAAAGCCAGTTTGCATCTACAGACTTTTCACCACTGGTGCTATCGACGAAAAAATCTTCCAACGGCAGCAAATGAAGAACAATTTGGGTGACATGTTTTTGGATGAGAAGCTGACTTCGGCTCTGAATATTTTCGACTTTGAAGACCTAAAGGATTTGTTTACTATTGCAGCACAAACTGCAATACACATGATCACTGAATGACCACGACAGAATGACCAATCTTATGACCATGACCATGACTAACTGAATGACCAGTCCTGAATAACCAATCCTATGACCAATCTTATGACCATAACTGAATGACCAATCTTATGACCATAACTGAATGACCTTATGACTGACTTGTCCAATGTCAATCCATCTCGCTGCTTCTTCATTCCTGCTCGTTCAAGAGGGCCTCGACGTCGCCCACCACGCCGAGATACTCGTGCGCAAAGGAGAAAAGAAGCCACCAGCGGCGAAACACGCCGTTGTTGGCGTCCCAGCCGCGGCGGCGGTGCTCGTTGCTGATGAACTGGAGCATCTGGTTCGAGGCAAAAGCACAGCACTCGGCCACCATGGGCGGCGGGTATGTCTGGGCCAACTCGCGCAAGAGGTGTCTGTGCACGGCGCCGCAGAGCCAGCGGGCCAAGTGGGGCGTGGACCAGCAGGCGGCGCGCTCGAGAAACGGGCGGAAGTCGCCAGCCGCGCATTCGAGGCGCGCGGCCACGTCGGCGGGCGCGGGCGCGGGCGCGAACAACTGGCGGCCGAACGTGGTGTACACGATGCCGTCGCACACCATGCGGCGCAAGTGCGACCAGCGGTCCTGGGCGTAGGGGCTGGTGGTGTCGCGGGCCAAGAGGGCGGCCACGTCGGCGGCCATGTGTGCGGCGAGGCGGGAAGAAGAGGAAAAGGAAGAGCCAGAAGAGGAGGCAGAAGCAGAAGCAGAAGCAGAAGCAGAAGCAGGGACAGGGGCAGAATCAGGGACAGGGACAGGGGCGTCGAGCGCCGCCACCACGGCGCGGAGGCGCACGAGGCGCCGCACCAACGGGGCGTACCGCGGCGGGCCGTGCGCGGCGATGCGCGCAGCGAAAAACGACACGTTCGCCTCGAGCGCGCGCGCCGGCTCCATCATGCGCGGAAGCGCCTCGAGCGCTATCGCAAGCAAGTAGGCTGGGCTCGCGCCGCGCTCGAGGCGCACGCACACCTGCTCGAAGAGATAGTGGCGGTGGCGCGCGCGCGCGGCCATGTCCCAAGAGCGCGGCCACGTCCAGCGCGGTCGAAACGGAGGGAGAAATGGAAGAAATGGAAGAAATTGAAGAAGTGGCCGCTTGCTCGCACCGCCGAAGCTGCGCCACCCGGCCACGCCTCGTGCCACTTGGTCCTGGCCCGCCGCCGCGGCCACCACGCTCCGCACCAGCTTCTGCACATGCTCCTGGAGCCGCAGCAAGTCGAGTGCGCACTGCGCAAGCGTCGCGCGGTCCACGATGGCCTCGTTCCACACCACCCCCAAGTAGTTGTACTTGGACTCGCCGCGGCGGCCGAGGCGCTTGGCCCGGAGCTGCGGGAACGCGAGCTTGAGCAACTTGCCCAACTTGGAGTGGCCCATCACGATGCTGCGGTCGCCGCCGTGCTGCGGCGTGGGGTACTTGGCCATGAGCGTCTGGCACAAGAAATAGTACACCTTGTAGATGGTGTGGCGCGGGATGGTGGCCACGGCGCTCACAACCCGGGTTTTCCACAACCACCAACGTGGTGGTGAGCAACTTGAGCGCCAAAAACAGCCGCCGCACCTCGTGGATGTTGATGGACGCAAACTTGCATCTCGCCGAGGTTGGCGCGCGGGAAATACTGCTGGAGGCGTCTCGGGCTGCGCGAACACCGCCAACACCAGCGCGGAGATGCCGCACGGATCGCGCAAAGCGCCCGGGCGCGCTGCGGCGGTCGACGCGGTCGCAGGCGCGCACCTCCATGCACCGGTCGAGCGCGCGGTCGTTGTACAAGAGGTTGTAGAAGGCGTCCAAGGGCACGGCGGCGCCCTCGGCGCGGAGGAGCGCGAGGAGGTATGTGTTGAAGTTGAAGGCGTCGACGGCGCGGATCTGCCAGAGGAGGCGCTGCAAGTCGGGAGAGACAGAATCAGGGCCAGGGCCGGGAACTGAGGCAGAAACAGGAACAGAGGAAGGAACAGAGGAAGGAACAGAGGCAGAAACGTCGAGTCCAGTACCAGAAACGTCGAGCCCAGAACCAGAAAGTTCGTGCCTGCCTGGACCACCTATGGCTTCACCAGCTCCACCAGCTTCACCGGCTTCGCTAGCTTGCGCCGCTTCGGCGCCTGCAAGCGCACTGCTAGAACTGGTCATGCCAGCCGGCGCCTGGCTCGGCCCCGCAGACGCCTGGCTCGGCCCCACAGACGCCTGGCTCGGCCCCAATGGAAGGGGCTCGCTGTCGTGCAAGTGCACCGTGTCGAAGTACAGCGAAATGGAAACGTTTTTGGTGTGTGTCCGCGCCGCATGCGCCTTGAACGGCACCTGTTCGCTGTCCAAAAACCACTGGCCGCCAAGAAGCAGCGTATGGAAATCGGCCGGCTGGGCATGGTAGTCGGGCGGCGCCGAAGCTGCCTGCGGCATGGGCTCGCACTCGGCGAAAGACATGGGCGCCGACTGCGGCGGTAGCAACGGCACCGCCGGAGACTCTGCAAGGTCGAAAACCGTGGACGGCGCAGTGTATGGTGCAGTTGGTGCAGTGTATGGTTCAGTTGGCGCAGTTGGCGCAGTTGGCGCAGTTGCAGTTGGCGCAGTTGGCGCAGTGGGCGGCGCAAACTGAAAGTGGGCCACAGACGAAGATCGGCGCTCGTGTTTCACTGCGGGAGAATCGGGCATGGTCACACGGCTGAGGCAACAAACGAGGGGCCTCTGCGCTGTCGCTGCGTGCTTTTCTAGAGTGGGTTGGCCAGAAAAGATGAGAAATGGAGCTTGGTATTTTTCCGGTGCTCATCATGGCAAGACAAGCCGCAGTTGGGCAGCGCCAACCAGATGGAATGGTCTAATAATGAGAGGCGTGCACGAAAGGAAGCAAAAGAAATGCAGAAGCGAGAACTGCGAAAAAATATTGCCCGCCACACAATGGGGGTTTTTGAGAGATCCACCTACGGCGCTCCTAAAGATGCCGCATCCCGTTTGCAGGCGCCTGTGTTTGGGCCGGGGACCAAGAATGGGCCCGAGACAGCGTATGCCCACGCATGGGCTTCATGCACGATCCCGGTGTTTGTGCGGGCCGCTGCAACTCCTGCTTTTAGACATGCAAACAACGCCATTTCGCACCGCTCTTGTCGCGCGTGTGTTGCCGTAAACGGCAATTTGCTGATTCAGGAACGCAGATTGTCCCTGCGGCCTGTCCAAGCGAATGCCCGTTTTAGGCGCCGCGCGCCAACCTACGAATGCCGCTGCACTATACCCAACATGTTCATGCATGATCTCCTCTCTGCCATCGCCCTCGTTGCCAAACCTTTTAGTACTGTGTGGGCTTTGCAGTCGCCGCCCACGCTCCTAACCCATGTCTCGAAAGGGTTTGGAATGTTTGCATCACATTGGACACGGCTCTGTCATATTTTTCGACATGCAAACGGACCATCTACTGTTTGCTAGCATAGCTGCCCAACATCCACTAAGGCTTCTTTCTGTACGTGTATTTTTTTTGCCTTCTTGCCTTTTGTATACCCCTTATTTTTTCCTCCATGCGCTCCCGCTTCCATCAAATTTCCTAATTCGTCCATCTTCTTTGGGCTCTTCGCTTGTTGTTGCTGTCTTGCTTCACGAAATGTGGATTTGTGACAGTAACAATGCCGCCGCTTCATCTTAAACTCTACTTTTGGTCAAGGAATATCAACCTTCCCAGCCCAGTCGTCAACTTGAGCAGTTTGACACAATAGCTGCCCAAGCCAAGAACATTCATTTCGCTGTTGGGGAAAATGTTGGGTTCTCACCTGTCATTGTAGTACATTGATAATGGGTGAGGGGTGTGTGACAGATTAGGAATCTAATTGCACTAAACGAAGGTTTGCAAGTGGTTTACCTGAAACAAATTGGAACGAAAGAATTTTGCTCAGCCTAAATTTTCATGGGCTTTAGATTCGAGCATTTGCCACTCGAAACCTTCCAGTCTTGAACAGCCTAGGCCTGTCACTCCCTGCGGTGATGAGCAAAGGCAATCTGATAGAGCTGGATTCAAGAGGATCTCACAGTAATAGCCGAAATGTGAATGAGTTCAAGTCTGAATATGCAATGGAATTTTCGGAGTCTTAAGGATAGGTCGCTGCTTGAAAACGATGAAAGTAGTCTTCTTTAAGTCAGGAATATTCGCTGCTTGAAAACGATGAAAGCAATCTTCTTTAAATCAGGAATGGTCGCTCTTGAAATTAGCATTGTTCTGCTGAAGCAATTTCAAAGTCATGAGTCCAGAGATCTTAACATCAACTGATTCAGTTTTCTAGACAGCAGAACAAGACGCCCTCTCTTTCGCATAATGCAATGATTGGAAGACTGCGATATTTCCTCTCGGCCTAAGCTATGGATTTTTTTCCATTTTCGTGAAGTGGTAAACCACTTCGCAGAAGAATGTGATGGCTACAGAAATGACAAGACCCAAAAACTGGCACTTTGAAAATAATCCTCGAATTGCATTGCAACATTCTGGGAAACACCGGCAATCAGCCGGACGACGGAGTTTTTCCCGTTTGTCTTTGGGAGAGCAAAAAATAATGGAGAGAATAATGCAAGTGTGGGTTTTATGCAATACCCCGTATCGGCTTGAAAACAACAAGACCCATTGCCAACGACAGGAAACAAGGCCTCGAAAATGGGCTGACTGCTGAGAAATGCATGATAATGGGCAAAGCAAAGTTTCTCTTTGTTGTTGACAGGAATATCGGGTACTAAACGGTTCCTCCAGCCAAGACCCAGGGTCTGGTGGAAATTGCGCTAATTGTGGTTCTTATTATTTGCTCTAATTGCGATGCTTTGTGTTTTGCGATCGGCTCAACTTTCCCTATTGTCCAAGCACCGTGTGTTATCCTACAACCATTCAAAAGACATCTCTATTAGTATGTGTATTCCAGTACATTGAGCCCTGCTCCGCTGCGGTGTCTGCTCAGTCATCCTCGTCGAACTTAGGAGCCAAGTAGAATCTCAAGTATCCGCCGGCATCCAACTTGTACTCGAACAAGGCAGGCGTTTTGTCGGCCAATTTGATGGTGATGGTGCCCGACAAGCCTGTGGCCTTGATGATGTCGCTCAAGTACTTCAAGCCGAAAGTCAAGTCCACAGGGTTCTCCAAGTTGACCGAGACAGACTCCTCAGGGTGGTCCATGTCGGTGTATGGCTTCAAAACCACGGAACCAGTACCGGACTCGCCCTCGGCGCTGAATTTGACCGAGTCCTTTGTGACTGTGATGTTGAGCGACTCGCTGAGGTTCTTCAAGTCTCTGACGATCTTGGAAAACTCTGTCGAAGGCATGTTGATGACCGAGTCGTATTGCATGTCGTCGATTCGCAAAAACTCCGAGTCGATGTCCATCAACTTCAACGAGTACTCCGAAACACGCTCCTTCTTCTTGTCCTCGAAAATGGTCATGACATTGTCAGGCGAGTCTTCGGCCAACAACGTCAAGTAGTCCTCGTTGTTGCCGCACTTGATGATCTTGGAAAACGAGTCCAAGTCGATACCCAACGTGATGTCACGGTCACATCTGTATTCGGAAAACGCCGACAGACCAACCAATAACGAAACCAACAAGACTCTCGAGTCGTCCACGGCTTGGACGGTGATGCCATGTTCTGTGCAGTTGAAGTTGCACAACTTCACGCAGTCCTTGATGGAGTCCACGATTTTTTTAAGAAGACTGGCTTCGTCAAATTTACCTTCAAGCATTGGGGGGAGAAAAGTTTAGCAAAAAAAGAGTTGGTGGAAAAGCGAAGAAGTAAGGAAGAAGCGCGTGTGAGCGCGACGCGTGGTGGCTCTATATGCAGTATTTCAACCTTTTCTGTCCATTGTGCAGTACACTAAACTGGGTTCCGTTAATTTAGGCCAGTACTGATGATTTAGGCTAGCAGTGTTGATGGCCACGGCAATGGGCTGGAATTGAAGACTGCATAATAATGAGAAAGATAAATAGAATGTACAAATTTGGTGTAGTGTTCCAATCTGGAGCGAGCGGCTGTAAGTCACGTGATCAAAAATGGGAAGAAGTGGATTTTGACCAAAGGCAAAGTAGTGAAAACAGGCTGGAAGAAGATTTAGATAAGAAAGTAATCATTTAGAGGTGTTGCTTCTGAGCACGGATTCATCAAAAAAGTCAAAAAAGTAATATTAGCCGAATGCATTCGACTATTCAAAATCAAGCAGTAATGTCGCAAGGCCCTTGGTTGTTCATTTATGCCAAAATGACGATTGAAAGTCCTCTTCTACTGATAAAATTAATTCTGAGAATATTTCAATCAACATCAACTAAGTTACTCTTAACCCAATATGGGCAAACATGATAGATAGAGCAAAAATTACATCACGTATATTTTTCATACATGAACGAGGAAACTTGTACTGTTACAGAACTCTTAATATTCAGTACGCTGCACGTAAATCTTTTCTAATGCAATCTCTGATCGTATTCCAATAAGTGCCATCGGAAAAACCATAGTAAGGAGTTCCCAAAGTTTTAATACCAGTTTAAGTTTTGAAACTGGCCCGTGCTTTCAGACATCATTTATACCAAAAAGGCGAAGATGCTCATTATTTCTCCTTTTCGATAGCCACTTCTACCTGATTACAATGATGAGGCTACATTTTCTTGATAATTCATGCGATTGAAGACTCAACCCACCATGCTAAACCACAGCAATTGATTGCTTGGTAATCTAACAAAAAGCTAATGTCTCTGGCATGTTTTATCTATGTTTGCTTGACATTATAAGCCAGCCTCTTCATTTCACTGTATTCACTGTACTTTTATGTATCTAACCGCTTCATAGTGCTCTGTCATACGCAATTCTTTGATCTTTCGAACACATCTATCGTTTCCGATGCCCTTTGACCAGTCACTGGGCCGTATCCATGCTTCAGTTTTTCTTTTCGTGCATCTCTTTCCCCCACTTGAGCAAGTCGGACTTGTACCGATCAGCCTTGACCACGCCGTTTCTGAGCGTCGTGAGGTTCTGGATGTACTCGTACTGCCGCTGGATACTCACCTGCAAGTAGTTGACCAAGTCTTGCTGCACCAACTCCAACTCGTCTCCGCCTTCCTGCAATTCTTCCGCCTGTTTGCGTTGCGCCTCCTCGTACATGGCAAGGGTTTTGGGGAGAGCGAAAAACGGATCGGTAACGTTCTGGCTGTTGTCCGGCGAAGACGACGACAACCGTGTGATCCTTTTGTTGTCGTCGGCCGGTTTTTCGTCCTTGTCGGAGTCCTCGCTTTGCTTGCCGTTTTTCTGCTCGGGCTGGCTGACATCTGTCTTGTCGCCCTTGTCGCTTTCCTTTTCCCTGCTCTCGTCTAGCCCGTGGTCGTATTCCGGAAGCCCCATGTTCTCCTCAAGCAAGTAGAACCAGTCTTCGCCGTCCAACACCTGCAAGAGCTTGTTGAGGTCGTTGAGCGTGTTCTGCTCCACCTCAATGAGATGAATGAGGTCCGACGCCATGGTCGCAAGACATGTCAGCTTGTACGTTTTCGACACGGCCGGATGGGTCACCAACTCGGCCGGGTGCGTCAACGGCGCCAAGATCTCGCTGATTCTGATTCGTTTCAACGGGTTCTCGTCGTCGTCGTCGCTCGACAGGCCGTCGTCCTCCAGCTCCGACGCCAGCGTTCCATCGGAAGAGTCTCCATACTGCCCGTTTTCCGGCCCGTAGAAGTCCAGCCAGCGGCGCTTGTTTCTGTAGTTCGACCTTTCGATGACGTCGTTGGTGAGCACAAGATGGTCCTGCCCCGCGTATTCCACCACTTTGGGCGTGAGGGCGTGGTTTCTAGCCGCCAAGGACGGAAGTTTTTTGCCTCGGTTGGACGTGGGCAAGTTGGACGATCTTTCTTGTGTCTGCGCGCGGGTGAGGATTGCCAGCTTGAAGCGGGAAATCACCTCGAGAGACCGGCTATCTAGCATGGTTTTTTCTTATCGGTTTTGAAGATACACTTACCGTTCGGTGGATGGGTATACAGGCGATGTGCTGGGCCTGTGTGCAGGCACAGATGGGTTGCTGGATGGCGGAAATTAATAGTGATGTTAAGTACGATATTGGAACTGTTTTGGCTGTGTTGGGATATTCAGATGGGATTTTCAGGCTAAGATTTTCAGACTGATTGTGTGGATATTTGCTGGCATGGTTGTTGAGTAGTCGCACTATGACAAGGGAATGAATGCAGAATAGTGCTTGAATGGGTCAATTTATATTGATTATCAGGTTGATGGAGAATTTGTATATTTTTATATATTACAGTTTTTGTATATTAGGAAATATACTATTGAACATTTGAGTACCTGAGTCTTGAATAGTTGAATAGTTGAATAGTTTTGGGAATAGTTTTGGGAATAGTGAATAGGAATAGTTGAATAGGAATAGTGAATAGGAATAGTGAATAGGAATAGTGAATAGGAATAGTTAAATAGGAATAGTTGAATAGGAATAGTTGAATACTGAATCTGAATCTGAATACTGAATCTGAATAGTTGAATACTGAATACTGAATCTGAATACTGAATCTGAAGACAGAATCTGAATCTGAATATTGAATCTGAATATTGACTACTCAATACTGAATAATGTATGTTACCACTCAATACTGAATAATGAATGTTACTAACCAATACTGAATCTGATACGAATGGTGCCCATATGCGATACAAGTTCTACTCGTAGACAGACATGCCAATTGGACTATGTCAACGGAAGATGGACTCGGCACCTCTTTCTTGATATAACATTACGTTCATTTATGCCATGTCCGTTACCTATGCAGTTGGCGAACACCCATGAGTGTCCAAAATCCAGTTCGTGAAAGATCGGAGCAAAAACGCCAGTAGGCTTCATAAGACCCGGATCTGCTTCCGTCTACAAAACCTCGTGCGTCGTCTCGGGATTCAAAAACGGAAGAAACGCCACCCTCGTGGCCAGTTTCGCCAGAACCGGGAAAATCAACCGATAGGCGTCTTGTGTGTTCAAGTAGTACCGATACATGCGCTTTGTTCTCATAAATCCGAGCAGCTCGTACAAATGCAAGGCAGCGCCGTTCGACACCTCTGTTTCCAACATGATCTCGTCCACATTGTCCCACTCCACCATTTTCCTCATGCTCAACTGCACCAACTTCTTGGCCAAGCCTTTTCCTCGGAATGTAGGATCTATCACCAACATGCCAATATATCCACGCATGCGCACCTCTCGATGAGGCTCGACTTTGGTGATGATCACGCCTATGATGGAGTCGGACCCTTCGGGACTGAGCAAGAAGCAGTACTGGGGCCACTGGTGGAAAAAGTACCAGTAGACGTAGATGGAGTACGGTTCGGAAAGATGGTCGGCTATAAGGTCTGAAACCGCCTCAAACTGTACTTTGTTCTCGATGTCGAGCGAATGGTAGCGGAAACCATCCTCGGTATAGTCCACCTTGGGCATGGATGGGGGAAGAATGGAGGTGGTCGGTATAGAGAGGCACGGGTGCGAGGAGGGAAGAGATTGGGCAGGAGAAGGAGACCAGAAAAAGAGGCCAGAAAAAGACCGGAGAAAAGACCGGAGTAGGAGAGAATAGGATAGGAGCTGGCTTGGCTGATTAATCGAGATGATTATGCAAAACGAGTTGGTAGAGGGCGAAAGTATGAAATATGAAAAGATGTAGATGTATGAAATATGAAAAGGTGAAAGTTACTGTATTAGTGTAATCTCTAGGCAAACATTCAGTTGAGCGGATAACTTAAAATTCAGGTTGTTGACTCCATAAGCTGGAGTTGGAGTGTCTTCATTGATATTGTGATTCATTCGCACATATATTAGCCATGGACAGAGATAGAAAACGGAGAGGCTTAGACATGGAAACGGCAGGATTCTACTACAAGATTTCAAAGCAAGAGAATCATCGCTTGTGATATAATTAAACTTAATATACTTGTACTGGCGATAATAATCCTATCTACTTGATTTTCCATTTATTAATTCATTTTTTATTTATTATATTACTGGGTGACAAAAGCATTCAGATGTAGACCCTGATTCATGCTTCATCAGCTCGATGGATTCAGCTGATCTCAGTTATCATCCTCAAGTATAGTGGCTTAGATCTACATTTTCGAACTGCTACTTTCCGAACTGCTGTATTTCTGAACTGCTCAAGTTTCAGCGACAGATCCATTAACGTCTTCTGTCAACTACATTGCGGCACCAAGAAATGCGTATGCTGAGATGTAGAACCAGCATATCTGCATTGTATAAACCGCTTCCGTCAACCAGTTAAAATGGTATCAAGACAATTATCTTAGAAACATACCTGAAGGTGTGTCTGTGCAAAGAGAAGATGCTCCAGTAGAATAAAATTGGATATGCGAGGATGCTCCAGTGAAAGAATAAATTGGATATGCGAGGATGCCACCAACTTAGCCGTCTTCGACGCCTCACCTTGCTCCACCATCTGACCTAGTTCACCATTCAACGATGTCAACGATGTTCTAATCCAGACCACGCCATCTTTGCCGTTCTACAATGTTACAATGTCGCCTGGACTCCTCCAACAGAAGGCCATGCTCTCACGTGCGTCGGTGTTAGTGCCGGTGTTATAACCTCCGGGGCCCCGGCAAACAACCAAAGGAACACAAAACACAAACGACAAAAAAACACAAACAATTACAAAAACAACACAAACAACAAACAATTAAAAACAGCCAAACCACACAGACCAACCACAAAACCAATGCATCGGAAAAACCATCTCATCCATGTCTCATCAGTTGATGCGATACCGGTACCCGAACATGTAAGCGCATGCTGCGGCGGAAGGCCTTCAAAACTCAGGTGAGCTCCGGGCAGATTCCGGGGAAGTCACGTGCGCAACAATCCTTGGACCGCAAGTTGGCACGATCCATCGGCCCTGGGGGAAAAAAAAGAAACGGTGGCTTGTGGCGCAAAGAGAAGGTCCGAAGCCAGTGGAAAAACCGCCGTCTTGTATGCGGATACGCGGGCTGACGACACTTGCTTTCGTTATGTGTGATGTCTGATTTGCTGATTGCACCTTGTGACTTCTGACGAGAGTTGTCCGAGGCCGCGCAGGCTGCAGGAACAAACGCTTAGAGGGCCATTGGGGAAAAAATGTCGCACGAACGGGGGGTGGTTGAAAGCGGCCAGACGGAGGAAAAAAACGCCGGAAAAAGCGCTGGGGCGGTAGAGAACAACTCCAAGACGCTGTCTACATCTTCTAATAGGGCCGGCAGAGCGTGTGTGGCGAGAACGGCCCAGGTATAAACGGTGTTTCGGGGTTCGGAGACAATGTCGCGCGGCCATGGACATGGCCTCTTGGACATTTGCAATAATGTCGTCCCAACCTCAGGTGAGCCCGGAGTGGAGTGCTCCCCCGCCATATAAATAAGACCATCCGCACCCGCAAACTTCCTCCCCATCCACTTTTACAAACACATCTTTCCACAATGGCTGCAGTCTTAAAAAAATCCGGTGTCATCTACGGTGACGACGTCAGAGAACTCTTCACCTACGCCAGAGAGCAAGGTTTTGCCATTCCTGCCATCAACGTGACTTCTTCGTCCACCGTTGTTGCTGCTTTGGAAGCCGCCAGAGACAACAAGGCTCCTATCATCTTGCAAACCTCGCAAGGTGGTGCTGCCTACTTTGCCGGTAAGGGTGTCTCCAACACCGACCAGAACGCCTCCATCAGAGGCTCCATTGCTGCTGCCCACTACATCAGATCCATTGCGCCAGCCTACGGCATCCCAGTCGTTTTGCACACCGACCACTGTGCCAAGAAGTTGTTGCCTTGGTTCGACGGCATGTTGAAGGCCGACGAGGAGTTTTTCGCCGCCAACGGCACTCCTTTGTTCTCCTCGCACATGTTGGACTTGTCTGAGGAGACCGACGACGAGAACATCGCCACCTGTGTCAAGTACTTCACCAGAATGGCCAAGATGAACCAATGGCTCGAGATGGAGATTGGTATCACCGGTGGTGAAGAGGACGGTGTCAACAACGAGCACGTGGACAAGGAGTCCTTGTACACCCAGCCAGAGACCGTTTTCGCCGTGCACAAGGCCTTGGCCCCAATCTCGCCAAACTTCTCCATTGCCGCCGCCTTCGGTAACGTCCACGGTGTCTACAAGCCAGGTAACGTTGTGTTGAGACCTTCCATTTTGGGCGAGCACCAAAAGTACGCCCACCAACAGGTTGGTGGCTCCAACCCTAAGCCATTGTACTTGGTTTTCCACGGTGGTTCCGGCTCCACCCAAGAGGAGTTTGACACTGGTATCAAGAACGGTGTCGTCAAGGTCAACTTGGACACTGACTGTCAATACGCTTACTTGACCGGTATCAGAGACTACGTCTTGAACAAGAAGGACTACTTGATGTCCCCTGTCGGTAACCCAGAGGGCGACGACAAGCCAAACAAGAAGTACTTTGACCCAAGAGTGTGGGTCAGAGAGGGTGAGAAGACCATGAGCGCCAGAATCACCGAGGCCTTGAACATCTTCCACACCAAGGGCCAATTGCCATGAGTTATGATGAATAGTCAATAAATACAGTAGCAGAAACCACTGAACTGTAGTAACATTGAAGTGCACTGAAAATCAATCAGTACACTGCCTATAATAGTATTACCTTATCAGTATAAACATTTATGTATAAACATTTAATAACCACCAAATTAGTACACGGCTAAAGATTAAATATTTGATAATTAGTGGCTAAGGTGCTAGAAAGCATTTCCCTTGATCAAACAGCTAATGGTCATATAATTCACGTATACCTTCTTGGTTAGGTGTTGCTGAATCTTGTAAACGAACTCCTCAAGGAGTTGGAACATCTAATCAAATCATTTTTAATAATTAATTATATAATTTATTATAAATACAAATAAAATAATGGAATCAATCAAACGTATGGCCTCTGAGATTCCTACTAACTTACTTATAATAATTATATTTCATTTTTTATAATCTCTATTAAAATGAGATTTATCTACGAGATGACAACTAATACATCATGAAAGACGCTGAAATTGGAAAGATTGTTTTACTTAATATTCCATGTTCGGATGACGGTAGCCCATTAGGATCGTGGTTGGACTGAATTATTTAAAATGAGTATTTGAATTACAAAAAATCATGTCTGAACGAAGCAGCGATAAGAATAAGATGACCAGGTGATTATGTGTTTCCTGCATGTTGTTTCTTGCGGAGTGAAAATCCAGTCCTACTGCGAAACCATTTCTCTATCAAAAGCTAGAAAAGGAGTCTACAAACACAAATGCCACAAATAGAAAGCCACAAAGATAATTCGCACAAATAGAAATGCCACAAATAGAAATGCCACAAAGACAAATGCCACAAAGACAAATGCCACAAAGACAAATGCCACAAAGACAAATAACATCCGTACCTCCCCTATTCAAAACACCCATACATCTCAATCTATAACACCCGTACATCTCCAAACACCCGTACATTTATGATCAATAAACCCGAACACCACAACTCATTTGCGACATTGTCGTTCTCTCAAACGTGAAATGTCGCTGCTCCATGATGACAAGGACACATAAGTCAATCTAGATTAGTATTTTGCAAGTCTTTTGAGGAGACAGGTCAAGTGACACGAGGTTAATTCTCCAGTCAATATTTTCGCTTTGTGCTCTTGCAGCTAGTCGTTCGGCTTATTGACAAACAGGTATTGAATCCAACAATAGGTTAGACAAAGAATGGCCATTATTGGATTAAGCGCCAATCTTTTGATAAGAGATACTTTGCTTCTCTATCAATGGTTTGAAAATAAACTGCTAGCAATGAATGCCACAAAGTCTATTCAATGTCATTGGAAGGGTGGACTAGTGGGATATTAGAATGGCTTTCAACCGGGCCGTATTGGGAAGTGAGGCCTTTTCAGTAAGAATTTCAAAGCATTTTGGCATGAGGGACAATAGAAAGTTTCTATTCGTAGTAGCATCATCTGCTTTGTAGAAGATTGATGGGTCAAGACGAAATAGAAACTAAAGATCCATGTCTAGGCAAATCATCTCGATTGTCACGCCGTCTCTCGATTGCTTCTTGTCGTCCGTCATTTCCTCTCTCTGATCTCACTTCGTACCCATCTCTCTTTGTCTTTCTCTCTATCTTCTCGTCTTTCATCACTATGTCTTCGTCATCTCTATCTCTTCATCTCTTTCATCTCTTTCATCTCTTTCATCTCTTCATCTCTTCATCTCTATCTCTTTCATCTCTATCTCTTTCATCTCTATCTCTTTCATCTCTCTTACATCACTCTCAATGCTCATCCATTCCTATATACATTAAGCAGACTTCATCATCTGCGCCACCTTCTGGTACTCGGGCATCGACTCCGGACTCAACTGCAGCCGCATTTTCTCCCCCACAAACGCATTTGCCTTGACGTATTTGGCCACACAACGATCTATGCACGACGCTTCGCCGGTGTTGATTTCGCCTTCTCCATATTCGTGAGCTAGGCATTTCTTCTCGCACAGAGCCAACACCCGGTTGAATGTCGCAGACATGACGGAGAACTGGATCTCGGCAAGTTTCACCTTTTCCGGATCGACTTCCGCATACGAATACTGCGACGTATTTCCGAGAAAGAAGGACATGGCCGGTGGTGGTTTGTATGAAGGAGCTCATTGTGTTGAGTGTGTAGGTCCTATGAAGGAAAGGTGAGTACCTAAAGAAACTCTTGAAACCAGGAGCCCGATTTTTTGAATTGTAGCTAACTTTCTGGTTTTTGTTTTAAATGAAATATTTGAGATTTGCTGAAGATGAGCCGAAATAGAAAGGAAACATCCACAATAGGCCAACTATAGATTAAACCAGATGTGCGTATGTGATGGAAATGCACTTTTTTTGCATCTTCAATTGCACTTCTCTTCTTGGAACAACATTGGCTTTGAAATGACTTCATAGGCATATCTTGGTCCTCTGTTTGCCTTAATACCGGCTAAAAGCCCTTCTGTCGAGAAAGCTGCTTGAAATTTTCAGTAGTGGTTACTTTAACTGACCATATGGACATTGACATTATTCAAACAAACTAAAATGAATTGGATCATATCCAACTTGTACAAGCATCATTTAAGGATGCACTCTGATGTCTGTTAGGAACGTTCTTGAATTCGACACAGTGATCCATGTGCTCCACATTTGAGTAGAATTACTCAACTTTTTGCACATATCTGGAATCCTTGTGGTCAAGTGACTTGAACTAGTAGACGGAATATAATCTAATAAAGTCTTTACGAATATTCCTAGCACGTTCTCGCGTGTCTAGTTACCATCTCTTTTCTCTCATCACTTGTTGTTCATTTCAAAGAGCCGCAGATTTAGCTTAGTGCGATACTATTTCCACCTCCAAGATCTTCTCACAAGCAACTGCTATCATTTCTCGAAGTGTATAAGGTTTCAACATTTAATCAATCAAATTTAGAATTTAACATGAGAACATTGACAATAACCATCTTGCTAGATTCAATGCTCAGACTATCTGATGACCATTTAAGACCACTCGAATCATAAACTTGGTTCTTTGGGTAAATAAGAAATACTACTAGATTATTACAATTAGACAAATCATGCAATAAATATAACATATCTCTCTTATTGCTTTAGCTTTATGTATATCTGCTTTAATTTACGTTGATGGATACTGATATATCTGATCCAATCGATACATTGTATCAATGGATTAAATATATTTCCCAATGGGATACATATCTGCCTATGATTTTTGGCATTTAGCTCTTATCCACTGCCTTAGTAGCAAAATACAAACTATCCAGAATAAACCTCTTTGATTCTACCCTTGTTGTCTTCTACCACCCAAATCTCATCGGTGCGAAACAAGAAATCACCTACTCCCAAAAACCAGCCCAAAAACCAGCCCAAAAACCAGCCCAAAATATTTCCCCCATGCACGTTCTCCTCACCAACGATGATGGTCCGCCAAGCGACGCCACGTGCCCGTTCATGAAACCGTTTGTCGACGAGATCCGCCGCTCCACCAATTGGAAAGTTTCGGTTGTCGTGCCAAACCAGCAGCGGTCTTGGATCGGCAAGGCCCACTTTGCCGGCAAGAAGGTTGCCGCCAACTACATCTACACACGTGACAGTGGTCTGGACCCGTCCAACTCGTACGAAGGGCCCTTTCCTGAAAGGAAAGAATACGGCCCGGAATATCAGGAGTGGGTACTTTTGGACAGCACTCCGGCCGCCTGCGCCGACATTGGCCTTCACCACGTGCGCAGCCACCTGGAGCCGGTGGACTTGGTGGTGAGCGGGCCCAACTTCGGCAAAAATCTGGGCCGTTTGTACATTTTGGCCCTGGGAACGGTGGGTGCGGCCATGGAAGCCGTGACGCACGGAACAAAGGCGGTGGCGCTTTCATACGAGTTCCGGAGTGCGTCCCACGACCCAGAAACGGTTCGGGAGGCGTGCCGGGTTTCCGTTCGGCTCGTGGCTCGCTTGTACCGGGAATTCCAGAAACAGCCAGACGTGGACCTTTTCCTGGTCAATGTGCCGCTTGTGCCGCTGCTCCTGCTTGCCAAGACGCCCGTCAAGTATGCGCCAGTGCTTTGCAATGCGTGGGAGTCCATGTACTCCGAGGAAAACGGCCGCTATGCCTGGACGCCTGATTTCGAGCAGGTTTGGCGAGACGGCCTCGCAGACAAACGCCACTCCGACAGCCGTGTTTTGGCCGACGACGGCATCAGCGTGACGCCGTTGCGGGCGGAGTTTGTGCTGGGCCCGATCGGCGAGAAGAAAATCGAAAACTTGGAGGCGGAGAGTTTGGACGTCGACACAGAGGAGATGGAGACGCAAACGTCGAGCGAAGCAAAGACGGGTGCCTCTGAAGCATCTGAAGCATCTGAAGCACCTGAATCAGTTTCCGAGTTGTCTGCTGAAAGAGCCCGCACGGAAGCAGAGGGACAAAAACAAGTCCAGACGGAATCGAACATTTTCCTCATCACCGTCGATCCCTCGTCGTATGTTTTCCTTCCTCTCGTTGTCGCCTTTGCTCGCCGTGGCTTTTCTGTTGAGACTTCCTTCTCGGTTCTTCAAAATATCCCCTCTAACCCACACCTTCGCATCTTCCATTATGGCGAGTACGAGCAAATCGACTTGGACTTGGTGCAATCGCACCCGACGCAGTATTTCGTGCCGCTGTTCATCTACCGCAAAGCCTTGATCCGCAAGCATTATTTGGCCAATACCGTTCGCCACTACGCCGCCAAAAACCCGGATTCCGCTCTCGCCGCGGCTTTTCCCCAGTCATACCTGTTGGAGGTGGATTACGCCGAGTTTCTCGACGACGCGCTAGACGAGGCCTATGAACTCCGCCAGGAGATCGAAGAAGGCGGGAAAACATGGATTCTCAAGCCGTCCATGAGCGACAAGGGCCAGGGAATCCGTCTTTTTGAGACTGTGGACCAGCTCCAGGCCATTTTTGACTCTTTTGAGGAAGCAGAGAGCGACGACGAAGACGATCAAGACGCAGACAACGGAAAGGACAGTGATGACAACGGTGTCATTATTTCCCAGCTCCGTCATTTTGTGGTGCAGGAGTACCAAAGAGAGCCATTGCTTTTGGAAGAATACTCTCGCCGGAAATTCCATTTGCGGGTCTACATCGTGTGCCAGGGCAATCTCAAAGTGTACGTCTACGAGAATATCTTGGCGTTGTTTGCAGACGCTTCGTACGTGGCTCCAGACTCCAATGATGAAATCATGGACTTAGCGGGCCATTTGACTAATACGTGTCTTCAGGAAGGGAAGGACCCGCTAGTGGTGCCTTTTTGGCAGTTGAAGGGACTTGACGATAAGCAGAAAGAGTCTGTGTTTGCGCAAGTTAAGCAGATCTCGGGCCAGTTGTTCCAGGCCGCAGCGTCAGTCGACAGAATCAACTTCCAGCCCATGGAAAATGCCATTGAGATTTTCGGCGTCGACTTCTTGGTCAACCAAGACCTTTCCGTCAAGCTCTTGGAGGTGAACTCGTACCCCGACTTCAAACAAACAGGTGACTCATTGAAAGAGCTCATTTCTACACTTTTCGATGCGGTGGCCTCGGGTCCTGTTTCTGAGTTGGTTGGCGCTGAAGTTTCGCCAACTGATGTGCTTCATTCGGTTTTCAGCACCTGAGTGGGTTCATTTGCTGTTGGGACTTTTGTGATGTAAGCAAAAGAGAAAAAATAACATAAGTATGCATCAACAAAGAATAGCGGTTTTATTGGCGGCACTAGATGGACTCGGTAGTTTCGTTATCGAAACATTGCTTCCTCTTGGATATAATTTAATTGCGTAAGGTCTAAAATAAAAACAGTTCACGGGTTTCATCTTCTAGTAAAATATCGTTGCTCAGACATTTCATGGTTAATTTGTAGATAATCATATTGATCGAAGTATAACAATCGAATAAACCTTGTGAATTCTCTACAGTTATAGCACGGTTCCAAAATTAACATCGTTTTCAAAAGTCTAAAATAAGGTACATCGTTGGGACAATGAGATTTCATCTCGAACGTCTGTTAAACAAAGTATTAAGTCGACTCGTGGCTTCTGTCCTATTCAGTGCCCACTCACATACCCAAGACAGCTTGGATCTTCGCTTTCAACACCTCGTAGCGGCTCGGCTGCTTCATTCCAGCAATCTTCGCGGCGCTGTCTGCCACATCAGAAACTTGGCTCTGTGCCGCTTTCGTAGCACTGTCGACGTACTCGCTCACAGCGCTAGCTGCACCAGAAAGGCTGGTTTGGGCGGCGTTTTTCTTACCCTTTCCGCCCCAAGAAGAGACATACTTTTGTGCTGCAGCCGCAGCATCAGAAGCGTAGCTTTTAGCGTTCTTGTTGATGTCTGCAACATAGCTCTGTGCAGCTTGCGCCACTCCTGCAACCTTACCCTGGGCATGCTCATGGTATTGTTGTGCGCCTTCAGCAGCCTCCGAAACGTATTCGCGTGCCTCTTCATTCAAGTTCTCGACGTACTTCAGGGCAGCCTCGGCGTAGTTTTTGCCGCTGCTGTGAACTTTTGACGACGCACTCAGGGCGCTGGCTGCAGCAGCTGCGCTTGCAGAGGCAGCTGCCGCCTTCTTTTCGGCCTTAGCGCCAACAACCTTTTCCTTAGCTCCGACAACGTGGTCCTTCACCTGCTGAGCAGCTCCGGAAAGGTATTCCTTTGCCTCTTCCACGTAACCGTGAGCAGCCGCAGCAACTCCAGAAACGTGCTCCTCTGCGTTCTCATTGATGGCCAGAGCGTGCTTTTTGGCGGTCTTTTGCGCAGCAGCAATGTTTTCTTTGGCATTCTTTTGCGCTGCAGCAACGTTCTCTTCAGCGTACTTCTGGGCCGCTTCCACATTTGCCTTGGCATGCTTATGAGCCGCCTCAACCTTCTCCTTCACATCTTTCTGTGCTGCTTCCACATTTGCTTTGGCACTCTTCTGGGCTGCTTGGACACTCTCCTTCACATCCTTCTGGGCGGCATGAATGCTTGCTTGTGCACTCTTGTGAGCAGCCTGTGCTTTCAGAATGGCGGTCTCGGCCTGCTTCTGGCCCGGCTTCTTGGCTGTTCTCTTGGCCGCCTTGGCCTTCTTCTTCGACACATAGTCAGCGGCGTCTTTCTTGGCGCCCGAAACGTAATCCTTGGCCTCCTTTTGTGCGTTCTTTGCGTACTCGTGAGCCTCTGCCGCGTAGCCGTTGGCTGTGCCCGCAGCCGCAGCAGCCTCGTCCTTGACAGCACCTGCAGCGCCCTGAGCACTTTCAATTGCCGCCTCGGCAGCATCAGACGCATACTGGCGCATAGCTTCGCCCGCCTCTGCAGCCGAGTGGTGCCCTGCAGAAGCTGCCGCCTCTGCTCTCGACACGGCGTCTTCCAACGCTGCAGAAACAGCGTCACGGCCAGCGTGAGCCTTTTCCAACATTGGCTCCACCACGTCACGCGCAACCTTGATGATGCTGTCTGCCACGTGGTGGCCGTCCTTTTTCGGTTCTGCCGATTCCACGGTCGCATCAATTCCGTCGGAAACGACAGAAGCATCGGCCAAAACCGTGTCGTGATCTAGAGGAATCTTGATGTGCGCCTTGTTGTCGACGTCAAAGTCTGGCACGTCCACGTACGCCTCGCCCAGCGTGTCGGACGCCCGCTCAGACACCACGGCAGTTGCAAGGAGCAAACAATAAAAATTGGCAAAGTGCATTTTTGTGCTGGTGGGAAGTGGTGTGGGGCCGGCTCCTTTTATAGTTGCGAACTCCATGCGACCTGGGGCGTATCTGCACGTCTGCCCACTTTCAAGGCCACGACATCACCAGCGGTGCCCGACGCCACTAGAGCCATTGGCGCTTATTGTAGCGGCCAATGGGTTTTTTTACAGCCATTTCCTCCAATTGTTGTTTTTTGGCCCTGTTTTTGTGTTGCCGTCCTCTCCTTTGCGGTGTGGCTGTTTGAGCCTTCTCTCGCTAATTGCCCGTAGATACACAACCCGCATGACACCGCGACAGCAATCTCCACTGAAAGATGCGAAGCTTGCTTTGGCCAAGTGACATTGCGGGGCGGAAAAAGCACGCTGCTTTGGCGGCAAAGAAGGCTATTAAGAATAACAGGAACCGCCATTGACTATTGCAGAATAATCAGAACCAAAAGAACAGACAAAACCAAAAAGAATAGACAGAACCAAAAGAATAGACAGAACCAGACAAGAAGCAGAATTAGACCAGAATAGACAGAAAAAGAATAGACAGAACCAAAAGAATAGGCAGAAAAAGAATAGACAGAACCAAAAGAATAGGCAGAAAAAAAGAACAACCAGGATGCGACAGATCAGATTGAAATGAACAGGTTGGCCGCCTAAGTTTCCAGCAGGAAAAGACACTAGAAGAATCTCGATTTCTTCTTTACGCGACATACAGCCAGACATTTTTTCGCAGTCTCATTTTTTAGATCTTGTTGCTTTCTCCTTGTTGTTCTTCATTCCTTGTTCTGTCCTTCATTTGTTCTATTTTTCATTTGTTCAAGGTTCTTTTGGTTCTCTGTCTTCGGTTTTTTCTCTTCTGTCTTCTGTCTTCTGTCTTCTGTCTTTTTGCTTTGTTTTCTTTGCTTTGTCTGTCTTTGCTTTCTCTGCCTTTGGCTTCTTTTGTCTTGTCTTTCTTCTTGTCTTGCCTTGTTCACCTGTCTTTTATTCTGTCTTCTTTGTTCTAACTATTTCTTCCTTGGTCTCCGCTGTTTTGCAGCCGCCGGCATAACATATTGTATGTGTTGTGCACGTGACCTGTGTTTGTCGTGTGCGCACCGCCGCTACTCGACGAAAAAAAATGTGCTGTGCCAGCCTCTCGATCCATTATACTTTCAAGCTTAAGCTTTCCCGGATCTCAACTTCCCTTACGTCTAGCGGCGCTTTTGACGAACGAAAAAGACAAAGCAATAGCAAGTTTCCCGAAAGCGTGTGTGACGTTTGGTGCCCACCCAGTAATCTAGAATCCCCGCGAGTCCGAAGCAGAGAAGCCGTTCTCCGAACCACATCACTCACATAATGTCGCAACGAAAAAACCATAGAGGCCAGCAGAAAAAGGCTGCTGCCAGCCCCAGCAAGTCCGCTGCATCCTCACAATTACAGACATTGTCGGAAATGTTCCCCGCTTGGGAGGCGGACGAATTGGCGGCCTTATTGTCAGAACACCACGATGACGTGGAAATCGTCATCGACTTAATTGTCAATAACAAAGTCTCCAAGTGGGAACCCATCAAGAAGGAGCCCAAGCCCAAGAAGAGGGAAGAGGTTATAACCGATCTGAACGCCACTCAAACATCTCACGCACATAATGACGCCAAACCCAAGCATCTGAGAGAGCGTCCCAAGAACGAGAAGCGCAGAGAAAGAAAGCCTGTACAAAGAAAGGAGCCAAGCGCAGCTGTCCAAGCCGCTCAAGCTGCCTCGCCTGCTCCTGCTGCTGCTGCTTCGACCTCTTCTACATCTTCTGCATCTGTGCCCTCCAACTCATGGGCTGCCGCGTTATCTAAGGACGCCAAGCCTAAGCAAAAGAAAGAGGAACCAGAAGTCAAAGAGCCAGCTCAAGAACAGGAACAACCTAAGGAAGAACAAGAGCCTGCAGTGGCTGCTGCTACCGCGGCTGCTGCTTCTGCTGCCTCCGCACCACAAGAAACTCAAGCTGCACCTGCTGCTCCTGCTGCTCCTGTTGCTCCAACTACTACTACGACGAATGATCACGCAGAAAAACCAGCTACAACATGGGCCTCGGCGATCAAGCCTAAGGCCAAGCCAATCAAGAAGAAGGCTCCTGAACATGTTCCAGAAGAGGAAGTTAGCGAAGTGGTCGTAGTGGAGACTGAAGTTTCAGACGTTGTATTGCCACAGCAAGTCGCCGAAGTCGGTGTTTCTTTCGGCTCGTTAGCGTTGGAGACCGAAGACGTTCCAGAGTCTCAGCCAGAAGCTCAACCAAAACCAGAGGCCCAGCCTGAGTCGCAACCAGAGCCAGAGGTGCAACCAGAAGCTGAACCAGAAATCCAACAAGAACCAGTCCAGCAAGAACAGGTTCAACCTCAACAAGTTCAGCAACAGGTTCAATCTCAGCCTGAACAACCTCAACAACCAGTTCCAGTCCAGACTCAGGAACAACCTCAGCAACCACAACAACCTCAACAACCTCAACAACCTCAACAGCCACAGGCTCAACAACCTCAACAGCCTCAGCAACCTCAACAGCCTCAACAACCTCAGCAACAACCTCAACAGCAAGGTCAACAACCTCCTCACTTTGAGAAGCCAGCTCAAGGTTACGACTACTACCCGCAGTTCCAACAAACACAACAGTACCAGCAAGCCGCTGGTTCTGTTCCAGGTCAGTACGCTTACCCATCGTTCGACTACTCTGCTGCCTATGGTCAACTCGGACAGGCCGGTCTTGGTTCTGTAGCTTCTCCTGGATACTATCCAGCAGCAGTGAACGGTGCTGCTAAGCCTGCTGCTCCTGCTCCTGCAAGTGCTGAAATCGGCCAATCTCCTTTGGTTCAGCCTAACAACATGGGTCAACAGAGCATGCAATCCGGCCAGGCTCAGGTTCCTGGTGCTGCACCATTCGGTTACCCTAACTACTACAACTACTTCTACAACACTCCGTTCTATGGAAATGGCGGTATGGCTGCTTCTACCACCTCCTATGGAGCCCAACAGCAACCTCAACTGCAGCAAGCTGCTGGCGAGAACGCTCCTGCCTCGGGCGAGCCTGAGACCAACGGCGTTCCAGCACAAGCGCAAGCAAACAACCAGTACTACGCGCAGTACTACGGCCAACCCAACCAATTCGGCTCTCGTGGCGGCTACCCTTACTCGGGCTACCCAGCCAGTCAGCCATACCCACAATCTGCCGGACAAGAACAGCCTGAAGGTGCTCAACCAAGCGCTCCTCAAGGTGCTCCAGTGCCAGGTGTGCCACTGTACCCACAGCAGATGCCTCAGTACGGTGCTTACCAGCAGTTCCCACAATACGGAAGCTACCAAGACTCGAACCAATACCGTGGTTGGTACTAGCTGAGTAGCTAGCAGCTGCATCCGCAGATGATTGTCTATAGCGATTATCGGTTTCTGTCATGCCGTCATGTTTGTATGAGTATTATTACGTGCGATCTAGAAATTGTAGAACGAACTTACAAAGCTGTAAGATTGTAGAGGCTTGTGTCAGATCCATGTCAGAGGTGGACCATGAATCTTAAAGCAATGAATCAATTGCAGACGGTGAGACAATTGAATGATTAGCTATAGAAACATAAGGAGACTATTTTACAATCTCGTCGGAAATGAGTTAGTATTTAGGAAAAGCAGCGATTATATTGCATACTTAGCTGGCTATAATCGGATACTTTGAGCTCAATTGGTTGAATCAGAGATTATCAAGATCAGCCGAACTATTGTGATTCAGCTCAGCTATCACAAAGATAATTTGTGTGGAATCTACGACAATTGGAGATCACACTCAAATAGATTAGCGTACTACCTAAATGGGCAGTATGCGTATTCTCGTGGATTCCATTGAGCAGATACATTCATTTTGGTACGGTGATAAAGTCAGCAGACTTGTATGTTCCAACTGCTAAGCAAGAATAACGAGTGAATGCCACTTCTAAATACTCTGAAGTCCAGATGTCTAAATGTCTAATCTACATGATACGGTGATAAATTCATGCGCAGTCTTTAAATATTATTTTTATATTATTTTAATATTTTTACTATTAGTTAATGATCTGTATTGAGCATCTTAATGGAGTGAATGGTATGGTCAGATGGATGAAATGGTAATGAAGACTGAGCAATTGATGATTTAGGATACTGATAATTAATGCTATGGCATTAATGTGGATCAATGGTAATAGTAAGAACCGTGGTCCAAGATAGTTTACATAATTAATGATGTACTGGCAATAATTAATGTACTGGCAATAATTAATGTACTGGCAATAATCAATGTACTGGCAATAATTAATGTACTGGCAATAATTAATGTACTGGCGATAGTTAATGTTCATGAATAATTAATGTTCATGGTGCTGACAGTAATACTGATTTAATGACGGTACTGGCAATAATCTATGAACTCATACTACTGATGATAATTAACGCATGGTACTAATAGCATTTAATGAGACATCAATTGCCCACGTCATTGCACCAGATTGCCATGCATTTATAAATTCACCATTCATTTCATAAAATCACCATGCAATCCATAAATTCACCATTTATTTCTTCATTTCTTCATTTCTTCATTTCTTCATTTCTTAAATCACCATTTTATCTCTATTACCGAGCGACTTCGCACCCGCTCTTGGTCACAAAGCAAACCTCCAGCCTGGTCCTGCCCACAATGCCAGACCAACAATCCTGCCCAAAACAGCAGCCCTCAGATGCCCCTATTATCAGCCAGAAACCAGGGCAATTGTTGTGTCCTGCAGATAGTCGCATCGGGCCTCTGGCTTGCTAGTACAAGCCACGGCACAAAGTGTAAGAAAATAGAGCAGGAGCACGAGAACCGGCTCCATCCAGACACAGCGGTGTGGTCTTTGGGGGGCCAAGAACCCGTGCCTCCGGCGCAGGCGGGCCCCAGCCAGCAACATTGGGTAGAAGCACCAAAACGCGGGTGCTGGGATTTACTCACTTCCTGCGCATTCCACGTCCCTCTCTCCGCCGCGCGCATGCGCTCCCATATATAGGGTCTCGCGTTGCTCCCACACAAAAAAAAGTGCTACCTAGTTTCTTCCCATAGTAAAGACCACAAAGTATGTACCCGCCTTTGCACTAACTAAAGCCGCGCGCGCCTCAAGCCAGCCAAAACATCCACCGCCAGCGCAGACGATTTTTGCGCCAGGCCAACGTGGCGGCAATGCAATTTTTGTTGCCGTCTGGACGTCTGGGCGCCAGCAATGGCGCCCCTTTTTTTTTTCCTCTTGTTTTGCTGGTGGGGCCCGTGGATCCAGAATGTGGACCTTTTGCCTTATGTGCAGGACGTTCAGGTTACCCGTTCTGGCGGTCTGCTCGTGCATACTAACCTCCAGATGTCCACCGAAAAGAAGAAGGCCACCAGAAAAAAGAAGGACCCAAACGCGCCCAAGAGATCGTTGTCCGCGTACATGTTCTTTGCCAACGAGAACAGAGACATTGTCAGAGCAGAGAACCCCGGCATCACCTTTGGTGAAGTGGGCAGAATGTTGGGCGACAAGTGGAAGGCCTTGACCGACGAGGAAAAGGAACCTTACAACAGCAAGGCTGCAGTGGACAAGAAGAGATACGAGAAGGAGAAGGCCGAGTACGCCAAGAGACAGTAAGCTGTCGCGCTGCGTTCTTCCTGCCTTGACGAAAAGTATGTACCATATTGTTTCTTTCTTATCGGCGCCCCAGCGGCGCGCAGGCTGCTGCTGCTAGTCTATAGTTCTAAGTTGTTTATGTGATGTATTATTATAGTTTGGAATTGCCTTGGCGTAGCAGGGCCCGAAGCCGGGCCGGCGTGGCTTTATATGTCGGGTGGGCCGGGGTGCATGCACATATAGCCGCATCACCGTTTTAAATGCTTCCTTCTAACTTCTCATTCCTCTCTTCTTTGGTGATGCCAGTGTCTCTTCCTCCGCCTTCCTACAACGACGACCCCACTTCGTTTGCCTACACCACGGCCCGCAGAAGATGGCCCATTATCGTCAGAGACATTGTTTCTGATCTCGACTTGTACACTTCCGACCACCCGGCCTCGGAGTCGTGTGGCAAAGCCGTGACGGCCAAATTCAACCAGCTTTTAGACGCCTTTGCCCACGACGCGGCGGTGGCCGCATTCCTGGCTCAGGACATTGCATTGAAGCCCGAACTTTCCGTCTACAACCAGCAATTGGCCAGCTTCAACGAACAGAAACAGGTCACCTGGTTGACTGGGCCCTGGCTCTACTTGGAGTGCTACTTGTACCAGTTGATAGATCTTTACTTCCAGCAAACAGACACTTTGACCAAGTACGATCCGTTTGAGCGGTTGAAAAACCAGACGTTCAAGCTGTCGAGTTTCGGTGTGTTGGAGCTTTGCAAGCGCTACGAGATTCTCAAGAGACAGCTGGCCTTGCAGAAGCCCGACGACGAGACGTTGAAGTTGTTGTTCCACGAGTTCATTGACGTCTCGCTTTGGGGAAATGCCACCGACTTGTCTCTTCTCGCAGGAAACGTCACTTTGGACGACATTCGGAGCGTCCAGGGCGCCGAGGTCCGCAAGAAGAACGAAGAAAAGATCATCACAAACGACACCGACGAGGCCTGGTCCCACTTGAAGGCTAGCTCGCGCAGCAGAGTGGATTTCGTCTTGGACAACTCTGGTTTTGAGCTCTTTGCCGACTTGTCTTTGGCGCTTCTTTTGCTCGACTTGAGCTTGGTCAAGAAAGTGGTGATCCACTGCAAGGAGATCCCGTGGTTTGTGAGCGACACCATGCCCAAGGACTTCAACAATTTGATCGAGCAATTGGCCGACCCATCATTCTTTCTGGATATCCATTCTGTCGCAGAAGACAAAGATTCGCTCTCTTTCTTCCTTTCCAACCTTGAAAGCTACGTGGCCAACGGTGCCATTGAAGTGAAGCACCACAAGTTTTGGACATCGTGCCAGAACTTTTGGGAGATCCCACAACAGAAAGACTTGTACGAGGATCTTCTTGGCTCGAACTTGATCATCTTCAAAGGCGACTTGAACTACAGAAAATTGACCGGAGACTTGCGCTGGGACACTACAACTTCTTTCACCGAGGCCATCCAGCAATTGGCCAGTTCCAACTTACCTGTTCTTGCCCTCAGAACTTGTAAAGCTGATGTTGTTGTTGGCTTGGCCAAGGGCGTTAGTGATCGGTTGGTTTCTGAGTATGCCAGTGAGGGCAAAGAGGGAATTTTCTGGACAGCGTCTGGAAAATGGGCTGTTATCAGTTTCAGTGCGGGCCATTAGGCCATGGCAGTACGCTGACATAGAAGTGGTCAGTGGAACTGGACTCCAGGAAGAGTCGGCCTTTTGACAGATATGTACTGTGAGATCGAACGAAAATACAAAGACATACTAGCTGACTTGTTATACATGACGTAAAGGTATAATGAAATACAAAGACATACTAGCTGACTTGTTATTCATGACGTAAAGGTATAATGATGGTCGCTGCAGGAAGTTACCATCCATCAGTAGAGAAATAGATTACAAATGAAAATGTTGAACTTACGCATCAGACCACTGTCTCGGCAGTTGACTATTTTTTGTACATGACTGTATCGACGTAACCACAAGCCCAAACAGGCCAGAAAAAATGGTGCAGAAGTTTTTCAGCAAATTCAAGTCAACTTCGAAGGATCTGATTTTGTTCCGTCTATATACTGATGTCGGCCCAATATTCTTGCGCGGACTTTGTGTTCTTACGCGAAATCGGGCCAAAAATGTCAAACCGGAACAATAAAAAGTGCCCCTAAAAATTGATTTCTGTCCCACTACAGAAAAAAATCAGACAAGATCAATCTCAAGACTCAGCTTACTCATTACGGTAACTGCTCAGTAAAAACAAGGACTTATGCTTTCCCTTTTAGACTCTTCTCCATCTGCGTACTTCACAGAAGCTCACACTAGGCCAATTAAGTAAATTGCACAAAAGTGGGTGAAACAGACCTTCCAATTACTCACCATGACTAAACGAAGACCGGAACGGAATTAATCTCCAAATAGATGACAAGCCAAACAGAATAGTGGGGTCATGGAGCCAACGACCCCACATGCCGGGAAGACTGCCGTTTTGGGCCACCTCGTGGTGAAGGATTCTCTTTAGCGGTCTGAGCAGCAGCATTGGCGCGCAAGATACTCACTGCGCAGGCACTCGGCGCCGCACCCCGATTAGGAAGCGCACCCGTCTCCCCACGTTACAAAGCCACTCGAGCCACCACTATAGAAAGGGCCCGATCCCCACCCGAATCTCCGATTTTCAAAAAACATAAACGAGCACTTGCAATGGCTGACATTGACGTGGAAAAAGTTCTTTCGGAATTGACTCTTGCCGAGAAAATCGGTCTCACCGCCGGTGTTGACTTCTGGCACACTTACAAGGTGGAAAGATTGGGCGTCCCCACCTTGCGTCTTTCGGACGGTCCCAACGGTGTTAGAGGCACCAAGTTTGTGAACGGCGCCCCTTCCGCCTGTTTCCCTTGCGGCACCGGTTTGGCTTCCACTTTCAACAAGGACTTGTTGTACAAGGCCGGTCGTCTCATGGCAGATGAGGCCAAGCACAAGAGCGCCCATGTCATTTTGGGCCCAACAACGAACATGCAAAGAGGACCTTTGGGAGGCAGAGGTTTCGAGTCCTTCTCGGAGGACCCTCATCTTGCCGGTATGGCGTCGGCGTCCATTGTCAAGGGAATGCAAGACAATGACATTGCGGCCACCATCAAGCACTTTGTGTGCAACGACTTGGAGCACGAGAGAAACTCGTCCGACGCCATTGTCACCGAGAGAGCCTTGAGAGAAATCTACTTGGAGCCCTTCCGCTTGGCCGTCAAGTATGCCGACCCCAAGTCCTTTATGACCGCCTACAACAAGGTGAACGGCGAGCATGTGTCGCAGTCCCACCGCATCTTGGAGCAGATCCTTAGAGAGGAGTGGAACTGGGACGGCTTGGTGATGTCCGACTGGTATGGAGCATACACCGCCAAGGAGTCGCTCACAAACGGCTTGGACTTGGAGATGCCCGGTCCTTCGGGCATGCGGACGGTCCAGAACATCTCGCACATGGTCAACTCGAGAGAGCTCAACATCAAGTACTTGGACGAGCGTGTGCGCAATGTGTTGAAACTTGTCAAGTGGTGTGCCCGCTCAAAGCTTGAAGAGAGAGGCCCAGAGACCACCGAGAACAACACGCCCGAAACAAGAGCGTTGTTGAACAAGATCGCTTCAGAGCTGGTTGTGCTTTTGAAGAACAACGACAGCGTGCTTCCCCTCAAAAAGGAGGAGTCCATTGCCGTGATCGGGCCCAACGCCAAGTTTGCCGCATACTGCGGTGGAGGTTCGGCGTCTTTGCTCTCCTACTACACCACCACGCCTTACGATGCCATCAAGGAGAAGTTGGGACACGAGCCAAAGTACGCCGTGGGCTGCTACGCACACCAGATGTTGCCTGGGTTCTCTCTCTCGCCATACACCAAGAACCCAGTTACTGGCAAGAGCGGCGTCAACTGTAAGTTGTACAATGACGCCCCAGGTACCAAGAACAGAAGGCAGTTTGATGAATTTGACATCACCATGTCCCCAATCATCTTGTTCGACTACAGGCACCCAGCCATTGTGGACGAGTTGTTCTACATGGACATCACTGGAGACCTCACGCCAGAGGAATCCGGCGAGTACGAATTCTCCTTGACCGTTTCTGGTACTGCCCAGTTGTTCATTGACGACAAGTTGGTGATCGACAACAAGAACTCGCAAACGCTTGGAACCGCCTTCTTCGGAACTGGTACCATTGAAATGAAGCAGAAGGTCCCCTTGGACGCAGGAAAGACTTACAACGTGAGAGTGGAGTTTGGCTCCAGCAAGACTTCGAAGCTCAGACCTCTGAGTGTCATCTCTTTTGGTGGCTGTGTCTCCATCGGTATGTGCAAAGTCATCGACCCTAAGGAGGAGATCGCCAAAGCTGTCGAGTTGGCCAAGTCTGTCGACAAGGTCGTTTTGCTGATCGGTTTGAATGCCGAGTGGGAGTCCGAAGGTTTCGACAGACCAGACATGGAGTTGCCTCTCCTCACCAACGACTTGGTGGAGGCTGTTTTGGCCGCCAACCCTAACACGGTTGTGGTCAACCAGTCGGGTACCCCAGTGGAGATGCCATGGCTCTCCAAGGCGAATGCTTTGGTGCATGCGTGGTACGGCGGATCAGAGGCCGGAAATGCCATTGCAAACGTTTTGTTCGGTGACGTCAACCCAAGTGGTAAATTGTCTTTGTCGTGGCCATTCAAGAACTCGGACAACCCAGCGTACTTGAACTTCCACACCGAAAGAGGAAGAGTGCTCTACGGTGAGGACATTTACATTGGATACCGTTTCTACGACAAGTTGCAGAGAAGAGTCGCCTTTCCTTTCGGATACGGTTTGTCCTACACAACGTACAAGTATTCCGACTTGAACGTCACCGTAAACGAAGAAGACGACAGTTTGACTGCAAGTGTTACCGTCGAGAACACCGGATCGAAGGACGGCGCCGAGACTGTTCAATTCTACGTGGCGCCAAAGACTTCTGAAGTTGCAAGACCAGTCAAGGAATTGAAGGGTTTCGACAAAGTCTTTGTCAAGGCAGGTGAAAAGGCAACGGCCAAGGTGCAGCTCTCTTTGAAGGACTCTGCCTCTTTCTTCGATGAATACCACGACAAGTGGAGCCTCGAGAAGGGAACCTACGAGGTGCAAGTCGGAAAGAGTTCCGATGACGTTGAGTTGATCCAAGAATTCAAGGTGAAGGAGAGCAAGTTGTGGAGCGGCTTGTAATCTTCAAACTGAGAATGAATGAAATGTACGACAAAATACTAGACAGTATGTGACGAAATCTATGATATGTCAATAGTAAAAAGTTTGATTATAAAATGAGGTAGATTCCGCAGAATAAGGTACATTAAAGGGTAGGTTTGCCAGCGAGATGAAACTCCATTTGGCATCCAGTATTCTCTCACATTCATGTTCGTTTCAGAGAACCGTCCGTTTGAGCACATTCGAGTTCTCTTCACCTGAACAATCACGGACTCGATATTAACACCAGTATGATGCCTTACTGTATCATTGATCTCTTCCATAGTCTAACCGAATACGAAAAGAACGTATCTGATATGAAACATATTTGTTCGGCCACTTCAGCGCACTACAATAGAGAATGTTACCGTAACCATGAGTTGCTCTCGTTATTCTCTTCCACTACTCATCCACGTAAAGGCTTGTCTATTAGCAATACACACAGCTTATCCAGCGCTGAACCTTCACAGTCTTGTCCTCCCAAAAGCTCATCTGTCGTAGCTCCCTCACGTCTCTCCAGCCTTGCGGGAGTTACAAGCAACAATCTTGAACTTGTCCACAGAAATGTCGCTGTCATTGGTGTCGTTATTGGAAACATCAGTCATCTTGATCAAGACATTCTTGATGATAAACGTCCACACGTCGTCGCAGAAACGATACGTGTGAAGATCACCCTTGAAAGTCAACTTGGACTTGCACAAGCCTCGTTCCGTCTTCAAGTTTTCCGAAATGATGCGATCGAAATTGTTCAAGATTCTCATGGCCAATTGCGGCTGGATCTTTTCGTCGCTGATAAGCGTGTCCAACGCATCTGCCAAGGCACTGCCGATCGTGCTTCTTCTGTAGAGCTCGTAATATGCTGGAGCACTCATGTCAAAAATACTCAGCAAGAAAAGGAAAAACGCAGACGTCTAACGATGACAAACTGGGGTTGGTGGTGTTCGGAGGCACGGGTGTGGGTGGGTACCCTCTGCTTCTCCAGATTTGCACAAATGAAAAGATTATACGCCTCACGAGCATGGAACAAAAGGGAAATCAGTCGACCGTGAGAGAGCGGTTCAGAGACGCCGTTGCTCTGTTCCGTGAGCTAGACGAGTCTGCCGAAAGACAGGACCAGGAGTCTTTCCAACGCAAGCTAGCGTCTTTACTAAAAGAGTTCGACACCATTCAGTCGCTTGTCAACAGTTTGGCTTTATTCAGCGACAATGAGAAGTTGAAGGAGGTTTCCACTTCGTATTTGCCGTTTGCCACCGTGCCATACTACTTGGCGTGTCTCTACATGAAGCTTTTGGCAGACATACTGCTGGGATTTGCATTCGACAAGAGCGATCTCCTCAAGCACAAGCTGAACAATTTGCAGAGGGCCAAAGTTCACACTGCTCTTTTCTTGCACCAGCTTGAAGCCTTTGGCGGGGTGCTTACGGAGGAACAAACAAAGAGAATAGATTCATTCGCTAATAGCTACAATCCTTCCATCGAAGAGATTACTGCACTGGGAAATGCCGTTACGCAAAGGGCAGAGAAGATTGCCAATTTCAAGAAAGAAAGAGAGCTTCAACAGAAACTCCTGATCTTGGACCAGTATTACAAGACTTCGAAGAATGAGCATGATGATGAAGATATATTAAGGGCCTTAGATGAAGATGTTGTGAGGGCCGTTTATATCGACCAACTAAAGCTCTTCAGTTTATACTCGTTCAAAAACCTAGAGCTGATTGCCATGGAGTTGCAAGTGCTCCTGAATAGGCCTGCTTTCGAAAAGACTGCTAAACAGGACAAAGCAGAAAGGCCACAAGAAAAGGACGACGACTTTGGGTACACCACCAGAGTTGAAAGCAACCCAAACAGAAAGAAAAAAATCTCAGAGCTCATTTCGGCACAGGGAAAAATCCTTCAGCCGTTCACTATCACAAGCGATAAACAGGAGCTCCGGAAGAAAGTTTTCGGAACAGGACAAGTGTTACCTTCTATGTCAGTTGAAGAGTACTTGGATTACGAGTTAGCAAATGGAAAAATGCTAAAGCCGGAAAGCAACGACAACGCATATCAAAGCAGCGATGAGGACGACAGCGACGAAGAAATCAGAAAACGGGAATGGGATGATTGGAAGGACGACAATCCAAAAGGAAGCGGAAACATGAAGGCCAATATTGGCTGATGGGTTATAAGCCCCGTATATTAATGCTGAATAATAAATCTATTAGGAAAGGTCCATCTCCAACTCTTTGAGCCATTGTAAATACTCGAGATTCAACTCCCGAAGTTTGACATAGCCCACTCCTCTCGAAGTGTCTCTCTTTATGAGCCACTGATCATCTTCATTTTTGAAGGTCTTCAAGCAATTGAGGATGATCATATAGAGTTCCAACACCTTCAATTTGAATTGCTTAAAGTCTTCAATGTCATCGGAAACAGAGCCCAAATTATCTTGCTCCATGCGAAATCTCGTGATGAAAATGTACAAGGCTTCAACAGCTCCTCTTTTATCACCAAGATGATTGACATCTGACGACTGCGAACCTCCAAAAAGACGCCATGAATACAAAAACTCATAGCATTTCAAAGCATTTGAAAGAATAAGATCCTCATTTGCCAATTCGAGCAAGATCGAATCAACAAGGAGATAATTCCTCGTGAAAAGCTCATTGGTCTGTCCAAACAATCTATTAATTTCATGGTGAGTAATCAACGTTCTTACAAGTTTTGTAAAACACACCCTGAATTCGTTTCTGGATAAGAAATTGTCAAGTTTATCCAAAGATGCTATTGCTTCTTCATACTCCGTAACCTCCAAGGCATCGTTGAATAAATCATGATAATACTGCGTAACGAGTCTTGTTAGCGAATCATCCTGATATGTAGCTTGCTCGAGGATACTGATTGCCATCTTCTGAAACTCCAAAGACTTTTTCAAGAATTGGCCCTGAGTTTCTGATTCATTTGAAAGCTTCAAATCTGCATCTTGGGCTTGAGAACTGCAGATTTTAGACAATGCATGATAGTATTTCGATTTCAAGACTGAATCGTTGGATTCAGCAGAAAATATCGATGATAAGAAATCCTTCAACTTTGCATTTGTAGAAATTCCTTTCAATAGACGCACGCTAGTTTCTTTATTATTGACTGCCTCAAATGTCGAATAATCCACAAAAATGTCGAAAAATTTCTGGGGACTGTTCGTTAAGAAATGCACCAAACCGGTTAAAAACCTATTAATTGGGGCAATGGAATCAAGTCTCAGAATAAACTTTCTCAAGACCAAGTCACCTTCATTCTTGTTGATAAGTTCCAAAACAACGTCAAGAATGTACTCATCATAGCACGTTCCCACAGCATAATCGCAATAGAAATCAAATGCCATGTTGTAATCTTTCTTTGAAAGTAATCGCATTAGGCCCGTACTTTTTTTCACCACAGCAACCCAATACACAGAATTTTCGATGTGAGAGACTCCTCTAGTCTCAATGCTGCTCTCAGCGCCTGAACCTTCAAAAGATATGTTGAACACTTCCTCAATTATTTCATACCTTGAAAGTCTTCTGACCAAAGTTTTTAAGAACTCTAAAATATCATCATTCATCTCACACAATAACAACAAAATAAGAAGATCATGCAATATTCTTTCATGTGCACACTTTATGCTCTTGAAAATATCAACAGAGAGCAATTTTGCAAACAATCCAAAACCTTCACCAGATTTAAAAGGTGAAACATCATCAACAACAAAATCAGCGCTGAAATCATTTCCAAGAAGTAGTTTGATTTCATCCACAACATCCGGGATTGAGGCCAACTCGTCCATAATGGCTGAAATCTCATCGTCTGCGATCTTTCCGCTGAGATGATCCGAAGCAACCTTAGAGACTGATTCAACGTCAACGTTAGAGAGCCTGGAGAAGTCGCGAGCCAAACGCTTATGCGTGTTTACAGAAATCTTCGTAGATACAGCATTCAATAGCTTCGAAAGGCCAGAATTGTTGGTTGGCTCAAGGTACGATTCGAAAAAGTGTGCCTCTCTGAAAACACGCACACCATGCGCTTGAGAAACCAACACCATGTCAGGAGTCACCAAGATGGACGTAGCCTCCTGACTCAACTTTCTGAATTCATCACACATCAAAGCTATCTTGTACCACAAAGAGCTTTCTGAAATACCCGCGCTTTGGCTTGTTGCATCAATGACTTGCCGGAAATTGTGGCGTAAGGTCGAATTAGAGGTAAAATTCACCGTTACTCCCGACTTGTCCTTGAATATGTTTAATGCAGTTTTCACAATTTCGTCATCGTAGTAACCTGAATCGAATATGAGCTCTTTCAAGTATTCTTTATCAAAATGCGAGGAGAGCTCCAAATGAGGGAACTCTTGGTTGGATACACTGTGTGTGACTGATGTTGCGACACCCGTGAGGTCACTAAATTTGTGTCTTGTGAGAACGCTGTAGGTGTTAGATTTCCACAAGATAAAGCAGCTCAATTCGTCACCAGAAACAAACTGAAAGTCCTGGATCTTGAATGGATTGGAGTTCGAGTCAACTTTAAGTGGAATGTCTGGGGTGAAAGACGGCAATTCACTTTTGAAAAGATGTCCTTCTTCCGAAAGATCAAATGAACGGAACTCATAGCCGCTTCCGTTGGAGCTCTTTGAGTGTGATGACTCTATGGTGTGCAAAACTGCAAGAATACGTTTAGATCCGTATTCGTATATCTGAAAATACTTGGCTGGCACACTTGTCAACCAAACAGAGCTTCCAGAATCAGACTTATCCAATGGCAATGCAGAGTGTACTTGTTTGTGTGAGCTAAGACTCCAGAGCTTAATGTGTTTATCGATACTCAAAGCCGCAAACTCAGATGCTCCTGTTTGGATGATGTCAACAACAGCATTTGCAGAGACTCCGTCATTGAAAGAGTCCACTTTGGATGATCTGAGAAGACCGTTCATAAAGTTAAAAGACACCAAGGGTACGGCCTCGCTGAAATTGAAAATGTCTATAGTGGCTAATGGTGAGTTTCTCTTGAAATGTAACAAACCGCCGTCTTTCATAGATACAACAAGGTTCTCTGGGTTCAACCCCTTCATTAAAAACGGAGCCGATCGCAACTCAAAAGAGTACGGCACGGAAATGTTTACCCAGTCATTGAATGTATCCAACGATAACCTGTGATTTGAATTGCCCACCAAAAAGTCAGAGAGCTCGATCTTCAAAGTAATCAACAAGTAGTTCACGTCTATCAAGTCAATGAGAACATATGGCTCTCCGCTCAAGTTCTGGGCCACAAATTGGAACGTCGCCGTGCCCTTGCCAATGAGTGGATGAGGAAGATGAATGACAATGTTTTCAAACAGGACGCCCAAAGAAGTGGCTTCGTCATTTAGGACCGGACTCAACTGCACCGTCATAAGGTCGTTTGAGACGGAATATTGGAGTGAGGAAAAGAAATTGCCGTCTTGGAGAGACAAATCGAGGAAACCGCCAAAGCAAGAGGCATTGTTTCTGAACTTGTCTGCCCAATCGCTTGAAACTTCTGCCTGGTGGTATTTGAGAGGCAACTTCACGTGCTTCAGAGCCAAATGAGTCGAGTACCCGACTATGTCAGAATGGCTGAAGGAGGACATGTTATTTCGCCCAGTTGGCTTGGTTTCTGTTTATGGTTAAAAGGTAGGAAGTGCTCAAATTCTTTGTGTGGTGTACGGGTGCAAGGCCATAGACCATTAAGAAAATTACCAAAGGCGGACCCTATAGTGGTGCAAAAAGGAATTTTATGGTCGAAAGAGACAAGAGGAGGATGAGGGTTGGATCCCGTCCACTTGGTCTTACCTTGGCGGAAGTTTCAGGAGCCGCTAGTGGTCTCTATATTTTCGCCACTGCACGACCACAGACATCTACCTGAGCTTAAACGCTGAGGCTAGGCTAACAAGTGCCATGTCTTCTACGATTTTCTACAAATTCCTTCACCAGAAGGAACAATCCACAATACACTTTGACGGCACAGGCATCAATGTCTTTGACTTGAAACATGAAATTATCATGCAGAACCAGCTAGGACAAGGGCAGGATTTCATGCTCCGGCTCTATCATCTGGAGCAGCCTGATTTGGAGTACGAGAACGACCAAGATGTGATTCCAAGATCGTCTTTTGTTTTGGCCAAGAGATCTCCGTGCTCTGTATTCAATGGTCGTTCCCAGAGCGCGGCCAGATACGTAACAGGCAAACCCAGAATCACCAAATTCAAAGCACAGAATTCGCTAAAACCCGTCACGGCGATAAAGCAAGAGGCTGCCGTGGACGAATCGGTGAGTGAGGAAGATAGAATCAAGCAGATGTTCGAGAACCAGTCCAATGTCTGGGCCCAGGCGCAGGACGAACTATCTACACACAAGCTCGTTCATTATAAGCCTGGAACTGAAGACCTACCCCCGCCCGGCTATGTGTGTTACAGATGTGGAGGCAAAGACCACTGGATCAAAAACTGTCCAACAAACACCGACCCTAATTTTGAAGGCAAGAAGATTAAGAAAACGACAGGTATTCCAAAGAGTTACATGAAGACGATTTCAAAAGAAACAGTGGAATATAGACTACAGAACCCAGATAGTAATGAGAGTGGGATCCACACAAATGAGAACGGTGATTTGGTTGATGCCAACGGAAACACATATATGATCACAGAGGACGGTGATTATGTCATGACTTTTGCTGATTCCAAGACATGGGCACTGTTCCAAGAAAAACAGCAGAGCGCCGCCTTGAAGGCACAGAAAGAGTTCGAACAGGCATTGGTCAAACAGGCAACCACAGATGGAAAGTTGCAGTATCTCAACCCGCTCAATCCGGGACAAGTGCTCAAAGCTCCGATTTACATGACGCCTTGTTGCCAGAGCATGGATTCATTGAAGAAAATGAAAAACTTCAGCTACAACCAGGCTGAGTTGGAGCAAGCATTGATCGAAAACGATTTCCACTGTCCAAACTGTGGTAAGGACGATGTCTACATCGACTCCTTGATTCATAATGAGGATTTGGAAAAGGAAATCGAGCAGTATGTCGATTCGCTTGACTTAGAAGATCCTCTGAAGGCTAAACGCCCGGCTCCAGAATCTACAGACGAAGATGGTTCTGCTGCTAAGAGACAGCAAACAAACCCTATGATGCCTATGCCTCAGATGCCTTTCGGTATGATGCCTATGCCTATGATGGGAATGCCTCCGATGTTCATGCCTCCAATGCCTCCGACAGGCCCATCCGGAGAGAAAAAATAAAACAAATTGTCGAATAATCACAGCCGACATGACGACATATTGTATAATAGAGCTATATACGAGCTGAAACGCAAAGCATTTATGAAGTAAAAACCATGGTAAGCCCTGAGTACAGTGTATATGCACACCCCATTAAAGAGACCTTTCACTTCGCGGTAGACGGTTACCCGCACGAGAGAAAAAAAAGTTTATATAGCAGAGGACGAAAGATTTTCACTTACAAGAAGCGGAAAATGCTTACTTAATTGTATGTGCTTTATCCTGAATCTGAAGAAAAACGATTTAAAGATGACCAAAATAATCAATTCAAACTAGAGTTTGTGACTATTAAGAATGATCACAACGTTATCAATGTTACTGAAGAATCTTTTCGAAGTCGGTTATATGAATTCAACTAACTGTCTTAGTACGAACATTTTTACAATTGTATGTTTACCATTTGAACCAAAATGAATATTGTGATGATACAACAAAAACAAAGCTGGAATTACCAACTGAATCTCTCTGATTGATAAGTTTTTGCATTATTACTGAAGTATTCCTAAACTATTATATTTTTTTGACTATGGTACTAACTTTTAGGTATGTCTTAGTCAGCTTTTCATGTTTAATTCAATGAGGAATTATTGCACTGGGCACTGATTAAACTTTATGAGTGACAACGCATTTCGGTGGGCCTCAGAAACCCACTTTAACTGATTGAATTATTAATATCAAGAAATTTTGGAAGACCAGATTTTCTAACAGTTTAGCATCCTCAATTTGTATGTATTGGGCCATGGAAACTAAGATTACATGATGATTACTTAGATGACGAGTCAGAATCGGGATTCCCGTTGACGACAACCTTTTTTAATTACCATTCATGCCTTTCTGAGTCATCTTATTTGCCAACCACGTCAAGTGAATATTCACTAACTTTATAGTGCCAGTCGAAAGCCCATTTCAACACTTGAATAAGGCAGGTCGTGATCCTCTTTATTCTTGCTACTATTTTTTGTGGATGCTAAAAGATGAATTGAAATTAAAAGACAAGCATATGTCTGATTCTAAGGAAGATACATTTCATGTCTGATAGCTCGTGCATAAAAAATAGGAGCTGGAATCGAGACGGATGACGTTATGATTTCTTTTCCAAAAGGTATGTCTTTCTGTGCTGCTGCTTCTGCGTATATGATGATTTACCACATTTATCACGACGGTCTACTGTGCTAGGAGAATTGTAATCTCCTAGCGTTGATGATATACTCGGCCTTGACCGGCCGTGGTTACTGAAATCAAGAAGCTTGATTTGCTGTACACTACTAACTTTTAGGTATGTCTTTTCTTTACTTATCCACTTTCATGATGTTACATACGTTCATTGATCAATAATGAAACTCCAACAAAATATTTAACGATTTGCATGTCAGTCTGACTTTGTGGAATGCCAATGTTGTGCATGTACTAACAATCACGTAGAATCATACAATATAGTTTCTAATGTATAAACTGTGGCTCGAACTTTTGTAAGAATGACATGTACATGCGTTTTTCCCAGTCTTCATTCCTGTAAGTTCGCAATTTCATGCTTATAAGACAATCTTGACGTATACACTCTTGTTCGTCCTCGCACATCTTTCACGTTCATAGATAATCCATTACGAAATCAATGGCTCCACTTCGGCCAGAAAAGTCGAAATCAAACATTCCTCCCAACCCCCCGTCATATGAAGACTTGGCATCTGCAAAAGCTATCGATACAACTGCCCAAAGACCTGAGCTAGCGTCAAGAATTCCTTCTTTCCAAGGACTCCTCAATGTGCTGCCGCTAAACTCTGGCTCGGGCACTCCCAAGAAGAAAAATGTGCCGTACCGACCTTCAAAAGAGCTTCAAAAGCATATCAATAAGTTGGGTTCCCCCTCGGCCGAATCTATCACCAGTGTGACTTCCGGCACTAAAACCGAATATTTCGATGTTCTTCCGTCGTTTCACATGTTCCAGTCCATCTTGAAAAGAAACGACTTCGAGTTTGACGAGACTTCCTTGGGCTGTCCTCCAGTTTATGGCGACACTACACATTCTTCGCCTACTCCTCCAGCGTTATCTCCAGTGGGGACGTCAACAAATCTCAATCAGATTCTTCTGTCGGATTCAGACACAGTACGTGATTTTGCCCCGGAAGATGACGAATACGAGGATGCGAATGAAGGACAGTATTTGTTTACGGATAATGAAGAGGAAGATGGTTTACAGAGTAGGGCCCGATCTGCGGAACGGGCATCATTGAACAATGCGGCGGACAGGTCCCGCAGTCATAGCAGGAACCCATTGAACGGAGTCATCAACCACGAAAGCTATGGCCACTCTGTTCTCGACAACATTGACATGCTTCCGCATGCCAAAACTTCACCGTTGTCGATTGATATCTATGTTACGAAAAACGTACCAGTGCCTAATGCAACTAACGAGCTCGAAATCAAGCTCAAAGAATATTCATGTGGAGATAGGGTCAACGGTTACGTGGTGATTACGAATCATCTGGATAAAGACGTAGATTTCGGTCTTTTTACTGTGAGTTTGGAAGGAACCGTGAAAGCCGTTGATTCGAATTCCAATTCCAAGACAGCACCAAAGAAAAGCAAGGTTCTCCTCAAGAAATTCCTAAAAATGTATGATTTGAGTGCCAGTTACAACGATGCGGTTATTCCGAGCAGCGCAGGAATCGAGTATGCGCCTTACTCTGTTGATACTGTTGATGGATGTATCATGGGCTTGCCTGACAGCAGAATATTGAAGTGTAACACCAAATATAAGAAATTCATCACGTTCAAATTTCCTGAAATGCTTTTGGATAATGCTTGTCCCCATACTGTTATGAGGCATACCATGCCACCTCCTTCTTTCGGCATCGATGGCTTGGCCTTCAATGGAAAAGCAGGTCTTGTTGAAGTGAACAAAGCTCTTGGATACGGGTTTCTCAATGTCAGGGGAGGGCCTGTGAAGGTTCGTGATTATGCTTTTGATGACCTCAGTGTGTCATACACGATCGAAGCTAAGTTCATTGATAAGCGGCATGAACCGAATCAAAACAAACCAGTCTTCCCGCATGATATCAATGACCCTAACAACGACTCCAAGTATATTATTTCGAAAAGTGCGCAGTATTTTTTGAGATTTATCCCCGATATAAGAACTCAAACGGAAAATTACAGTCGAACTTACAAATTGTTCGGTCAAGATACGTTTGAATCCATTGGTATTGACGGCATGCTTTACAATAATTTAACACTGGGATCTACATGGAAGTTCATCAGGCATATGAATCTCTCGATCCTCCTGGAAATCGAAACTGCGCTCGACAAATTAGAGTTCTCTAATGATGAATTGAAGAGAAAGCACTTGCGCATTGGCGAATCTGCACCTTTAGCATTGGAAGAGGAATCATTGATACGGCCGACTCAACTGAAGTTGCAAGTTCAGAATCCAGATAGTGATCGACTTCAATACTATCATGAACGAAGAATGATTTGTAATCGTGTTCCAGTGGAAATCTATGGCAAGAGAAAAAAGAGGCTTTTGCTGACGTCAGTTAAAACCGGATTTATGACTGTCTATGTCAAAGTTCCAAGTAAGTTAATCTCCTATACTTCTCCTCGTTTGTTACAGAAGTATAACAATGGATCGGAAATGTCCTTAACCCCTGTCACCTCCAAAGAAGGTTTCATTCCATTGCATACTTCTTTGAGTAATATGGAAGAACTTTACAATAGAGATGACGAGAGCGTGTTGAAGAGTGTGGACATCGAACTCATTTTCGATAATATCGAAGACACGGTCAAACCTCCATCAATTTCACTGGTTGAATTCAATATTGTGGCTTGGTCATATAGAACGGATTATCCTATCCCTGTTTCGTTCGAGCATGACTTCTTCTACACCAAACCTTTTGATCCTACTGTGATCGTTAGAGACGATGATGTCGATACAACGAAAAATAATCTTCAGGAGTTGAAGGACACTGTCAACCAGCACATTTCTTTCTTGAAGGAAACTAAAACGTACATTTCGCAGAACACGTATTCCTATTTGAAAGGTATTAGCCAGTTGGGAATCAAGAAAGACACCATTAAAGACTACTTTCAGTCATTATCGCTACAATCCAACCCATGGTTAGAAAGCGAAGGATCTTGGGAAGCACATCAGCTTAGCACCAAAAACTTAAGATGGGTGAAAAGGTTAAACGTTCCTTTGAACGTGATCAACAAGAACAATGTGACTTTGGATCCAAGTTTCCAGAGCTGTTTAGTGGGCCGCCTTTATGCACTACAAGTGGTCGTGAAGTTCAAAGGAGCAGAAGATCCAGCGAATATGGTGAAAGTAGATGTTCCTGTTTTGGTAGGCTGATACACTATAATTCATTTATATGCATATACTTCTTAAACAATTAACTTAGGGCCGTTACTCGTAACTTGCTAGCTGGTTTACGTCATGGTTATATACAGTACACGTTGTGACTAAATTTATTTTCAAGCAAACCCGAAGCTATCAAACACAGAAAGGAGTTGTGAATGAACGCATACAATGGATGTCAGCACCGAAATGGTGGAATGTGAATCCATGGCTTTACAGTTCTTGGAGTAAAACTTTTTAAAGGCGAGGAGCTATGATTGGCGTTCGCCACAGGCATTCCCAAATAGGCAATGGACGTCCAATGCCGCGGTGGGTTATCTTGACTCATCAGAAAATTTCATATAGCTTCTTCTTTTTCTTAAACACCCTAGGCAACTTCGCTTTCGTCCCATTTTTTCGAAAGTTTTTAGAGTGACATACTCAAACCATGCTAGGATTTATTGGTAAGAAAATTTCCCCGAACGCCTTGAAGCGGAACTTGGCAACAAGTGCTCCATTTTCCAAAACTTCTCAACTTGACAGAGCCACACTTACCATCAAGAATGGACCCATTTTCGATGGCTACTCTTTCGGGGCGAACAAGAATATCAGTGGTGAAGCCGTTTTCACCACATCTTTGGTGGGATACCCAGAATCTATGACTGATCCCTCCTACAAGGGTCAGATTTTGTGTTTCACCCAGCCATTGATTGGTAACTATGGAGTTCCTTCGTCCACTGCAAGAGATGAGTTCAACTTGCTAAAGTACATGGAGTCGCCTACTGTTCAGTGTATTGGTATTGTCGTCGCTGATGTTGCCTTGGACTACTCCCACTGGACTGCAGTTGAATCCCTTCAACAATGGTGTCAAAGATCAGGAGTAGCTGCCATCTCCGGAGTTGATACCAGACAATTGGTCAGCTACTTAAGAGACAAGGGTTCCTCGTTGGCGAAGATCACCATCGGTGAAGAGTATGATGCTGATGAAGACGCGGCGTTTGAAGATCCAGGTGCGGTTAACTTGGTTCACAAGGTGACGACCAAAGCACCTTTCCACGTTGCGTGCCCTGAGAAATACAACAAGGGCTACCACATTGCAGTTTTGGACTGTGGTGCCAAGGAAAATATCTTGAGATGTCTTGTTCAAAGAGGAGCATCTTTGACTGTTTTCCCATACAATTACCCAATCCACAAGATTGCCAATAAGTTTGATGGTGTCTTTATCTCTAATGGCCCCGGAGACCCAACTCACTGCTCTCAGACTATTGAGAACTTGAAGCAGACAATGAACAAGTACGAGGAATTGCCAATATTCGGAATTTGCTTGGGCCACCAGTTATTAGCATTAGCCAGCGGAGCCAAGACTATTAAGTTGAAGTATGGTAATAGAGCCCACAATATTCCCGCATTGGATGTGTTTTCTGGAAAATGTCATATCACCTCCCAGAATCACGGTTACGCGGTAGATGCTACAACTTTACCTTCTGACTGGTTGCCTTACTTTACGAATTTGAATGACTTGTCCAACGAGGGGATGCAACATAAGTACAAGCCGATTTTCTCCACGCAATTTCATCCTGAGGCCAAGGGAGGTCCATTAGACACTGCCTACTTGTTTGACAAGTTTTTTGACAATATTGAAACTTACAAGAACAACAACGGCTTGAACTTGGGCAATATCAGCGACTCTTTGCTTGTGGATATTTTGCCGAAGGAGAGAGTACATTGATGCTTGTAATTTTGCGTGGAAGCAGAGTAATTAAGACGTATAGATTCATCAAATTTTGTGTTATGGAACGGAACAACTACGCGTAACTCTTTCGTCGTTTATGCTAAAGATGCTGAAAACGATTATCTAAGCGTCTCATCGTCTTGTGAGGCGGAATGCATATTCTTGTATGCACTGTAGGCAATTTCAGTTCTGGTTCAATTGTAACAAACGAGTAAATAAACAATCTGCTCCAATGTCAGTATTCTATGTACAGTGTCCGTATGGTCAGAGGGCTATGCGATAAAAGCCGCACATTTATCCGAATGACATCTGCCTGCCTCATCTGAGGAGTTTGCCGAGCGGTCGTACCGTCGTATCGTTCGCATCAATGCATAAACAAGACTGCATATATTCCACAGAGAACTTACGATTTTTAGGGTGCAAACAGAACATCACGCAACTGACGCGAACGTTAAACGAAAGTACGATGTTGTAGTCCCTATAAATACAGAAAGAGTGCAGTTCGGTCATTTCACAAAGCCATTTCAGGGTTTTTTTATAGACGGCGCATAATGGAGATCTTAAAACAAGCCAGTTCCCTCAATCACGTCTTGGGCAACGAAGCATCGCTCAATCTGACATCATATGTCGGAATCTTCAACCACTTGAAAGATATTGCAACAAACGATGTTTCCTCCAAAGCTGCTAGTCTCAACTTGATTGAAAAAGCTTGGGCTTCGTGGTACCTCTACATAAATAACGATGTTTTGGCCACAGGCCTTCTTTTTTTCGCAGTCCATGAACTCACATACTTCGGAAGATGTTTGCCATGGTACATTATCGACAACATCCCTTACTTCAACAGATGGAAGATTCAACCTGACAAGATTCCTACTAACCAGGAACAATGGGAGTGCTTCAAAGCTGTTTTGAAGTCTCACTTTTTGGTTGAAGCCTTACCCATTTGGTTGTTCCACCCATTGTGCTCGAGTTTGAGTATTTCCGTTGACGTGCCATTTCCCTCACTTAAGATTATGGCAATGCAAGTTGCTGTATTTTTCTTCTGCGAAGATTTGTGGCACTATCTATTCCACAGATTATTCCACTGGGGTTGGTTCTACAAGAACATTCATAAGCAACACCACAAGTATGCCGCACCTTTCGGTTTTGCGGCAGAATACGCCCACCCTGTTGAAGTTATGTCGTTAGGTGTTGGCACTGTCGGATTCCCAATTCTTTATGCATTCTTGGCCAAGACTCACCCACAATGGGAACTTCCAGAATTACATTTGTTCACCATTACATGCTGGATTATTTTGAGATTGTTTCAAGCTGTGGATTCTCACTCGGGATATGATTTCCCTTGGTCATTGAACCGCTTCCTTCCATTCTGGGCCGGCGCCGCACATCACGATAAACATCACCATTACTTTATTGGAAACTACGCAAGCTCGTTTACATGGTTTGATTTCTTCTTGGGTACTGAGTCCGGACCAGATGCCAGGAAGCACCGTGAACGTAAGAGTAAAGAAAGCGCTGAAAGCTTTGCAAAGAAAAATATATAGCTTCATTTCCCTTTCATGCTGAAATATCAAAAATAAAAAACATAAGAATCAACTTAGATGTATTGTATCAAGACGTTGGTTATCTCTGGCTATTCTCTCAAATCGTTGTAAGTTATTAGGGCACATGCCCTATACCCTCATATGAGTAGGCGCACGTGTACACGATCACAGAGTTTATTTGTCCCCGCGACATGTGCGACATTCACGACATTTACAGCAGAATATGGGCTATCCAATGCATATATGCCGGATTCGTGTAAAATTTTTCATGGAGCAGGTGCGACATCCTAGGCCAGCTCGGTTGAGTTAAGAACTTTCTTGTTTTTTCTTCTGTTTGTTCACTTAGTCAACTCAACAACAAAGTATGTAAGAAAGGCCCTCCCATATATCGATATCCTGTTCCCTTCATCATTACCGCAATGAATCTGTCTAAATCCATGAATCCATGAATGCAATATTGGGATTTGTCTTCCCCTTATTCTCTCTTACAGCTTGTCAGAAAAATTTTCGCTGTCCATCAGGAGTTCACTTATAATATTCACCTGCTGTGAGGACTTAGTATTGGGTTACAGGAATCGTATCACTGCGTCATACACTTACTAACTATTTCAGATGTCTAGATTGAACGAATATCAAGTTATTGGTCGTCGTCTCCCAACCGAGGCTGTCCCAGAACCAAAGTTGTTCAGAATGAGAATCTTCGCTCCTAACACTGTTGTTGCCAAGTCTCGTTACTGGTACTTCTTGCAAAAGTTGTACAAGGTCAAGAGAGCTTCCGGTGAGATTGTTTCCATCAACACCATCTCTGAATCTACCCCAACCAAGGTTAAGACTTTCGGTGTCTGGATCAGATACGAATCCAGATCTGGTATCCACAACATGTACAAGGAATACAGAGACGTCACCAGAGTTGGTGCTGTTGAGACTATGTACCAGGACTTGGCTGCTAGACACAGAGCCAGATTTAGAAACATCCACATCTTGAAGGTTGTTGAGTTGGAGAAGACCGAAGACGTCAAGAGACAATACGTCAAGCAATTCTTGGCCAAGAACTTGAAATTCCCATTGCCACACAGAGTCCAAAAGTCGAAGAAGTTGTACCAATTCAACGCTCCAACTACTTTCTACTAAGCGGATTGTGTTCTTGGTTTCTCTTTCATCCAACCACATTTATAATAATACATGTGAAAGTATAATAACTGCCTGTAAACCATATCTCAGTAAAGTATCAGTTTCTATAAGTTTAATATCACACACAATGTTAAGAAAGTTCTGCTACATCTTTTTTGTGCTACATGTACTGGATAAGGGTGCCAATGAGGTGTTTCAAGGTACATACTCCAGCTCACGTACAAGAAAGTAGCTCAATTTCATAAACAGCTAGTTGACACCTCCTGTAACACATTCGATTGTATTTGTCATTGTGAAGTGGTAGAAACTTAGCACTGACCACGAAGATGTATTTCACTTACGAAATGTATGAGGTAGTAGTACAGTTACTGACATTACAACAATCCCCTTCACACATACTGACGAAGGAATACAGTAATGAAAACCATTGCTTGAGATTTTCTTTTTTCATTTTCTTATCTTCTTTGTTTCTTCATTACAGATTTTCTGATTGTGACAGCATCTCTGTTCAAGTCAATATAGTATAATCGTATAGGTTTCATTGCTAAAAATTAACTTCGTCACCAAAAAAAATCCCGAAATACTACGGTTATGCAATTGTTGAAAGTGCTCATAATATAGTTTTGTATGTTTAAGCCAATTGGATTTACAATCAGCTGCAATCAGATCGGCACGACATACCTAGATAGGTACAATAGGTTTTCCTGTATGTTGAGTATCAGTTCTCCTTGACTCATTTCCGTGTCAGGGAACACCATTGACAACTTCTCACAATGAGTTACGGACCTAAAGCAGCTGAAAGATTAGCAGGAAAGACAGTATTGGTTACTGGCGCTTCTGCTGGAATTGGTGAAGCCACTGTTAAAGAATTGGCTGAAGCCGCCAATGGAAACATCAAATTCATTTTGACAGCTAGAAGATTAGAAAGATTGAAGAGCTTAGAAGATGAATTGAAGAAAAAATTTCCCAACATAAAGGTCCTCTCTGTGCAATTTGACGTCTCTAAAACTGATGAGATTAAATCTTTTGTCAAAAGTATCCCTGCTGAATTTGCGGATATTGATGTACTTTTCAATAATGCAGGGAAAGCTTTGGGCCGGGACGAAGTGGGAAAAATAGAAGATTCAGATATCAGAGAAATGTTTGAAACCAACGTTTTAGCACTTATCATGTTGACTCAAGAGATCTTGCCAATCTTCAAAGCAAAGAACTCTGGTGATATTGTTAACATGGGATCTATTGCGGGAAGAGACCCTTACCCTGGAGGAGGCATTTACTGTCCTACAAAAGCTGCTGTTAAGTCTTTCTCGCATGCATTGCGCAAGGAGTTAATCAGCACAAAAATTAGAGTGATTGAGGTTGACCCTGGTAATGTTGAGACCGAATTTTCGCAAGTGAGATTTAAGGGAGATGTGGAGAAGGCAAAGGCCGTGTACGCTGGAACTGAACCCTTAACTGGAGCTGATATCGCTGAGGTCGTTGTTTTTGCTTTGACTAGAAAACAAAATACGGTTATTGCAGAAACATTAGTGTTCCCTAACCATCAGGCGTCGTCCTCTCACTTCTATCGTGGTACATAGGTGGGAGTGTGTACAGATATCTCAAAGTAGAAAAATATATGTTTAGATCCCAAAGCCATGAGCGATTTGTCCCAAATTAATCCGGACTGGCATTCAGTGTCTATAGAGTTATTGAAGAATCCATTTGATCTAGACCTATGGCAACAGTTGGTTCACTGTGCGACTTACAGCAATGGCGTGGTCCTTGATAAAACTGCTAGCGACGCACAAGTGCATCTCTTACGGGTGTCCTTTGATTCTCTCCTTCATCAATATCCGTTATTATCCAAATATTGGACAGCATACGCCGAATGGGAATTCAAGCTCGGCTTTATTGAAAGAGCTAATACTGTTTATCTAAAGGGTTTAACTTATGTTGGATTTGATTTAAGCTACTGGCTTGATTACTTAAGATTCAAACTTCGAGTCATAGGTGATGATACTCAAGAAGTTCTAGAACTCTTCGAGGAAGCTAGGCTCAGAATAGGGTTCAACTTCCATGCTTCAGACTTTTACTTACTTTATCTTTCTTTTTTGCGATCATATGCTACAAAAGACAATGGTTACTATGAAAAGTCAATATGGCTCATTCGAAGTACGGTTGAAATACCTTTGTACAATTACAGTCTCCTATTCAGGGAGATGATGGAAGTCATCAATCCTAAATCACTAACGTTCAACAATTTACATCTTTTGATACCTGATTCACAGTTAAAGACTTGGAAGACGCAAACGAAGAATAATTTGTCTACTATCTCTAAGAGACTTGAAAAGACTTTTACTGATGCATATGTCGTCAATCAGTACAAGAGCTATCAAATCTATTCGTTCGAAAAGAATATCGTTTCTGCGCTCTATTACGACAATCATGTCCTAAGCACTAATCAGATAGAAAGCTGGAAGCAGTATCTTGATTTTGCTGAACAGAATCATACCTTTTCGTATGTTTGTCAGCTCTATGAAAGATCATTGGTTTCGACAGCAAAATATTGTACAATAGTACTCAAATTTGTGGATTATTTAGTCCTGCAAAAGAAGTTTAGCATGTGTCGGCAGATATTGCGGAAGTTCATATCCGTTAATCCAAGTCGAAATGATGTGAAATTGCTCATTCGTCTAGTTGATTTAGAGGTGTATTTGGGCTATTTCGAAAGAGCAAGAGATATTGTTGTGAATTATTTGGCCTTGAATAAAACTGCCCCTAATTGCATCTATTCAAAATTGTTCGAAGTGGAGTCCATGTTTCATTTTGAAGGTGATGATGAGTATTTAAGTGGTTTGGCCTTGCAAATCATAAGGCAGACAAAATCTCTTGATGTTTTAAGCAGAATATCTACACGCATGTCTGAATCCATGTTGGCACGTTTGTTAAGTTGCCTCAATGCAGAGTATGATGAATTAGATTCCGAAATGAAGCGTTTACCTATGTTCAGCAAGGAAAGACTTTCAATAATTAGACTGGCATATCCTAATCAGAAGAAATTGGAAGATTAGTTCTGGATTCATATTTGAAATAAATAATTCTAAGAAGTCTTTGACTTCATTTCAATAACTAAACAAAGACCGTTTGTTATAAACCAAAATACCATTGCGAACGCACCAATGCGTCGATCAAATCTCCAATTGTTAGCTGGGATATAAATTAGATAAATCCCTAGCATCACCATCAACATTGTGGCGCTTGCATAAATTTCATGATCAAGCGTAAACTTCAAGCTCCTTTCTAATAATGGAACTCCATCCCTATTGTTTTGAAGCATGCATAAAATCCCATTGAAACCAATTCCGATTGAAAAGATCAATATACAAGTACCCAACGATGATTTGACACCCAATGAGGGTTGAACATTTTGGGACATCAGAACATTCATTACAATGTCATTGATTGAGTTCACCACGGAAAAAACAAACAATCCCATAGAATATTCAGACACATTCCATATGATCGCCAAATTCTTCAAGATTTGAAGAGCAATTTTGGTTAAATTTGATATGATCAAGAATGAATTCAACACGCATATCACATCTAGTATTAGACATATGACTGTACCACTGCAAGAACAGCGGAGCACTTCTTCGAAACAGAATGCAAAAAATAATAACGGTGCAATCCATAGAGTTATGGTTCCGTTAAACCAGAAGTATATCAAGGATGTTGTAACACCCGTTAGCCAAAACCGGAACAAGAACGTACGGTGAATCAACCTCTTGATATAACTCATATGGTTACTGACGATGATTGTTTCTGATATAGGGATGAATAGGAAAATCGCATGGTCAAAAAGGATATTAATCACTTCCCAGACATCAAACTTTTCTTCCTGTTCCACAACGCTCTTCAATGATGCGCTATCCATAATATTATCATTTCCTTGCTCTAGCAAGTTTGTAGACAGAGAGATTGGGAATATGGTCGTATCTGCGATAGCATTTTCTATAGCAGAGAGATCATCCTCCTGCGCGACATCTTCTTTGTGAGACCAAACCATATAGCAAATGAAAAAAATCGTCAAGCCGATGCATTCCTTCATAGTCACTTTGCCATCCTCTAGAATGATAATCAGGAAGCTAAATACTCCAAGATCCCATAAAAATGTAGTGTAATCCCTAGTGCGATTGTCAGTTCGAAATGGATATAGCCAACAGATTAAACCAATGATTAGTGTAAAGTTGATTAAGCTTGCGCCGACTATTTGACCTAAAACAAGATCGGTTGAATCACTCTTCATTGCAGTGTAAAAGTTGATTAAATCTGGCAAAGAATTGGTTAACGGGAGGATTATAAGGCCAAGTGTATTATTATTAGAGCCTATCATTTCCGAAAAGTTCACAACACAAAACACAAGATAATTAGATATTATTGTGCTTAGTATCTTTGTAAGGATACCTATTAGGATAACCAATCCAGTGGATATCAAAATTGTTAGTGTGGTTGATGGATAAAATTTGGAGCAATAGTACAGTTGCGCATAGCGAAAGTAATTTGGATTGCAAAATAACTCTATGTGTTCACAATAACTTATGTTTTTAACACCATCGATGATGCATTTCTGACTATTAGGCTCCTCTAGCATAAGGAGCGGCAACATCAAACGTGCCAGATGGAAGGGTAGTTATCTTCAAGTTCGTCATTCACTTTTTTGAATGTGGGGATTGGTTATACGCAGGAACCAAGAACATGGCTGAGCCTAGTCACAATGGGCAAAGCAATGATTTATCATAACCAGGCTTCTGAAGTGTTTCCTGGGCAATTTTGATGTCTGTGTGAATATCATCTATTAAAGCCTCTAAACGATTGTTAGTAAGAGCTATTATTTCTCAATTAGAAAGTCATAACATACCTTTTGTAGTATAGTTCAATTCCGGACGTATGTAACCCAATATTACAAACCTGATATTAGCTCCATAAAAGTTGTCCGAAAACTGATGCATTATGTGTACCTCGGCAGCCTTTTGATCGTTCTTATAAAAAGGATTCCAACCCAAAGACATCACCATTGGTAAAACTGTAGAGTCTCTATCATGTAACTTATGCCCATAATTGAAATGAATCTCCTTCCCTACTTCACTTTTGATGTATTCACTTTCTTTTCCTGTTTCGGGAGTTAGTTGGCACCAGCCAAAGTATATGCCAGTATCTAATTTATTTAAGGCCTCTTCGACTGGAACATTGGCAGTTGGAATTCCTAATTCCGACGAACCCCTTCCAAAACCACAAATCACTTTAGAAGAGCAAAGTATTGGAAAGGGAGTACAAGGTTTTTCAGGTATTACTGCCTCGGGTCTCATAGGGAATGAAGAATTAGATCAAGTAAACGTTTGTGACAGGTCTTTTTTTCCGCATGTGCGTGTACTTACGCATATTCACGCATATTCAGAAAAATAGCTAGATTCAGTCAAACATTAGTAATATTGACCATCTGCACGCATTGGAAAAATAGGACATACTCCCATACAAACAAACTTTCCATGTTACTATCATATTGTGTTAAAGGCACTACTTAAAATCTGCTTTCCAATTGAGAAAGCAAGGACTCAGTATCCTTAGCAAAGCCACGAATACCTTGAGACAATTTCTCAGTTGCCATAGCATCCTCATTCAACAAGAATCTGAACTTTGGTTCATCATGGATGTAGGAAACCTTTTCAAGATCCTCAGATTGAGCAGCTTTAGAGTCCAAAATCTTAGGGACAGGCTCGGAAGAGTTCATCAATTCCTCCAACAACTTTGGAGAAACAGTTAAGTAGTCGCAACCGGCCAAAGCCTTGATTTCACCAGTGTTTCTGAACGAAGCACCCATAACAATGGTCTTGTAATCGTACTTCTTGTAGTAGTTGAAAATGTTTCTAACCGACAAAACACCTGGATCGCTCTCAGCATCGTACTCTTTACCAGTAGAAGCCTTGTACCAGTCCAAAATTCTTCCAACAAATGGAGAGATCAACGTCACATTAGCCTCAGCACAAGCAACGGCTTGGGTGAAAGAGAACAACAATGTCAAGTTACAACTGATCTTATGCTTCTCTTCCAATTCCTTGGCAGCTTGAATGCCCTCCCAGGTAGAAGCGATCTTAATCAAGACTCTTTCCTTAGAGATTCCAATCGACTTATACAAGTCGATGATTTCAATTGCTTTCTTGATGGTTCCTTCCTTGTCGAAAGACAATCTGGCATCAACTTCAGTAGAAACTCTACCTGGAACAATAGCCAAGATTTCTTTTCCGAACTCAACTAACAATCTGTCCATGGCAATTACGGCCTTTTCTTTTGGGTTTGAGCCTTTGTCATCAGCATATTTGATGGCAATGTCAATCAACTTCGAGTATTCTGGTTTCTTGGAAGCAGCCAAAATCAAAGAAGGATTGGTGGTCGCATCTTGAGGGGTGTACTTAGCAATTGACTCAAATTCACCAGTATCGGTGACGATAACTGTGCCTGTAGCTTTCAATTGTTCCAATGAGTTCGACATTTGCTGAGAATGAGTTTTTTTTCCGAACAGACCCCGCGATCGGCGGGCACTTTATTTATATCTCATTTTTCGGACGGGTAATAGGCGCACGCAGTCACGGGAACTTGCATTACTAATTTTATGAAAGCTGGAATCACTACGCTGCTAGACCCCCGAAAACATCACTATACCAGACAAATGTATACACAGATATAAAAGAAACAAGCTGTAAAGGACATTTCGTAGCAATTGTGAAAGTAATTTAATGCAATTTGCTGTCTTTTACACAAGAAGCTAAGGGTACAGGAAATCCTTGTATAGAACTGGGTACCGTTACATTGCTGCCGAATTCGGTTTTGCCTTCAAGTATAGACCGAAACTTACATTATACGTAATTTTACGTTCTAATTGTTTTCAGATAGATTAACCTCGTTGCTAGTTAACATTCAGTGAGTGGCATAGATCAAACGGATGTTTTTTCTAGTACTTGAGACTAGAAATACGAAACACGACGTCAGGCAAGTCACACATTCCCAATCCCTTTGTCACTAAAGTCACTGATGTCTAGGGCACAATACTGACATTTGAAGACCAGAAATTAGTTAATCGCAATCATGTACTGCACATCACATAAGGACAGGTAATCAAGCAACCTCTTACGCGGGGCCATTTTATAACTTAGATGACAAAAAGACTTTTGATCCAAGCCTCCTCGTCTTACGACGGAGAGTTTCAAACCGTTCCAGTGAACTCTGGAAAGTTTACCAATGTTGATACTGCGATCGGCCGCTTCGAAGTAGCTGTTTTTATTTGCAACTTTGATGGTTGCTCAGCACATAGAGATAACAGCTTTTACAACTATGGTGACGAGACAAACCTCACCGTGGAGCATCCATCCAAGGGAGAGAAGCACAAAACTATGCCTAATTTGCGGATCATTATCAAATTTGTGCCCTCCAGAGTAATCGGTGGTTCTGAGTTGCTATTCGGAAATGATTTAACAACACAGGTACGCAAGTACGTACCTACTTCATTACTATCTACAGGGCTCAAATTCTTCAAGTGGTTCATAAATCCTACTGTTGAAAGCGATCTTTATTGCGATTGTCCTTACATTTACAGTCCTGCATTAAATGGGTTTTCTGGGTTAGGTGTTGTGGAGGAATCAGAAAGTGTGGATTCGAGAACCGACACAACCATTTCAGGATTGGAGAATTTAACTCACTTTGCACATCCAGATGAAATCATCCCCAAAAAATCTAAGGACAGATTAAAGTACTTTTGTAAAACACTGAGGTGTGATAAGTTTGATTTTGAACCTGATAAGACATATATATGCGTCTTTGACACAAACTTCTTACGAATGGGAGACTCAAAGTATCATGTTGCTATACCTACTTTTGGCTCAAAGACTTTTGACATCGATGTGCTTCAATACGCGAATGAAGATCTAAACAATTTCAATTGGGTTGTAAAGGCAGGAGGGGAGCATGGGGTTAACGAGGGTGATTTAGGACTAGTGTTGAATTTTAAATTGATTCAAGAAGAGTAAGTATGCATCTTTTAAATAATATTAACAGTAATAAGATCTTCGTGCAATTTCGTTTATAGTACTATTTTTCATTTAACTCATTGTAATATCAGAACTGCCAATTGCAGCCATTATTCTACACAAACGGTTTGAACCAAATAGTTCAAGAACGTCTAAATTTAAAAAAGACACTATTGCGACTCAATCATACTTTTAGTGATTTCAAGGGTAATATGATATAACCTAAATTCTTTTACTGTCAGTCTCTTTTGAACACTATTCATTTTATTATCTTGGTCTTACTGTACCCACCCCGGCTCGAAATCGTATGGACCTAAATATTTGAAACACATCAAGAACAGACATAGATTCCTACGGAACTGTTCTTTTCTAACTAAATCCTTCAGTTCTTTCTGACTCGGAAATCTGCTTTTTGAATTTGGTTTCAAGTTTGAACTCATTCAAGAAGAAAAAAGCGGTGACAAAGAGCCATTGGCTATATGAGAGATTAAATGATACATTCTCCTCTCGAATTATTAACTTCAACAACTAGTCAAACCTCTCATGATTTCACATGTTAAAAACTACACATTTGATGTAAAAAAATGGGGGAAATCTAATTACCAGAGTATAAACTTTATATCCTATAATTGAAAGAAAATTATTATTGAGAATATACCTTACTAATAAATAAAATAAATAAAATAAATATACACACTATGGACAGCAACATTTATAACCACTTATAGTTCAATAAATACATCGGAACAACAATGTAGTCAAAATGCATATTCATTTTCTTCATAAAATGAACAAAACATTAGCAGCAACATAAAGATATATCAAACCGATTACCCAAATAAACTAAATGCTAATTCCAAAATCAATAATCCAGATTAAAGGTTTATTAAGATACGTGAGAAAACAATATCAATCAGTCTATGACTTATTAAAATACTTCTATAATTTTTCGAACAAAATATATGGCTGTGGAAAATGAGAAAAACATACATAATAAACGTACATAATATGAGTCTAACCAAAATTGAAATTGATAGATTCATCAACCATTTACAAATATCCTTACTAAAATGAAGAAAACATTGTAGTCTTGAACCATTCAATTAAACACCACACAAAATAAAGATACAGAGTTCTAATCCGTTTAAAGAACATAAGTTATATACTGATCTAACATTTTCTTCAAACAATTAGACAAAGTCACGATTAGATTATTCTATTTTATTTTTTTAATTTCCATATATTTTGCTTCTTAACAGCTGTAAATTGTGGCATTTCACTATTCACAATCATAGTATTCATCCAACTCCCTCTCATTATTTGAACTATAATCATGTACCTTGTACCATTTGTGATTAAAAATTGATTAGTCGGCTTGGAAAGAACAAAAGGAAGTCTTATTCAACAAGATCTACTTACAGTATTAACAATTTGTTAACAATCACAAATTCACTTTATGTATCAGAACTACTATTAGAATTCATAAGAAAATTTGCAACCTCTAAAGGTTTCTGAAGTGTTTGGAATAATTAATATTTTTAGGTTGAAATCCTTCTTAAAACTTCAGGTACGTACATACGTACTAATAAATAAAATTTGAATCTCATTATCAGGTTGATTTAATATCGCTTTGGTACCTATATTCCCATATGTTATAAACTAAAATAAGATCCTAAAAAATTCACGTATGTTTCCGTGCCGAACACGATTCAGAATGTTTTTATAAGGACACCTCTTCTCAGACTCTAGAAGTGTGAGAACTATATTTCATCCTGTCAATATAGTGAATTCGAGTTACAGGTGAGCATCTGCTTATAGTAAGGATAACATTCGTTTTATTAAGAGTAGATAAACGACATCATAGCATAAATATATCTTTGGCAGCAGGTTATATTCGTCGCTTTAATTCTCATGATGAATAAATTCGAGTTCACTGCTTTTGAAAATGAGGAGAGTTTTTTTATTAAGCTGCAACTTATAAAATTTTACTGTACCATTGTTGTTTACTCTTTGAGTTATGTTTTAAATCTCATGCCTGGAAAATTAAATTTCCCCATGTCTTTGCATAACTGTGTATTTATCTTAAATACTTCATATATATGTACATATAACTTCAATAAATTTTCTTTTCGAGCATTTTCATACTGAACTTTCAATTACAGACAATAATATATAATTCATTTATACTTTCAAGTTGGATATTGATGTATTATTTCGTCTAATTCGTTTCAATAGACGATATGTATTTTGCAATTGATATTAGTATACGTTGTGTGAATAAAGTTAATGACAAATTTTTCTTCATATCAAGACTTAGGGTATGTAAAATTCTAAATCCTATGCGTGTTAATATTTCTAAAGGTAATGAAGTTGAAAACAATAGTTTTACAATTCAAAGGCGAAACGGTTTCTTCTTTTTAAACAACTATCGGAGATTACCAGCGTGTATGAATAATGGCTGAAATGATCAATACTTGGAGACTGCTCTTGAGTTCGTTAATTTCTTTTCATTTGTATGCCTTAAATTGAAGCTGTTCGTTCTTCACTTTTACAATTTACTGATTGTTGTTATGGTAAGGATGTTTATTTATCTGTATTTATTTATTGTATTTAAGAATCGTAATTAATTTCGGCCAGCTGTACAAATTGAGTGTGTTGAAAATTATCTACTGCTAATAAATTCTTGATTGGCATTAATGTAATAATAATAATAATAATAATAATAATCTTCTTAACGAATTGAAATCATATTTAAGTTGAGCGAAATAATTGCTGGATATATGTTCTTGTATTTAGTTTACGGGAAGAGATATGGTTTTTTGCAGCATTTGGATAAGTTTCTATTTTCATTCTTTTTAATTAAATGAGAATGATATTAATTGAGGCTTCGTACTCAAGTCCAAGTAAGTATGATTTTATAAATGGAAGCAACTACAGCGTTTGAAACCAATTATTTTGACTTCAATAATCATATTGGAAATTGTTTTGCTAATTACTATATGTTTTTGCTTGATTTCTTTGTACACTTCATAGGTTGATACGTGTACTGTAACATGCTTCTCTGAAGGTAGTGGCCAAAGTTATACAGATCTTGAAAGGTGTTTAGCATTATACTTCTTGTGATGAAAATAGTATGGAGATCGTGTTTGATACAGAATATCAACCTAAAGTGAATCATTAAGGTCTTCTGGTCTGACCAGTTTTCCATTTCGGGTGAACCTTCTACGTAGGTCAATTTTAATAAAGTTGGCTCCTCTGTGATGGGTTGTCATTTATTGGATGGCTACTGGTGTCTTCTCCTCCTCTCGTCTATGTCATGATTGGTTAGTATCATACATGCGCATATTAGAACAATATCTTCGAACCTAACAGCGTTATTCGAATCAAAATCGCAATCTGTGGAAAGGACAGAGAATGAAGAGTTCTTATGGTCGTTTCCAAACCGTGGCAGATGGTCGTTGACAAATTTTCCGCATTCAAACTGGGAGGTAAATTCAGTAGTGGACTTGAAGGAAACAGGAGCGAGAACATTTTTTATCAGATTTCCCAAGAGCTTGTTTCTTTTATTCACTTTCTTATCTGAAGTTAAATCATCAGTAAGACTTACTTTATCAGGAGGAAGTAAATACAAATCGCTCATGAAGTACCCTGTAGACATAAAGTAAGATCTGTCTCGAACAAATCGATATCTTTTGTCCCCGACTGCGATATCTGCGATCGGAAATCTAGAGTGTAATATCATTATTATTTCAGTGGAATTATCGAACTTTAGTGAGAATCGTATGTAACTCGGGAAAGTCCTCTTGTAAACAACAGTAAAAATTGAGTTATCCACTTTATCATAGAGTCTATCCCGTGATTCTGGTGATGGTAGGCACTTATAAATCTTCATATACTTAGTATCACCAAGTCCAAGTTCGTGTACACGCTTCAGCACTAGTAGAGGTAATCCTTTCGATTGATTTTGTAGCTCTTTTGCTCTAAAGAAGTTTTGTTGTTGAGGAGATAAGCCTTTGAAGTGCTTAAACATATCAAGACTTGCTTTAGATGCAAATGCTTTCAAGTTTGAAGAGAAGGATTTTGTAATGATGAACTCACGCATGCATAATTGTGGAGAAGGACCAATGTACATGCCTGATTCCCTAACAAAACTCGAGCTATTTTTCTTCATCTGTACTTTAGTTATACTTCAATTTGACATAAGCAATGAATTTATATTAGCGATTCTCGGGCGGAGCAGAAGAGTGTGATAGTGATGGTACACAGATTTGTCTAAGAGGCGGAGCAAGTACTGCTGACCTGGGTTAGTAGTGCACAATGTTGATAAGGCATCACGTACATTTGGAGAAGCTTCAAATCCACGTCATAAAACTGCATCCTCATTGTAATCTAATTGACTTCAAGTGTGAAATGTCGGGACGAATGGTACAAAATCGTATATATTGCGGCCTTTGGTTATTCATAAGTCTTCGTATGATATTCTTTTGGGATCACTGAAGCTCTATCATCTGTATAAGGTGAGTGGTCGTGCATTTAAATATCACACTAATGTATTTAAATGTCATGAAATGAGCTGTAGTTGAACTAATCGTGTATTTGGGGGTAGGTAATTAAATGGGCAACACATGAATATTTTAACTCTGTTTTTAGTAAACATATATTGCAAGTTGTGTACTTTCTGATGTTCTCACGCATTTTTTTTGGAAAAGTATAGATTGACCATATTGTGTTCAAAGCTCAAATTTTGGTTAGATATTCTAGCATAAAACTTGCATAGTTATCTATTCCCAATTCTTCTGACAGCAACTTAATATTGTTACTGTAACAACTATCGCCCTAGTGTTGTAGGTTGAATCAACCTCGAACAGACGAGAGTTTATTTAAGTCTGCTTGCGGCTACGAACCGAAGCAAGTTACGGAGAAGAAACATCAACTCGACAGTACATGGATTAATTCCTTTACAACGTAATGGACTATATCCGCGATAAAGTCTGTTAAACAATTCTCATACTAAAATTGGGGACAACTGGTCCCAGTGAACGACGGCTGTAGTGCACACATCCATTCTACATTAAGAATATCATCTTTTTCAATTCGTTAAAAAAACTTTACCAGTTGTCCGAACGTTGTCTTAATTCAGTGTAAAAGTTCAGGTCATAATCATGAGAGACATCAAGTCGTAGAAGCACAAAGAGCAGCACCTACTCCACTTCCATCTTTAGCAATACTCAAATGCAACTTTTTGGACAGTCCTTTCAAAGGATTGATGAGATTGAAGGCTTCCAAAATTTTTGCACGGAAACCAGGATAAAACTCAACAATTGATCCATCGCAGCCAACTTCGAAGTCCTTATCATCATGTTCATATTGATCTTTAACTCTCAAAGTAATTGCTGCAATAGGAATGGCAGAGAGATATGCAGCCCTGTTGGATATAGCCTGAGTCAATTCTTGAATTATTTGCCTTTCTTCCTTAGTGGTGGGTAATCTCAAATGGTTCTCTAGAATAAGTTCAGACATCTTAAGATCAGTCGAATCATCAATTTGCAAGTATGACAAAACCTCTGACGAAAGCAAAAAAGGTTCGGTTAACCTATGTGGAAGAGTATTATTTCTTGCCTTGTATAGGTCGGTAAAGATTAGCCCTTGGTCAAACAAATCCATAAGTGTGACTCTCAACAACTCACCTAAGAACATTCCGCTGATTCGTTTTTCAAATAGATGATAGCCAACATTGGATGTCTCGCGATCAACAATATCATCATACTTTGTACGAGGCAAAACCTCCAACGAGTTATCGAATGAGCCCCATTCCGTATTAATCACCATTCCCTGAGTCCCTTTTGGCAAGACAGTGCCACCAAGCTTAGGAATCATTGAAAGCTTTTCAAAGTAAGCCCCATTTGTACCGGTTCCAAAGATACAGCCAATAATTGTGTGCGAATTACTCTTCTCTGAATCATTTGAGTAGGATCTCGACAATAAAGTTCCAACAGTATCATTTGCTAGCGCAACTATGTTTACAGGAACACTTTGCATATCAAGATGCTTTTGGAAGAACTCTACAACATCCCGGCCCACACAATCCGGTAAATTGAAACCTTTTGTCCACCGAATTAAGCTTCCACGGTCAAGAGCAGTTTGCTCAACAGGAAATGAGAACGTAAATCCCAATTTCAATTTGGTTGATTCGTCCAAATCATCATGGTGCTCTTCCAAAAAGTTTTTAACTTTCAAGGCCAAAAAAGAGAAGAGGGCGTCCGAACTTGATCCTTGCATCAATTCCAAAGGAATAGGAAACTTCGATTGCTTCAAGTCGAAAGTGTGATCACCCTTCAAATTAATTGAACACACACGGAAATTTGTACCACCTAAATCAGCTGCAAGGTAAAGCCCTTTTTCTTTACCAGTTGGAATTGAAGTCACATAAGTTGGAATCATAGGCATAAACGATCTTGTTGGTGTGCCGTTAGCCAACCCCGCATCCATTGAAACTAGGAAATGTTTCGTGGCCTTGCGGAGGAACGCTTCATCAACCTCGAATTCCTTTGTAATTTTATCTAAAGCGGACTTTAATTCAGCATTCATTTTAAAATGATCTTAGTGAAAAAGAATTTGCGAATGCCGAATTTTATACAAGGGCTACCCCGTGTCACCAGATTTCCTGCCCATGGAAACGTACCATAAGCGCTCGAGGCATGATTATGACACGTGATCACCCTGATTGCTTCTCGACGACATCATTCACCACACGTATAATCAACTTCCAATGGTATCGGAAATCCACAAAAAACAGGCGTTGGACTTGATTAATAGCCACAGATTCTTTATGTTATCAAAATCATGGTGTCCCGATTGTCATTATGTTTATAAAGTATGGGACACTTATGGAGTCAAAAGTAAAGTCTACATTCTTGAATTAGACAAAATGGATGATCAAACTGAAGCCCAAAAGTTGGAAGAAGCTTTTACAGAAATTTCCGGAAGGAAATGGGTTCCTACAATCTTTTTTAACGGAAAAAAATTCGGCACTGAGCAAGATTTGAAAGCATTAGATAAAGACGGCAAATTGGAAGATCAATTCAAAGCTGTAGGATTGTTAGACTAAAATGAGATAGGTGTATTTCAATTATGATACAAAGCAACTAAAAATGATTTTTAAGTAGACAATGGGAATTCGCCAGCCCATTGAGAGATTTCGGCCTTAACAGCGTCCAATTTGGCATCTTCGCCTTCCAAGACCTTCTTCTTGAAGTCCTTCAACTTGTTAGCTTCCTTAGGAAGGCTTGCTTGGATTTCCTTAGCGTAGTTAACTGCAAAATCAATGTATCCAACAATTTTCTTGAAGTCTTCTTCGCCCAAACCTCTGGTGGTCATAGCAGGAGCACCAATTCTGACACCACCTGGCACCAAAGCAGACTTATCACCAGGAATGGAGTTCTTGTTCAATGCAATGTTGATTCTTTCACAGATGGTCTCAACTCTGGCACCATCAATGTTCTTGTCTCTCAAGGAAACCAAGACCATGTGAGAATCAGTACCGTTAGAAACCAAATTGTATCCCTTATTAAGGAATTCATGCTCCAAAACCTTCGCATTCTTCAAAACTTGCTCCTGGTATTGCTTGAATTCAGGTGTAGCAGCTTGCTTCAAAGCAGTAGCCAATGCAGCAATTGTGTGGTTGTGTGGACCACCTTGGTGGCCTGGGAAAACAGAAAAGTTGATTGGGTTCTCCAAGTCATACAAAATTTCTTGACCAGTCTTTGGGTTAATGGATCTGACACCTCTTCTGAAGAAGATCATGGCACCTCTTGGTCCTCTCAAAGATTTGTGAGTGGTGGTAGTGACAATGTCAGCATATTCGAATGGAGAAGGAATGACACCTGCAGCAACCAAACCAGAAATGTGGGCCATGTCTACGACCAAGTAGGCACCAACTTTGTCTGCAATCTCGCGCATTCTCTTGTAGTCAATCAAACGACAGTAAGCAGAAGTACCGGCAACCAAGACCTTTGGTCTGTACAACACAGCGGTCTTTTCCAACATATCATAGTCAATCAAGCCAGTTTCCAAATTAACTCTGTAGGGCATAGTTTCGAAGTAGGTGGAAACGGCCGAAATCTTTCTAGAGTCAGTTTGGTAACCGTGAGACAAGTGACCACCATGAGGCAAGTCCAAACCCATCAATCTTTCATGAGGCTTCATGATGGCCTGGTAGACTTGCAAGTTAGCAGGAGAACCAGACAATGTTTGGACGTTGACACCCCATTTATCAGGAGTAACGTGGAAAGCCTCCAAGGCCCTTTCCTGGCACAAAAGTTCCATCTTGTCAATTTGTTCATTACCACCGTAGTATCTAGCACCTGGGTAACCCTCGGAATATTTGTTACACATTGGAGTTCCCAAAGCATCGAAAACAGCCTTGGTGGTGAAATTTTCACTGGCAATCAACACAATCGAATGCTTTTGTCTGTCAACTTCAGCTTTGATAATAGCATCAACCTCTGGGTCGGTGTCAGCCAAACGGCCCTCCACCATTTGCTTGTGAGATTCAGACAAAGAGTAAGGCATTTTGTTATCGAAAATTGGTAATGTAGAATAAAGAAAACTCTATACGGTAGATTAATTCGTCCGGGCAGCGGGGGCGCCTTATAAGTGAGCAAACGCAGGATGACTCTGACGGCGCATCGGAGTCAATGCAGGCACTAATTTTTTTTTCGCCCAGCTGCGCGCAGGCAATTTACTTTGCAATTCGATCGGTGTCAGATTAATTAATGTACAGAAATACACTGTACAGAAATACACTATACAGAAATAAACACAATACTAAAAGAAGTCATCGTGATAGATTTGTCGTCTAGACTGACACATGGATATATTTGTTAATTTATAATGCATGAACCGGTACTGTCTCCGATTTGAGAGTATGAAAGGACGTTTGTGGGGCCAAAAATTGCGTTTCTGAGGTCACATTAGTAAAGTGTTACTCTCAATCTATGTGCAATGGCCAATTTTGGAACCACGACACATAAACAACTTATACCGCTTACCGTAAACAGGTAAAGGTTGTAATTCGAATAATGAGTTGAGACCAAGAACAACGCTATAGGCACAATCATTAAAAATTTTTTCGTGGGAGTATACTGGTCCCCATTGTCAATTTGCTCCCACATAGTTAAGTTGTCGTATGCTCCAGAATTGAATTCAAAGGGCGTACCTTTGACTTGGTGGAACATGATGTATGATCCAATGTCATAAATAACGTTTGTCAATGCCCATCTCCAGTCATTATCTAATACGGTCAAGATGTCCAAGAAAAGTTTGAGAAGAATTATCAACACAATATGAATAACCCATGCACCTTTGTAATGGACCCAATCGGCATTCAAATTTGGGTTTAGTGATTGATCGATCTTTGTATCTAACGTATCTGGTTCGAGATGTTGGATGATGGACGATGACCGCCTTTTGCGTGGCGAAACAGCGTGTGGATGAGAAGGAGTAGGGTGAATGATATTCTCTTTATCGCTCAAGCTACCTCGTTTCGGACTGGTCATATCTATAGCGGATCAATCGGGTATAATCAGTAGAAGTTCTGAATTCTTTTTCGGAAAGAGGATGATTGATGACTCTTCGTATGAGTTAAATTTACCGTCAAACACTGAGCACCCGCGATTGTACCTTGATCCTTTGCTGAGGTGTGATCGAGTTTGTTACCCGGACATCAGGTGACCAGGAACGATCTACCGTTTCTCTCGTTTAGTATGTGCATAAAGCTATACGATAGCGTTGTCTTCGCGTCAGGCCCATGTTACCTTAATGACACATGATATAATTCCTAAAGAACATGATATTACTTCTCCATAATGTACTTGATCAACGGTGGCGGTGAGAATGCAGTCATTCGGAGATATACAATCCTCCTGCATGCCATCCGGAGGTTGACACCGCGAGCCATTTGCCATTAGGCGATGGATTCTTCACTTCGTGCGGTTCAGTCACAATGTGGTTACGATTTTCGGTGGTGATTGTTTCATCTGCGATTTCCAGTAAGTTCCCTAACCCGAGGCAGCCACTATTCTGAGGTTCCAATCCCCAACTTAAAAGTTTGCCCTTATCAGTCAAGGCCAAGTAGTGATAATCACCCATCGAAATCTGTATAATACCCTTATTTTGCAATTCCGGTATAACCTTAGGCAAGTTAGCCTCATCATCCGAGCCTTGCTTTCCCAATAGGACTTGTCCGTGATTCGTGAAGATCGCAAATGACTGGTAGCATCCAGAAAGTTTTGTAAAAGTGGCTTCCATCTTGTTCTGCTTATTAAATTTTGCGAGCCAAGAATTGAATGCCTTCATAGGAACATTCCATATAGAATCATTGCAATTCTCGTGTCCGTTGGCCATAGCAGACGCATTGATGTGGAATTTGAAAAGATCACCATCATCGCGAATGTACATCACGCTGTCTTGTAGAGCGATATAATCTACTATAGCCTCCAGTCCAGGAATCACAATATAATTCGCTTTTGCTTTGAACTTGGAAGCTTCGTAATCTTCTTTGGTTATCAGATCTCGCGAGTACCACACAACAATACCAACTCCTGTCATGAAACAAGATGATAAGTTCCAACCAGCAGAAACACTTCTAATGCGACCGTGAAGGCCCGGAAAAATAACCTGTACTCCGGTTTTCCAATCCGAATTCCCTGAATCCCACGTAAACACCGCCCCTTCGTCGTCAAGCGCCAAAAAATGCTTTCTTCCGCTGGAGATATTGACAATTTTCCTGTTCTCTCGGTCCCACAGTGAAGGAAGAGACATCTTAGTGACAAATGAGGTTTCCTCAATATCAGTTCTCTCAAGTTCTGGTGGAAACTCAAGTTGCTCGGGAGGTAATCTCAAGTTGGGGTTATCTGGAATTCTGTGGTGGACTGCCCGCAAGCCTGCCTCTGTAGCCAATCTTGGCTGTGTTAGTGAAACAAACCCTATAGTGCGTCCCAGATCAATCCTGGGAACGTAATCATTCTGCAACGGCCCAGGAGTTGACGATCCATGACTTCCACAATAATTTGCACCTATGCAATAAATCTTCCCCTTTGTAAGAAGCTGAAAACTGTATCCACCAGCATGCACTTGGTCAATGACTGATGAATCAAAATTTGGCACCTTTGTTGGGGTATGGACTCCAAAATAGAGCTGAGACCTATTGGCATCTGGAATGTCACGCAACAAGTAACCAAGCCGTCCTTGGTTTGCTGAGCCCCAAGTGTAAAAGTTCAAGTTTTTGGCACACCGCTTTTTGAAAAGATGCTCCCAGTCATATTCTTTCAAGTTAAGCGGAGTTAGCTTGCCAAACCTGTAGAGAAACAATAGATGGTAAGCTTCGTTGCTAGTCAAGTAGGAATGTAATTGCTTGCAAGTGAGCGAGAGATTGAAAATCTCAATGGGACTCAAGAATTGGCACAAGTTTGCCACAATGATGTCTTCGCCTAATTCAGTGAATGTAATCATGATCAACTGGTTAGGTTTAGTTTGCCCCCATTTTTAAGTGGAGCGTGTTATACAGGCGCTATGCTTCAAATTACATTTTCTCACTCTGGGGAAGAACGTACACATACTCTCAGCCTAGAAGATCACCATTCTTAGTTTAATGTTCTCCTCATTTCATAGTATTCTTTCACGGATACGTGATCTTTGCCTTCGAAAATGTCAATTCTGACACGTTGAAGACAAAATATAGATAATGAAACAACACAAACAGTAAAGCAGACTGCAAAGGATTAACCAATTCATTTGGCAGCTTGTTCACGACATTGAACTTACTTTACTCGTCCTCTTAGCCTATGAAAGGAATTTTCATGTTACTGCGCCTCCGTCCTGAAGAATACAACAAGAATGGCGAGAAATACCGATAGCATCTATGCTTGAAAAAAGAAATTTTAGAGAAAATTAAGAGAGAGTAGATAAAGGAGAAAAGGAAATAAGATGTGTAAGACAATAATAATCAAAGGAAAGGTCTTGCATCTTTGTGAATATCCTTCCTTATCTTGTAGCAAAATTCAGGGACGTGAATTGTGCGCTTATTCCTGTCTATCCGGTTCAACCCATTTAGCGCCGATTTTTTTTCTTCGGCAGACTTGATCTCATTAGAGCCGTTTCCCAATTGAGCGCATAATATTAAGAGAACAACTCTTTTTGCATGGAAGTTGCTGTCTCCTTTCACTTTCCTGAAACTCAATTTAATTCCAACAAATCCAGTGTTTAAGCAGTTGCGCTCCGACTATAGCCGGCAAACCAACCATGACGAAAACCTCTGTTAAAGTGAAAGATGTGTTCTTTTTCATTCCCAACTTGATTGGTTATGTACGAATCCTTACCGCAATTTTGTCCTTCTTGACCATGAAACGGCATCCTATATGGACGCTGATACTATACGGTATTTCTGGTTTCCTCGACGCTTTCGACGGATACGCTGCCAGAAAGTATGATCAGGGTACAAGATTTGGTGCTGTGCTAGACATGGTCACGGACAGATGTGCCACCTCCTCATTAATCTGCTACTTGTGTGTCCTTTATCCACATTACTGCGTGATCTGGCAATTGCTTGTATCTCTAGACTTGGCTTCTCATTACATGCACATGTACGCAATGTTGTCGTCTGGATCATCTTCTCACAAGAACGTCGACAAAAAATCAAGACTCTTGAATTTGTACTACACAAACAGAACTGTGTTGTTCGTCGTGTGTTTGGTCAATGAGTTATTTTACATGGCGTTTTATTTACACTACTATAATTTCTTCTGGATGGGTACCCTTTTGGTATGGTTGAGTGCTCCTATTTGGTTCTTCAAGCAAGTTGCTAATATTGTCCAGATGAAGAATGCTGCTATCATTTTGGTCGAGAAGGATGTTGAAGAGCGGTCTGCTAAGGGAGAGTAATTGCTGGCATTTTGCTGTAGCTTCTGACATTGTCAGCGATACATGCTAATGGATTTCTTTTGAAAGCGGCGCGAGCTCATTATACATCTATATACATATTACTGCACTCTTCTTTCACTTTTTTATCCAAAATTTCAATGCCACTCTGGGAATGCTTAACGAAGTCTTCGAAAGGTTTCGATCTCTTTAGCTCATCTTTCAAATGATCAGTAAGTTTTGTGACCTCATTTTCCAATTCAAAACATTTCCTTAGCATTTGTAATGACGAAGAGTTCTTGAACCCGGAGATACTCTTACTTAAGAACGTTAGGAATTTCATAAACAGTTCTTTCGATGATTGATGGGAAGTGCATCCATCTGATGACTTGATAAAGCCACAACAACATCTTGCTAGCTCATAATATAGCATTGAAACTAAGGTTTGCCTCCCTGATCTGATCACAACAGGAAGTACTTCCGCCGCTATGTTGTACGCATCTTGGAAAAATTCAGAGGAGTTCAAAAATGACACAAACGTGACGAACCCTTCTGCAAGCGCTAACTCGAATCCACGATTCCGAGCTAATTGGAATTGATGAATAAAAAGAGATAATCCCGGAGAGTTGGAGGCTGACTGAACAAGAATTTCTGCTTTTAGTACATTGATACGAATCAATCGAAGAATATTTGGCAGACTTCCATAGTTATCAGATAAAAGGGATTTCATCTTTTTATTCAATAAGACTATTCCTCGAGAATAGTTGCCATATGCTGCTTCTGTGAGCGCCGTGAGTCGCAATTTCTCAAACTGAGATTCTTCATCTAGAAAATCATCTTCTGGGAGCATTTTCAAAATCTCTAACGCTTGGCTTTTTCGACCCTTGTTCAAGTGCATTTGGATCTGTGAGATGAGAAGCCTCGAATGCAACAACCGCTGTTGCAAAGCGTTTCTAGAATACAACGGCTTTAACTCGTTCAATTCCTTAATAGCAATCTCTGCGGCACCTTTTGCGAGGGTATACAGTTGCTTTTGGAGGTGTAAAGAAAATAAATCTATTGTCGGCCCATTAGTTCCTCCGTATGAAATGCCAATTTCATTATACAAATCGCTCAAGTGAGGAAATCCAGCCTCATTCCATACAGAAGATGCCATTTCACAAGAATTTATGAATGTTATCTGCTGGTCATGGATTGAAATGTAAAGTGATTTGAAAAGACTTTCATAATAACTTGAAAATGAGCCACCGCTTGAAATCAAAAATTCAGCTTCAAATCTAAAGCTCATAGCCATCAACAGAAGAGACACTGATTGAGACTTATTAATCAAGAAATCAAGCAACTTCAGTTCGTTGCTATTCTTATAAAGGCTTTGTTTGTTCCATAAATGTGGCTTCTGCTTCATAAAATTGAAAAGCCATGAAAGGACATATGTAAGAGTGTTATTATCTTTGTTTTCTCTCGCCACAGATATTGCTTCTTCAATAGAATCTAAAGCCTTTTGATCTTCTCCAAAATATTGATGGAGTGATGCTCTCGAAATTAAAGCAAAGTGATAGAAATGTTTGGATCCCTTGGATACCATGTAGTCAAAATATTGGTGTAAGGAGTCAAAAGCTCCGTGGTAGTCACCTGCGTGCAAGCGTTCGAGATATTGGAGGAAATAGTAAGAGGGTAAATGGCTAAAATGAGTTTTCTGAACATTGCTATACTCCGATCCAGGTGCAGCCATGTACATCATGATTGATTTTAGTTCCGGTGGTGTTTCAGTACCAAACTTTTCTAGTAGGCGTACTTGGGTATCAACCAAAAATTCTAGATCTTGCTTCGCAATCGTATAAGCCAGAGAATCTTCATTTGATGCGATAGGCTCTAGGCCAATGCAGTTACTGAGTTGTAAATTCATGGTTTCAAAAAACTTCTTGTCACTCTGGTCATCCTTTTTGGGGATTGTAGACACTTTCTCTTTCAAGCAATGATTCCAGGTTGAAAACAACGGGGAAGAAGGGGATTCTCTGTCCGCAGATGTACCGCCAGTAGATTTGTAACCCTTGATTAGAAGAGATTCATATAAGTCTGCTGAGTCTTTTCTGTAGTGGCATACAGACTGGAATAAGAGTAAGCTTTCGTCAAACTCAAGAAGTTTGGCGGCCACACTAATCTTTTGCACGAATCGGCCGATAATTGATCTTGGCGAAACAAGATTGAAAACTGTGCTTGATATCTTTAACGGGTCCAGAAGAAAGGAGTACGAATCGATAATGAGTTGATGCAAATCTTCCACGCTATTCAAGTTCCAGAACAAATCAAGTATTCGAAACTGAGCAGCCTCGACATCCAGGGCTGAGATGTTTCGGGAGCTAGACCTGCCTTTCGAATCATCGTTCGCAAATAACTGGCAAAGGTCTTTGAGTGTAGGCGTAACATTGATACGATTGTTTTCGATTATAGGTTGCCCTTCAAGTTGATGCGTTAGAATGCTCAAAATTCTGCTCCGACATGATAACGTATCTGATAGATATAGTCGAATTAAAAAGAGGAGAGCAATTCTATTTGGAGACAACTCCTCAGTTATCAATAACTTGGGGTGGCCAAGCATTAACTAGATAAAGATTTCAGGTCTTACAAAAACATCTAGTAGAATCGCACGTGAGCACAAACATAAAAGGAAGAGAGACATAAAGCTATAGTAAAGCTTGCGATTCAACGAAGGGCGTGTGGTCTAGTGGTATGATTCTCGCTTTGGGTTATGGTTTGGTGCACTGAACCTACACAAGTTTGTGAGAGGCCCTGGGTTCAATTCCCAGCTCGCCCCTTCTTTTTAGTTTTGTCTTGCTACGGGTATTATTTTTTTTTCTTTAATTCGCTATAAAATGATGATAAAATATAAACCCGCTCAATCATCAAGAAGCGAATACTGGTGTAAAAGAATGCAGTCGCCGCCCCGTTCAGGATCCAACCCATATGTATAGAAATAACCCTCGGATGTAACAACATTTATGTGAATAAGATTCACCGCGAGAACATCCTTTCCCGAATTGCTAGATGACGAAGATTTCACTGGAAGAAGACCGTTATCTTGAGCTTGTTCCCTTGGCAATAAAATGTTCTGGGGTACCATATCCTCAAAAAGCTCAGTGCTCATGATCGCAATTGACTTGACGTCCTTGTTGTTGGTTTGTATTTTCAAAGACGCAAAGTTACGGGTTGGCTCTAGTATCGAGGAAAACCTGGAAGGGAGAAAGTCTCCCATTTTCTGTGCCGCTTTTCGCCCCAATGTCTGAGAAGAGCGACGAATAAGACGTGCCACGGACAACCTATTTTGGTCGATAATTGGTTCGGTCCTATGTTCTTCTAATCCTGTGGAGGAGGTGCTGTTGAACGAGCTCGATGATCCTTGCGACAATTTTCTCTGCTTGCTAGGAACTCCGAATCCCTCTGGATCTCCATCAACTACCTCCTCACCGTCTGCATCGCTGTCGCTGTCATCTTCAATGGACTCTGCATCATCATCATCACCATTTTTGGGCGCCTCACTAACTTCTTCCGCTTCCTCATCAATAGTGCTATACCCTGGACTTACTTTCGGTTTTCTGGGTGTTGAATTTCTGATGTGTCTTTGCTTATTGGCTAGTAGTTCCTCCTCACCCAATCTGAAAATATGGACGGTTCCACTTGAGCTCGTTGCAATTACATAATTGTTGCCCTTGCTGAAGTTTAGAGAATAAATCGTAGTAGGATAGGTTCCCCTTCTAAATTGGAACATTTTCACTCCGGTTTCCACATTGAATACCCTCACTATAGTTCCCTTATCTGAAGCTGTAGCAAGCAACTTCCCGTCGCTAGATAAGCACATTGCCGCCAAGGCTGATTTGTGGGCTTCGATCACAGCCAAGGGTTGTAGTGACTTCATATCAAATATGATAACATCGCCAACTCTATTTGGAGCATTACTCACAGACTGGATATTATTCTGTACTGAATTTAGTCCGCCGTTGGTGTTGATTCCTGTCACAAGAAGGGAGTCGTGGGTTATTGTTTTCGGTGGCGATGGGTAAGCCAAAAGAGTGTTTCCAGATTCATCCAAAGCCGCATCTGATAAAGTGCACAAGCCACTTACGTTGGGGCTCGTCTCGATAGTGTGAAGAAGTTTCATGGTGGCAATATCATAAATGTAAATTTGTTCCTCCAAGACAACAACCATTCTGTGTCTGCTGAGTTTGACCAGCAAAACAGTGGAAGGGAAGATCAAATCACATATCGTTGTTCCTCGTTTTGTATTGACGATTTTCAACTTGCGAGGCAGAGACCCTGGCTCCTCCCCAAGGGGCACAATGGCCATTAATGAAGTAGAATAGAGCATCTCCAAAATACCCACCGACTCATTTTTTTTTATGTCATAGCATTTGAGAAACTTGGGCAGAAATGTGTAGATTTTGTAGCCCGTACTGAGACCCACAGCAACACATGTAGCATCTTGGTTAAAAGTGATGAAGTTGACGTTCGACTCTTCCGATTCTTCGTGGGATGCGCTCATAGTTTCCGAATTGTCTTGCGCTTTGTTTTCCAGGAATTGTTGTGAGTAGTTCATGTAAGCATTCCCGGCCACTTGTGATTTGAGCATACCCGTGCGCTTAGCTGACAATTAAGAGAGGGAAGATGAAGTGACAAGAGCCGCAGGCGCGAAAGGCACCCGTGCATTCTCAAAATGGTCTAGAAGCGCGGGGAAAGATAACAACGGTTTCGTGGGGCAATAAAAATCGAAAAGACACGGTATTATAGATATTGGCCAGTGTTCAACGAAGATGGAGGTGAAAATATTAAGCAAAATGAAGTTCGATTAGTCGAAAGGAAATGCTTGATGTATGAAGGCATAGGAGATTTGCGATTGGCACCTAGACTTGTTTCGCGTTTACAAAGTATACTGAGAAAGACGCTACAATGACGAATTTCAAGAGGGCAAAAAAAAAATACAAAACTACTTCACCACGACTACAACAATGGCAGATGAGGCATCGCCGAGACATTTGCATTAGGACAACTGTTTAGAGAGCCATTTCACGAACTGAAGTACCATTTCTTCCGTGATGTCATGGATCGCACCTTCTTCGTAGTACAACTCGGTTGAACCGTTACTGTTTGCGTAAGTGTCTGCCCACAAGGTGGAGATTTTCGAAGGTACAATCGGATCATCGGAATAGAATGTGGCAAACATCTTAACGGACCTGAATGGGAAGCTCTCCATGATTTCAATATCCTCTCTACTGACATGCAAGTGAAGAGATTCCGGATACTTTTGCTTCTGTTCTTCAGTCAATCCAAGCTCCTCATAGTTGAAGTAAAGAAGCTTTTTGCTGTAATCGGATGTGCCCTTTAATCTATTGACAAGCAAAGAAGTTAAGTCGCTGCATCCAATATTAGGGTTGATGATGGAAACAAGGTCGGCATACCGATTGGCGAAACGGATCACAACGTGGGCCCCGACAGAATAGCCCGAAAGGATGTTGCAGAACTTGAACTTCAAATCTCTTTCCTTCCAAGATTCGTGAAGTAAAGCATCCAAGTTCAAGTAGCTAGGCAAGTAATCCATAATTAACTTCAAGTCGTAGATGGTGCCTTCAATGCAGCTCATCATATCCATGGCATGAGTGTCGTTCCCCGACTTCCAGCTGGAGTTCTTAGACTTATCCACAGTTCTTGCTCCATGGTTTCTGATGTCAAACGTTACAGGGATCAAAGGAATCTCCAGGGCATAGTTTTCCAAAATTTTCACTCCCGTTGCTTCCGTGTAGGTGTAGTCACCGCTTCTATGATGCACTAAGTACAAGAAGTTGAGCTGAATTGAGTCCAAATCTGGGTTGGGGCCGAGGCCTTTCACATACGCTGCAATTGCGTCGGAGTTGTAGACATAGACTGTGATCCCGCCAATAGAAAAGGTCTTTTTTGAGAATTTGGAGAGGTCGACGTTGAATTGGATCATGGTGGTTGGTGTACTATAGTGTATAATGCAATTGGAATTGTGGGGAGCCGCGCACAAGTGCCAAGAAGTAGAAGTGTTGTACGTTTTATTGTCAAAAGTAGTCCAACTACTCAGAATGAGTAAAATTTACCACCGGCAAGTAAGATGAGAAATACAAGCATGATTTGATTTGTTTTCTCAGGAACTGCTAGAGACTAGTATTTTGGCCATAGACTGCATCAGTTGTACAATCACCGACGGCAGTTCCATTCCAATACCCGCTGCCTAAGGGACGACAAGAAGGAAAAGATAAAAATAGAAGCAAACAGCTAATACAAGAAGGAGGAAACATCCATAGTGGCTACTTGGTAAATGGATTTACTATCGAGAACACTTGTACTCGTTGTGGCAGGCAGTAGCAATTCTGTTTGAAAAAAAAAAAAAAAATATCTCTACCTCCCAGTAATAGTCGCCACCAAAGAAACAAAAGCCTCTTCTAGTGCACGAAATTGCACCTTGATGGAGAAAGAATGTTCCCCTCTCCATTTGACATCGTTCATGTGATAGTTTATCACATTCACATGTTTCGCATGAAAACTATATAACCTTGCATATACTCGCAATCCCATTTCTGCCCGTGTATCCGTCAAAACACAGTAAAATGGCCCCTTCCAAGAAAAGTGTCAAGAAAAGTCCTGTTCCAACAGAGACAACCAAGCCGACCAAAGTAGCGCCACAAACTGCGTCGGCACCGCAATCCGTCTTGAAATACACCTCCAAGGAAGACATCCCCGCAATTGTCCAGAACCTCACCAAACAGCACAATCAAGAGCACCAAACACACTCGTTGCAGTTCCGTTTGAACCAATTGAGAAACATCTACTTTGCTGTGAAGGACAATATCGATGCTTTCAGCGAAGCTTTGTACAAGGACTTTGGCCGGTCCCCCGAGGAAACACTCACTTTGGAGTATGTGACGTTTATGAACGAATTGGTTCACACCATGGCACACTTACACAAGTGGATGAAGCCAACTCCAGTGGATGGATTGACTCTTGCAGTGAAGACAAACTCGGTTTATGTGGAACACGTTCCTCTCGGAGTGGTGCTTATCATTGCTCCTTTCAACTACCCATTGCTTTTGTCGCTTTCTTCTCTCATTGGCGCCATTTCCGCAGGCAACTCTGTCGTATTGAAAGTGTCGGAGCTCACTCCACATTTCGCCCAGAAACTCACTGAAGTGCTCACATCAGTACTTGATCCGTCTGTTTTCGCCATGGTCAATGGTGGTGTAGAAGAGACTACACTCCTCTTGGATCAGAAGTTTGACAAAATTATGTATACGGGCTCCACTACTGTGGGCAAGATCATTGCGAAGAAAGCTGCAGAAACACTCACGCCTGTGCTTTTGGAACTTGGAGGCAAGTCGCCAGCATTCGTTTTGGAGGACGTCAAGGAGCTGGAAATTGACGCTGTGGCCAGAAGGATAGTATGGGGCCGTTTCACCAATGCTGGACAAACGTGTGTTGCCATAGATTACGTGTTGGTGCACGAAACACTCAAGGAAAAGTTGGTTAGTGCCATTGTTAAGGTGGTGGAGGAGCAGTTCTACAAGACTTTGGATGCGAAAGACCCATCGTATACACACATTATCCACCAAAGAGCCTTTGACACTTTGAAGAAGATGATCGAGCTGTCTTCCGGAAAGATTTGCACGGGCGGAACTACTGACGCCGAAACAAGATTTATTGCTCCTACTGTCATTGACAATGTCGACTGGTCGGACTCTACGATGCAACAGGAGATTTTTGGGCCCGTCTTGCCCATTTTGACATACACGGACTTGAAGGCTGCAGTCAAGCAAGTTGTCACCCGCCATGATACTCCGTTGGCCCTGTATATTTTCACGTCGGGCTCCCATTCTCGGGCCAAGAATATCGACTTGGACTACATCCAAACAAACATCAGATCGGGTGGCACTGTTATCAATGACAGCGTGTTGCACGTTTCTTTAGCGAATGCGCCGTTTGGAGGTATTGGTAACTCGGGCCAAGGCGCATACCATGGGATCTATTCGTTCAGAGCATTTTCGCATGAGCGTACGACGATGGAAACAAAGCTCTCCATGGACTTTGCTGTCAGCTCAAGATACCCACCTTGCGAGCCAAAGAAAATCAATGTGATGCAGCTGTCTATGACTTCTTACAATGGCGCAGTATGGTTTGGCCGCACTGGAGACGTGAAGCCCAATGGACCAAGTCTGTTATGGTCTGCGTGGAAGGGGACTTTAGGTGTAAGCGCTTTGCTCTACTATTTGTTCCAGGCCATGTAACGATGTTATGTACAATGTTTTTAATTCTTTCAAGTTTCAAGTAAATATTTGCCCATTTAGCAACACACATTGCTAGCAGTTGTGTTTTCGATAGAATTGATGTTAAGCTACTTTGCTGTACTGTTAGAATTATAAGAAAGCAGACTAACGGTAAATTAACCATTCAGACTTCTTTCTACAACTTTTCTGCCTGCAAAATATATTTTGAGAATTAAAGATTAAAAAATGAGAATACATCATCTTCTGGAGCAGATGGTTCAGCCAATATAGACTTTAACCAATCGATGGATCCAATTATCAGGGATTAATCTAATATGTAAGTCTATTGGGTGCAACAATGCGAGGCAAATTGAGGCAAAAAACCCAAACATCCGCACCTGTTACCATTTTCGCCTTATCTCGAATATTGGAGATCTACTTACACCAAAATGGCTTTTACAATTTCCATAAAGAACGCTGGAAAAGTCCATGAAATCGAATTGGAAGATTCTGCTACTGGGTTGGAGTTTAAGAAAAAGATCCAGGACATAACCCAGATTCCGGTGGAACGCCAGAAGATTTTGATCAAGGGAGGCAAATTGAGCGATGATGTGGTTGTTTCAACACTCAAAGCTAACTTGAAAAATCCAATTATGGTCCTCGGAACACCAGACAAGGACTTACCTGTGTTTGACTCGAACAAACACGTGTTTTTGGAAGATTTGAACGAAAACCAATTGGTCAAGGTTGCGGAAGAACCTTCTGGATTGATCAACTTGGGCAACACCTGCTACTTGAACTCTTCATTGCAAGCGCTCTACAACATCAAGGATATTTCTGACAAAGTGAAAAGCTCCTCAGGATCAACTGCTATGATCACTACTTTGAAGGGTATTTTCAACGCAATGGGAAAGAAACAACAGAATGTGGACCCTACACTTTTCCTCATGCAGTTCAGAGCCCAATTCCCCCAGTTTGCAGAGCAAGAAATGGGTATGTACAAACAACAGGATGCAGAGGAGGCGTTCTCCCAAATCATGACCGTTTTGGGTTCTACTTTCGACATTAATGACGCGTTTAGAATTGACTTTAAGACTGTCACCAAATGTTTGAGCTTGCCGGAAGAAGAACCGAAGATTGGTTCAGACTCGGCTTCCAAATTGAGTTGTCACATTGACATCAAGACTAATTTCTTGAGAGACGGAATCATCAATGGATTAACGGATAAACTTGAAAAGAGAAACGAAACATTAAACGCGAATGCTGAGTACGAGATAACCAAAACCATCACTAGGTTGCCAAAGTACTTGACTGTGCACTTTATGAGATTCTTTTGGAGAAGAGACACACGTAAGAAATCCAAGATTTTGAGAAAAGTGCAATTTCCTTTCGAACTAGACTTATCGGAAATGCTTGACCCATCAATCAAGCAGGAAAAAATTGAAGTGAGAGATAAATTGAGAAAAATCGAAAAGGATAACGATGAATTGATTAGAGATTTCAAGAAGGCCAAGAAGGACAAGTCCTTAACCCCAAAGCAACAACAAGAAGAAGATGAATTGAAGATCGAATCTATAAAGTCCAAATTCATGGATGACTTTGCAGGGATTTTGCCAAAAGATTTCAGCTTCGAAACTGCCACAGAAAACCCATCTTCCGTGTACGAGTTACAGGCAATCATCACCCACCAGGGCTCGTCGGCCGACTCCGGTCATTACCAGGCATTTGTTAAAAACGAGAAGGATCTCGAGGGTGAGAGCTGGTGGAAATTTAATGACAACAAGGTTTCGTCTGTTAACAGAGACAAGATTGAAGCTTTGGCTGGTGGCGGAGAAAGCGACTCAGCATTGATTCTCATTTATAAAGCCAAGGGATTCTAGGGAAATAAAATATTAATAGAAAGTATCTTGCACCGTGAATGCACAAAATACATTTCTTCCAATGCGCCTTTGTATTCGAATAAACTATGCATATTTACATATTGTGGACCAATTTTTTGAATTGCTCAACCTCGTCCCAGCAGTTCAAAGGTCTTCCCTTGTTGTCTTTCAAGCATGCAATCACAGACTTTCTAGCGTTCTTAACATCGTCACTAAGATCAACATGGGTGAGTTTAGCACTTTCCTTCAAAACCTCGCTCAACTTAGAGATTCTCTCGTTAGCAGAGGCCACAGAGAGAGAAGCTTCTCCTTCCTTGGACAATGCATCCGAAGTCGCTGCTTGGAACTTCTTGATGGTTTCCAATTCCAATTTTTTCAATTCGTCCGCAACTCGCTCTTGAATATATTTTTCGGTGTATTGGGATCTGGTGTAGTCAGACTCTTGGGAGTTTTCCAAACGTGACAAGAAAGACGCACTAAAGTCCACCGGCGCCTTTGGCGTGTAAACCTTAGTTTCAGGTTTAGAAGCAGTAGAGCCCATTTTCTGTTTCAGTTAGTAACACATGAACATTAAACACGAGCTTTCTCGCCGGGCGTATATGTATACAGCCACTTTTATCCGTATCGAGTACATACCTCTGACTATGGAATATCAACAGATATGTTACTGTTCCGAGTGAGATTACCATTGGACAGATATTCGTGCGAAGCACAAAAATATAGTGGGGACTTTGGAGCTGAATACAAACACCGTCTCAAAGAGGCCCTCTGGCTACTGCTTACGTGAAAGTATAGACGAAAGGAAGAGCTTATTTGTAGAGTGGTTGCAGAACCAAGTGACGAGAGTGGACAGACGAAGATGGGAACACGCATAAGACTACCAGTTCACCAGATTAGGTATGGCCAAAAAAGAGAAAGGCAGGAGGTAGAGAATTCAACGCCTTGACGAACACGACAAGAGAATAGCCAGGTTGAACTCTGTTGGTTTTCTTGATGCCAACTCGAAGTAGGCTTTCCGGTAGAGACACGACTCTAAAAATCGTTGAAGGAGCTCAACGAGACTCGGAAAACCGATCCAAAGTTCGATTTGCTCCATGTCTGTTCAATACCACCAACCTTCCAACTTTGACAAATTCAAGATGGGCGCCATCATGGGCGGCTCTGTCGGTGTCTGTGTCGGCGTTTTGTTTGGTGGATTCTCGATTTTGCAACATGGCGCCGGTCCCAATGGAGTTATGAGAACATTGGGCCAATACATCATGGGGTCTGTTGCCACCTTCAGTTTGTTCATGTCGATCGGATCTGTCATCAGATCCGAGACCGACTACCAGGCGTACCAAAGGGCGATGATGCTGTCCCAAAGGGAAAGATTGAGAGCGATCTACGGAATCGACAACTAGCCTTCCTGGTTGGAAACTGCTTACTGTAAATAGGGAAATGAACATGCTATTCTATTAGGTCTATTGTAGGGCTATGTGTAGTTCTGACTTTTTACAAGTCGGACAACTATTTTGTGGAGAAGTCCGATGAATTTTTGATTTGCGTCCGAAGAATGAAAAGTTAGACTGTGGTGCAGAGCAGTGAAAAACTCACTTGATGCTAAAACATGTTTCATGTCAAGCAATATCGGTCTGATATTCAGAACCATTAATTGTAGATGCTGAGTCGCAAACTGATGGATTTTTTCACATTCAAACTTTGTCTTCCTTCTTTGCGGTGTGGATGTGGGGATGGTGCAGACCATCATCTAGGTGGTACAGGTATGTCAAACCGAACTCGGGAACTTTGTAAAATTGCAGTTTCCCCTGCGCTTTCGCCAAATCTAGAAGTTTATTTTTCGGTTCTAGAATGGGCTCAGAGCTGAGCTTGAATGTCCCGAAATGGACTCCGAAAACGTACTTGGAATTAGTGGCGGCTGCAATCTGTAGACTCTCTTCTGGTGAAATGTGCCGTGGCTTCTGATGCCAGGAAGGACAGTACTGCCCAATCGGGAGCAAGGACAAGGTCACGGGCCCGTACTTTTTGCCAATAGCCTCAAAGAGGCCCTTCACATATCCTGTATCACCGGCATGATACAAAACGGACTGGCCATTTTTCTGGAGAATAAACGAACCCCAGAGCGAAGTGTTACAGTCCACGATATGCCTTCCTGACCAATGCATAGCCGGAACACAAACGATCTCGTAGTTGTCAGGGAAGTTCTTATTTCCCTCGGCTATGAATGGATTGAGCAGTAGTTTTTCCCACCAGTCCATCTCCACGACGTTGTAGATTCCTTTTCGGGCTAAAGTCAGCTTCAAGCCTAAAGGCACAATCCACATGGCCAGGTTCCCGATTTCTTTTGCTGCTTGCAAATCCAAATGATCAGGATGATTGTGGGAAACAAAGACAAAATCAAGTTTTCCCCCAGTAGCGTATCGGACCTCTTCTAGCGTCATGGGTGATTTGACCAACCGCTTTGGGCCAAACTTCTGGTCTATAAGATGATCACCAAACATTGGATCTGTTAGAATGTTGATGCCACTGATCTGGACCAAAGAACATGATTGGCCCAACCACGTGAAAAGCATTTGGTTTCCAACGGCAGAGGTGAAATTCAACTTTTTGTAGAGCCCGGAAAAATCATTGGCTGCCACGCATTGGGCCAACAATGTAGAGTTTTTCCGCATGAGCTCGTAGTTGGGTCGAAACGTTTTCAAAAGATGATCCACGGATGCAAAATCACCTTCTGGAGTCGGATACTTGTCGTGGATTTCGATCTTGTTGGCGTAGAAACTCTCGAAAAGCTCGGCGATGCGGACTGTGAGAAACTCAAACGCCGTCTGTGGCCTGTACTCTTGGAAAGGATTGACAAACATGCCCAGAACCATGGCAGACTTGTACTTTGCAATATCCAAATCATCGTGCACTTGCATCTGCGCCTGTCTCTGTTTGATCAAAGCCACAGTCTGATAATGCATATGGAGCTCGAATGAAGTATAGGAAACCAAGATCCCTAGGCCGATTTTGGCCTTCAACGAGAGTCTCGGAAGAAAACCCATGCAGATGGAAAGCAAGTACTGCGCATCGAGTATAGTGAGATTTTATGTAGTGCGATACTGCTTCCATATTAGGCCAGCTTGCTCATCAGGCGAGATACAGAGGAAAGATCTGAAAAATTTGGCATATGTCGTTTTGACTTGGTACTGTTTTATGTGCTTCAAGCTGGTCAACCTGGTCAAGAAGCTAGTTAATAGCAATATTTAAGATTCGAATTGGCACGGAAAGTTATGTCGCATAATCCACCACAATTGCAATCTTGAGAACTTTAATAGACGGACGAGGAGAGAAAAAGGTCAATGACAAAACGATTAAAGGGACAGATGGCAATTTTCTCTTGAAACGATAGCATCAACGTCTCTAGTAAAATATTTTAGTATTCTTCTATTTCGGTAATATTTAGATATGCTTTAGCACGTACATCTTTATTCTTTCTTAAGTACTATTGTTTATTGTTACTGTATCGGAAGAGGTAAACCTACATCTGCATGAATCATCGGCGGTAATTTATCTCAACCATTTTTTCCTTACTGATTGATCTTATCTAGAATGGAATGATTTGGCCTCTGAGTCGTCTTCGATATTCATTTGATTTTTGATTATAACACCTAGCTCACATAAACCCACACGGCTGAGGGTCTGAAATGAAATTACGCAACTCATTACCATGCCAAGTTAATTATACACGCTCGGACAGGTATCTGTCCTATTTTATTTACCATCGGTCCAAAAGTAGAAGGATGAACATGGAAACAAAGCTTCCAATGCTCAACAGCTTCGCTAATGCACATAGACCTTAGTGTTTTCTCACAACACCAGATGCGTCAGCCTGTTTCAAAATGTGTTTCTTGTAATCGTGGATGTTTCCTGGGAACTTCGATACCTTTGAATCCTCGCTGACCCAGATCTCATTACATACTCTTTCGATCGTGGAGACATCGTGCGACACCATCAAAACACCACCCTTGAAGTTGATCAAAGCGTCTGCAAGTGCGTCCAAACCTTGGGTATCCAAGTGATTCGAAGGCTCATCCAAAATAAGAATGTGTGGCTGGTTCATACAAAGCGCCGCGAACGCAACTCTCGATTTCTGTCCTCCCGACAACAACTCCATTTTCTGCAAACCCAATGTACCTGTAATACCAAAGGATCCCAAGTGGCGTCTGTACTCCTCGTCAGATTTACCTGGGAAAGCTTTTGCCATCCACGAAACAGCAGAAAGGTTCAAATCCATAGAGTCCACATGATGTTGCGCAAAGTAACCCACCCGCAATCTGCCGTTACGAGAGATGTGACCCAGTAATGGCGAAAGTTGGCCCAAAAGTAATTTTAACAAAGTAGTCTTACCTGTACCGTTACCACCACAGAAGGCAATACGCGAGTCCATCTGGACATCCAAGTCCACATCCTTCAAAATAATCTTATCTGGAGAGTAGCCAAAAGTAACGTTGTGCATTTGCAAGATTGGTGGCGAAAGTCCATCCGGATCTGGGAACTTGAACGTGATAATCTTGTCGTCTTCTGGTGGTTCCAAAACAGGCAACTTCTCCAACTTTTTGATACGGGACTGGGCTTCCAGCGATTTCGCCGCATTGTATCTGAATTTATCGATAAATGCTTGTAAGTGCTGTCTGTACGCCATTTGGTTTTCGTACTCACGGCGCTGGTTCTTGATTCTCTCTTCTCGCGTAGCGTAGAAGGAGTCAAAGTTAGAGCCACGGTAGTAGTCCAACCGTTCCGAGTGTTGGTGGATAATATCTGTGGCCACTTCATTCAAAAATGCTCTGTCGTGCGAAACAACCAAGACAGTACCAGAATACGTTTGCAAATACTTGGCCAAATACGTGATGGAAGGAACATCCAACATATTGGATGGTTCATCTAGCAATAACAAGTCGGGCTCACAGAACAAAGCACGTGCTAACGACAATCTCATTCTCCAACCACCAGAAAACGAGTTGGTAGGTTTGCTTTGAGACTCTTGCGAGAAACCAAGTCCAAACAAAATGGATGCTGCTCTACTCTCAGCCTTATCGGACTCCATTTCGTATAATTTTTCCGTGATTTCCTGCAAGTGCTTGTCCAAATCACCTCTTTCATTGTCTAGCTTCACCACCTCGTTAGAACCTTCTTCAAACTCGCTTCTCAACTTCTCAATCTCGTCAATTCTTTCGGTGATCTTTTGTTCTTCCTGAATCAAAGTTTTACGCCAAACATCGGCGTCTAAAACTGCCTGCAAAGCTGGCGTATCGTCGCCTCGGAGTTCTTGTTCAACATGCAAAATTGTAATATGTTTCGGAATCGTCAATTCTCTTCTCGACAATGCACGCAACAAAGTAGACTTACCAATACCGTTCTGACCGACCAAACCGTATCTTCTACCGTGGGCCAAGGTCAAGCTGGCATCGCTGAGAATACGTTTGCCGTCACCCACATACAAATCGAAATTGTCGATTTTGATGTCTTTTGATTTTCCTGCGCTCGAACCAAAATCAAGCGGGTTGATCTCCAAGTAAAAGGAGTCGTAGTCCTCGCCCTTCGACTCGTTCAACAACTTGGAAGCCTCGTACTTGACAAACTGGTTGTTTCTCTTGGCCACCTTCTTCGCAATCTTTCTCTCTTGCTTCTCCAACTTCTTTTTGTCAACTCTACTCTCCACTTGTCTTCCGGCATGAGAAATGTCTCTAGAAGCACCAAGAAGCGCCAAGGACGAGTTGATGTCTCGCTTAGAATTGTTCTGTTTCAACACATTGACATCCAAAAGTCTCTTGGATTTGTCTCCTGTGATCTCCAATTTGGCCATATTTTCCTTGAGCTTGGCCGTGAGCTGCTCGGAAACAGACTTGGTGAGCTTTTCCACCTGGTCAGCCGACCCGCCAGCGTCCACCAACAATTTTTCTAAAAACCCAAGTTCTTTCGCAATATCAAGCTGTTGGGCAGAAACAGAATCTTCAGTGGCATGGGAAATATGCTGGATATAACCAACCGCATAGTCTGAAACGATAGGATCCACAGAAGGCACGGCTCTACGCACCTGTAAGCTGACGTTAGACATTACTGTTTTTGTGGTAAATTCTTAGAGCTCACAAAAGTTTTCTGATAGTGTGGGAGGCACGGATGCAGAAAATGTAGAAGGACCAAGTCTAATAGATATATATATATTGAAATGATTCATGTTGAATTGTGTTTATTCGTTTTATTCGTTTTATTCGTTTTATTCTTCTTATTCTTTTTATTCCTACTTTGATTTGCGAAGTTGCTCTTGTCGTAAATATTCTTGTCATTCCAGCTCATATTATCGCACCCATTTGGTTTAATTAAAATACATCTAATTACTGCAGATATTCTGTAGTTGCACAAATTTTTTGTTCTTCCAACTTGAACAGTGTAGTGGCTACTTTTCTTGACGAAATAAAGTGTTAACCCGTACATGATTGTAAGATTCGTTTCTAACTCAAAGAGAAAAATCCTCTTCTACATAATTTACTATAATAACCTTCCCCATTAACTGCACATTAAATAATCAAATTGTCCTCATCGTAATCGTAAGAGTCTAATGGAGTGTCTGTATACGAAGGAGTTCCCCTTGTAAATTTCGTCTGCACGACGTCTCTAAGTCCATTCACAGCACCTCCCACTCTGCCCCAAAAACCAGAATTCTCTTCCACAGGGTCATCATCGTCGTGATACGAATCCACTCTATTGGACAATCCGCCCAGCAAAGATTCATTGAATGCTCTTCTATTGGATTCATATGCCAGATCAGCGGCGGCGTTCAAATTGAAAGGACGCAACAGCATAGATGCGGTCAGCTGGCGCTTATTCATCTCCATGGCCACAAGTCTTTTCGCCTCAACAATAACAAGCTCTTTCCTCTTGTTCTGAGCATTCTCCAAGTCTGTTGCTTCATTCATGTTCTCGTCATCGTCAAAATTTGCCCACGAGTCGTAGAAATCAGAATTGAGTCCGATCCGCAGCTTGAGCTTGTCGTAGACATGGAATGTGGTCAACACAATCGGAATTAAAAGAAGACGCGGGATCCAGTTGTTCATCAAATTGAACAAGCCTGTCAAATGAATAGACTTTCCGTACCACTCTTCAAAAATCGACTGTCTGCTGGTAAATAATGTGATGAAATTATACGACAATGGGATTGTCAAGCGTGCAATGTAAGAGGCGTAGAAGCACGTCGACACCGGATCAGAGTGGTGCGGCACCAAGTGGTACATGTTGAAGACTTTCAATTTTGCGAGTGAGTTGAGAGCACAAAACAACATGTACGAAAACACGAGAAACGAAACAAGCCCCTGTGTAAGCGTGTGGTTGTGGATTCCTGTTCTGTAGATGACGATATCCATGAGAGAAAGTTTGGTGGAGTGGAAAAACTCCGACTGGATCAAGATGAACGAAACGCATAGAAGAGCAACAGACAAAAGCCGACAGAGTACCGGCTTGATGTAGCATTGAAAGTAGAAGCTCATTGCAGGCAGCAATAGTCCACTTACAGATCTCATGATTTGGTTCCGTTCATCTGGGGTCAGCGCTGCTTTAGCTTCAAGAAGCGTTTGCAACTTTGTAATCTCTCGGAGTAATGTTTCGTACTCAGCCATGTGCGCCAGAAGCTTATATTGGTGATTCTGGAAGTTGTACGCCAACTGCGTCAAGAAGGCCTCCGACACTTGGTCGCGAGAGATGTGTCTCGTTTCGTTGTTGACAAATTCCCGAGTGACCGACTCTCGAATGTCGTCTGGCACTTTCTGGGCGAGGCTTAAGATCCAGTCACGGAAAACAATGTCCAGAGTGGGGTCCGAAAATGTCTTCTCCAACACCAACACCTGGATGACGTTTTCCTTGAACGACATCTTGGTGTCTTCCAAAGTATCCACCAACTTTGGCACTTTCAAGTAGTAGTGGTTCAAGTTCTGGGTCAAGTTTCCCTCGAGCCACCGATTCCGCGGAATGGTGATGAGCCCGTGGGCCATGAGCCAAAGCGCCAACACCAAAGCGTAAATGTGTGAGAGCGCAATCACCATCGACTTGAGATGGCCCAAAGTGAGCCCCACTTCTAGCATAAGATAGATTGCGCCCGCAACCGCCACGAGCAAAATAAGCCCCTGAAACTTAAGGTTGGATTTCAACGAAGAAATGAGCTTCTTCGTCTTGAGGCGGTCGCCCGCACGGTAGTAGTCTTGTAGAAGCGGAAGAATCAACCATGTCAAGGAAAACGTGATCCAGTAGTTTGTCTTCCACATGCGTAGCATGCTCAGATCGCTGATGTCGAAGCCCGGAATTGCACTCCCGGCGTTATGTGAAACATAGTCTGTCGGTAGAAGAATGGTGATGGACAATGGCATTGCCACAGCCGCCATAACCGGAATCAGATAGTAAAGAGGATATCGGAAAAGTTTGATGTGGAAGCGAAGAAAGGCGAGCGACGTGGCGCCGGCCAAAGTGTAGCATATAAGCAAGGGAACCCACATTTACCGATTTCCTTTAGACTCGAATTGCTGGTACCGATAAGCAAAGCCACTTTATGTCACGCTTGGATTAAGGCATACAAGCCCGTTTTCCGTGGTGTACGGGTGTCCCACCTGTCAGGGTTCGTTCGAAAGTTCGGGGAAGTTTAGGAAGCGCCGGGATGCATGGAATTTCTCACCAATTACACCTAGCAAAGTAACACGACATCTGGTTTAACGCTACTTCGAAAAAAGTGAGGACAATAATTTCTGCACCATTCAATTACCCTTTTCCTCGGCGAAGATTCGAACTGGCTGACGCACTAGGCAATTATGGATGCAACAACTAAAGTGGAAGACATGGATTCCGGAAACGACACTAAGACTGAGGACACTCCATTAAGCCAGACAAGGAGTATGGAAGAAAGCGGCGATTCTAAGGAGCCAAAGGTAGAATTGAAGGAGGAGGCGAAAGTATTGAAGGAGGAGCCGAAAGAATTGAAGGACGAATCAGAAGAGTCCAAAAACGATATAAGCGGACTCTCTCAAGGTGACACAATCTCAGAAGCCGCCGAAAAGAGCATACCTGCTGACGAGAAGGGTAATACTGCGTCGGACGCTGGGACAGATTTGAAAGAGCCAGAAATACCGAAAGAACCAACAAAACTGGATGATCCAGGAATGCTGGAAGTTTCAGCAGGACTAGACGATTCAGGAATACCGGAAGTTACAGCAGGATTGGAAAATTCAGGAATACTGGAAGTTTCAGCAAAAGCAGAACCTTCTGAAGACGTCCAGCCTCAAGATATACCTATCAACGATGTCTCCACAGATTCATCTCCATCCGAGGACGGTACAGCTCCACCAGTACCCGAGAAAGACGTGCCCAAGATTTCCACAAGAAAGAAAAAACTGGTTGGCTTCGCACCTGAACCGGAACAAGACTTGAACGAACACCACAAGTTCTTAGAACAACGACGTAAAGAGAAACTTCAAAGCAGCCCGTTCTGGAAAACGCCACCTGAATTTGCTCATCTCGAACGTCACAAGGAGGGGCCCAAACCTCTACCGACCTTTTCGAAAAAGAAAGCTCCTCGGGTAAAAAAACTTGAGGACTTGAAAGACCTTCCTACCAGGGCCGTGAAGGAAATCTCCGTGGTAAATAAGAATACCGCATTGAATTTTTTCTATCATGAAATTAACGTTCCTGTTGGCCCGGACAGAATTTTGGTGGACGTCAAGTACGGGTCTTTATCTTCTTTTGATCTTGAGAAACTCTCAAAATACAAGCTCAATCTTTCCGAAGTTCGGGTGGGACTCGGCTACGATTTTGTGGGTGAAATTGTTGGAGTGGGGAAAAAGTACGATAACCATCCAAGCCTTAAAGTGGGAACGTATGTTTTTGGTGTGGTGAACCCAGCAGACAAGAAAGGGGCACTTCAGACACTTTTGATTGCGAATCCCAAGGACGTCCTCATTCCTATTTCTCAGGAACTAATGGAGGCCATGAAGAAAGTCAAGTTGAAACTTACGTTCAACCAGCCTTCATCCTTTCTGGTAGATGGCGATGAACTTGACTCTGACTCTGACCTGGATCTGTCCGATAATTCAACCTCTGATGACGTTCCGCCGACTTTACCTCCCAAGCAAGATCCATGGGCTGTGCTGTTTGAACTCGCCAAGTTTTGCACTTTTTCGAGTTTATACTGCAGAGCCAAACAAGCTCTTTCGTTGATGGAAAGTGTTTTCAAGAGAGAAGGGGCCGCAAACATAATTATTAACGGCGCTGACACCGGATTAGGATATACTTTGGCCCAAGTAATCGCCTCCAGTGCGTACAGTAACATTTTGCAAAGCTACAATGTGATTCTTGTTGTTCAAGATAGCAGTTCGAAACAGGTTCGACGGCTCGCTGATCGACTCAATAGTGGAGGTTTGAAGAAGTTCCATGTCTTGCCATTTGACCTCGAAAACGAAGACCTTGTTCTTCCAGGGGAGAAGGTGCCAATTAACTACAAGAAACCGCGTTATTTCGCCACGGAGCTCCTCAATTGCATGTTCCAGGCCGTGCCAGAGCTGGAGAAGATTCTGACGGTCAACGTGGACAGAACCAAAATCGATTTGTTCATCGATATCATTGGAAGCAAGAAAATGTTTCAGTCAAACGTTGACATGAAAATGCTTGACCAGAACCATTTCCCGATGCATGACAGATTGGCCCCAGGCGTGAAAATACTGAGCTTATTTGGAAAGAGCAAAGAACCTTTGTTCACCAAGCTATTGAGACCCAAGAACGCTGGTTCCGCGTTCGTGTCATATTGTGATTTTTCTATTTCCACACCAAGTTATTCGGTCGACAAGTTAGTCGATAAAGCCAATGCTGGGATCTTCAACCCATGGGGCCTGAAATGGAGCTCAGAAATAGCCAACCTGTTTGTATCAAAGTACAACTACTACACGTTGTTTGACTTGGAAGTGCGGAAAGACTGGGTTAACGAAGCGTTACAGTTGGTGCTTTCCAATGAATTGAGAGTCAAAATTGATCATGTGGTTGACTGGCGTAACAACTTCCGCCAGTACATTGAAGAAATGAAAGAACGTGATGGCCAAACGGTTTTTAGGGTCGAATCGTTTTGATATCAATTCCGAACAATGAAATGAAGCTAGTTACGAATGTACGAATAATGAACTTAATGTAGGAGGAGCCAATAACAAACAAGCAAAAAAAAAAAAAAAAAAATATACACGGCTGAAGATCCCAAAAGTTTTTCAGGATCAATACTGCCAAATCAATGCATAAAGCCAAACCTTCTATTGGGATAGCAAAACGGCAATAATCAAGGTTTCAGACTATAATAGATTATTGAGTTTGACAACGTTTATTTCCTCTGGTGTAGTGCATGAATCTATGGGTTGTAGAAATCCGTTTTCATATCATGAAGACATAAATTCAAACAAAACATCAGTCCGTGTACTTGTAGAGGATTAAAAGAGGTCTGGTTTTAGAGTTGAACGTCATCCTATACTAATATGTTACAGTATTAATTGACCATGCTTGTTATCCACTGAGCCATCATTTCTCCAAACATATATTCCGTGTCAATATGCATTTATTCCGTAGACACTAATTTATAGAAATGAAATGAAGAAGGCACATGGCCGATTGAACGATATAAGTTTCAGGGGCAATCAGCCACTTGGGCCAATAAAGGGCCTAGCCAAGAAGCTGCGATCATAAACCAACACCTATAAAGTACAGATGTCTTGCTGACCAGTCCAACATGCCCAGTAGTTTGACACCGAATGCACTTCACTTTTATCGTACTTTCTTTTTCTTTTTTTTTTTTTTTTTTTTTTTTTCAATTGCAATGCAAAGAAGAATACACAGTAACAGATCGGAACAGGCAACGACTCCGATTAAACTAACTAAGCAAAGTAGTCGTTGTACATATGCACACTACAATAGGACAATGGAGACCTTATTCTAGATTCGCGAGGTGGCAGAGAATGCAATCTCAAAGCGTCGAGAAAAATAAAAATCCACAAAATAATAAGGGCCAAAAAACCAACCCAGCGGTTCAAGAAATGCCCCGTCGGCTCCTGTAATTTTCACAAGCAATTTGTTCGCCAGATGAGATTTGGCCCAGAACTGGAATCGTGCATAAACGATCTTACCCGATTGGGACGCCGGCCAAATCACACACGGGACGCGAGCCCAAAAGGAAAACAAACCACGTCGAGAATCGCCGAGAAGCAGGGAAAAACAAATCCCAATCGGGGAGACGCCGCCCCGAAAAGTTAAAATAAGGCCCGTTTTTTCTCTTCGCGTCGCTTCAACAATCAATTAGACTATTTTTGGCGCGCGCGCTGCATGAGAAGACTAAAGAGACGCACTGCGAACTTCTTCTTTTAGAGCGGCCACCACGTATAAAAGCAGGCGCCTTGCAAACCGCTTCTTTTTTTCTTGTGCTCTTTTTCTTTTTCGCGCCGCCCGCCGCTCGAACTTGCCCGTCTTTCTTTTCTGTCCTTCCTTTTTTTCCACGCCTTCGCTCGCTTTCCTGGCCCATTTCTGTCCGTCGCACTAGACAGAACAACAGGCGGGCGCCAACCCAACCCAGAATTTACAGAATCCCGGCGTGATTGGAGGAAACACGAGAGGTTGCAAAAAAAAATATATCAATAACAACAACATCCAGCAAACAGAAGCAAACCCCTGCCCCTGGCGTCAAAAGAACAGGCGAGCGCAATTTGCAGCCTGTCGTTGCTGAGCAAAAATATTTCCTCCACAATAGTCGCACCTCGCACATCTCGCATTATTTACCTCCACGCCGAAAGTGTCCCACCCCCTCCTTTATGCACGGCCATGAGTTCCATGAGCGTCCATTCTCTCATAGACAAGTTCTCTGGTCATGATGAGCCTCCACGTGTCCGCAGCGGCCCGCCGGCGCTGGAATCGTCGGCCTACGGCAGACCCCAAGACCAGCCTGGTGCCCGCCGGTCGCCCCAGCACAACCCGCAAATGCAACCTCAGCTCAACCCACAGCCGCAGCCGCAGCCATCAATGCCTGCGCAACTGCAGGCACCGCCTGTGTTTCAGCACCAGCCGCCCACTCCGCAGCCGCTGTATTCCCAGCCGTTGCCGCCTCCTACGTTGTCTCTGGCCATGGTCACAGACCCTGCGCACCTTTCCCTTTTGGGCCCTGAATTTGCGCCCATGCCCTGGTCAGCATATGTGGAGGCCCTCCGCCTACGAACTGAACAAGAGCGAACGCGCCAGGCCCTGCTCAGGCTTGAGCTTGCATCGAAAAACTTGGCCATTGCCGAACTAGCGCTTCGCAACGATGTGCCTCCGCATCTTGTGCCCGGAATGTGTATGGGGGCAGAACCAGACCGGCCTGCTGGCCGCCAGAAGTCCCCTCACCTTGCTCCGTCGCCACATCTAGCCCCATCTCCCACATTGACGCGGTCCTACGAGACAGACAACGCCAGCCCCGTAGCGCCAATCAACTACCGCTTTGGCGGAAGCAGCAAACCTCAAGGAAACTTGCGCCGGCCCCTCTCGCCGGCGAAACTTGGCGCGGCCGCTGTAGCCAATTTGGCGCAGCCTGTGACGCCATATCGGCCATCCCACCGAACGCTTCCAACGCACCAGAGGCATTTTTCTATGCCTACTGAGACACTGTCGCCTCTGAAAGCGAGTGTCGACCGCAGGAGGCACCAGACGCTGCTTAGTCTGCAGCTTCAGCTGCCAACAGGGTCTTCGGCCCTTCAGGTGCGCCCATTACCAGCACAACCGCTCCGCAAACACACGAAGACCAATCAGGTGCCATCACAAGAGTCAATGTCATCTTTCCAGCATGTAATACAGTTCCATCACTGGCGTCCAGAAACAGATCGGCCCGAACGCGAGCAGACCAGTGTTTCATCCACACTGAGCCGTGGTCTGGTTTCACACAAGAGACACAAGAGCAATGAAATGTCGATCGATATTCTGGTGCCACAGGAGTACGCACGAGCTGCAGTGAAACGGGAAAAGAACGAAGATGTGCGGCAGAAGCAGGAGCCTGAACGGACAGAAGACATATCCATGGACGAAGTGACGATCACAGAAAAGCTGGAGCCAGCTCCAAGCCGCTTCCCCCACGACATTCTTCTGGAGAACACATGAAAGTCCGCAAGTAAAGGGCATGTTTCGTCACTGAAGCGAGCGTGGCGAGTTTGCGCAGTCAAATCCCACTATTTTCCACGTTACCTCCTACTTACAATTGCATTTCCTGATATTTTGCATTACTGCTTAGCTTGATTGATTGAGTTTCATTAATTGGGAACCGTTAAGCCCCGATAAGCCGTAAGGCGTCTTAAATTACGTCCTCATCACATCATTCATTATAGTCATCATCCATGCATTTCAGCATCTCTACTACATAATTTTACATTCATTTACTCATTTCATTTATCACACTCTGAATATAGTCAACATTGATACAGCAAAAGCGATGCGTCTATTTCTCTGAATACATTGGGTCAGCCCGTACAAAGAGCAGTTTGATGAACCATTCTCTTGTTCGATGAGAGGACTCATCTGTGGAATCGATACAAGGTTATTAACATAATCTTTGAGAATGAGAGAATTTCCATTGGCGATTTTAGACATTTGAGTAATGGGGGTTTGCATTGCGATGAGATAGGCCTGGCGATTTTAGACATTTGAGTAATTGGGGTTTGCATTGCGATGAGATACGTCTTGGAACAAACTATTCGAGGTTCAGATAAAACTTTTCAATGTTGACTTCGAGATTCTATGCATGGTTAGTTGTGCCTAACTGGTATAACCTTCCAGAGGAACTAGAAATCCAGATGAGAGGAACATTCCGAAACGAGAAGACGATCAGGACCAATCAGGACCAATCAGGACCAATCAGCTGACCGAAGCACTTTCCTACAAAGACTGACATCGACGGCAGAACCGATTTGGGTGGCCAGGCTCCTGGTCAGATGGATCGCTTCGATTCTTCGATTCTTCGATTCTTCGATTCTTCATTCTTCGATTCTTCGATTCTTCATTCTTCGATTCGTCGAACCTTCATTCTTCGATTCTTCGATTCGTCAATTCTTCGAAGCCTTCACTCTTCGATTCTTCGATTCGTCAATTCTTCGATTCTTCGATTCGTCGAACCTTCGAACCTTCAATTCGTCAATTCTTCGATTCTTCGATTCGTCGAACCTTCGAACCTTCAATTCGTCAATTCTTCTTCATTCTTCTTCAGTTGGCCACGTACGCCGCGTACGAGTCGTCTGCCATGGCCTCGACCTCCGCCACGTCCAACACCACCATCTCGTCGCCCGTCTGCGTGTCGTCCACCTTCTCGAACGTAATGTCCTCCTTCCGCAAGCCGGCCGTTTCCTTGCGCACGTCGTGTGCAAGCTGCCGAAGCGCCCCCTCCGACACGGCGTCGCTGATGAGCCACAGACACAAGTCGTCCAACCAGATCTTGTCGTACACATAGTACACGTCGTGGAAACGGAAGAGCTCCTTCACGTGCAACAACTCGCGGAGCACCATCCGCTTGCCGCCCCGGAGAACGTAGTACACGTCGTCCCACGTCTTCATGGCCACCTTGAAGTGGCGGTGGAACGGGTAGCACAAGGCGCGGCGCACGCCGGCCACCACGCACGCCTTCAAGAGACTGGCCGACGCCTCGCTGTGGATGTGCAACTGCGCGTCCAAGAACGCAAACTGCGGCACCAACTTGCCCACAGTCCAGGCGCTCTCGATGTTGCGCTCGCCCTCGTTCTCGCGGAGGTCGTAGAGGTGGGCGAAAAGCACCGACACCACGAGCGCGAGAAGCTGCGCCCGGTGCCACGGCTCCACCAAGTAGCTGCGGCGCGGAAGCTCGAGCATTTTCTTGTGCTCGTCGGGCGAGAACTCCACGGGCACCACGGTCTCGCGCTGGTCCTCGGCCGCCGCCTGCTGCTTCTTGTACCACGCCACAAACTGCCGCGTGGCCGGGCACTTCCACGCCAAAACACCGCCAAACGCCTTGTCGTCGTCTGCAGACGGGTGCTTCTCCATGATGTAGTCGGCCGCATAGTACTCCGGGTCGAACTTGATGTTCTCCTTGATGAGGCGCTCGAGCACGCGGTCGTTGGCCGCGGCCGACTCCGGGTCGCCCAACTCGTTAATGTCGTTGCCGTTGGCCACAGACACGCCCACAAGCTGGCTGTAGGCGTTGTTGAAGCCGTAGCCCGCATGCGCAAGCGGCGCCTCTGCCTGCGTCTGCTCGATCTCCCAGTCGTGCGCTTCGGCTTCCTGCGCCACCTGCGCCGTGTCCGAAACGTCGTTGGTGACGTCGAGCTCCTCAATGAGCGGCTTGGCCGCGGCAGCTGGGCCTGTCTCGTCTTTTCGGGCGAGAAGCTTGGCCACAAGGTCCAAGTCGGGGAAGTGCTGGCCGCGGATCTCCTTCGGGAGCCGGATGTCCACGGACGACGTTTTCAGGTTGAACTCGGCATGCGACCGTTCGTCGTCCACCACGGAGAACGGGAGCCGGAGCCGAAGATAGTACGGCGGGAGCGAGAAGACGAAAACGTCGCCGTCCGCAACCATCTCGATGGCCTGGGCCGAAAAGCGCACGCTGGCCACTTTCACCGTGATGAAAATGTACTCGTCGTCTTGCGAGACGGAGAAGGTGGGTGTGATCATGGGGGAAGAAAGATTTGGGACACTGTTACTTTGACAAATTAATGGTCAACCTCAAGATCAAGATGGAGGAATTGAGAAGATGGAGATCAAAATGACTGGAGATCAAATTGAGTGGAGATCAAAATTAATTAGAGATCGTTAATTGAAGAGATTGTCGAACAAAGTTGATTGAGCTAATCTGAGATAGTGAGGATTGTAAAGATTAGCAGACTAAGATTCGATGACGGCGTATCTGGGCCTGCGATGCCCTCAGTATGCACTCTCATCCATTTCTACAAAGCAAGGAATTCAGGATAAGAACGAACAAAGAAAGAAGCAGAAGCCAAAGAAACAAATCAACAAATCACAATTCACAAATCAACAAATCACAAATCAACAAATCACAAATCAAACGAATCGACGAATGGACGAATCAAACAACATTTGTCTACTCCTGCATCCGCCTACACTATCGCAGACTCCATCGCACCCACTTTTCCTGGCCATGTCTTCTGCCGAGACCGGAAAACCGGAAAAAACCGAGAAAAAACGCCGTTTCGTGGGTCGCCGGGCCGCCGCAGCACTGGGGGCTGCGCTTGCGCCGCAGCGCCGTCCCGTGGGCCGTGTGCTCAACCAGATCCCCCAGGACATTTTGGACGACCCAGACCTCAACGAAAGCATCAAGCTTTTGCCGTCCAACTACAACTTTGAGATCCACAAGTGCGTGTGGAACATCCGCAAGCACGGCGCGTCGCGCGTGGCGCTCCAGATGCCCGAAGGGCTTCTCATTTACTCGTTGGTGATTTCGGACATTTTGGAGCAGTTTTGCCAGGTCGAGACCGTTGTCATGGGCGACGTGTCGTACGGCGCCTGCTGCATCGACGACTACACGGCCCGCGCGCTCGACTGCGACTTCATCATCCACTACGCACACCTGTGTCTTGTGCCCATCGACGTGACCAAGATCAAGGTTCTCTACGTTTTCGTGACCATCGACATCGACGAATCCCACTTGGCCAACACCCTCAAAAAGAACTTCGACCGCGGCGCCCACATCGCCTGCTTCGGCACCATCCAGTTCAACCCCACCATCCACAGCGTGCGGGCCCGTTTGGAAGCCGACGCCGAAAAACCGCTTTATGTCATTCCGCCCCAGACGCTGCCATTGTCCAAGGGCGAGGTCTTGGGCTGCACGTCGGCCCGGCTCGACTCTACGATCGACGCCATGGTCTACGTGGGCGATGGCCGCTTCCATCTCGAGAGCGCCATGATCCACAACCCAGACATCCCCGCATACCGCTACGACCCGTACTCGCGCAAGTTCACGCGGGAACACTACGACCAGCAGCAGATGGTGGCTGTCCGGACCGACGCCATCAACACGGCGCGCAATGCCAAACGTGTTGGCCTTATCTTGGGAGCCCTTGGCCGCCAGGGCAACCCAGAAACGTTGGCTCGGCTCGAACGGGTGTTTAGTGCCGCCGGGATCGAGGTGGTGAAGATCATCTTGAGTGAGATTTTCCCGCAGAAGCTCGCGATGTTCGACGACCTAGATGCGTTTGTCCAGGTGGCTTGTCCTCGGTTGTCTATAGACTGGGGATATGCGTTTGAAAAGCCGTTGCTCACGCCGTATGAGGCCATGGTGATGATGGAAAAGGATGTGTGGACAGACGGGTTCTATCCGATGGACTACTATAAGAAAGATGGGTACGGCAGAGGGAAAGTGCCTGAACGAACAATTTAATAGATGTGCGAAGACTTCATCATTTGCTGACTTAGGAATCGCTACTTCAGGCGTTTCTGTTCCGAATCACTTCACACTGTCTTATGAAAATGTCTATCAGATGCGCATTAGCAATTACGGCTTAATGTACTATTTCACGGTTCAGAAAACTGCCGGGATTTGGGAATGTTTGGGATTCTAGGAAATGTAGGAAAGTCCATTTGCAAGACTACTCATTGTTACAGTTTTCAACTGGCCGTTTCTGGTAAAGATATGTCAAGTGACTTACGCTCTGAGAAGGACTTGTTCGAGTCATTCGATTGTGATCACCTTCCATACCCTTGTAAATAACCGTGCGTTTATTTGACGCTTCAACGTGTGAATTTGGTTAAGATTACATGTAGTAAAAATGAATTTACTTGCCATATGGACTTGAAACTTGAGGCAGTATTATTTGATATGTAACCAAGAGGTCTTTTATGATGCAGTCTGAGATGATCAATACTTCTTTGGATTCGAGTTGGTAGGTCTAGTGCCGTTCTTCCTGTACTGCAATTGCTTTGAAGGATTGTGCCGAAACGCTAAACATTCGTTTCTGGAACCTCGACACCAAGCAACGTGGCTACCTCTGCTGTGGTCCATGTCAATAACGGCTCGCCTAAAAATTCAACCACAATGGCCGAAAATAATTTGTAGAACTTGGCGAATTTGAGAGATGACGAAGTAATGATCTCATTGACGAGCATAGGACTGTTAAGTTTCATAAGTGACAGCTGAACATCAATAAGCGCCGATGGAAGAGCCTGCTGGATCACTGTGTTGGTGGAAGACACAGTTTCGGAAGTAAACAATTTGTTTTCCGTGATGGACTGATATATTGACGGCTCGAATAATTCGTCGTCCATAGGACAGATCATGCCAACAATATTGTAAAAGTCAGTGAGATTACAGTCCCTCAAGAGCGTTTGGAGCTGAAGCTCTTGAAGATCATTGCTGTAGTCCGAGATGCTATGGTTAACTTCCAAAACCTTGTCGTTGAGAAGGGCGAGAGGCATGATTTTGGTAAGCACCAAGTCCAAGAAGTTGAGGCGGAAAATCAAAACGTCTCTTTTCGTAAGCTCCTTCGCTGCCAGCGCAAGGTGCTCGTTGAAAATGCCAATGGGCTCGTTGACAATCAAATCGAGGAACTTGTTGTGTTCCTCTTGCGACAAGCCGAAGATTGTGGTGCCGTTTTCTGCATCGATCATGGGCAACACGTCGGAATAAAAATCCACAATCCACTCAGGCGGCTGCAAGTCCGGCGACAAGTCCATCTGGGCCTGGTTGGAGTTTTTCACTGTCATCAACCGGTTGTTTATGGTCATGACAAGCTTCGACTGCGCCAAGCGGATGGTTTCTCGCACAACATTGCAGATGGAATCGGCATGCTCCAACTTTTTATACATGAGGAGGTACAAGTCCAAGTGGCTGTAGATCTGATAGAGCATTGCTAGTTTTGTTTCTGCCGAGATCACCTTCTCTATCTGCGCCCGGACAGGCTTGACCAACGCGGAGAGAATTTTCGGCATGATGTTTTCGATGGTGGAAGAAAACTCGGCGCGGTTCTCGAAAACATTGTTGACAGTGTCTGTCTCGTTCACCACCACAGAATGCACGTACGCTAGCAAGTCAGCCACGTATTTGGCCGAGTCGTGCTGCGAGTAGAAAACCGGCCGGGCGTCGGCGGGAAGAGACGAGCCCGAATCGCCCTCGCCTGCTTGCAAGTTGAAATCTTGGATCAAAGCCTGAGACCGAGACTCCACAAACACGTCCACAACCTCGTCCAACTGCTTCGGGCGCTTCATCAAGTAGCGGAAACACAAATGCAAAGAGTCCACGCGGGCTCTGTTCCCGAGCAGAAACATGTTCGACAACGTTCTCTTACAGAAGGCGGTGATCTTGCCAAGCGCTCTGTCAATGAGCTCGTTGTTTTTCGCCATCACCTGGAGCCCAAGCTGCGGGTTGTCGAGTGCAAGAAGAAGCAGGCACCTTTCGCTGATTGCTTCGGCCCGAGCCAAAGCGGCGAAAAAGTCATCGTTGATGTCGTTGGCCGAGAGAACATACTCCTCGTACTCGTTGAGCGTGAACTGGCGGCGGAAGCTGGCCAAGAGCGCCTTCTTGACACCAAGGAGCTGGTTTTCTCGCGTGAGAGCGGCCACCTGCGCCGAAATACGGGCGCTGTCGCCGTCATCCGAGCCAAGCAACTGGCCTGTCTCCTCCACGGTCTGCTGCATCGCCGCCACCTGGTCGCCCAAGCTGCGGAGCCCCCGCATGGGCCGGGCGTAGTCTGCAAGCACAGCGGCCTGGCTTTTGAGCAAATCCGCCTCGATCTCGCCGCGCAAGTTTTTCCGGGCCATGGACCCGCCAACGCCCGGATCAACCATGAGAGCAAGATTGTCGAGGTGGCGCTCCAAGCGGGAAAACACGCTGGCCGTGAGCGAATCCGACATGGGCGGGTTCAACGCCCGGGCCAACCGTTTTGAAAGCGCTGATGTTCGGACGTTTTCCGTTTCGGGCGCAGGCAGAGCAGCCAGATCTGCAGCAGGCGACTCGAGCTGGCGGAGCGAGAGCGACGCGTACTTCTCGGCGAGCTTGGTGGGCGCTTCTTCGGCGGCCGTGGCCGTTTCTGGCGTGTGGCCAAGAAGACTTTTGAACTGGTTGAAATGGGCGAGTTTGGAGCCCAAGTTTTCGATGTTGGATTTGAGCGGTAGCGAGAGCGCCGGCTGCGGCGAGGGGAGCGCATCGGCCTCGGAAAAGGTCTCGAAGGCGACGAAATCCATGGGGGTTTTTCTTCAAAGTGAAGATTGGTGTTGTGCACTATTATCGCGCTTTGAGAAGCGAAGTGAGAAGGAAGGTGGAAAAGTTCAAATGTAGTGGGAATTTCATAAGGAACGTTATTGAAACTTCGATTACTTTGAAAACCAATCTGGAATGGATTGATCGAATATATGACCAATGGTACTTATACTATCAATGGTACTAAACTATCAATGGTACTAAACTATCAATGGTACCAATACTATCAATGGTACTAATACTATCAATGGTACTAATACTATCAATGGTACTATAAATGGTACTATAAATGGCACTATCAATGGTAACTAATACTATCTATCATATTCATATCGTCTACAACCAGAAGCGTTAATAAATTCGAATTGTAGAACGGCAGAAACACTAACAACAGACAATTGAAACGGTATAGAAGGGTTATGGAAGTGCGATCTTACTGGTTACTCTCAGAATTTTGAACAGCACATTCAATTGAGCAGAAGAGCGTTTCGACTCGTCTGTTTCCCGGACCAATCGTCTGCTTGTTTTTCTGATGTAGTCGTTTCGTCTTCATTACTCATACTTTGATCACCTAACACCAAAAGGGTAAATGTATCCAACTTTAGTTTTAACCACTTGTTTTACTGGTAGTACCTTGGATAGTCTGGCTTTGCCTATTCTCTTTGAGTGATAGCTCTAGCCGGATTTTCTTCGATTTTATCGCAGGATTCTCTTCACCTTTCCGGAATTTCTCCACTTTTCTTGTTGCCTGAATTTCTTTCTATACTTGTTAGCTGGATTTCGTTTCTTGCCTTATTCCATCTTCATCGCCGCCATTATTTACCCTGCTCTAACATGCTTAGTCTTAACCTCTACTTTGTAGTCTCGCATTTGGCATTCTCCGATCTCTTCCCTTCGCCGCCTATAGCGTTTCTAAACTCGAAGATTTCGACTCTCTTCTGAAACTTGCATGTTATCTTTAATCGAGGATGGATATTTGCTTCTTGAAGCGTCGAAGAGGCTCTTCATTTAGTTCCAGGGTCTTTATGTTTGTCATTATGTCACCCATGGTCTGAACTGGTTTTGTCCTCTTGATTTTAATACCAAATGCGTGAGCTGTTTTATATGGCTTGGATTTGATTTTTCTAACTTTTCTGCAATTTGCCTTCAAATGTTTCAGACTTAGTGATGTAGAATGCTCCTTCCAATCAGAAAGACGAAAGAGAATCCACTAGGGCACTTGAATACAGAATTTCGAGCTTTATCGTTAAACAGGATGTAATTTATTTTCTTCTTACTTATGGCCCCCGTTATGTTCGCCCATTGTACTCCTTACTTTTTAATTTTTGATTTTTTTTTTTTTTTGGCTTGTGGTGATTCTATCTTACAATTGGAATAGGCAAATCGTAGTTCACTCTGAGTAGTAAGCTGAGATTATTGATTTTGAACAAAAAAAAAATACTGATTTGATATGAAAGCTTCTAATTCAAGGTTGCAGTGACGTTTCTCTACCATCTCTTACTTGTCGATGATTGTAGCGCAAGAAAAAAACGAGTTCAAGAGAAAAGGGAGTTTAGTCTTCTCTGTTTCAAGTATTTATGATACCATGAACATGAAATAGCAACTAGTGATTTGCCCGATTTGAAAGTACAAGAAACCTTTATGTTGACAATGTATTTCCTTTGCCAATGAGAGCTTGAGTTTTCCTGAAACCAACTGATTTATTCAGCTTCAGCAATACAGGTAAATTGTGATAGTCTTGTTAAGAAACTCTAATACTTTATGGGCCAAATATGTATGAATAATCATCCTGATGTTTCAAGGACAGAGTTGTCCTGGGATATAGGATACCTGGAATATAGGATATCCACACAATACTTAGTCCTCAAGCTTCAAATGAGTTCTGAGTGTTTCTATCCTCTGTTAGAAGAATCTCGTTTGGCCATTTTCTCTGAATTCGAACTTCTGATTTGCCATATCTCTTATTGGCTTTCAAACATTTCATTCACAAGGTCTGAGTGAAAGGTGATAATTGATTTATAAAAAATGACATGGATAGAACACTGGTTAGTGCTAATGGTCTATTTTCATTTTTGTGTAGAAAGTCGGATGGAAAGGTTTGTCTTGCTACAATGGAAGTTGGTCTAGAATTCTCAACTCTGATTGTCACGTCAAACCACATTCCGTAAACATAAAAGATACTCTCCTCCAATTTTTCAGCCCTAATATAACTATAAGACTAATCATTTAAGCACAGAGAGAAATACTGAACATCAGATGAAATACAATTGGGCCAAGCTTCTCGTTCAGTTCTAAAAGTGTTCCTGGAAATTGAATTGAAGCGCAACACTTTGCCATAGATAAACGACTACTTCAAGTGTTTGCTTTCATTTTAAGAAAATCATTTGAGATGCATTTCTTTCCACGTGTTCCGTATTATTTTTGAATTCAGAGGGGACTTGAGATGAAAAGCATTGGGTGTTGAAAAATGGGCTAGAATAGTGCTGGAATAGTGGGCTGGATTGAGGAGCTATGATGTTGGACTAGAATCATATGTCGGCTGTACTAGCCCCGGATAAAGACTAGATTCTTAATGAGCTATATCATATGAAAACGAGACTAGAGTTCCTACTAATTGTGAAATTTGAGATAGAGAGGGAAGAGAATGTCAATTGGTCTAAGTTCTTGAAGAACCTGAAACGTTAAGTAGAATGAAAACATCAAGATCGGTTTTCCATTGAGAGATGGAAGTTCAGGAGCGAGCTCGTCAGTAGATTTATTTACATGTGTTTAAGAAAGTGGTCCAATTCTGACTAAGCTATTTGCAAAGAGTTAACTTGCAAACTAAGCGCATATCAAGCAATACCTCAATCTTTCCCGGATGAAAAGCGGGCAGAGGCAACCCAGAACAAGAAACATAAAATGGAAGAAACAAAACAAGAAAAATGCAAAAGAATCCCAAAAAATGGAAAAAAATGGAAAAAAAAAAAAAAAAAAAAAAAAAGACACTGAACAAAGAACAATAGCACTGGTCCACACCATCTACATCAGAGGCATATTTTTTTCTCTTCTATTTTTGTCCGCAAGCAAACCGGCACCTTCATTCGGAAAACCTCCGGAAAACACCTATGTGTTTTGTTGCTTGCTGATTCTGGAATGACAGACCAGGCGGGGATTAAGCCGTTATGCATGACAAGTGGAGATTGCCCGATGCAAAGAAGCCTCTTTTGACGAAGTTTTCTAGCGCGTAGCGTGGCTGAGGCTGGGCTGCATTTGCATACCTGGATCCGTTGAAGACAATGGAGAAAATTTTCTTGTGAAAACTCCCCGGAAAAAGTGAATGGGCAAGGAAGCGTAAGACACTTCAGTTGATGGGTTCTGGCGCAATTTTTATTGTCCCGAAGTTGACGCCAGTGCCGACACGACGAAGCTGTTGATCAGACCATCCACCTGTGACATACAAATGTGTACATGTAGCATCACAATCATAGTTAGTTTCGACAGACCTCTGAAATTGCTGACAATTGATTACTGACAATTGGACCAAATCATAGAAGTCGTCTTCCTTAATGAACACGCTCTAAGTAAGAAATCTTGTAAGTCAGCAAAGTTAGCGTACCTTTCATTTCAGGTCACTAAAGGGAAATAGGCAAAGATACGTTTTCTTTCTGGCAACAAAAGAGAACGTTCCAAGGCCTTCCAAGTGAAGATGGTTTTCTCATTAGCATTTGTATGTTTTCGACCTATTTTAAGAGAATTCTGTGCTGATAGACTCAGACATGCGAAGCTTCGCCAATATGGAAGAAGCTCATCTCGTTTACTGGCCACATATATGATAAACATTAGTAACTTTTCGCTCGTGTTTACTCCTTAAATTCACTGGTCATTTGACATTTATCTCTTCTATTGATAGTGTTAAGCAATGATGGAAATTGACTTTTAGAAGTACCTCAGAACATACAGTTATGAGTACGCACTTGCATAGTCGAGCCAGTACCAGAACCATGTAGATCACCGCTTTTTTCCTAAGGAACTAACTAATTTTGATCCTCGTCGGCTCAATGTGCTCTCAGCTCGACAATTGACCAACCACAATTGACCGACCACATGACCACAATTGACCGACAATTGGATTACTACAAGTGGCCACTCCTCCAGACCTACTGACTCGGAGAAAGTTCTTTAATCGGAACACCTTGTCGTACCACACTTTGATCTTGAGGTCTGCATCTCACTTCTCTCTTCTCTTCTCTTCTCTCTTCTCTTATCTTCTCTCTTCTCTTATCTTCTCTCTTCTCTTCTCTTCTCTTCTCTTCTCTACTTCTCTTCTTCTCTATTCTCTTCTCTTCTCTACTTCTCTTCTTCTCTATTCTCTTCTCTTCTCTACTTCTCCTCTCTACTTCTCTACTTCTCTTCTCTCTTCTCTTCTCTTCAGAAACAATCTATGTCTATGTACCCAGATATATCACTAGCTGAGAATGTGGTCGATGCTCATTTTGTTGCTGGGCCCGCTCTGGCTCAAGCGCTGGAGACACCGCGACGCATTGACAATGTCCATCATTTCCGAATAGCTCAACTCGGGCGACGCCGGCACCCGCGGGACGTTTGTGCTGTTTTTCGCCGACGCCAGCGGCGACCGCTGGGAATCCAACGGCGACCGCTGGAGCTCCAACGGCGGGCGATGTGGGTCCAAGGGCGACCGCTGCGGGTCCTCCGATCGGGGCGGCGCAATCGTGTAGGCGGCGCCGCGGGAAAACGACGCGCGCGCAGAGGGCGGCGCGGCGTCCGAGAACGAGTATGTGCGGGCGCCGCGCGCCGAGGCGCCGCCCGAGGCACCGCCCGAGGTGCGGCCGTAGCGGAGCTCGCCGAAGCCCGCGTCGCCCGGCGCAAGACACTCGGCCGGGAAGTCTGCGCCAAAAAGCGGCACCAACTGGAAGCGGATGTAGTAGCAGAAGCGGCGCGCGAGGCGGCGGCACAAGGCATGCGGCACCCAGGTGCCCTGGATCTTGAGAAAACCACCGCGGACCCGCTTGATGCTGGCGTGGAGCTCTTTGGGCGTCGACTCGAGCAACTTGACGATATCGGCCTTGGGCGGCGCGCGCAACTTGTCGTGGTCCGCCTGCGGACTGTGCTGTTGCGCGGCGCGCCAGAGACTGGTCAAAAGAACGTTGCCCGTCTCGTGGTCCCAGATGATCCACTGGGAGCCGACCTGGTACTCGTAGACGGACAAGTGGGCGCGGTCCGGGTCCAAGGCGGGCGCGCTGTATTGTTTGGCGGTGATTTGCAGGTAGATGCGGCGGAGCGGCGCAAGCTGGTGGGGCGGGATTTTGTCTTCGGGCAACGGGTGGATGGGGAAGTTGGCCGGGCGCGCGAGCGGCCACGAGTGCAGTTTGGGCAGCACGGCGCGCGCGAGCGAGCGGCGGCGGCGCTTTTTCGGCGCGGGCGCCACGAAGCGGAAGCGGTCGAAGAAGTCGCGGTCGCGGCCACAGTCGGGGCCAAAGTCGGGCGGGAGCGGGAAGTGCGTGGTCAAGTGGGAAATGGGCGGCAAGCGGGGCATGGTTACTATGACTGGAACGGTGGATTAGAACTGGTAGAACTGGACTGGTAGAACTGGTAGAACTGGATTGTACTCCGGTGCCACTGCGAATAGTCTGATTGAGTCTGAAGTCTGATTGAGTTTGAATGAGTTGTGAGTTGAATGAGTTGTGAGTTGTGAGTTGTGAGTTGAATGAGTTGAGTTGAATGAGTTGTGAGTTGTGAGTTGTGAGTTGAATGAGTTGAGTGAGTTGTGAGTTGAATGAAGTCTTTGAAGTCTGATGAGTCTTCTGCCTAATAGTCGTCTCAAATTGAATGTCTGACTGCCAATTGAAGTCTTCTGCTGATTGAATGTTTAATCTGATAATCCTGAACGTTAATCTGGTAATCTGCTGAACGTTAATCTGATACTTCGGAACGTTGATAATCGGAATCTTTGAATAATCCCTGTCAGTGGATCAGTCGGTGGCTCGGATCAATGAAGCCTGCGCGTCGGATAATCTGGTTTGCGAATCCAGCTCAGCACCACCGGTAGAAGGGGAAAACGGAACGAAATATGGAGCGTGGACGGAACGGACGCTGAACTTCAAGAACTTCAAGAACTTGGCAAGACGCTTCTCGTGCAAACACCGAAAAATACAGCAAGCGTCCTTCTCCAGATACGCCGCATCTTAAATGTTCAAGGGATGAGGGGAGAAGACATGCCAAAAGGCCGGCGGTGCTTCTTCGCAGGCATCCCTGTGCCGCGCCTAAAGGGGCTCCCCTACATAGAAATCACTAGTGAGAGCAAATGCACCAGGCGGCACGCATGGCGCATGATCATGCCGAGCCACAGGCGTCCTGTAGCAAAACGTCTTCTTTGCTCCTCCGTCCCGCCGCCTCAATTTCAAGCATGCTGGCGTGTCCCGCTCAGACACACACGCCGGCCGCTTCAAGTTGCAAGATGAGGCGCGCACACCTTCATATCTCGTCCTGTCTTTATCTCTCGTCCTGTCTTTATCTCGTCCTGCCCTTTGTATCTCGGCCTGCCGCCACATGCAACATGGGGAATGTGCCTCTGCCCCTGGTGCAGGCGCCATCTTTGTGCGCTTCGCATCTCAACCCAATGCACGATCCCAAGATAGCACAATGGCAGGCCGTGGAACTTTGCGGGCCCGCGCATTATCGTTGTGTGCTGCTGCAATCTCACATCGGTCCACTTTGGCAGCTTGTCCCACTTGAAACACCGTCTCGGAATTGTCTGCTTGTGTGCAGCAGACGAACAAGTTTGCAGATGCCCAGGGCCCGAGTGCGGCGGTTAGGCGCGCGCGCAGAATCTATCGCCGCGCCGCAGCAGCTGTGGCCGGCTCTGCATCTGGTTTCATGCCTCGGAGAAGATGAAGTGGTTTTTTTCGACCCCTCGATGCACCCGTCCCGATTGGGCTGCCGCTCACGCTTGCTGTGCGGCGCTACGCTCTTGTGTACAGGAACAAAGAGATCAATCCCAGGGATTTCGGCCCAGTGGCCTCCACAAACAAGACAAGAAATTGCGAAACTGGTCAGCCCTTTGCTTCCCTCATTATGTCATTTATTATTTCTTTTCTTTGCCTTTATTTTTTGCATCTGTTTTTCCCCAAGCGTATTGTCCTGCTTTCTGGCGGGGCTTCATCTCTCCTGATGCGCAGAATTGCGCTTGTGCAGCTTCGTGCAAGAGCTGTCGCTACCACTTTCTCAAGCAAAGATTCGGAGATCGTTGCCTCCGGCCCAATGCAGAATTAAGGTTTTCCGCAAATCCAGAATTCCCGCGATATCCACGTCTGGTCATGTGTGTACTGGGCCATACGCTTACACTTGTCTTCTCTACCACGTGGCGCATGACGCGCGCACTGCACACGCGCCGCGATAAGACGCTGGTTGCTGCACTGGCTGCATGCCGCGTTGTACAAACGTATTGGGGAACTGGTCCGACTGGTTTGTCTAGTGGACAAGGTTATTTTTTCCGTACAATATTTTTCGCCGCTGCATTAGGGATTGTAGTCTTGGATCTGTGGGTTGAGCGAATGGAAAGATAGTGCGGAATATGTAGTAGAATAAGTGCTAAAAAAGTGCTAGTAGAAAAAAGTGCTAGTAGAAATAAGTCTAGTAGAAAAAAGTGCTAGTGGTCCAGTGCTTTGCCGCAATATTCATGACCTGCGATCGAGATCAGAGCTTGTGGAAGAATGGTCACCATGCTGATGCCATTGATGGTGGACATACTGTTTTAACTGGAACATGTCGTAGATGCTGTTCAGTAGGATGACCGTCCAATCGAGTCAGCAAACCATTCCGGGCAAGAGAACGAACCCTTCCACCTGCTGTTACAGTATCGAAGTTCCCCAATTGCATCCAAGTCATCTTTCCAACGACCCGAAATAACCTTTCAGTCTCAAACTCTAAGGACGACAACGCTTCGTCGCATGTCGTCTCCGTCACTCTATTACTCTATTCTTCACGTCTACTCTATTCTTCACGTCTACTCTGTTTACTCTATTCTTCACGTCTACTATTTCTTTTACGTCACTCTATTCTTTACGACTATTTCTTCTCATTCATGTCTTCTTCTATACAGACACGCTGTACTTCAAACGGTCGGCCACAGCATCCAAAAACTCCGTCGTGGTCACATACGCCTCGCGGTTTGTTTTGCCACAGGCCAACGCCAAGTCCTTGGTCATGATGCCGTCTTCTTGCACAGTGGCCACCGTGGCCTTTTCCAACGTGCTGGCAAAGTCCACCACGTCGCTGGTTCCGTCAAGACGGCCTCTTTGCGCAATACCACGCGACCAGGCGAAAATCGACGCAATGGAGTTGGTCGACGTTTCCTTGCCTTGCTGGTGCTGTCTGAAGTGGCGGGTGACGGTTCCGTGCGCCGCCTCGCTCTCGTAGGCCTTGCCGTCTGGAGTCATCAACGCCGACGTCATGAGGCCCAAAGAGCCAAATCCTTGGGCCACAATGTCGGACTGCACGTCGCCGTCGTAGTTCTTCAAGGCCATGACAAAGCCGCCCTTGGACTTGATCATCTGCGCCACCATGTCGTCGATCAAACGGTGCTCGTACCACAAGCCGTTCTGCTCGAATTGCTGCGCGTACTCCTGCTCGTAGATGGCCTGGAAAATGTCCTTGAACCGCCCGTCGTACTTCTTCAAAATGGTGTTCTTGGTCGACAAGTACAACGGCAACTTCTGGCTCAACGCCATCTTGAACGACGAGTGGGCAAACCCTTCAATGGACTCGTCCGTGTTGTACATGGCCAACCCGACTCCGGCCGACTTGTAGTCGTAGACGGTGTGCGAAACAGGCTCGCCGCCGTTCTTGGGCGTGAACACGAGCTCCAACTTGCCCGGCTCCGAGATCACCAAGTCCGTGGCCTTGTACTGGTCGCCATGCGCATGTCTGCCAATGACAATGGGTTTTTCCCAACCGGGGATCAAACGGGGGATCCGCGGGATGATGATGGACTCGCGGAACACCGTGCCGCCCAAAATGTTGCGGATGGTGCCGTTGGGCGACAACCACATCTTCTTCAAGCCGAATTCGGCCACACGAGCCTCGTCCGGCGTGATGGTGGCACATTTCACGCCGACACCGTACTTTTTGATGGCATTGGCCGCGTCGACGGTGATCTGGTCGTCTGTTTTGTCACGGGCCTCGATGCCCAAGTCGTAGTACTTCAAGTCGACGTCCAAGTACGGGTTGATCAACTTGTCCTTGATGCGGGCCCAGATGATTCTGGTCATTTCGTCGCCGTCCAATTCGACAATTGGGTTGGCGACTTTGATTTTGGACACGGGCGCGGACGCGGAAAAGAAGCGCCGCGGAATGCTTTGGCTGGCTCTCAACATGGAAAAGTGGTGGGTGGTTGGTATTTCGGCGGTAGGTATTTATGTCGATATTTCGGATATCTGGTGCGGCCTGTCGCCGGTATCGGCGTGAGTCAGCGGTGTATGCAGGAGAGATAACAGAGGAGACAAAAGGATTGGGAGATAACATGGAGGATGGAGAAGATGTGGAAAGCTCATAGAAAGGGGGAAAGGAAAATAGAGGAATGTCGAGGAAGAAGGCGGCAGAGGCCATTTCTGAAAATGGTGGAATTTGGGAAAATCTAGTGGGTGCGAAATCACCTGAGGAAGTTCCGTCTATTAATCAGCCAGAGATTTAGCAATGCTGAAGAAGGTAAACTAAAGCCAGAGAAACTTAAGCATGCCCGAAAGACTGTAAACTAAATAGTCAGTAAGTTATTCGTCATTAATCATCTAGGTGAGACAGTAAACTCTCTGAACAAAGGCTATGACTTCGACACTAATACTGTGGTAATTCGGACATGAGTCATTCATGCTTTGGTGAACTCGGTGAGATTTGTGTAGAGACTAACGGTACAAGTGATTAGGGAGCCAGTTGTCGATAGCATTCATAGTAGGGGGTCAATTGAAGTTAGGCCAAGCATGGCCGTTTCAGTGGATTTGACAAAACGGAACGGCAAAGGCAATGGCCCCTCGAGGCAGTCTAAATCAACCAGCAGATCACGCATCACATATATTTATCGTAATCGTTTTAGTAAAGACTAACAAAAGTGATCATTCAGCCAAAATAACGGCATGGCAAACTTTCCCATTATCTACATGCTCAATCACGAAACATTTCTACTTTGTATACTTCTTGTAAATCGATCTTCTTTTTCAATTAAGTACATTTTTCTCTCATAACGCTAACTTTGTTTCAACTCTAACTGATCACTGCGACTGGACACTAAATTAGCTGTAGCTCACCACTGAACTAGGACAAGCGTCGAATTATTATGCATGACCGAAAGAAGATCAGCCAGTAAATATGAAAAAAAAAAAAGAATTAAGTCTTCTTTGGGATGGCGTTGCCGACAGATCTAAGGCAGTTGGTTCTCGGCCCGAATATGCATATTCAAAGCCCACTAATTAATGCGCACAAGTCAATTTCATACTAAGAACACGAGACTTCGTGTTTGTTAAGGTATTTGAGCTGACAAAGATTATTGTCTTCCAATTAAGTAATTGCCCATCGTTTTGGTTCAGTGTCAACTCAATTGACCAATCCGAGACTGACTATTTAGCTTCACCACTGACTTTTACCACTGACTTTTACCACTGACTTTCACCAAAAAATTCTCCCTTGATTTATTTATCTACATCTTTTCTCTTCCCTTCCTCCTCTTGCTCCTCTCCTTTCTCTCCTCTTTTTCCCTCTTTTTCCCTCTTTTTCCCTCTTTTTTCATCTTCCTCCTCTTCCTCTTCCACCTCTGGCCCCACGTGACCACCCGCGCAGCATACCACAATGTTTTTCCGTCTTCTCTTCTCCCATCTGTCCTTCTGTTGTCCATCCCCGCCATCTTTTTTCTTCTCGTAGACAAAGTTCTCGCCACGTAACCTGTAACCGGCCTCTTACCATGAGCGAAGAGCCCTTCAGTGCCGAGTACTTTCAACACCTACTAACATCGCTTACGCTCAATTCCAGAGCCTTGATTGTGGAGCTCACAGGCTTGGCAGAAAAACACATTGACCATGCTGCTGTGATGGTGCAGCTTATCGAGGAGCGCATCGCCCGCATCCTCCCCAAATACAAGCTCTACAGCTTCTACTTGTTGGACTCCATAGTCAAGAACATTGGCAACCCTTACAACTTGTTGTTTGCCGCCAACCTCTACAAAAACTTCACCGACACCTACTTGATTGTCACCGACACGGCCACGCGCCAGAACTTGATCAACTTGTTCAAAACCTGGTTGACGGGCAAGACGTTGGCTGGCCAGGACTTGTTCCCGCAAGAGATCTTGGCGAAGATCGAGAAATTCATCATCAAGGCCACGTCGCTCAACGCTGCAGCGCCCGACGCCGGCGCCGCCCGCATCTCCAGAGACGCCTTGCTACGAGAAGCAAACTACTTGTTGCAGTATGTCATTGCTTTGGACGACGGCGTCGACAAACTAGCGCAGGCGCATCTGCTTTCGGAAAACAACACGGCCTTCGTGCAAGAGTGCCGCCGGGCCAGAAACACCATGGTCTACGACATCAACAGTATCAGCGAGTCGGTGATGATGGAAAGCAAAGCGGAATTCGACGCCAAGAAGGACTCCTACGCTCTTCTGCTCCAGAAAATCCGTCGGACGCTCGACGACCAGAGCTTCCAGCAGCAGGATCTTGTGCTGCGCCTAACGCGGGCGCTCGAGCTGAAGGTGGAGCTCAATCTTGTGCCCAAACATGTGGATGTGTTGATGATTTTGGGCGTTTCCGCATACGACGAATTCGACACGTTTTTGGCCCAGTGGGGCAAGATCCCAGTCCAGACAGCGCCAGCGGAAACAGTGCCAGCAGTGAAAGACAGTGACAGCAAGACGGGCGCAGAAAGCGAAACTGCAATAGAAACAGAAACAGAAGCAGAAGCAGAACCGCGCAGCCCGGAAACCACAGCCAGTTTGGCATCCACTTTTGGCTTGAACATGGACTCATTCAACTTTGCGGACTCTTTGCTCGGGAGCCCGAAGAATGAGATCCGCCACATGCGTCTGAATCTGTACAGTGACGATCTGATGGACGAGGACGAATATGATCCAGAAGAAACGCTTAACGAAGTAGACGGAAGACATAGTCCGCCCAGCAGCGCCGGACCTGTCTTTGCGGGGAAATCCAGCATGAAACGGCCCGCCAACGGCGAAGAACGCGTTGTCAAGAGGGTGCGTTTCGATTTGTAAGACAGTTTCCTTCGCTTATAATTGTCTTGACTCTCCACTATTAAAAATTAGACTAAGCAGAAATCTGCCCAAATGCATGGCTCAGCCGTAACTTGTATACTCGACTATTGAGTTGGTTAGCTCTATATTCACAGTAATTGTGTCTGATGATACCTCATTTTCAGTTCAGTGTATATTAGTTCATAATAGAAGGCCTCTTATTTTCGTCTTTGAAGATAGTAGGCCAAAGTTCAACGAGCCAGGAACTTCAAACTGCTCAATTGAACACTGCAGACTTTCCATTTACTCAAATTACGCAGTTTCGGTTCCTCTACCCGATTTCTCAGTTTCGTATTTATGATTTCCGTCTACTTGCAATCTTCGGAAAGCCAATTCATATTCGGTTCAGTTCAACTTAGCTTCTAAACTCTGCAAAATACGTTACGTTGGCGGGATGAGGATCTATCTTTCATTCTCCATCTTGAATCTACTTGGAATCGATCCCGATGATAAACCCATCCATACATTTAACATCCATACATTTAACATCCATACATTTAAGATCTTCCTTGCACCTGCGGTTGGAGATTCTCCCTCCCTCTCTCTCTCTCTCTCTCTCTCTCTCTCTCTCTACATCTCCTCTGTCAGATGTTCATTCCTATAAACGACGGACTCCGTCTATGCAACGAGGCCGAACCTAGTTCAAGTTACCGGCCTTCTTCATGTGCCACCACGAGGTCAAAAATGGGAAAGCGAAAAAGAAGCCAAAGACTCCCCACCAGCCCACACCAAAGGGGATCTTGGAGGTCTTAACCTTGAAAGGCAAGTTGGAGTAGAGACCCTCCTTTGGGGTACCGTAAACGTTGCTCATGGCTCTGGCCGAGGTCTGGAATCCTCTGGCGGCTCTTGGGGTTCTCAATCCGATTCTGGCAATCATTGAATATGTAGCGGAAATTGCAATGGTATTTTTTTTTTCTCCTAACATTTATCGTGTTAGTAGGTGGACCCACCTGGCGCGACACCCGTGCACCACGGCTTCCATCCTAGCTTTTGGTGCACGTTCATTGGCTGCGCGCCTTTGAAATGGTGAGAAAAAAGTTGTCCCACCTTTGGCCCTGTAGATAGCGCATTGCACCTCTACAAAAAAATACCTTGTTACTACTGTTCATCCGTTTTAGAAAATGTCTGCCATTGCCCCAATCACCGGAACTTTGAAGAGAAAAATTATTGCCGACATCACCACCGGCTTCGCCTGCGGCTTTGTTTTGGCCGGCCTTTACTGGAAGTTTGAGCACAGAGCCATTGTGGAAAAGAGAGAGGCTTTTTACGCCAAGTTGAAGGCTGAAAAGGACGCCGAAGACTCTGTTTGAACAGGTTTCCTTAGCCATCGTGCCGTTTCCACTTACTTGCATATTCGCCAATACACAGACCGTCGACTCTTTGTAGGAGCTTTCTTGTCACTGACTCACTGACTGTCACTGTCGTCAACTTTGTCAATATTGTTCTCTTCTAATCTTGTGCCAGCAATACATGTTCAGACTGTACGTCAAATTGAGCGGTGTGCATCTGTTCGTATATAGCTGGCCTTGGAGATATTGCCGAACTAGTAGGCCAAATTATTCAGCAATTACATCTTTGGGCTAATTCCACCTGCCTCATCCAGTTTCGGAATTTCCATGGGAAATCGAAGGTTTGGGGTGCCAATCTACCAATACGTTTTGGTCAATTCAAACCGATACTTCATAAATTGGAGATCTAATAAACCAACATATGTAACTTCAACCCTAGTCTGTTTAGGATAATAGAGAACAGAATAGGACGACCAGTTTCGAATGGCCCAATCAATGCCGAACTCAGTCAGACTATCAGAGAACATAAGGCAGGCTCATATTAATACATGTACTCTCACCATTAATTCTTTAGCTTGAGATTGATCAAAGCTTGGTCAAGCCAGTTGACTTTCCAGTATTAGTTAAGAGACTAGCTTGTATTTTATTCACCATCTACATCAATCTTCATCCGTTATTCTGTTCATCTTCTCAAACTGTGTGCATTTCATTTAATTCGGCATTCGTCTTACGTAAACGACATTTGGTCCACCACAGAGAAAAGCTTACGGTTATTGACAAGTCCGCTGGTCACCACCAAAAGTTTCCTATTGCCAAGCCTCGACTGAAGATGGTGCAAAACACTAATCTCGCTTCGGGTGATTCCGCCCAAAACAACCACAATCACATACTGCTGTCTCGCATCTGTAGCAATTCCGTTTTTGCGCATGTCCAGCTCGTCACATATATTGCGGTCAATCGTGTGGCCCCGGAACATCGTGTCCAAGTTGAGGTTTTCCCAATTGGGTCTTTTGGATATGCTGGTGACCGGCCTGTACTTCAAAAAATCCCGAAAGTAAAGCGACTCGACAATCCGCCCCATCAATGGAACTGTGCCAGACGGCAAGGTGAAGGACGGCAGTCTGTAGTCCAGAGCGTCTTCCACGATCCCCTGTGGCTCTTCATCGACCGGATGCAAGTTCCAGAACTTGTTGATGAGGGTATAGGTGCTTTTATAGACGTCCTGGGCTGCTGTAACGCCGAGAAGGGAGATTTCGTCGTAAGTCCGGACCTCGGCAGCTTCCCGCCGGGCGCCTGCGCCTTGTGCCGTCGAAGTGGTTGTGGTTTCGATTTCTGTCTTTCCAAAAGTGAAGGTGCCGAAGAAGTCGTTGGACCGAACATTGACTTTGATGAGTTTGCATGCAATGAGCTTTTGGAACATCAAAAGACACTCGAGGCCAAAGTTTAGGTGCACCTCGGTTTCGAGCAGATCAAGATCCTTCTGCTTGATTCCGTCGTTGATTAGCGAAACAAGAACGGCAAAGCTTGCCACAACAGGAAATGGCCCGTACTGAGAAAGAAACCGGCGAAGCTTGGCAATCTGCTGTTTGTAGTCGAGGTCAAAGATTTCGTTCTGCAACTCGAGCCACTGCTCGCGCAAATTGTACTTCTCGTCGCCTGCCTTGTTTTCTTTCATTTTCTCCAAGATGGCCTCGCTGAGCCCTGTATGTTTTTTCACCATTTCTTGTTTGGTGGTGAGATTCCCCAAGTTGCTCACAAGCTGCTTGATTTCTTGCAAGTCCTTGAGCTTGTCGCTGTTTTCATATTCCAGCTGGATATACCTCGCGAGCTTGTTGAGCTTGACGCCAATTGAAGCAAAATTCAAATGCTTGAGATTGTCGTAGAGTTCGTCCAGAACTTTTTCTTTGTTGGCCAAGATCTCGTTGAACTCGTCTTCCGTGCCAAACAAATCGTCCAAAAGCCCCATGTAGTTCAGATGGCTGAGCAAAAGCGGGAAGTAGTCCAAATTGCGCTCCAAAACCACCAAATCCACATTTCCTCGTAGTTTGTGGAGATAGAATTCCTGTTCATTGGCGGAAAGGTCCTCACCAATGTACTCTGGGATTTTTTCGTCCTGGATGATGTTGAGAAGCAAGCTTGCGTGGTCTCCTTTGGCAAAAGCGTTCTTCAACTTCATCATATCTCGATGGGAAGCAGTTTGTTTCATGAGGTCCACCACAGCGTCTGAAAGCTTCGAGATCTGCTCAATTGGGTTAGCAAAGTACAGCTGCAAGCCGCCAAGCTCCATATCAAGCGAAAACACAAAATCCTGGATGCAAACGGGATAAGTTTCCCACCTCATCAATCGACAGTTGGGACTGAGCCGGTGAACGGAGTTGTTGATGTCTGCATCAGAGATTTTTGAGAACAGCACGTCGCTCTTCATGCCGAAAACCGAGGTGGAAAGCTCGTAGTAAAAAGACCGCGTCATGTCTTTCACAATAAGGCAAACTCTGGACTTCCGGGCTTTGAGGTGGCTCCAGACCTGAGCGAAAAGCCGCAAGTCGGCCACTGAGTCGTCAATGATGAAAATAATGGTGGCGTAGTTTTCTGCCAAGCCGACAACATCTTGGGACTCCGCCAATGTTTCGAGCCACGTTGTTTTGTCGAACTTGCCTCGCTTCTTAAGGTTCAGAAACGGCGTGAGATAATTGACTAGTTTGGAAAGAGGCCGAGCCAACACAAGCAAGTTTTCGGATGTGGTGACCCGCGAGAGATTTTTGTAGAGATTCTCCAATGTCGAAGCATTGAGACGGGCGCCAAGGTCTTCTTGGGTCATTAGGTGGAAGAGTATGGGCTAGTTGATGATGCTTGTGTGCAAACCCAGTCTAGAGGGAAGTTGAAAGAAGATAAAAAATAAAAAAAAATAAAAATAAAAAGAAAATCAAAGATGAGTTCATTTGCGAGCACAGGGAATAATATTTTTATTAATGGAATGGAGCATATGTTTCCTTGTTTTGTCTCTGGTTGTATGTGATTTAGGACATTTTGTGACGATTGCGATAACTGTTCAATAAGGTCAGAAGCTCGCAAATTCTATAAACTCAGGAAATCTAGCAAGGAAAGCTTGAAAAAAAAGTTTCGAGTTTCAAAAACAGATTCTTAGACAAGGATATACTGAAGTTTACATGCCTATCCAAACACATCATTCTTGGTGTACTGAACTTGAAAATATCATGAATTTCTAACTACTGACATGGTCGAAATGCGTTATACTCCAAATAAAAGAATACTAGACAAGATCCAACAAAATGTCTTCCTCTAAATAATACAACCTAAAGTCAATCAGCGTGTGGTCACAGTGAAGCAATGTCTGAGACATCCAAGATCCAGGCTTATTCTTTCTCGACACTAAAGCTTCGCCGTCGCCTCTAGTCCGTGCAACTTTGCCAAAACCTCCTGCAAAATCGTCACAACATGCTCGCCCTTCTTATTATACATTTGTGCTTCCATCAAGAAGCGATCGTTTTGCATGCGGAGCACCCTCATTCCATAGCCCATCCACTCTGTGCAATCAAAATCGGTGTCGTGGAAATACATCACATGGTCGAGAGAAATGCCAAAATAGTGTGCTGGGTCTTGCATGTCCACAGACGACACACGCAAAATACGAGCAAGCCTGGTGGAAATGATGCAGTCGGAAATCACAACCAAGCCAACAAACTGAGCCTGTAAGCTGGAAAGCTTGATGTCGCCATTGCCCAAGCGGACGTAGTACGACAATTGTCTGTCTACAGGGGGAACAGACTCTTCTTCCTTGGTCATTTCCAACAGAACCATCTGCCTTGGGATCTTGTGGTAGATAAACCGGTCTTTGGCCACATCGTTGTCGTCCATGTCTTCGATTTTCGTGGTCTGGAGCCACTTGGGGAGCGGGGTCTGGAAATAGAAGGGCTTTTCGGCCGCATCGTCGTCATCATCATCATCATCGTCGTCGTCATCGTCGTCGTCGTCTCCACTTTCCTCCTTCTTTTTCTTTTCTTCCAAGTACTTCTGGTGTGCCAATTGCGCGTCCTTCAAGCTGTTCTTCTTGGCAAGAGAAATGTTCGCCAGATAGCAGATGCGGCCGTTCTGAATGCCCCGGACGTTGCGATTGCAGAAAGACCGGCCGTTGGAAATCTCATCCACGGTCCATTCGACTGGAATCTTGTCTGTGCAGCTGCGGACAAAGTACGAGTGAAGCGAATGGGGCGTAAATCCTTCGGGAGCACTTTTCATCGCCACCAAAAGCGCCTGGCCCGCAATGTTGCCGCCGTAGACGCCAGGAGACGATGGGAAAGACTTTGTGAGGGGAAAGTTGCCCACATAATGATGAGGGTCTTTGGCAGACACGTCGAATTTCTTTTCGAAATGGGCCATGGGTGCAGAAGCAAAGAACGAATCAGAAAGTTGAATTGGAACGTTGAATTGGAATTCGAAAAGTCGATTCAGAAAGTCGATAGAAAATTGAGTCAAAAGGAATCAACAGTGAACGAAAAGTGAATTTAAAGGAATCAAAAAACTGGCTCAGAACGGCCGGGCCCAGCGCTATAAGTATGGCATCTGGATCGTTTTTGATAGACCGCGGAATGGGCAAAAAGCCGGGGAAACAGGACGGGGACACTGTGTGCAGGCGGCAATTTCCTGTTTCGACAGGCCCCCGTTGCCATGCGGAGGCCGCTCCGTCTAAAGATGCCGTAGTGGCTTCTGCTTGTGGGGACGGGGTCCAGAACGGATTTACTTTGCAAAAAGCCGACTTGTGGTGCTGTTCTGCCTGGCAGCCGGAATCGAGATAAGAAGACCGTTGTGCGCATGAATGGACTAAAGAATAGCCACAGGAACAATGGGCTGTCGCGATAAGACTGTTGAAGTGTAATGAAGGGCGTTTAGTGTATTGAGTGGTATTTAGTGGTATTTAATGGTATTTAGTGTATTTAGTGTATTTAGTGGTAGTTTGTTGTGAAAAGTTGTGTCCGTCTAGGTTTCTGTTGATATATGTGATTGATGCATTGTCGATTTGTATCTTGATTGTGTATCTGACCTATACCTATATAGATCTGCGAAGTACGAGATCTTGGACTGCAACGATACACTATCGCGATGACCTGATGACAAAGGACTTGTATAACGACATGGCTACAAGCTGACTGATTCGTGGTAAACAGTGGTTTCTCTTGTTATCTCAATGATTAAATATGAGGGTATGCTGGAGAATGGAGTTTACAGTGTTCATGAGATAGAGGTACAGTGTTCATTTGAGATAGAGGTACAGTGTTCCATAAAAATAAATAATTCCTTTCTAGAGGATGTATAAATATATAATTGATATACCTTTTCAATAAATATAATATAATTACATATATCTCCTTTTGCCATTAATTAATTTAATTAATCCTTTTTTAGTACTTAATTGATATTTATAGGCATTAGCTTTAGATTTATTATAAATATGTCCTCCATATTTATTTTTTATTTCTTTTGAGATGGAGTTTACAGTGTTCATTTGAGAGAGCTTACAGTAGGCTTCATTTAAGTCACCTAAGGATGAACTGAATCCACAAGTACTCATTCTTCCGGGTCCAAAGATTGTATTTGCGTCAGGTATAGCTTTTAAAACGGAGACATGTCTACGCATGCAACTTCTCAAGATGAGAAAAGTATTCTCCAGAGACCACCAAATAGTGAAGTAGTGAGCATTGCTTAAAGTTCAACAGCGTCTAAGATTTTCATAACGTTAAATTACTTTTGAAAATGCGTGAAACTGCTGTATCTTTCAGAAGACGTAAGATCTTCGGAAGCCCAAGGGTTCTGGAATTGTTTACCCTTTTTCCGGGTTCTGGAATTGTTTACCCTTCTTCCGGGTTCATGATTCTTCATTGCTAAAGATATTACAATTCAAAGCGACTTACAGTAGGGCCAGAACTTCCAATCAAACGTGAGAGTTAGAATCTACTGATCAGATTAATACCAAAAGATCCTACATGTCGTAATGATTGTCTAACCAGACAAGCTCGCCTCCCATAATCATCAAAGCAGCGAGCCATGTACATAATGTCAATAAACGACCACAATAAATACGTGGTTCATGAACCACCAATAAATAGCGAAAATGCGCTGAATGAACTGAACCAATCCGCATTGGCAGTCCACCCCATGTCTTGCCAGCCACGTTTACTCCCTGCCAACAGGCTTGGCCAGAACCTAGGATTCAATCACGACTCACAGTTCTTCCATCTCCTCAAAGCTTATAGGTGCCGCCGCGAGCTCGGTCCACCAATCTCAACGGAAGAAAAGCCACCGCCTCCTGGGTCACCGAGGCAATCAAACGCCGGTCCCGGGTGAAGATCAGCACCGTCACCAACACCCGGTCGTTGCTCATGCGCACAAACTTGTAGTCCAAGAACATCCAGTCCGTCGGGTCAAAGTCAATGTCGTGGAAGTACACCACGTGGTCCAAGGACACGCGGAAGAAGTCTGTGGAGCCCTTTTCCGTCATGGGAATGTGCATGGCCCGCGCCAAGGTGCCGAGGTAGAACGAGTCCGAGGCAAAGGCCAAGTCCACGAACCGCGCCTTCAACTTGTCCCGCGCGAGGTCCAAGTTGTCGTTGACTTTGAAGAAAAGCCCAAACTCCTTGGACCCCGCATCCATGCCTTCCTCGTGCGACGAGAGCTCGTACGTTTCGGGCGGAATGGCATGCAGCATGTTGCCGTTGGTGTGGACAATCTGCGGGAGCGTGTCGATCTTGTTGATGTACTTGTCGAAAGTGAAGTGGGGCTGTCTCAGAAACTCAAACGGCACTTTGGCGCGAGGATGCCTCTTCTCGTGTTCTTCGAGCGCCGCAAACTCGATCTTGCGCTTGGCGATCGAGTTGTTCTTCATGAACGAGATCATGGCAATGAAACACAACTGGTTCGTGTGCAGCTGGTAGCACTTGACCAAGCGGTTGCAGAAGTTGCGTCCTTCCGAAGTGGTGGTGACTTCATATCGCATGGGCGACTCCTTCTGGCCCGCCTTGAGAAAGTACGAGTGCAAAGAGTGAGGGTGGAACTCGCTTTCCCGCACTGTTTCGAGCGCCGCGGCAAGCGACTGGGCAACAAACTCGCCGCCATAGGTGCCACGGCCGTTTTCATTGAACGGCTCCAACGGATACTTGCCAATGAAGTCTGTGTCGGACTGGCGGATCAACGAGAACTTCTCCTCCAAGACGGAGACCTTGGGATTCAGATACACTTCCAGCAAACTCATGTGTGTGGCGTTGGGTGGTTTTTTCGGGCGCATCGGTTGTACTTATAGTAAATTCTGGGGTACGAACCGAGGCACATCGGCTCATGTGCATATCGCAGTGGTGCACGGGTGTGGCGCCGCCTCTTCCATGTGAAGAAGCCTCAGCATGTTGGCATATTCGCCAATTGACTCTGTGGCCAATTGATTTTGGCCAATTGACTTTGTGGCAATTGTCTTTGAAATGGCTTTGGAGTGGTTTTGCATTCTTGCGTTAATTTCTTTGCACTGATCTTATCGCTCGGCATGAATATGCGCCGAAACATCAATACACCTGGACATATCTGCCGTATACGAATGAACATGGCTTTCTATCGATTAGGTCACATAATTAAAAGGCATTTAGGTAGACGAGATTCGAACCAACTGTCGTATTAACTATGTATCTCGGTTGGATTTTTATATGACTCAGGGTCCAATTTGTTACACTGTAAACTGGATATTTCTTGATTTTTTATAAGAGAGGTCCAATTTGTTACACTGTAAAAATTGTATGGATATGTCATGAATTTTGCTTAGAACTGTCTCGCAGAGATGTTCACATTCAATTGAAAACTTATCTCTGACTGATGCTGTAACAATGCTTCTTCGTTTTGATTTGCTTGACTGCTCGTTTGAATCATAGACTATGTCCGCTTCAACAATCTGACCGTATCGCCTTTAGAACAAATACGATAATGATATGCAAAGAATCAAGCAGGCGAAATCTGTTTTAACCTTCCATAAGCTCAGACTAAAAAATGGGGCAGTTAGGGCCCAGGAAGTTTCTCACTTTATGAAATTAATAAGCAGAAAGAGCAGCTCTTTTATACAAGAGGCTCTTAGGTCAATCGAGATGGGCAATTTTCGCTTGACTCTTCACCTTTGCATTAATGATGAACCGGAATAACAAAGTGATCTAATGCAAGTCCCATGTTCTGGTTTACAACTTGTTGACACCTGGACGCATATACGTCAAGCCCTCTTGAACAAAAGTAGCCACACAGTTGCCCTTTGGATCGAAAAAGTGGCCACGCACCAACGTCCGGTGGTTTTTGCTGATTCCAAACTGGTACGACATCGTCAACCAGTCCATAACTTTGAAGTCGTCGAAATCATCCACATGGAAGTAAAGGGTGTGGTCCAAAGACATGGCCATGTAATGGTGAATGTGTATGATGTTCAAAGACACCTCCATCAAGCGGCGGGCGTCCTTCAAGTCGTCATACGCCTCGTACGGGTTGTCTAAAGTGGGATTCCAGTCCAAATGCAAGGCGCGGGCCAAAGTGGTCAACACTGCTGCGTCCGAAAGATCCCCGAGACCTACAAAGTTGAACCTGGGGTCCTTGAGCGGCACGGAGTGATGAAGCTTGCACCACAAGGTGATTTGGCGCTCGGACGGCGCCATTTTGTCCTCTTCTGGACACAAGCTTGGATCGACAAACTCGTCCAGATAGGCATTGTGCACAAAATCCGTATGGACCACGTTGTGGAGAACGTCAGGATCGGGATATTTTTGCGCTAGCAGCGGCGGCTGTGGACTCAACTGTAACGAATTGGCCCTCTGGCCCTTTTGGAAAAGAGAGCACATGGCCGAAAACACCGTTTTCCCCTTCTGCAGCGCCACAATTTGCCGCTGGGCGAAGCTGCCTTCCCGGAGCCGGGTCACCGTGTAAGTTATCGGCGTCTGTGCCAGGCCGGCCTTGATAAAGTGGATGTGGAACGAGTGAGGAATATGGCCGGGCGCCAGTTCCATGGCCACCAAAAGACCCTGGGCCACCAAATGGCCTCCATAGACGCCTCGAGCACCTGGAAGAGGTAAACCAAGGGGGCGGCGGCCAACCCAGGTGTTTTCGTTTATTTTTTGGACGGCCATGGCCTCTTCGAAATCGGCCATTGTATAAAGAATGGAGCAGTGAAGTACAGAGAAAAGCAAAAGACGGCAAGAGCAGCAAGACTGAAAACGAAGGAACGAAAGAAAAGAGTTGTAAGTGAAGATCTCTCACATTCTGCGGGGCAGATCAAGACATATTTCACAATGGACCCCAGATTTCGGTGGACCCCGCATTATGAGAATCATGTGAAGGAAGATGGAAACCGAATACAGAAGAACAAATAAGACTACGAAAGAGAAATAATAGTGAGGACCAGCTAAATTGAAAATTAAAATAATATTCTGAACGGAAAATTGGTTGATATTCTGAGGAAAATTGGTTGATATTCTGAGGAAAATCGCTTGATATGCTGAGGAAAATTGGTTGAATTTCTGCGGGAGCCGGAAAGATTGATCATCGCAGTTCGGTATCTGAACAGGATTTAAAAAGAAGGAAGAAGACCGAAGTCCCTAATTTTGCTTTCTTTTCCCGATAAAGCAGACTGCTCCTATACGATTGGAATAAATAGCGAGAGAGCTCGAAAATACGATAGTGGAGCTATGCCGAATAGGAATTGATCATTTAAATTATTCTATTCTTCTTGAACTTACTAATAAGCTACAATGTAGACCATAACCACGTCTCTTCTATTATACCGTTGTTCATAAGAGTCTGCTCAACCAGACTATAAGAATGCTAGAGCTATCCATGTCTCGGCTTGTACCGCTGCTGAAAACTATATGAAGCAGTAAGCCACTTTAGAGTTGATCATCCGTCTCAAGGTGGTAACTATGGTAATGCATTACGTCTAGAAATCGAGATTGAAATTTCGTGCAAACCGCTGTGTCATGTCCTCCTTGTTCTGGCTGAAGGCGGGCCCCGATCTCACTAGACGTCTTTGCGGAATGATATTCTGCAACTCCAATTCCGCTTCTTTGGATGTGTCTTCTTTCTTCACTGTCCGCCTCACAATGCCCGAAAGCAGGTTTGTTTGCGCATACTTGGGCACTTTGATTGGTTCTGAGGCAGACATCTCAAAAAGCCGCTGCTTTGAAACAAGCTGTGCCTCCTCATTGTCGTCGCTCACAGCCACCTCCTTGAGCCCAATGAGCCGCCGCTGCCTGTTTGTCAAAGGCAAGTCTTTGCATTGATCTTGCGGACGCAACAACTGCACAAGACTCACGACAATTCGGAACACGCAAATCCACTGGAGATGGTGGGCATAAGCAAAGCCTGTCGCCGCCCAGCGGTACATGTCTTGCACGTAAGACGACCTCTGGATCGAAGCCCACAAGCTCTTGCGGTACATGGCGTTTTCGTCAAAGTACATCACCTGGTAGAGCTTGTAGAAGTACGCAAGAAAGTGGAGAGCCAAATGGAACGCAAGCAAGCCCAACACACTCAGCCAGAGGTTGCGGAACTGTCTTTCTTTGTTCACCTGTCTCCTGAGCGCCTCCCGCACAACAGGACTCGTCCATTCGCCGGTGGGCGCAGATACTTGGACGTCTTCATCGTCGAGTTCTTCGTATTCGGTATGGGCCGCAGGTTCTGGCGTGGCCGAGATGATCGGGTTCCGCGTGGCCTGGGGCAAAGGCACGGGAAGAAAGTCGTCCAGGAGAATGGGCCCGCCGCTGGAAAGCGGCCGGTAGTACACTGTCTCATCAGGTTTGGAAGACGGCTTCTGTTGGGAAAAAATCGTTTCTCGGTCTGTTTTCGCTCGGAGCCCAAGCGCCACGTTGCTTATAGGTTTCAACGGCTCGGTTCCAATGGCCTGGTACCGCTGGGAAAGTTGATTAGGCTCGCCAAAAGCCGCCGGCGGTTGTTGCTGCGCCAGATGGATTTCGTTCCGAACTTCGTTGACCGAAGTGTCTGGGAGCCGCTTCAAGGGCGTCGAAAACTGCTCTAGCGTCGAGTTGGCCTCGGCTAGATACGACTCATCGGCAGTATAGAGCCGTCGAGCGATGGGGGTGTTTTCCATATTGATGAAGTAGAAGAAGCAGAGGAATCAGATGCGCCTTATACAGGCTGGAACGAGAAGCCATAGAATCAGATAGAAATGGAAATCGAAGACAGAAATCAGAAATAAAATAGAACGTAAAGAGAAAAAGAACAAGAAATAGATCCAGAGTTGGAATTAGTATCGAAACAAATTAAATAAAGGGGAACGCTAAAATAAGTTCTGATTCTATGGGCAATAACGAACCGCGCAAGGCATTCCTAATTTGTACGGTTGTGTCAATGCAATTTACGCCCATACTACGATATACAAGAGAAGGTGATGAAGAAAGTTTTAAAATGACTTCCATTTATCATGTTTGGTCAGCTCAGTTGAGGATATTCGTGTTGACTTTCATCGATTGATGACATAACCTGTCTATTCTTTATAACATCAGTAGAAACCACTAAACTATTTCTCACCCATCTTTGTTACATTACTGTACCATTACGCAATCCTTATCTTTCCCCTTTCCACCTGTCAAATTTTCTTTAATCTAGATCTTCATCTTCCGTGAACGTCATCATATCAGCCTCTAAAGGAACAATGGTGGGCCGCCCATGTGCACATTGAAAGGGCAAGGTGCACTTGTCCAATTGCAGTATCAAGTACTCCATTTCGGCCTTTGAAAGCAAATCTCCAAACTTGACGCTTTGGCGACATGCGGATGATATTAAAGACTCCGAAATCGCCAGCGGTATATTTGACACATCCTGGACCCAGTTTCCCGTCATAGTCGCTTGCTTTTCTCCTTCTTCCATTTCCATAATGTGTTGGAGAAGAAGTAGCTTGAGTCTTTCAGGCTGCGTTTCGTGCAGCAAAGCTCGAGGCAAATGGGTCACAGTGCATTTTCGATTTCCGAGAACATAGCTTATTCCAAAGTTTCGGAAAACATCTTCATAGCGTAGGAAAGACGTCTGTTCTTCTTTGGCGAGCGAAAAGGCCATCGTCTCGTCGCATCGGATCCGGAGGTCGCAGCTGGGATCGCTCATAGCAGTGATATATTCTCGAAAAAATTGCTCCACTTGTACTCTCTCATCACAAGCATGCTGGTCCAAAATGAATAGCAGGGACCCCAGTTTTGCGAGGATGAACTGTTTCAGAACCTGCTTCACAACTTTCAACGTGCCGATATCCTGCTGCGAGACATGAACAAGCGGAAAGTCCACAGATGGCTGCGAAAAGTCCACAGATGGCTGTGTTTCTTCTTGCGTAGAGTCAATTTCTTCTCGTGTAGATTTCCTTATCCTCTTGGGTGATCCCCTCTGCCCCTCATTATATCTCTTCTGTCCACCCTGAGCCAAAACCTTGGCCAAAACCTTTGCCAACTCTTCTTTTAGAAAACGAAGAGCATTCGCTTCATCTTGGGCTTGTACATGAAAGCAGTATACTGGATGCAACCTCAAAGAGCGGCCGAAAACGCTCTGCCGTCCCAAACCATACCCATGACTAGCAAATATTCGGTTCACCTGACTCTGCAAAGGCACATGTTCGCCATTGAGAAAAACAAACTGGAGCCCGGATCGGTGCGAGCTTTGAAGACAGAAAGATCCTTCAACGGAGCACGAGGTCGATTTCGCCAAAAGAGAAACCATATTCTTTGCAGAGAGCCGAAAAAGACTCGAAAACTTTTCCACCACAGAATCGCAGGCTTCAACGCTAAACATCCGAACGAATTCACCCTGCTCGAGTAGATACACTTCGGCCTTCACGTGGGGAGCACAAAGGAGCTCAAAAAAGACGCTTTTCATCTTCTGCCGGAGCTTGTCTGCTTTCCGGCGTGCGTTCTCAAGACGAACTGGCATACTGGCGAAAACCCGGCTCACCATAACTTGCGTGCCGGCAGCCTCCAACAGGTCTAATTGGAAAAAAGAGGTGAGCACCCTCAACAACTCCGGAGGGCACAGACCGCCCAAACAGACACAATTCTCCTGCTGCGCCTGTGTTTTCGACCGCACAATCACACTGCCCGAGCAAACAGCAATCGAACTTAGCGATTCGCCCCGTCCGCCTGAAGACGTGTGATACCGTTTCCCCACAAGAGAAAGGTCCAGCGCCTCGATTCCATGCCCGTTATCTTCCACGCAAACACTGAGCGAGGCGAGATCGATTTTGACCCGAACAAAAGACGCCTGTGCATCTAGACTGTTCTGGACTAATTGCCGAAGCACCGTTTCCACGGAATCGACCACCACTTGAGACCGGAGCGTTTGGCGGGTCTTGCCGCGGAGTTTCCGAATCGGCATTCCATGCTTTATTTTGATAGTTCCAGAAAGAAGAGATGGGAGGGAAGACTCCGAGTCACCGATCGGGTCTATATGCATGCCTCGGAATCGAATCTTGCTCCGAACCAACACCAAAAGCTGACACGGACTTTCTATTTCGGTGCATAAAGCCTGTGCTTGTATTATTTATACGCCAAAAGCCTACACACGCCCTTTTTTTTCTTTTCTTCCCCCACACAAACGCCAAATCTTGTGTCCAGCCAGCGTCTTATCTTGCTGCCCTATACACAGGAGTCTTTGCTCTTCTTCTTCTCCATGAAATCACACGAGGACCATCTTCTGAAAGGGTCCACGGTTTCCACCGGGGAATCGCTATTTGCCGGATCTGTGTCGGGCGCATTAGCACGGTATGTTCTTTTTCCGCTTGCTCTCGCAGGTTTTTCCCGCAGTTCTCTCTAACTTTCAGCGCTGTCACGGCTCCTCTAGACACGATCAAAATCCGCCTCCAATTGCAGCTGATGCATGGGACAAAGACGCCTGTTTTGAAGTTGGTGCCACAGCTTTTGCGCCGCGAGGGCGTTTCGGCCTTGTGGAAGGGCAATGTTCCGGCAGAGATCCTCTACATTCTCTATGGGGGATCGCAGTTTGCATCGTATTCCGTGCTAGACAAGGCGTTTTGCCAGATCCAGAGCGACTTCAACGTGGACTTGCCGCTGCTGTTCCACTCGCTTTTTGTTGGCTCGGGCTCCGGCCTTGTCAGCACGTTGGTGACGTATCCGTTTGATTTGCTTCGGACGCATTTGGCGGCGAACAACACGAAGCTGTTTGTGCCCATGACGGCGAAATGCCGGGAAATATACGCCAACTTCGGCGTGCTTGGCTTTTTCTCGGGGCTCCGCCCGTCTTTGCTCACCATAGTCTCATCCACTGGTGTCTTTTTCATGACCTACTCCGTCGCCCGAGACGCGGCCAGATGGGCCAAAAAGGAAATTGGGCACGAGGTTTGGGGCGTGGAAGCGATATGTGGCTTTGTGGCGGGGACAGTTTCGAAAGCAACCACTTTTCCGCTCGACACCATTCGAAAACGCATGCAGATATCCCACCGGAAAAGAGTCCGGGAAATGTTGGTCGAGCACTGGAAATTGCACGGGCTTCGGGGGTTCTACTCGGGATTTGGCGTGAGTCTTTTGAAAACGGCCCCAACCAGCGCATTGTCAATGGCCATATACGAGTACACCATCACTGCCACACGAAAGGTGAGAGCTTTTTAATTTATTCATTGAACAGGTCAAGAAGAACAAAGTGCAAGACTGTAACCTGAAGCGGTCTTTAATAGAAACTAATAGAACACGGCTTTGTCTGATAGGATATGACTTGGTGTGAGAAGAATAAGGTTTCGTTGAACGTGTCCAATAATCACACGTAGAGTGATTGAAGATCGCATTGGGCCCGATTATACCTGGATCTTGGTCCGGAATGTAGTTAGCCTTTAACAGTATGAAGATGCCAGTCTCAAAGTTTTAACTACTTCGTTCAATGCAAATGACATGAACATTATCTGATATTCAATTATTTATGTCTAAAAATGTTTACAAGAGTTATATGGGGCATTAAGATTCTGTTTTTAACTACAGGCAATGAATGCAGAGATTTAGGAGTAAGAAAGTGTCTGATTAGATCAGTTATTCTGTGCATCTAATATATATGCAAAAGGCACTTCGAAACCCAACTTACATATGTTCAACGTGTGTCACCATTACTATTTTCTTTTATTCTCTTACTTGTATTCTTATTAATCTTTTGCCTATTACCCAGAGTTGCTTGTCCATCCCAAATGACGTTCTTCATGATCTATCTTGTACACCGAACATAACGGTTTCTCTTATAGTCTCAAACTATGCTCATGGAAAAACCCATAATCGCAAGCATGCGACACTTCCTGAAATACCTGAAACAAATCAGCTACGTCTTCTTCTTCTTCCTAAAGAACTTGAAACAAATACTCTCCGTCCTCTTCTTCTTCCTCCTCCTCTTCGTTTGAGCTGGCTTCCTCCAGTGAGCTTTGATACACATGGATGCCATTGTCATCATTCCACTTTGTGAAAGAACTGGGCAGAATATATTCACGATCGGCGTCGGAAATGGCAGAGCCATTATTTGTATTCGAGCCGTACGAAGTAGCTTCGCTTTGGTCTCCATTATGGATGTAAAGCGACTCCAGATTGGCCAAGAGGTTGTCGATTCTTGTGCTTTTGCGAGGACCTGCCTTAATGGACGATTCGACAGAATCTGTATGTGCATTTTTAGGGACGTTTTGGTCCTTTTGTGAACTCTTCGGACCTGTAGAATCTTTTAAACGTTCTGTCAGTATGTCCGAGCTCTTTGCAGGTTTGGAGCTGCTGTTTCCACCTCCACTCCCACCAAGCTGATTTTTTATGTACAGTGGGAGATTCTGCCCCATGACAGACAGTTTCCGAGCCATCGGCAGCCTCACTTGGTCTGCCATTGTTCCGTTGAGAGTTGTGGCCGGGTCTTGCACGGACGCCTCTTTCCTTATTGTTTCGGGCCGGTGTCGCTGGCTTTTCTGATTCGAGAGCTGGAATCGGCCTCGGTACCGTTTGAGTTTGTCTGCCAAGGCAGCTTTTTCTGTCTTCACAGGCACATAGACGTTGTTTTCCAAGTCTGTGACCTTGGTCACCACATTGACGGTGCTGACGGCAGTTTCGGGCGGCTTCAGAAGACTTTTATTAGGCAAATAGTGCATTAGTTCGAAAGAAAGGCGCCGCTCGTTGGAGGTGAGATCCGGAACTTCTCCCACAGGCCGCGTGTCTTCTGTTTTTTCGACTTTTCCGTTTCCATTGGCATTTTCGTTGTGCTGGAGCTGGAATTCCGATAGCCCCAATTGTTCTATTTGGAGACAAATGTCTTGGAAAAGAGCGGAGTCCGGCGAATATGCCGCCTGAAGCAATTGGAACAACTTTTGGTCATGGGCAAGCCGGGAATCCTCCACTATATCGGCGAATATCTCGTCATGGGTGCAGATTTTGTGGCTGGCTATAAAAGACATGACGATAAGATTTGGCAGATGCAGTCTTATCGAGGCGATTGAGTAGGAACGCATAGGTACAGGTTCAGTAGAATCAGTAGGATAGAAGAAAAGAAGAAAAAACAAAGCTATTGGTGAAGTATTAGCTTAGAATCTGAACACTTCCAAACTTGGCGAAAACTGCAAAGAAAAAAAAAAATTTGAAATAATTTTCTAACATCTAGACAACTTTAGATCTGTACTATTCAATTATCGTGCTTCTACTACAGAATTGAAATTCGCTCGTACTTTCTGTTATCTTGATTCTATACTCCCTTACTAATGGTTTTTTACTTTCATTGGCCCTTTTGGGACAGGAGGTAATTTTTCGAACCAAAGGAACTATACAACAGACATGTCTTCAATGATAGTTGGATGAATTTAGACCGATTTCTTCGATCAAGAAGCTGCGGCCCCATTTCTTAGGTTAAATTGTAATCATGATTCCGTGTATTCACTTGTTACTTTTTGCATCTTTTCATCTTTCAGGGACGGTTTTGCTAATAATTGATAGGTTGTATGGAACAAGGCGATTGATAGTAAGCAATTCCTTTACAATTTCAATCATAGCTTAATTTTAAATATTAAAATTGGTATAAGCATAGCTGACAGAGTACGATCTAAAGATACGGTATTTTATTTGTATATGGACAGAAAATTTAGAGATGCTGGTACATTATTACAATTTGCTAGGACGTATTGAGTAGAGTTTGTATTAGGTATGTAGTTTTCTATTTTAGATTAGAGAGGGAAGATAATTCTTTGAAGGCTCTCGTGCTCAAGAACAAGCTTTGCTTTTGCCAACTGAGCTCTGTTTGAATCTCTAGAGGAAGGACGAGATGATACTTCAGAATGAGGAAGGCTCTTTCTTACTTGAGTCTCGAAAGCTCTTTTCTTCAATTTGTAGTCCATCTCCTTCAACTTGTAGTCCATTTTCTTTGCTTTATACTCCATTTTCTTCATCTTCAAATCCATCTTCTTCATTTCAAGGTCCATTTTCTTCATTTGATAGTCCATCTTTTCCATTTTCGTCTTCGTCTTCGTATTAGTGGAATTCGCAGGCATTTTGAATTTCTCCTCTTCTTCCACTGGTTCTCTTATCTCATTTAATTCAATGATTTCATGGTTCGCTGCGAACCGAACTCTTTTTTCTATTTCTGGAATAGATACTGTTTGTTTACTAGGAGAGCAAAGAGGTTTCCAGCTTACCAAAGCCGTTTCTTCAGTTGAGGTCTCCATGTTTTCGTCAGCTTCAACAAAAGTTTCCTTTTCGTTGGCTGGTTCTTCACCAAATCCAATTGAGCAGAATACATTAGTTGAGACCGCAATTTCGGCAAAGCTTTTGTTAGAGAAGCTGGGTCTTTTAGTTCCGTTCTGAATTTCCTTTTTCATGGAGTTCATTTTCCGTCTTCTAGCAACAGTAATGAACCCGTCAGAGTCAGGATATTCTTTGCCTTTGGCAAAATGAGTTGGAGAAACCATTACTACTGGAGAGGATTGAAAGGATTGAGATCTGGTTTAGAAGACAGTTCAAAGATCTAAGTAAGATCTGTTTCAGAATCAGTTAGAAGATCTGAAGATTCTGAAGAGATAAGGGGTGTTTTGAGACTAAGGAGAGTAGATTTCACTTCAATACTAGGTGGTTCTGTCTTTGATAAAGAAAGAAGCTGATTGAGGTGAAGAAAAAAAATACATTCTTGAGGGAAATGGAGCTTAATTTATACCCCAGGAGAAGGTGAAAAGATTCCACTTTTTTGCTATGGAAAGTAAGATTTATGGTCTGCTTTCGCCGATTTGGGCCATAATTGCAAGATTTGTAGTCGGCCGCACATTTTTCTGTCTGCTGTCATAGTTAAGAACGAGCATACAGAAATATACATGGGAAATTCAGCATACACAAAAAATGCAAAAAAGAAATTCTCTATAAGATGAAAGTGCTAAATAATTGACAAACGGAAAACTTGGCGTCTTCCACCTTAACATCTTAATTTTAGTTCACTTTCGCCAACTGAGAATTTATCTTTCGTGTTAAATACTTTGCGAATCATTCAAATAATTTTTCCTTGTGTTGAACTGGTTCGCTACTGTATATTCACCATTTGGAATACATATTTGCAGTTATTCTAAATTATGCTTGAGCTGAGGACGATATAGATGACGACACAGGCAGATTTGTGTAGCGACAATGTCGCATTTAAGTTGTGGTGTATGGATTTTTGAGCAAAAACTGTACGGGTGTTTACGGAGGTACGGGTTTAGTATTTGTGGTGTATGGATGTTTTCTCCATTTGGTGTACGGGTTTAAATTCTGTTTGTGTAACCCCATTGCGTTTGTGTAACCCCATTGCATTTGTGTAACCTCTGTTTGTGAACATTGTAGTTGTCGTCTTTTCACCTACAGGTCAATAATTGCAAAAGCGATAAGAGGGCCAACTGTCTTTATCAAAATGAAAATTCTTTGAAATGCAACTAAATCTTAAAATGTATTTTTGTGTGAGAGTCAAGTCAATAATTTTTCAACAGCCTCTGATCTTCAAAAGTAGATTGAGGAAATCTTTAATTTGCACGTGAGACCTAGCTGTCATGTTATTCAGAAAACATATAACAGAATATTAAATTACTACTTTTGTAAAGATTATCGCTGAATTATAGAAGTGCAAACAATTGCATAGGAAACTTCTCAAACACCAAGTTTTTCCTATCTGTAACAAGACTGGATACCTTCTTTGTAGTTTGCCATAGTGGAAAATTAGCATTTAGAGTATCTGATAATTTTATCTTTCAATTCACATAATACATTTGCATCTTCATATACCCAAGGTCAATAGCTCATGTCTCCAAACGAGTTCTGTTTAGGAAAATCTATTTCGTTTGTATGATTTGATATATTTAAGTATTGTACTTATAGGTCACATTAGTGATAATGGGGACAACAAATAGCCATAAAATACAATAAACCGCACATCAAATAGAGGAGAAACATGTCACATAGTTGAAATCACCACAAGTTGAAATCACTTGTAGATCAACTTAACTACACTAGCAGTCATTCTCTTACTATAATACATTCATATCGATCACGCCTTGGAACCTACTGCCATAATTAATGCCCTGGAACCTCCTGCCACAATCTTGCATTACCTAAGACTTTGCCGCGTTCATCTCCTGTTGAACTTCACGAAGAATTTCCGGATACCACCGGGCAGCCACGTCTGGATGAGACTTGATTCTGTTACGGAACACAGCGTGTCCCACCGGATGCTCGGCATCGGGCGCAAACTGGAACCCGGCGTCGCCCCATCTTTTCTCTTTCCCCCCGGACCCGTTTTCAATCTCGTCGTCTCTCCTGTCACGCTCTTGCAAGATCTCCTTTGGAAGAGCCAAGGCGGTCTTGCGCGAGTCCAAGTCTATCGTTTGGAAAAGGGGAACCGAAAGACGAGTGCCGGAGCCGGCTTCGGGGATCAACACCCGGTGGATCGTGGCTCTGCAGACTCCGCTCGAAATCGCCTCGAGCGTCTGTCCCACGTTGACCACAAGCGTGCCCGGGACGTTTTCCACAGTGATCCACTGGCCCTGGAAGTTCTGCACTTGCAAAGATGCGTGGTTGGTCGCCTGGAAAATGTACGTGAGAAAGTCCAGGTCCCGGTGTGGCCCGCAGCCTTGTCCAGTGGAAGGTGTGTCTTCGAGAACATGCGATTGGGCACTGCTGAGCTGTTTTGTGTCCGGGTACGCCACGATCTTCATTTTGCACTGCTGGTTGGGCTTGAAAAACCTGTCGAACGCCGTGGGCTCGAGCCCAAGCGCCTCGGCCACAAGGCGGCGGAACTGCGTCGCAAGCAGCGTCATTTGGGCGATGTAGTTGGTCACCACGGGCCGGAAGTCGGGCACGAGAGCCTCGTCGGGCCACAAGTTGGGGCCCTCGATCTGGCGGTAGATCGGCCCGTCCTTGGGCGCCGGAAGCTCCGTGGCCAAGTCGATTTGCTCGCGCCAGTCCGTTTGCAGGCTTGTCACCTCGTTGGCCAAGCGGGAATAGCCCAAGAAGTGCGGCGAGTTGACCATTTCACACTGGTTCTTGGCGCTTTGTGGAAGAGCGAAAAACGCCTCGGCCTGCTCCCGGATCGCTTGCAAGTCCTTTGCCGAAGGCAGGTCGAAGTTTCTCAAGAGAAGAAAGCCGACATTGACAAGCGCATGGCGGAGCTGGGTAAGAAACTGTTCTTTTGTCGCTGGGTCTTGCGCAAGCGAAAGATCGAGCTCGGGAATTTGCTGGAAGGACATGAGTAGTTCAGTCGTAGTTCAGTAGTTCAGTCGTAGTCAGTCGTAGTCAGTCGTAGTCAGTCGGTAGTCGATGGAGTCGACTTGGATCAGTTGATGATGATCAAGATACCGGATGAAAGATTAGATCAGTTGATGATCAATGATTGGTGATCAAGGAGACTTGTTGACACGAATAGCGAAATCAAAAGTCTGGCACGGCAACGGCTTTATATGAATATGCATGTTCAACGGCTTTTGAGCCACAGTCAGGTGCCATGGCAAATTGTGCGACAAGTTTTGCCCTAATAGTGCTTATTAATTAATGCACGGCGTTTTCTCACCCAATGAAAATTTCTTAGCAAACGGCTTTTCTGTTACTAAAAGCTAGTTTGCCGTGCCGAAAATATTGAATAAAAAAAACTGGAAGTTAATTGGCTAGCTTCGTTCAGAAATAGAACAACTTGGAACAATTGTTCGGGAGATCAAGGCTGAAGTAACCAGAAGAGGTTATATCTGTAAATAAGTCTAAGACGTAGATCCAAGGCCTGAATTATCACTACATTCAATTTAATTTACCTAAGTGTCAAGATTAAGTGTCGTGTGAGTAAATGCCGATTTGGACGGGAATACTTACGTAAAAGCTAAGTTGGATTAAAAAGATAAAAAAGCAAAATCGACAAACGATGAGATTTGCTTATTCTAGCTCATGTATGAGAATTGGCATAAGCGTTATATTGACAACGAAACAATTTAGAAAGAACACGATGAAAGCATCTAAGGACTCTTTTTCATGAATCTTTCACATTGGCCACAGTATGCTTTGCTACTGTTGTCTGCAATTTACCGTTTAGATTTGTTCTTATTCTCTATTTTACTTTATTCTAGTAAATACTCTATTGAATTCTCTAGTCTACGTTCTACGTTCTCTATTCTTATTTTCTCTCCATTCTCTTTTCTGTTCTACTTTTGAATAACTCAAAATCGCTCTTACACATCTTAATAATGTATTCTACAAGCGTTGAATAAAAAAAAAACCATCCTGATTGATCATACTCTGTTTGTTCTTAAGCATAAATGTCATGATTGCATTTCTACTGAGTTTGAATTCCATACGGTCGTTTTACACATGATTGTACGGAAAGAATCTGAGCATCTTTCGAATGGCAGATCATATCAACAGCTCAAAGGACAGAAAGGTCCATCTTCTTTTGATAATGTTGAGGTTAGATCAGAATAGTTAAGTCATACGAACTCTTTTTTGATGGTACTTTTCTGGTTTCAGGCATTCTTGTCTACATTATATTGAATACGGAGACAATTCTTAGTCTGAAGTAATTGCTGCTCGAATAGAAAATCGAAGACTATTTACACAAAACCAGAAGAAAATTTAACGAAAATATAACAAATTACGGATTTTAAACATTAAATATCCATGACAACTTTTTTGCTGAAAAATGCACCTGGTTTGTTCCAATTTATGAATGCTTTGGAAAGTTGGTTTCTCACATTTACAAAGAGCAATTTTTTACAAACGTAAAGAATCTATTTCACGTTCGAACCGCGGCAAAGGCTTGTTTTCAACATTTTGTCAAGGTTCTACGCAAATGAAAGGGATCTTGCGAGCTTAACTATGGGGTGCACGGATGTTCATGTTGGGTGTTTGGGTTTTTAATACACAAATGTACGGATGTTTAAAAAGGTGTATGGGTTTTTACGCTGGATGTATGGATTTATTGAAGGATGTCTGGGTTTTTCCATGGTGCATAGGTGTTTTGAGAGGTACGGATGTTCAAGTGAGAGGTACGGGTGCAAGTTCTTTTTGTGTCTCCCACCAACCCCCACAATTTGGGGTACAAAAAGAAATTACCCGTTGCAACCACTTTTTCTTTCTCAAATGTACAATGTTTTCTGATTCCTGGTCTTCAATGGGCAAGGTGAACTGTAAACCTCTTAAAATTTCTCCCAATTAACATACTCAGCTCTTCATGCTTCACTAAACTCAAAAACCACGATAATTTCTTGCTATGCCCAAGTTTCATGGGTAGTCAACGACTTCGCAAGGACTAGATTTTTATAAGTGCTGAGTTCAAACCGACTCTCGTGATTGCAATCCTGTGGAAAAATACATGGAAGCCCAATAATATCAATGCTTCCACAGTTGCCTTTTATGTGAGGTTTTCAATCAAATCGAAATATCAGGCGGCAAAAATCTACGTAATGAATACGTGGAGCCAGGCTGTTTTTATCAGCATTGGCATAATACCAGGAAAATCTCGAAAATCTCGAGTTTCATTTTTTGAATGTTATATTACTGTTCGCATGGTTTGCAGATCGCACTCGTTCATTCCGGAATGGGTAGATAAAGTGAATAACTGATTAGATTTTGATTAGATTTTGATTTGATTTTGATTTGATTTTGATTTGATTTTGATTTGATTTTGAATTGATTTGATTTCTTCTTGATGTACCAACATCCAACACCGAACATCTTTCGAACATACATGAAAATCCGATCTTATCTCATCTCTTATTCCTCTATTCATTATCTTGATCATGTGCCCAGAGGCACGGGTGTCGCCTCGCCCACCGCGCAAAATTCATTCCTCCACGCTCCATTTTCTTCTTCAAGCTCATGTCGGATATCGTACATAACCCGGCGATCCAGCGGGCAGAGCTTTTGGTTCCCAAACCTTTTGCCGCCCGCATCTACGTGTGGCCGTTTGGAATTGTCTACCCGCTTTTTTTGCAGGTGTACCTCAACCACTACGACAAGTATATTGGCGGATCAGAATGGACTTTCGTCTACTTGATGGCCATCTGCTCGGTCAACCTCTTGTTTTGGTTGATGCCGCACTGGAACATCGACATTGACGCCAAGTTCAACTACTCGCGTGTTGGGCTGATTGCTCAAGCGTCGCATGTCAAGATCACGCCTGCTCCCAACAGCGGGATCGGCGAGATCTGCCCCATTGTACGTGAACAGTTCGCCGACGGCGAGAAACAAGTGTCTTTTTTGTACCAGAAGAGACGCCACTTGTTCCACACGGAGCAGGGCAAGTTTTCGCCGCCTGAATTCAAGGTTGACGAGTTGCCTCCTTTGGAAGTTTTCCAATCCGCCACCGGCTTGCAAGGCGACTTGGAGAAGCTCACCAGAAACTACGGCTCCAACCGCTTTGATATTCCGATCCCAACGTTCATGGAGTTGTTCAAGGAGCACGCCGTGGCGCCTTTCTTTGTGTTTCAAATCTTCTGTGTCGCCTTGTGGTGCATGGACGAACAGTGGTACTACTCTTTGTTCTCCTTGTTCATGTTGGTTTCCTTTGAAATGACCACCGTCTTCCAAAGAAGAACCACCATGGGTGAGTTCCAGTCGATGGGCATTAAGCCTTATGACGTCTACGTGTACAGAGACAAGAAATGGGTCCAGTTGCAGACCGACCAGTTATTGCCTGGCGACGTGATTTCCGTCACCAGAACAAACGAAGAAAGTGCGTTGCCTTGCGACTTGTTGTTGCTTGATGGAACCGCTATTGTCAACGAAGCCATGTTGTCCGGCGAATCGACGCCATTATTAAAAGAGTCCATCCGCTTGAGACCCGGAAACGAGTTTTTGCAGCCCGAGGGTCTTGACAAGAACTCTCTCTTGCACGGCGGAACCATGGCCTTGCAAGTGACTCCTCCTGAGAACCCGCAGATTCCATTGGCCCCAGACCACGGTGCATTGGCATACGTGTGCAAGACTGGGTTTGAGACCTCGCAGGGATCTTTGGTCCGTATGATGATTTTCTCCAGCGAAAGAGTATCTGTCGGCAACAAGGAGGCCTTCTTCTTCATTTTGTTCTTGTTGGTTTTTGCCATTGCTGCGTCTTGGTATGTCTGGGTCGAAGGTACCCGTATGGGCCGTATCCAGTCGAAATTGATTTTGGATTGTATTATTGTTATCACCTCGGTCGTGCCTCCGGAATTGCCCATGGAATTGACCATGGCCGTGAACGCTTCATTGTCTGCCTTGCAAAAGTACTATATTTACTGTACGGAACCCTTCCGTATCCCATTGGCCGGAAGAATTGATGTTTGTTGTTTTGACAAAACCGGAACATTGACCGCTGAAGACTTGAATTTCGAAGGTTTGGCCGGCTTTAAGGATGACGACTTGCACCATCTTTTCTCATGTGAAGAGGCACCAGAAACAACCTCTTGGGTTTTGGGATCTGCACATGCTTTGGTCAAGTTGGACGACGGAAAAGTGGTTGGTGACCCTATGGAACAAGCCACTTTGAAAGCCGCCCACTGGGATGTTGGTACCAAAGATACCGTGGAAAGAAAAAAGGAAAAGAACAAGCTGGAGAGTGTCAAGATTTTGCGCCGTTTCCAATTCTCGTCTGCTTTGAAAAGATCTTCTGCCATCACTTCGATCAACACTCTTAAGGGTAAGCACTTTGTTGCAGTGAAGGGTGCTCCAGAGACTCTTCGTTCGATGTTGGTGGATGCTCCTGCTCACTACGAAGAATGTTACAAATCTTTCACCAGGGCCGGCTCTCGTGTGTTGGCATTGGGATACAAGTACTTGAATACCGAAGTCCGTGTTACCCAGGTCAAGAGAGAAGAAATCGAATCTGAATTGCACTTTGCTGGTTTTATTGTGTTCCACTGTCCTTTGAAGGATGATGCTATTGAGACTATTGAGATGTTGAACGAGTCTTCCCATCGCTGTGTCATGATCACAGGTGACAATCCATTGACTGCTTGCCACGTGGCTAAGGAGGTTAAGATTGTTGATAAGGAGGTTTTGATTTTGGATGCGCCTGAAGAACATCACGAGATTCAGAATGATGAAAACTTGGTTTGGAGAAACGTTGACGAGTCAACTGTTATTCCTTTCAAGAGCACTGACTCGATTGATTTTGAATTGTTCAAGAAGTATGATATTTGTATCACCTGGATCGCGCTCTGAGCCACTTGTCTGAACACGTGCAGATTTGG